CACCTAAGCGAGGACCTGGTCGCCCTTCTCGAAGGCGCCAGGTGAAGAAGGAGCCAGTCGAAGACGACGAAGACGAAGACAGCTCTCCCGAGGTCCCTCCCACACCCACATCACCCGGAAAGGAAGAGAAGAAGACACCGGCAAGGAGGATCAAGAAGGAAGCGCGCGACACTCCGCCTGCCAGGGCACGCGGCCGGCAAGCTAAGACAGCCGACGAGAAGAAATCTGTCTCTTCACGACGTCTGAACAACCGGGGCGCAGTGGCCGATTACATCGACGAGGCTGCGTTTGAGGACTTCGACTACCACCTGGATGGCCTTAATGAGTACACCGTCGAGCGATGCAAAGAGCTAGAGGATAACTACTGGAAGACGATCAATTACGGCTCGCCCATGTATGGAGCCGATATGCCGGGCTCTCTATTTGACGACTCGACTACCTCCTGGAACGTCGCGAAGCTACCCAATCTTCTGGATGTACTTGGAACCAAGGTCCCTGGTGTGAACACCGCCTACCTCTACCTGGGCATGTGGAAAGCTACGTTCGCCTGGCATTTGGAGGACGTGGACCTTTACAGTATCAACTACATTCACTTTGGTGCCCCCAAGCAGTGGTACAGCATATCGCAGGAAGATGCTCGCCGCTTCGAAGCTGCAATGAAGACCATCTGGCCAAATGACGCAAAGCATTGCTCGCAGTTCCTTCGTCATAAGACCTATCTGATCTCACCACAGCGACTGGAGAGGGACTTTAACATCAAGGTCAACCGTCTGGTTCACTACGAGGGCGAATTCGTCATCACGTATCCTTACGGCTACCACTCCGGGTACAACATTGGCTACAACTGCGCAGAATCTGTCAACTTCGCAAACGAATCCTGGTTGAGCTATGGCCGGATCGCAAAGAAATGTCTCTGCGAATCTGACAGCGTCTGGGTTGACGTTAACGAGATCGAGCGCAAGCTACGAGGCGAGCCAACACCGGAGTACTATGAAGAGACTGACGACGACGAAGACGACGAAGACGGCGCGGACCGTCTGCCTAGTCCTCCAGCCAGCGTCGCTGGTAAAACCAAAGGAAAGCCAGGCCGTAAGCCAGCCGGCAACAAGAGAAAGCGCGGCAAGGAGGATCCCAAAGAGACGTCACGACCAAAGAAGCTCAAGCGCATTCGCATTCGTATTAGGATTCCAGGTCGAGGCATGCCCTGCATTCTCTGTCCTAACGATGTGGAGTATGATGACCTGCTACCGACCGATAATGGCATGAAGGCTCACCGAATCTGCGCGGACTATACGCCGGAAACTTACATTGTCAACAAGGGCGATGTAGAAACCGTTTGCAATGTGGCCAACATCGGCAAGGACCGCTTGGAGCTCAAGTGCAACTACTGTCGATCTAAGCGCGGCGCCGTCTTCCAGTGTTCGCAAAAGAAGTGTACTAGGGCCTTCCATGCTACTTGCGCGGTGGCAGCAGGCGTCCAGGTCGACCTTGGTCCCATGCCTACCTTTGACGAAGAGGGTACGGAATACTTCTACGATGGTTACGACTTCCGATGCCGTTTCCATCGGCCAAAGAAGCGCAACAACAAGACTGTCGATGTGGAAGCACTGGAAAAGGACAAGTTTGTCTTGGCCTATGGCAAGACACTCAAGCCCAAGGACGTCATCCAGTTCCAGTACGTGGGTGGCGAAATGTACCAGATCTACGGTGCACAGGTGGTAGAAAACAGGCCCGGCGAGCAGGCTGTTCTGGTAGATGTATTGCCTGACGGTGATCGAGTGGAAGTTGAGTGGAAGTACATACTCAAGCTTCATCCGGACGAATCACAGCGACTGAAGCCGTCGGCAAACGCTAAGCCACTTCCTGAGCATCTCAAGGAGAGCGATGCGTCCCTTGACATCACGAACCGTACCGACGGTGTACCTGAGATGGGCGATCCCTTCCACGACCCCAACTCCGAGCATAAGTGGGCCGAATGGTACACTGCTCCTGAAGTTACTCGGAGAGTGGCTAGAGTCGATCTCAGCAAGGAGGATCGGCTTTGGTACTACCTTGGAAAGCCATCAACAGAGGCTAGGCCACAGTACACTGAGGATCCTGCAAAGCCTAGGAATAACCCCAAGAGCAACTTCCTCGAAACCGTCAAGCCTCCTCCGCCGCCAGTACCAACCTTCCATCGTACTTCGTACCCGGCCTCTTATCCAATCAAACCGGCACCCATCGCAGTACCTCCGCGCACACCGATGCAATATCAGACACCAGATGGTCGGCCGTACAACTACAAGCCGAAAGAGTCGATGATGTCGTCCTACAGGTCGCCTGTTTACAACCCTGATACTCGCAAGAATCCCAACTCGCCAGTAGCACATCAACCCAACGTCAGCTACGATCATCGCTTGCCCGCAGGACAACAAGGACAGCAGCCATACCAAGGCTACCACACTCATCGATCACCGCACCCTTCGCAGCAGCAACAGCAGTATCAGCCATATGTGCCGCCACAGAGCTACTCTAATGCGTCCTGGAAAACACAGCCAGCAACATCGGGGCCTCTGCTCAATGGAATTGACAAGTATGCGCAACCGGCACAGAATAGCGCTCTACCGCCATACCCATACTCTCAGAGTCCTCGTCAGTTGCCACCCTCACCATACTCACCAGGCGCGGGACAGATTGTTGCTTCACCTTATGGCCCACCAAGCCATCAAAGCCAGGCATCACCACACGGTCGCGCGTCGATCTCAAACAGGCTGAGCAACCCTACTGGGACTCCCAAACCTCCAATGTACGCCGTCACACCCTCCTCTGAAATCATCTATGCTGCCCAATCCCCCACTGAGTATTTATCCTACGTCATGAATTATCCCTACCTCAGAAATTGTTATTTGCGGAGGACAAAAACTTACATATCACCCTATAGTCTGGATGGTGGAATTGCACCTGAATGGATGCCAAAGCAGGCTACGCCGAGAACCAGTGGTACACCTACTTCAATCGCACCAAGGCCTATCGCGTCACACGGAGCCGCGCCCTCTCCCGGATACTACGGACCACCGCCGCCAACAGGTCTACCTGCACCAAGGCCATCCGCACAATTCCAGTCTCCGGATGCCTTTCAGCGGGAAATGGCAAGGACGACACAAACTCCTGAAGCGCCGAAGTGGGAACAGATGCTTAAGCAGCTCGCTACATCGACAGGCCCCACCGGCACGCCACCCATGACTGCGCACTCGCCACAGGCACCTCAACCTCGCTACCCTCCCTCGGGGCCCCGCTCCAGTCTGTCCTACGACCTTCCTAGGAGCATGCAAGCTTCGCAAATCCAAACCCCACCAGGACCGCCACCACGTGAGCCACAGCGACCGACCCCTAGCCCCATCAGTGATGACGGTAAAGGCGGTCTTGTAGCTGAACCAAGGGACCAGAAGCCAGTGCTGCCGCCTCTGCAGCCTACGACGAATGTCCATGGAGCTGAGACATGGCGCTACTCGTCTTAACGGCATGTGGTCGATATATGGGGGCGTTCGGTGGAACTAGTGTATTATAACGACATGTATGACTAGAGGGTGATTTTCGGCGTTTTCAATAGGTCATGGCATGCGTTGCCAGTTTTCTTTCTGAATGCAGCATTACCGTCCGGTGGGAATACAACGATAACTTTTGTCTGTTCAACCGTATTATTCGTGGATTTCGATGTGTACAAAAATAATGTTTAGTAAACGCTGTGCATAGGCGTGTTACACCCTTCACACCTTGACAGATGAACACCGGGTCTCCGGTACGAAGCGAGCCTTGGCCAGCTGTACCGTCGCTCTAGTCGTTGCTTGTTTTCGGTTGCCGCCTGCTAAAGTTTCTTGGCCCGAAATGAAGGCCCGTGTGGCATGGAAGCGACATTGAAACGTTTAGAGAGCAGAGACCCACCCGGACAACATAAAACGCCAGTGGAGTTTCTCCGAGCGGCATTGATGAGGCGCAGAAACAGGTACTGACGTTCAGGCACCAATGGAAGCAGGTTTCTGTTATGAAGCTCGACACAAAAGCATCGTAATTTTCCAAGGGTGTGTGGGAGGGTTTGGTGGAGTGTTCAAGTCTCAGTACCTGGGTCTCGATCGAAAGAGCAAATACAGTGCACACCGTCGTTCGTATGCATCAAGACGTTGGTACCAAGCGCCTGGGACTGTCATGCCTAGTGGAGGCGCGCGCTGTCGTTGACCCACTTTCAGGGGGCCATGGTGTGAAACGATAAAAGTCGGAAGCGACCATACGGAGATAAGGGCGCTGAGGCTACGATCGGACCTACGGATGTATACCTAGGTTTGCTGCAGATTAATGAATGTGAGGAGTAGAGCGCGGTCTGCCGGTTTACCGTCTTTGCGTTTATGCCGCTGGGTGGTGGGAGATTTGGTGACGCGTAGATGTCGTTCCTGAAGCGCTGGGTCTAAGCGAGTCGAGATGATTCTAGTGCAAGCGGGCGGGAAGAGTCGTCGATTCCCTGCGCCCAAGCATCTTTGCACCATCGTCAAGCACAGAACATCTGGTATCATAAGTAAGGAATGAATAGTTATTGTAAGAGCATAATTTGCGTACGGGAATTCGGCCGTAGAGAATGCACAGCCACTGCATCCAAACACCAGTGCAATGACGTGCTAGCTGTATCTGGCGTCTATTCAATGTTCAACCCCTCTTACGTTTCGCCTTAACATGTTCCTTGCGTCGATCAGGAACACCTGGCCGAGGACTGCTCAGTATACTCTGTTTACCGCCAGGATCAGAAGCCACACCATGAAACAAGCACCGCCATGACAAGTGACCAGCCCACCTTGCGAACATCGAGTACCCCAGCTCCACAGCCCTGAAGCATTGTACGAACGGAAACGGTTCCCTTTCTGTCAGCTCCACTCCTTTCATTTGACACATGCACAGCGATGCGCTATTTCCGACATGGCAGCATCTGAGTATAAGAGTACGCCTCGCCCAGCATGTAGAGTTCCTCACCACCACAGTCATTCAGTCAGTCGACATTCGCTCTCTTCACCTTCGTTCATTTTTTCACGCTTGAAGCGCCTCACATTCTTTACCATCTTCGTTGATCTCGAAGTACCTTTTTGAACACCAACCTTTCGACCAAACCAGACTTTCCAACACCCAACACTACAATGCCTTCCAAGATTCAAGCCGCTGCCATCCTTGGCGCCTTTGCTGCCTCCGTCAGCGCCCACGGTCACCTGTCTGCCATCAAGGTTGACGGCAAGGACTTCACTGCCTACGACCCGTCTTTCCAGTACCAGACCCCCTCCCCCGAGGTCATTGAGTGGTCCTGCCCCGAGTGCCTCGACAACGGTTTCGTCGAGCCTTCCATGTACGACGATGCCACCAAGATTGCTTGCCACAAGGACGCCACTGCTGGCGCAAAGGTTGCTACTGTCGCCGCTGGTGGCAAGCTCGACATCTCGTGGACCGCCTGGCCCGAGTCCCACGTCGGCCCCGTCATTGACTACCTCGCCAAGGTTGATGATGCCACCAAGGCCAAGTCTACAGACCTTGAGTTCTTCAAGATCGATGCTGCTGGCTTCGAGGACGGCAAGTGGGCTTCTGACAAGCTCATCGCCAACAACAACACCTGGACCGTGACCGTCCCTGACAGCATTGCCCCTGGTCAATACGTCCTCCGTCACGAGATCATCGCTCTCCACGCCGCTGGTCAGGAAAACGGTGCTCAGAACTACCCCAAGTGCATCAACATCGAGGTTACCGGATCCGGTACCGCTACTCCCAAGGGTACTCCGGCTAACAAGCTCTACACTGCCACTGACCCTGGTATCAAGGTCAACGTCTATGGCGGTGACCTGTCCAGCTACGAGATGCCTGGTCCCGCTCTATTCGACGGTGCCAGCTCTGGCTCTGGCTCTGACAACGCTTCCAAGCCTTCTGCCTCTGCTCCTGCCTCGTCTGCCCCTGCTGCCACCAGCTCGGCCGCTGCCGCCGCTGCCTCTACTCCCGCTGCCTCCGCTCCCGCCCCTGCTCAGACCGGCGGCGCCAGCCTCGACAAGGAGTTCACCATCGACACCTTCATCTCCTGGCTCGAGGAGAAGGCTGGCTCTTCCAGCCAGAAGGTTCGCCGCCACCCCCGCGCTTTCCGCGTCTAAATTTGTGGTACGACAACAATCGGAGGGAACGAGATTGTAAAATCATGGAGGATGGATGATGGAAAGTAACACTTTGGTGTTCTTCACTTCTTGTACCTACTTGCTTTGAGTCGCTTTGGCTCATTGCTTCTTTGACTGAATGACATGTGTTGCACACTCGACTACTATTTTGCATGCAAGTGCTTCAGTTCCCTGTGATTTTAAGTGCGCTGGTGAAGACTGACGACCTCGTTCCTGGTACTAATGTTAGCTGACAAGGCATTCTCGATGCTATGTTCGCGGCAGCGACAACAAAATAGCGAATTATCACTCGTATGCTGATTGAGAGAGCAAGGGGCATTTAAATGTGTTTAACATGCGAGTCGGCGTTACCCCACCTGCTAGCATCTTCTCACTTGAAGCCGCCCCGCTTGCACATCTGCACAACGCCCGTACGGAGGCGTACTGCATAAAAAAGAATTATAATGGTCAAAATTTGAAAACTCTCCATCAATTAGATAATCCGAATTAGTCCATCGGCTAGGATATCTCGCTTTCACCGAGAAGAGCCGGGTTCGGTAAGCTTAATCCACAACACCACAATTCGAGCCTCGATACTAACAATCTTCAAGATTCCCGGATTCGGAACTATTCTTTTTGCCTTTTTACTGCTGTGAGCAGTGATAAAAGAATGCGTCAGGACGCATGAAGCTTTTTAGAATTTTTTTACTTGCAAACTTCAGTGGTGCCCGTCTTCGGTGTTTTGGGTCATACACTCGCAGTGCATAGAGAGGTGCACACACTAGCCTTGCTACTACATACTATATTACCTTCTCTCTTGTTTGTCTTACCTTTGCTGCAAAGCGCGAAGCATCTTCTCCGCTCTCGTACAGATTTGTATGTGCTTCCCACGCTTAGTACAAGTGGGAATGATATTATCCTAGTACTAGAGTGAGGTTGGATCTAGAGCGTAGAGTCTGTGATGGCAATTGAAAACTCTACTCTTAACACATGTGAGATCTTCTCGGATCGTCTGCCCTCTTTTTTCTCACTGTGCTGCGCGATAGCCTACTGCTTCGTGGAGGTCTATTCAAGCGGAGTTGTTTCCAGTGCGACAACTGGAACGATGGAATTCATGTCACATTGGACGCCTACAAAGAAGCATATCTTGATAGATTATATTAAATAGCCTAGGATGAGATATACATTGACTTTTATGCCGAGAGCCTACGCATGTGTAGCACTGCGAATACCTCCAGGGTGATTTTATTGCTGTTCTGCTTATTGGAGGCGCGCATATATCTACTAGCTGAATCCTGCTAAGAAACACATATTTTAAGCGTTCTCCTCATTCTCCTGATCAAAGGCCATCGCCTTTTCTTCCCTGGCCTTTCTCCACTCGCGCTGGTTTTCCCTGTCTTCACTTGCTCTGCTGGATCCTCTCGGTTTCTTAACCCCATCCACTCCCGCTGTCTTGATCTTCTTGCTGGGGACATCGCCGTTGGACGTCTTATTGTCCATGGCAGCTACCTTCTCCTTTTGCACCCGATGCCATTTCCTATTCGCCTCGCGTTTCTTTTCTTCTTTCTCTGCAGCAACCTTATCTCTCTGGGCGATCTTGATTTGGATCAACTTTTGTGTTGAACAATCGTAGCCTTCCTTTGAAAGACCAGCCTTAATGCCACTTACCCTACCCCTTCTCGCCACCAGTCCTTCTCTCTCTTTATCCTCAACTTTTTGTAGCGCGGTATCGTTCCAGATGTGAAGTATTGTCATGCGGAAAGTAACTGCTCGTGGGCCATAGCGCTCGACCATATCCTGACGTTCGTAGAACACGGCACCCTCTTCGCCCGGTACAGTGAGCTCGCGGTATACGGCAAACATGCTAGTAATCTCGTCAACGGAGAATTGGCGTCCCTGCATCCAATACCGCAGGCACTCGAAACCGCTTGGAGTTCTCGGTCACGCTAGACCTTGTCGAATGGCGTCTTCTTTGCCGTCAAAGAAGTCCTCGAACGCTCGAAGTGGGATCATCTGATCCGTGATGTGTTACCTCCAATATTGAGCAGTGGAGAGAAAACCGGGGAGGGCTGGTGGTCGGTCAAACTAAACGTTGACAAGATCCATCAGCCTTTCGCGGAGTGTATGAGCGTGTTGAGCCTGTGAGGTGACATGTGCGCGATACCTCTTCATTAGCCCTGGATGTGGGAGCATCTCGTGCACGAAAAAAATTAAACAGGTCTGGAGACTATATCAACATGAAAAATTGCAACGTGTGTGACCCAAATTTGATGTAGGCTCCAGGTTATTCAATCTTTTTCGTAGATTAACATGGTAGCGGAAATGCGATGCAACCTAGTTCGCCATCTGCGTTCTTCTCCAGCCATTGCTTTGGGTTCTGGACCTGAGGTGCATTCGCCACGGCATTCTCAAACCAAACGTCCACGTCGGGGCGAGTGCTTGGCCATATTCTTGCGTCGCTGTCACCATCATCGCCACAGTGTCCATGGATATGAAAGGGTGTTACTGGCTCAGCTCTTGCCGTCAGAAGCAACTCGGCGATCTCTGGATTGTTGGGCGAGAGGAGTGGTAACAACTCCTCGATGTCCTCAATTACATGCTCTGTGGTGGCATATGCATTGAAAAAGACGCTCCTCTGACAGCTTGACGTGGGTGCGTTCGAGCTTTTTGGTCTCAGCTGTACTACGAGACTGATCAGGTGCGGGTGCTATGGCGCGCGGCATCGTGGCCGGTATGTCGCTGGTGGGTTGCTGGTGGGTTGCTGATGCGTCGTTGGTGGTAAGTACAAGCAACAGGCCTATCTGCATCCGCGTTGCTGAGGACGTTAGAATGGCTGAGAGAGGTGGATGAGAGGAAGCTTGCAGTTTTTTTTCTGACGCGAGGGGTAGTTTATTTACCGCTCCTTCTCGAAGAAAAAAGAGCGGCCCTCTCCACCACCATGCCCCGCGCACTCACTCAATATCGGCGTGCTTGTTGAATCAGAAGTTGGAGTGACTGGTCATAGGCATGGTGCAACATGTGGAGTGGTATCTGATTTGCTCGCGGTGCACCCTCTCTGTGCGTGATGAACGGAACGGCGTGTAGAGCATGCACACCAGTTTACCCCAGCCTCCTTCTTCTTGCATCGTCCATGCGCAGTGCCGCCATGATACTTGCCTTCGTCTTTGGAATGGGGCGAGGTATTTGACGGTCTTTGTACTCCGAGCGAGCATCTTGCCGGGTCCTGTCATCGTATGCTGCGTCCTCGACGCCTTTCTCATTCGCCTTTTCCCCAGCGCGACTTGCATCTTCCTCAACACGCTGGATACCCGCATCCTCCTCATCATGGTCTGTATCTGCAGCCCCCTCAGCGCGACTGGCATCTTCCTCTTCCTCAACACGCTCGGTATCTCCCTTCCCCTCTTCCTCGTTCTTCTGCCCCTCGAACTGGCCAAGGTGGTACTCGTCATACGTTGTACCAGGCGCTGACGCGGGCGTGGACGTGATATTTGTGGCGTGTAGGAATCCGACGAGACCATGCTAAAGGGAGAAGTCAGCGGGTATGCCATCATGGTATGCATAGTAGCAAGCACAACTCACCTCGAGGTTCTCGCGCAACGCATCGTCCAGGGCAGCCATGTTCTTTTAACGAACCCTCCGCTGGCTGGACTAGAAGTCGCAGACGAGCCAGCCACTGCTTGGAATGTCGTGCTGGACCAGGATGGCCTTGCACCAAGGGAGCATCGTCAATAGCCCGAGTGTAGACTTGAACTCTCTCGTATCTGAAATGAGTGAGAAAACGTCACCCTCTCCTGTCGGTAAGTTGTCTTGCTGTAGCTGGTGAAGGAAGCGTTTCTCGGGACCTTGAGGCGTATTGTGGTGATGTGATCGCTCCACCGCTTAAACTTTGCAAGTGACACTGCGCGCGCAGGAAACTCGGCGTCAAGCTACATAAATAAAGTCAGTATGTGCTTGTGTCTCGCTCAGCTGGGACTCACCTGGAGGGAGGCGGTGGTCGGATCGACAACGTTGTAGAAGCTATCTCTGCACCTGCGCACGAACTTCTTGTTGCACGTATGCCGGAGCGAGCGGTTATCGCAGCACGCAAGGCTGCGTACAGGCATGTTGAATATCTCGGCTGGAACTCCCAGCAGACTTGCACGAGGGATTCACTGTGCATTCTGGCGAGGCTGGCGATGGTCGTAACGGGAGAGGCTTTGCGAGATCATCATGTCCAGCCTGCACACGTGAGCCTGCAGCATGGCAGTGATGCTGCTGGTGCTGTGCTTGGTGACATGGATGAACTTTTCGATCACGACCTTGCGCGCCCCACCGGTAAGGCGTTTGAGTAGAGAATCCAGAATGCTTGCGCTGAGATCAAATAGCGTAGGAACGATCTCAGAGACGCGACGGGGATTGGCGACACTGAAGCCTGGAAGACTGCGCAATGTCTCAACGAGCCAGTTGTAAGGTCCTGTATATATGCAGACAGTGACAAATAGGAGGCGCTTGTTGTTCTCGTTCGTCGTCCTGAGCAGGGTTGCGATCTGCTGGTCGCGATCAACGAGAGATGTGATGGAGGTCGTGCGTAGACTTCCATCATAGTTGTATTCTTGTCTCATGTGTTGCGCCAACTTGACTGGACGTCACACATAGATCACCCATTGTTGACAGCGTTATATTGAAGCAAGACTACGCAGGTTCACTATGAGGTCGAATCCTTTCGTCCGCGTGTTCTTCCTCTTCTCCCCACAATGGTGGGCTCATAAGAAAGGCAGGTGTGACCGGTGTTGGTAACTCCGTCAAGTATATGTTGGTCATCTTGGTTCCAACGAACGTAGTCCTCGCGGTGCTCGGAGTTACTGGTTCGAAGCCTTTCCACAGTTTGGCTTGCCTGTACTGCTTTACTGGTGGTGAACGGCGAAGTCCCCATGCACGGTGGAGTAACAGTACTGTGACAAGGACAAGTATGGTGCAGACGATACCAATAGCGATGCCGATTCCGATGGCAGCTGGTGTGGAGAGCGAGTGGTCGCTTTCCGAATGGTACATTGCCGATAATGTTGAGGAAATTTGAGCGTTGTCAAGGCTTCGTGAAGGTGTGTAGAAGGCTCGGCTCGTAATGACTGTTCGGATAGTCTGCCTGCGGTGCTTGTACTCAGTCTAGCAGTCGCAGTAAAGGTACACAGAATGGAGTCGTTGGAAGAATCACCTAGATAGCCTCACTCAGCTTTTGCAAACAACGAGCAGTTATGGTTCTCTCAAGTCTCCATTGGGAAGGCTGAGCACTAAGTTCTTGTCATATGCAACTAAGCGCCTCCTAGTGGATCTTAGATGATCACAGCCTTCGTAGTCCACATGTGGACGTCGAATGTGACTTGGTAGCAACCACATGAACCTTTGATTCTGAAGATGAAACACAGTAGATGTAGTCGAGGATGCGCGCGTGCGAGCTATCGCACTTGCTCAGAGCTCAGCGATTATTCCAGAGGATGCCCCAGCGGTCCGTCGCTGTAGTTGCACACATTATAAGAAAACTGATGGGATCGAAAGTGTTCTAGAGATGCAATTGAGAGGCGTTGTGCAGGCGTCCTAATGCAGTCGCGATCAGACGAAAAGGGTAGTGACGAGCGAGAAGAGCACCCATCAAAGACGAGATGTGAGCCTGCTCTGTTCCTAAGGGCGCTTGAGACGAAATGCGCAATCCCCATTCGATATAATCGTGATGCGCTGTCACAGATGCTGTTGGTGTTCAGCCTCGGCGGCTATTAGGACGCCATGTGCACTGTCGGGCACTTCACGCCTGGAGAAACAGTAATTTAGCGATTATGTAGCTGAAGGTCTTTATGGGACGACCAGAGTGATTGAACAAAGACGCAAATGGACGTAGCATGGAGCGCGTGGTGCGGTGGTGTGATCATCACATCGGTCAAGCCGTCGAATAGGAACGCCGTGCGCTAAGCCGCAGTGCTCATAGCGTCCCTATTGGCCGGCAGCACGTCTACATAGTAAGCTTGACGACGAGATGACATGACACCGGTAGGTCGGCCTAGCATTCTCACGAGTACTGCGGCAGCTGTCAGCTTAGCGGCTGCAACACTCCAGATCAACCGGGCCTGTAGGAATAAAGCAAATGCATATCCATTTACATCTGTCCTGTACAACGCAGTAGAGCGTCTCCATCCAAGAGAGCTCCACGTGTCCACCGGATGCACAATTTCGTGGCATACAAGCTGCTTCGACATTTCTTTTATAGCTGAAGAAGCAAGCCTCATGGGGGCCAAGGAAGTGCTTTCAGTTATGATGCAAAAGCGGCAGAGGTGTCACCTTCTGCCGTGTGGTGGAAATTTTGCAGAGTGAGTCGGCTCGGAACATTACTGAGATTTGAATCACGATGAAGGAACAAGAGTGACATCAAGAACGCGCGTCGGGAATAGGAGACGACGATCAGAGATCAAGATGTTCGTGCAAAATGCCATGGCATGGGAACAAATCTGGTGGGCTAGAATTACGGCACAAACGGGCTTGGCGACAGCCGCGACAGGGGATCCGAGTAAGGCTGCCAGGTACACCACCAATCTTGGTCAACGTCTCCAACTAACGTTTGTCGAGCCACAATTCACCCAAGATTGCTCTTCGTCATGGTTCCAAGCTCGGTCTCGTTACTGACGTTCGCCCGGTTTCGGTGGAGCGGTTTGCGTCTCAGAAACTGCTTGCCTCGGCGTCCACGACGAAGCCGAGAATGACGACATGCATGTCTCATTACGTTCTTGGTACACAGAGCATGCACCGAACTCCGGGCCCCCAAACAACGCGTGGCTGGTTGCCTTGACAGCAGGTGGACCCGCGTGTACACTTACCTAGGTACAATTGCTGTGAGATGGGAATTGACAGCATCGAGGTACGCAGACGTCGAGCTAGAGGAGGCGTAGTGCTGGTTGCTATAGCGGTCGCTGGTGAGAACCTGCATTTCAGGGTCATCAAGCTCGACGCCGCGCTTGCGTCACTGTGGTAGTGAAAAGGCTTAGCCAGACGAGGTGCTGACTTGTTTCAGAGTGGATTGATCACTGCAACGCTAGAAATAGCATCTGGCACGCCTTGTCATAGCCCGAATCGTCCCATGGGCAGCTGCACAGACATGCATGGCTCCGCTGTAGATGAGACGAGGCGTTGCAGGCTGTGGCTTGGATGCAACGCCTCTCGCCCGAGTTAATCTCGTTACACTGCGGACAAATCCTCGTCAACAGACGTCATAGGCTCAAACGACCAGAGGCGGCCCCGGATCAAGCTTCACTCGAAAAAGCAGGAACGACTGCCGATGACTGGGATGCGCTGCGATGGCTTGCCGCATCTGGACAAGGACAAGGACAGTGCGCTCCCATGTGGCGTCACTTGCCTCACTGGCCAGTTAATTGCGTGCATTACGTGGCTAGAAAATGTGGAGGAGGCGCAAGCGAGCAAGGGCGGTGGCCGCTGTTTGTTGCTGGCCGCCGGGGGCTATGGCGACATGCAAGCACGCTAGTTCTTATGCACTCGCCTGGTATAAGAGCTCTCTCCTCGCCCTGCCCTCTACTCCCCATCTACAGCTCAAACAATCTCCACATCAAACCAACTATACTCAACTTTTACCCACCCATCAACCAACTCACTCACCTCCAACCATCAAGATGCGTTTCTCCACCATTGCCACCGCCGTCATCGCCGCCGGCGTTGCCAACGCCCAGGTCGACTCCATCATCTCCCAGATCACCTCTGCTGTAGGCGGCGTCCCCTCTGATCTCGCCTCCGTCGCTTCATCCGTCGGTTCTGAGATCACTTCCGCTGCTGCCTCAATCACCAGCGCAGGTGGTTCTGCCGCCGCCTCCGGCGCCTCTTCCATCCAGAGCGCTGCCGACTCCGCCATCAGCAGCATTGCCTCTGAGGGCGCCAGTGCTACTGGCTCGCTCAAGTCCGAGATCGAGTCTGCTACCAAGTCGCTCGGTTCTGCTGCCAGCTCAGCTGCCAGCGCTGCTGAGAGCGCCACCGGTACCGGTGCTGCCGACTCTAACCACGTCCCCGCCATGGGCGCTGTTGCCGGTGGTCTCCTTGCTCTTGCCGGTCTCTTGTAAGCGGGTTCACCCATCAACCGCTTTCTTCGAACATCGTCACAAAAAACGTCTCCTTTGACAGTTTCTTCGATCGGTTAGCGACATCAGCCATGAGCTGACATCGCTTCGTCTCTCGTGAGACAGGTGTGGGACCAGAATGATTCATAGCGATTCTTGGGATTTACCAATCGGTATACTTATAATAAGTCATTTCAATGAAATATTCAGAACACCCCAAAATTGCTTTCTCGCTGCGCCCAACTTTTTAACGCTCTGGTACCCATTGTCGTGACATTTCTTCCATCCATAACATGCTGTCCACCGAGTGTTTCTATGACTGCGTATTTTTTGTCGTCGCTGATTCGATCGTGTTCTATTGTTAGAGTTCAGCATCGCAGCTGAGTAGTATGATGTGAGGTTCTTGCTTATGACGTAAAGCCGCGCGTTCAATTCGGTGGCGTTTTCCGAAACCCAATAACGCGGCTGCGGTTAGCGTCCTCCCGTATGCACTCCGCATTCTCGCATGAGCATTCTTTATTCATCCCCTTCCAGATCACCTCACCGCTGATCAGACAGGAGATGCGACAAATTGGTCGTTACACAACCCTTCGCCTAACGCATTGGAAGGCTGACAAGCATGATCGAGATGCACCGGCTCATTCGAGAGATTAACAGGTGGGAAATGTACCTGCAACGCGCCGTTCAACTGACACAGTGGCTGGCCGCCTGGCTTGCGGCACAGCCACGGAACGATCCCCGACATGCATTTGGCCGGGTGATCTGCATCGCGACACATGCTCCCGTTATGTTTTTCGGCGCGCCTCCGGGGACACCTGGTTGATCTTATCAACAAGAACAAACACGGAGAAAGTTCCTGGAGATGCGGAACGCACACCACTTCCCTCCAAGGGCGCTGCAATGACGAACAGTTGCCTGATTGAATTTGGCTCAAACAGGAAAGCTGGAGGCCGACGATCTATGGAATTGCTTTTCCTTGGACCTTTGCAGCATCGACTACTACGTCTTTTGCAGGCTGCAGCACTAGCTGCATCGCACCTTGGAGATACACACTGCATCATATTCCACAAGACGTTAGTGCACAGGAGAGTGTGCTCCTCAAGGCTGCCGTGTACTCAGAGGTACCCCTAACAAGCAACAAGCTTCTTCGTCGTTGCACAATGTTGATGCTGCATCCAAAGTGCGGTATGTAGAGGAACCAGATTCACGACATTATTCACAGACATGACTATTCAAGTATACAACACTACGACTACTTCATCCGAAATTACAACAAATCCTCTCGGTATCTCGTCATTTCACCCATCGGACAAAGAAATTAACGCGATCCGCGCGGTATTATCTTCTTTATACCATCCTCACTAATGCTGCATACGCACCAACCTGTCACGAAGTCCATAACCACAGCGACCATGTCAACCCTATCCGGTTTCACCTGGCCCCAAAACGCCAAGACCAAGCGTAGCTCCTCGTCCTCGCCAATCCTTGTTCCCGACCACCGTCCCCTTATTATTGGGCTGTCAGTCGCCGGCGCAGCGACAAGTATAGTCGTTATCTACACAGTCTTCTTCTTCTATCTCAAATGGCGCAAATCTCGTGCGGCTAAACAAAACAAGGATACCGAATCCGAAGGTAAGATCGGGCTCAAAGATAATGACCCCTCACCGTATCTGGGTGACGGCCACCAAGGTGGGGATATAGGTGATAGTCGTAGTGCGCGCGCGTCCTCAGAACTGCCTGTGCATTATAGCGGTGTGAGGAAGGAGGATGGGAAGTTGGGTTTCGTGGAGGTTGACTTGGGTGCGGAGAAGGGTAGAGAGTGATGCGAGTTTGTGAGTAGGCATGGGTTGAGAGGTAAAGTTGCGCGTTGACGAAGGTGTTTTTCGTTGTATCAGTTTCATGGTTTTGAAGTAAGACGTGGTTGCCATGGATGGCCGAGCCATGAGCGAAGCGATGACTATGAATACATCTACACGCCTAATCTGTAAGATTCGGGCAATGGGCAATACATTTATCTCGGACTACCCACATTGATTAAGGTTATTCAAGAACACAATGTAAGACGGTGGATATACCATAAAGCTGTATGCATTGGCTGGACGCTTACGGAGAAACCAGAACATTTCGGCTCCCCAAATCTTCCCCCTCTGTGGTCTTCTCGTCCTCCTTTCCGGTCCATGTAAGGAACGTGTATCGTCCCTCAACAGGCTCTCTAGCAGTAACTAACGTCTCCAGCTCCTCGACTGTACGCGCCTGCCCAATCAAGCCCCCTTGAACGTCCGGGATAAAGCCAGACTTGATTGCAGTATGCATCCACTCAAACACACCGTCAAAGAAGCCAGATGCGTTGAGGACAACTACCGGCTTCGCGTGAATGCCTAGCTGGCTCCACGTCGTCATCTCGAGTAACTCCTCCAGCATCCCGAAACCACCAGGTAGTGCCACAAAGGCATCAGCCTCCTCAGCCATCATCCGCTTACGCTCGTGCATGTTGTCCACCACCGTTGTACGCCCGAATTGCTCCGGCGGGGGCGGCGGCCCGCCCAGTAGAAGAGCACGTGGAATGATACCATGCACCGCGTCGGATCCCTGCGATGCCACTACGTTTCCAGAGAGTACGCCCATCAACCCCATAGTCCCGCCTCCGTATACTAGCGACCATGATCTCTTCGCCATGATGTCCGCTAGCGCTTTGGCGGCATCGCGGAACCTGGGATCTTTCCCCTCAGTAGACCCTGCTATTGATCAGTACGTATCTACTCTCGGGTTCTAATGGGGACGTACCACAGAACACACATAATGTGAACGGTTTAGACTTCGTTCCATCGAGTGGCTGTGTGTGTGCTTGCTTTGCGGCGCCCATGATTGATCAAATTGAGTTTGAGTATATTCGAGCTGCATAAGAGGAACAGTGGCTGAGCTGTCAGACAATCGAGTTGCGATGTCGTCTATTGGAGCTCTTCTCCCGCGATTTATACATCGGAGTTGACTCAGCAGACTACCAGGAAGCCTGTTGTACCATACGGCTGTTGTAAGCTTTCACGTTCAGCCAACACTAGCATCTCGCTACCAGTAGCTTACATTCTATTCCAAAGCCACGAGGTGGAGTGTTACTATGTATGTACTCGGGCCAAAAGAATAATGACCCGGTACCTAGATGGCCTAAGTTTTGACCAATCAGAAGATGTGTGTTATGTCCGACGCTTGGGCCATTCGGGTCATTACCTCCATGTTGAAACGATGACCTAGGTACACAACACTCTTCGCATTCGCTAAAAGGCTTTCACATGTCTTCTGTACCTGTCGGCCCCGTAAGTGACGTAGCATCTAGTACTTGGGTACAACTTCAATGACGAGCTCGAACGAAGTCCTAGGCCCAGGCCTTAGTCAGAGTCAAAGGCGCACTGTCCGATGTCTTCCTCGTTGAGACGTCGCTAAAAGTTAGCAGTGTATCCACACTTAGCAACATGAGGTTTAATTTTGTCTTGGATACGAGTCACCGGAAATGCTGTATGTTACATGAGTCTACAGTCCTTTGCGGATGCATCTTCCTGGCCGGGAGCTGTTACATCATTTTTCGCCGGCTTGTCGCACCGGCTTGTTGGCGAGCAGGAGGAGTGAGGTCTTAGGGGATGGACCATGTCATGCCCGAAGTGTATTCTGGAGAACGTTGGTCGACGAAGGAAGCCTGGACTTCAAGAGCAGCAACGTCTTTGTTCATAAAGACCCCTTGTTGCGCACTGTCTTTCCAACTCACTCACAACTACCATACTTCCTCTTCTTCGCAAAGCCTACGACACCCATCTCATCTGTTTTCTGTTCGTTCAAATCGTTACACAATGGGACGCAAATCCATCATTGCGATCATCGGTCCGACAGGCGTTGGTAAGACCAAGCTTGGTATCGCTCTCGCCAAAGCCATCAACGGCGAGGTCATCTCGGTGGACAGTCTCCAGATTTACCAATGTGGAGGCATCATAACGGCCCAGCCTACCACGAAGGAGATGGATGGTGTCAAGCACCATCTGATAGACTACTTGCAGCCCGACCAGGAACCGACCACCTTTGTTGACAATGCTATCTCAAGCATCAAGCAAATACACGACGACGGCAAGACTCCTCTGCTAGTCGGTGGATCCATCTCGTTGACCGAGCCACTCCTCTCGCACCCGTTCGTCCAGCAATGCGATCTGTCAGTCATCTTCCTCGACTCCAAGCTGTCACACCTGAAGCCCCGGCTCGAAAAACGGGTAGACGAAATGATCGACGAAGGCCTCATCGAAGAAGTACGCCTGCTTTACGAACTCGAGCAAAGACTGTTGGGTTGTCCAGACTTCTCCAAGGGCATCTGGAAGGCTATCGGATACCCGGAACTGCGCCCAGCCGTCGAGAGCTGGAACGAAGGCAGGAAGAACCAACAACACTTGGACGAGGGAATTGCGGAGATGAAGAAGCGGACGGTCTCGTATGCTGAGGAACAGCTCAACCGGATACGCGGCAAACTTATACCGGGGGTACACCAGTGGGCCAACAACTACATGGTCCTTGTTGTACAAGACGCCACAACATTTGAGGAACGCGTTGTCAAGCCTTCCATCTCAGCGTGTCGTGGTTGGCTCTCGGAAGAGATTCGCCAGCGCATGATGGAGTCGACTTACCTTGCTAGGCCGAACGTGCCACAGAGGATGGACAGCTTCTCTAGGCAGACGGTGAAGCTGGCTGAGAATTAGCGCACGGTGGATGGGAAGATGGATCTTTCTTGCTGGTCGGGGGAAGATGTGAAATTCTATAGAATTTGCTGTATGTTAATGAAATCAACGATTCCCTTGTCACTTCCGTCGAGCCCTTCATTACCATGTGTATTATTTCGAATACTTTCCATGCATGCCTTTCAAGAACATGGCGAGTATTGATCCCGCTGATCTGAGAGCTGTCGCTCTCCAAGCAGTTCAATATATTGTTAGACGTACAAGACACGGCCTTGATGTCATCTGCTCTAAACACCGCGGTACCCCCTCTGCAATCTCCTCGTTGTCCTGTCCTGTACCGGAACCGGAAGCGGACCCTGCTGCTGCTGCTGCTGCTGCTGTGGCTCATAACTCGCCGGCCGCGCAGGACGATAAGCTCTATAACCACTAGCGGGCTGAAGAACATCTGGATGCGGATACGTGTCCTCTGAACGCGAAGGTAAGCGAGGTGAACCCTTTTCTGCGTCATCATCGTTGTCGCGTTTGCCGAAACAGCCACCAAAGCAATCGCAGACGTTGATACCGCGGTATGCAGCGAAAATTGCGTAGATTGTCAAGCCGAGGAGGATCAAGCCGAATACGGAGCCCACGGCTATACCTGCGATTTTACCTTTGCTTAGCCAGGGGCCGGGATCGACATCTGGGTGAGAGGTCTGTGGTGGAGATGCGGTGGGAGATGCTGCGGGTGTTTCCGTGGATGTTTTCCAAGTTTCAGACGGAGTTAGAGAAGTGGTAGCAGTAGCGCTGGTCGTCGTAGGCGGTCGTTCGCTACTTGTCGGCGTTTCCACCGTAATTGATGGCTCTACTGTAGTTGACGGGGCTGGTGGAGGCGGTGGCGGCGCTGAGGTATCTGGACTACGCGATGGCATAATAACCGTACTAGACGGTTCGGCAGTTATGAAAGCTATCGAGGTAAGGAACGTGATCGAGGTAACGAAGGATGGCGGCTTTGTGTCGTCTTTACGAGCCACTACAGTGGCGGTAGCGGTTGGCGACGGCAGGGCGTTTATTGCGTGGTTCCAGGAACCTGATCGTGAGGCAACGAGGAAGCCCGCAGCAGCGACAGTGGTGGGAACTGGAAGGCGCATGATGGACGAAAGAGATGTGGTGTTGTAGTGAGAGAAGAAAAAACATATACCACTTCTATGGCGTCAAGTCTGATCTTTGCCATTGTGTGTTCACGTATTGCATGGTATTGAACATTCGGTTTCGATAAAGAGAATACTGGCGTGATATAGTGCCACGTACGACAGAGTGAAGCGGTGGCCGTCACCATATCGCGACACGTTATCAATTGACAGTGTTAGTACTTTGATGTCTAGGCCGATCGTCGCCTGTTACAGCTCACCAGCACCACCTAGCAGTGCTACAGGCTCGTTCAAAACGATTGGGCAAACATCCAGCCCCACTCCATACGTCTCAAATGTCATGTTTCCCTCCTTGTCGACCTCGATCCACCTGCGATTCAGTAGATCGCCATCCTGTGCCCTGTCGAAGAAGTTTTGCGGAGCGAATACAATACTGGAATAAGCCTCTGTGTACAAGGTCACAGGTACGTCTTCGCTCCTGGTGTAGTGATGCATGCCAAGATTGAACCAAACGACAAGATCTTCACCTTCGATTGATTCGCCGTCAAAGAACTTGCTGAAGTCTTGCTGCGGCGTGAAGGGGAGATTGATGTTCTGAACACTGTTGGCAAATGGCTCGTTGTCGTGCTGTCTCGTAACGGCTAGATGTGATTTGGCGAATTCGGAGTTCTTGCGTGACCATGGAGAATTGAGGGTTGAGAGGTGAATATCGGAACGGCCGGGTACGAGACGATAGCCGCGTTTCTCACCCCAGGCATTGGTAGCGTTCGGGTTCAACACGACGTACATAGCCTGGTTGTTGGGTGCCCAGTTAAACTGCTGCTCTTCGGCCATGTACGTAATGTTCAGCTCCATCTGTTCAAATTCACCAAGTTCAGGGAACCAACTGGGTACATTTGGTTAGCCTCGAGGCATTTGAAAAGCTCAGTCATGAGTAATACTTACGGTTGGGTTTGGTTAACAACTACCAACTCTGAAACTTGAAGCGAGTTGGCGGCACCGACTATGTCGAAGTCTGCCTTGTACGTCACAATATGATCGTGAAGTGAGCCTTGGGTGGCCTGTTGAATTCTCGGCCCGAATTTCGCTTGCGCCGGATAGTAGAAGCTAGATTGAAGATATCCGGATGCTCGTACAATGACTTCTAGCGAGCCGTCCATGTGGAAGGAGTAGTCAAACATGTAGTCATAGTTGCCAACTGTGGCGATTGCGCGGACAATTAGTCCAGCGCCCTTGACGCTGCCAAGATTGCTGAAACCGTATTCGTTGGATGCGCCCGTGCGATGACGGGAGAGCGGGAAGTTCATGTCGGTCTCGAAGATGCAGATTGCGTTTTTGTTGACTGCCGTTTTGTTGTAAGATGGGTAAGTGATATTCCAGAATGTCGATCCCCATGGGCAATCGAAGCCTTCTACCAAGCTGCCCATCTCAGTACCAAGCTGGTAGTAGGTATCGTGGTATACTGTATTAGCAGCCTTCGGTTGGTTGCCACCTTGTATTACTTAGCTCGCATCCAATAAGAGACACAAGGAATACTCACCGTATTGCGCGGTAGCCTCTTGCATCGACAATTCGTAAAGAATACGTTCACCTTTGAACTTGATGTCATAGAACATGATACCAAGCGTCCTCGAGAACGACATGTAAAATGACCAACCCATATATTCGACATACTGGTTCTCTTTGTCAAGCTTGTATCGCTTTCCTCCAATTTCGAGAGTGCTTGGCGCGAGCCGCTCCTCCAGATCCCGCACGCCTAGCTCGGGCTTGTAGTCGACTAGTGCCCAACTCGCGTCGAGAGTCTAGTCGAACTCCATAGCAAGATCGCCTGATTCGAATGCACTTCGTAGGTCTGCGATGGTAGGGTAAAACTTTTCATTTGTGACGAATCCTTTCAGTGAGTAGAGAGAAGGATCAGTGCCGCTACAGTCGATTAGGAGATAAAAGTCTAGCGGTGTCATGTAAGTTGCTGGACCTGGAAAGCGGAACATGATGTTGCGAAAAGCGCTAGAGCCATCGAAAGAGATAGGCGTGCCAGTCGTTGAGGAAAGATTGGTTCTTTTGTCGGCCGATCCGAAGTAAACACCTCCTTGGAAGAGAGCTGCCGTTATGTCTGAGATGTTCGACATGATGGATACGATGAGCGGCTCGGTCGCCGTCGTCCTTGGGCCGTCGAAGTATCTGGCGTTGTACGGCACGGAACCACCGGAACCGCCGTTGTAGATGTAATCCAGCTTCTCGATGGTGGTCTCTGCAGATACAGGGAGGGGGCCAATCATGTACTCTTGAGAATCTGGCTCAGCTTTGCCGCCTTGAAAGATGATGGCTCGGGCGTACTTTGCGGGCATTGCTGCACCCTCATCCATGTACTTCAGCACCTCGCTCTTGTTAGTGTGCAATGCATCAAGCCAAAATCTGGTACACGTCAGCTGCATTCTCTTCTGCTCGAGCAACAATTCAAGCATGACATACACGTAGTTGTCCGTAAGCACAGCTTTTGTGGGGTCAGTAAGATTAAGACCGGAGGTTGGCGAATGAAGCATTGTCCAGACGGCGAGATTCTCATCTGGTGTCAAAGGAGCCCATGGATTGGTCTTAGGTGCTACTAATGTAGTAGCAGCCTCGGTCAAGCAAGAGTATGCCGATCCATTATCGGTACGTTTGTCGAAGTAGTCACGCGCTACTCTTCGGTCATATCCAAGGAAGGGGATGGTGGAAGAGCTCGCTATACCGAGAAGAACGGCCGAGATCAGAGCCGAACAACGCATCTCGATTGACGGTATTAGCAAGGGATGCTATGGACAGTTCCCGATACTTCTAGTTCACTTTATACATCGTCGCGAGCGCTCCGGTCCTAGATAAGGCTCTGGTGACTCGCGACGATGACAACGAGGTAAGATGGTATCTCAGGCTTGGATGAAGATAAGAAGAGGAATCAAAGCTTGTAAGGGCGTGTAAGAAACAGTATCCACTCAGCCTGACCACTTCCGGGGAAGGGCGCAGCACGGACATCACCGCGTCTTCCAGTCCATGCCTTCCTACACTCTGTCTCAGACTCATCTTTATATCAGATATGTGTTAGCATTATCTTTATATTCAACAGAGCTCAAGTTTTGCTGCTAGCAAATATCTTTAGGGTCCTGTCCAGTGCTTCATCACGTTGAAACATTCGAATCTTGGGGGAGAACGACTGTGACGTTAGGAATGCTTGGTATCCGCGACGCATGAGACTATTGCTGTATAGGAAGTCGTAGCCTTGATGTGTCGTTAACCCACCTCGCGGAAAGGTGGGGTTACATGCTGTGGTGTATCTTATCGCTGCGAGATAGTGTCTTTGCATGTGCCAAGCCGTTCCCCGCTTCTATCATTGGGAGCAACGACGACTGCCAAGATCGAGGCACTAGTACCGCCGAAGGGATGAGTGGTGGTTGAACCATCGATTAGGTAAAGAGGAGAACTTGTTATGGCACGCCTCGACTTCGGCGTTCGTCCAAAACTCCAAGTGTCTTTCGGCGTATCGGGTGCCAGCGATCGGCATAACGTCTTTAGACAGTTAGAAGCGTGGGTTGGCTGTGTTGAGGCACGATCGCATGGTTAGGTGTTAAATATCACGCAACATGAAAGATACAGCTGCGGCCTTGACATGACGAAGACCCGAAGGATAGCTCGATATCCGCAATGGGCAGCGCAAGGTGAGCGCTACATGGTCACTAAAGAGGCCTCGATTCCCCTACGAGCCCATACGTTGATATGATCGATATTTCCTAAGAAAGATGTATAATATTGAAAAGTGGTTGTCGAATGCGTAGAATCCGAATGTCGGGGAAATGTGACAGTACTCTCTTTCGATAGGCGGCGGAATGAAGGCTACGCGACGCGACGGGGATCGATCATGATTTCAACGGCGGCCGAGAGTTTAAGAGTCCGAGATTTGGTTGGAGCTTGCGCATAAGCGATAACAGGACTAGAGGATGACATTGTATGCATGAGGTGTTGGGCTGGAGGACGCGGCATATCCGCAGTTCAAAGCGGTCTGGCGAAGCCATGCCGCCACGTTCCGGGTGTCTTCCGTATACCGCTTGCCCGGGGATCTAAACGTAGGCAGAGAAGGTGGCCTCGGAGCTGAATCCATGACAGAACAAGGTCCTGTATGGAAAGTAACACATTGGAATGATGGTGAGGCACAAGGAGGTGGGAGATGCTACGCGATCGCGTGGAGACAGACGGCATAATTACAAGGCGGCGTGGTTGATCTAAGCTGCAACATACTAGCGCGATACTCGACGCGCACGCGTCTTTGCGGGCACACAGAAGCTCCATCTTTCGCTTTCGACAATCCTTGCCAGCTTCGCACCTCAGTCTTTGTCGCATAAAGTCCTTTTCTATAATCGATATCCGATCAGGCTCGTGCCATTATCTCACGCTAGCCATGTATTCTCTTGTTATGCCTTTCGCCCAGCGCTTCCAATGAGCGACTCGGACCGTTGCACCGCATCCCCCATCTCTTTCGTCTTTTGTGCGCGGACCGCTGCGTTTATGTCGCTCTGAGAAGGCGGGCAGGGCTCGTTAGCTGGCAGCCGCCGGGCAGCTTCGTGACGAGCTACAGGCTGATTGTTGGCCGATGCTGGACGAGCATCACCGTTATCATCAGACTCACTCCCGACCAAAGTTTCAGTTTCAGAATCATACTCGACTTCTTCGTATGTGGGTCGTGCATGAGGTACACCTGTGGCCTTGGAGGCCTGAGCTTCGCGAGCAGTTGAAGTAGCATGAGCGGTCATGTTGAGAGGTATCGTGGCACTTTGGTGGGAGAACTGTCAAGGTTGCACTCATACTGGAGGCCTAGACGCGGCAAATATATGTCCAAGATTTTGATTTGACCAACACAGAGTATCAGCCAGATGACGAAGAACGAAACGAAAACGATGTCCAAATGCAATACATACCTGCTATAGTGGCACCCACACCATGATCAGTTGCGCCAAACAAAGACGCCATAGCATATACCTCAGCTAGTATCGTCTGGCCACCGGTCTCTATACAATACACTCTATGATGGAATTACACGTACGTTAAGGGCTGGAGCGCCTTCATTTGCCTCTAGCTCAAGTTCACTTAGCTTACGGCGCATGCATTCATCTCTTCCAGGCCGACGATGCATTCGCAGCTCCTTACGGGGTAAAACAAGATCTCCACCAAACGGAACAACGCAAAATCAGAGTTACACGGGTCGTCTATCCCTGGAGCTTGAGATACCAACGGGCCTTTCCTCGCCCCCACCCACGTTGTGCTGCCAGCAGCCACTTAACAATAACTGCATCAATTCCACCAACAACCAGCACGATGCTTCGCTAAGTTAAGCATTTGCTCGGCTTTTTCCACTGGCACAGGAGCAAAGTCAGCGTATGCTTTACGTGAATACTTGGGAGTTACTTACCTTTCTTCTCGCATTCCTCGAACTTCTTCTTGGCTTCCTCGTACTTTTCCTTTGCCTTCTCAAACTCGGTTTGGGCCTCAACATGCGACCGGGTCGCCTGTTCAACAGAGCCCGGTACATCGTAGTATGGAGTATCAAAGCCGGTATTCCACGCTGCATACCCTCCTAGACCACCTATGCCACCATGACCGCCAAAGCCTCCTAGATCGAAAGCTGGCCATTCGTATCCCCGCATGGTATTTCGTTTATGCCGTTTGAAAGGAGATGTTTCGTACATTGCTTCAATGCTATCCCGACTGATTAAAACGATGCCTGTTGCAAAACTAAGCGAGAAGTAAGGGTATAATGATGTGCGGAATTCTGTGAGAAGGAGACGGGTGAGCATGAGCTAATCTTATACTATAGACGCAGTATGCCTGAGGCAGACATAATGGTCCACGTGTACCAAAAGCAGGATTCCTTCACATCGCGGGAGTTGAGTTGGCTCCAGGTCACCAGTGCCACTCAAACGTTTCGCATCGTGAGTCTTGCCCTAGAGCGACAATAGACTGTGTAGGGTCTACCAATAAGGACCGTTGTGTTGTCAGTGCGGCAGCGGTCTATCATCGGAAGCTATTCTTCGTTCACCCAAGCTTCCGGACGGAGGCAAAAGCTCAGCCACGTCTTTTTGTCTAGCCGACCGCTAACAAAGTTGAGCAAACAACGCGACCGCGTCGATCGCACAAGAACGAAAGCGCTCCTTGACAGACGACTGTACCAAATTGCAGTAAAACGTCAGAGTTCGTGTAGCATCTTGAAGGACTCGAAGTCATATGCTAAATGCGAGACGTAATGTGGCTGCTTCTCACCACACCTTTTGTCAGCTGCGACCTTCCTCATCGTTGGCAGAGATATAGCAAACCCGACATTGACGTGCGCAAACGTTATCGGGACATCCGATCGGTCGTTACCCAAGACGTGGGGTATCGTCACCAAAACCCTTGTACGCCCTGTTCGTCTGTCTTACATAGCTGTAGCGAGGGTGGCACGATAGGAGTCTAAGCGGTCGGCATGATAGGAGTCTAAGCGGTCGGCATGCTACCAATGCGGGGCTGATGTTTGGCATACGAAGGAATTGTCCGTTGTTTGTAATCTCAGATGCTACCAGAGCATCGCCGATATTCCATGTTGCCGCTTCATTCATCACCTCGTTCTATTGCGAGCCATCGATGTCGACCTCTTACCCACGAACACCGGCCAAGTTATTTCCAGTTACCTCACAGGCATTTTTTGCCACCTGGTTTGACCGCTGTTCAGTCGGCTGGCTACTACGGGCCGATTTCCCGACATGCCTACCTGCGTGGAATAAGCATAGCTTGCACGATCGATGTATGGTCACCTCAGATGTGCTATACTATCCAGCACTCCGCGGCTATCTTGGCGATTTTGGTCTTCACTATTGAACTCATGGCTTTTACGTCGATCACCGCTTCCTACGCATGTCTTGACGATCTGCAAGCGCATAGCATATACTTGGCTTGTCATTCCCTAGAACACCGCAGCCTATACGTGACAAACGACCTCAAATGAAAGCATGTATCAACATGCCGTTACATAGGCTTCTAGTGGATGCTTTCACAGATTAATACGATGAGCGTTCGAGGGGTAGCTAACTTTACTCAGATCTGTGATACCGAAATCTAATCGGCATTTGGTCCCGGTTTTTCACATGTATTCCATGCTAAACTCGGCTACGTATTCAAGAATCTCATCCTACCACTGCGACGCTTAGTGGCAGCCCAATATTCATCGCGAAATTGCACAGCAAAGTATACAAGGCGTGTATTCTTCCAAACCACACACCTTTCTCACCGGCCAGGCGACTATTGTTGACTCCGTTATGCGACGTCTCACATCATACTCTCGCTGCATTGGCCAGCGCTGCCTCTCTGAATTGTCTCGCGCATCTTCTCCCTCTCTTCTTGCCACTGCTTTCTCCTTGTCCGCATGTCCTCCATCATCGCTCGCATGTCATTGTGAAGGATGTCGCTCATATACATCCAATCGTAGGGATTGTGCATTGGCGCTCGCAAAGGTGGGCTTTGCGCATATCGCTGCTGGTAGGGTTGAGGATCAAGCGGAAGATAGTAGGGTGATGCGCTGGATCTTTGGTAGGAAGACATGACTGTCGTGCAGCGACCTTTTTCGCGATGCAAGAAAATAGATGATCTAATCATGATATTGCTAACAGGCTGCAGATAAAGAGTGTTGTGTTGCTACACTAAGTACACACGTAGATGACAACGCGTCGCCAATGGAAAGCGACAAACAAATGAGCGAACGACTACGCCAGCGAGATAACAACCAAAAAATCTACCAAGATGCCTGGAAAAACGGAATTCGCAAGCCAGATGCGTCCCCTCGTACTCTAAGACCTATAGTAAAACTTGTGCAGCCGCTGAAGTCTTCCCCTGAATGCTGCCATGTCCTCCTCGATCCTTCTACTGGCACCAAAGGCATCGGCCCACATCTCAAACAGAAGGTCGTGTTCCATGAGAGGAGCTATATCCCTATTCAATGAGCGTTGCGGTGCAAATGGGATTTGTTCGTTGTGTATCCCATTGATGGGACGCATGAGCGGCACAGTTCGATTAAAGAACGAGTCGTGGGGCATGCCTTCAACACCCCAATCGTATCTACCCAGAACGATATCCCATGGATAGTGTTCTTCGGGGTAATCGCCAAATCGACGATGAACGCGACGGTATCGTCCGAGCGCTTCTTGAATTCCCCTATCAAAGTGATATGAAGGGAGAGCTTGCGGCACATTTGCAAAAGCCATAGGAGCGGGTTTTGCAGCATTTCGAAAAATGATGGTTGGAGGTGGAGCTACAGCAACTGCGTTGTACTGGAGCGGAGCTGGTGGGCGTTGCGGTGGCTGTACAGAGGCAGGGTAGTTGACCCGGACATGCGATGGAGGCTCGTTTCCGTTCGAACGCAGAAAACGGTCCTCGCCGCGCTGCTCTTGCTCATACCCGCCTGGGATGGCCCGTGAGTTTTCGGAAGCGTCGTCGTTAAGATCCAGGTTATCCAGCGCGTCGTAGGCCGCCAGATACTTGTCGATGACCTCTTGACTGAGGCTTTCGAATTTACTGTCTCTTAGAGAAGCGGTGTCGTCTTCCGCGAACGGTGCTGGAGGGTGTTGCCCTTCAGCCTTCTTCATGTTCTTGCGAGGGCTCATTGTGCTCAAGAGTTCCGAGGCAACACGAATCGGAATGTAAGTGATGAATTGTCAACGAGACGAGAATTGTAGATCTCGGATGAGCTGTACTTATGTTAAAAGGCTTCATCGTTGTCAATCGCGTTTGGAACGACAGCTGGTGCAGTAGCGGACGAACGATGAGACGACTGGATTTGATTGATGAGAAGCGGACCTCTGGAAGACAGATTGCGGTCTGTTGTTGCTTTTGCGAGCACATAGCAGTCGTTGGTGAAGACTCGCATGTGTGATCAAACAGACAATGTGCGAGCGACTGCTCGATCACCTACAGCAATGTCCACACTACTGATCAAGAGCTAAACCATATAGATTTGCCGATATTGGTAATGTTGGCAAGCCGCCGCCATGCGGCATCCACGCATGATGGTATACTTCACAATCTGAGTCACGCTAGAGATGGGAAACTCCATACACGCGCCAAAGATGTACGAATGATGTTTTATTGGTACAACACAAAACTGATAATATTTCTAACTAAGCTTCCTCTACGCTGGATCTTTCCTAGTAGTTCTTCGCTGCTGTAGGCTGGGGTACTAGGAGTCGTAATATAGCGGTTAGTGTTGGCCCCTCTCATTCACTGACATCCGTTCGTAATCTCTTTGTCTATTTCACTCCTGACAGTTTCGATACTAGTTCTCATCTGCTCAGTGAAATCTCTCAAGGCCATGTATCCCGCCTGCGACATGGGAACACTCTCCACATGGACTACTCAATGCTCCCATGTCCTCCAGCCATTTGATGTGTTTGTTGCGCAGTTCCGAGGATCTCAGATCTTCGCCAGCTTGCTGAGCTGCGTTCGCGCTCTGCTGGTGTGGTGACTCCGCTGGATCTTGTTCAGGTCGGTTGGTTCCACGTCGGCCAAGCAGCCCGCTGAGACTTGGGGGGGCCATGGGTCGGTGTTGGGCGTTAGGTTAGAATTGAAGACATGTGACCGCGACAGCTGGGAGTTAAGTTGGTCTAGTGTGATGCTACATGTAAGCGAGTATAAGTAACTAAATCCTGGAGTTTGTCGTGTACCAACAGCACCGTATCGAAGAGTCTGGAACAAAGAAGCATAGACTAGAAAATCTAGGAAAAGAGACGAAGGAGCTAGAACAGTTTGGCAGATCTGTAACCATATGCATATGACCGCACTGTGTAATGAAGATTATCTAGCTATCGTAGCATCCTACACCCCACCCGGCGATCAATCTACCCTCGCCCTGCGGCCAATCCCCCGTCCAACGTCCCCCAACAAGCTTCTCAACCCAACTATCACAGTCTGTGTTCCTGAAACCTGAAGGCCACCCAGTCCGTCAAGCTGACCCTCAGCTTCGAAAACACGCGCCTGTCAACTATCTAATACCGCTTCATCAACTGTGACAAGGGAGGCAAGTCTGGCGCCAGGTAAACTTGCATTATGGCTGACCCTCGAGCGTGGATTTGCATGTGCGGCAAGTGGAGTAGGGTTGCTTTGGTGACCCACATGGCCAAGACGACCGAAACGTTCGAATTCATAGTAATCCCAGGGCACGTGTTGAGACCTTGTACCAGACAAGGCATAGAAATCACCGCCGGGTCAGAAACTCATGATGATATTTATCTTGTGATGGATACGGAGTAGGGTTTTGGGATGATAGAAGGTTGGTGTATCGCAACTGAGCATAGGGTGGTTTATATAGAGTAAGTTGAAACCGGAATGCTGGCGGTACCAAGTGAGCAGGCGCATAGCTACAAAGACCAACTGGATGCCAACAATAGAACAAGACATGGGCACGTAGAAAGTATAGCCGTTGTCATCATCTGTCAGCATGAATTAAGTGAAGATGATACCACCGTCAATGACAATAGTCTGCCCCGTCATGTAGTCGCTGTCCTTACTGCATAGGAAGCTCACCGTACTGCTCACATCTTCTGGTACACTAGTCCGGCCCAGCGCAATCAGCTCGTCGGTGTACTTCTTGATTGTGTCGCCCTTCTTCGCTCCCGTCTTTTCGCCCAGCTTTTCGTCGATCAGATCCCACATGGCGGTGCCGACAATACCGGGCGCATAGGCGTTCACAGTGATCTTGTGTTCAGCCATCTCCATGGCAAAGGCTTGAGTAAGACCACGGACGGCCCATTTGGAGGCGCTGTAGTGAGACAGAAGTGCGAAGGGCTTGAATGCTACGATTGACGCTGCGCCGAGAATCTTGCCTCCGTTGCCTTGCGAGATCATTTGCTTAGCGGCTGTGGAGTAGCAATTGTAGACGCCGTATACTACAGACTTGTCAGCGAGCCTTTGTTACTTTGCCCGAATATAGTCTTACCATTGACTTCGAACATGCGCTTGAGATCCTGTTCCGTCAGATCGAGAAGTGCCTTGACTTGCGCGATGCCGGCATTCGCTACCATGGTGTTTAAAGGTCCTAGTTCGGAAACCGACGCTTTCACCAGGCCTTGGACCTCGCTCAAATTCGATACGTCAGCGGTATATGCGAAAGACTTTCGCCCTAGGCCTTGTATCTCTTTTACGACTTCATCGGCCCCAGATTTGTTGGCTTCAACGTCGTTGATGCAGACATCGTATCCATCATTAGCTAGTCGAAGAGCGATGGCCTTGCCGCTGTCCCAGGTTAGTCAATCCTATTGATCGCATTCAAGAAGTCCACGGGTCTCACATTCCGCGAGCAGAGCCCGTTACGATGGCTGTTCTATTCTGGTCTGAAGTGACTGCGTAACTGCGCGCCCATCGTGGTGCTCGGGCAGCCGCTCGTGGTATACTGGCGAGTCTCGGGACAGTCTGATAGACTGTTCTTGGTGGTAGACGAAACGACATGGTGATTTTGTTCTAGAGTATCGGAAACCGAGGGGTTAATGCGAAGCAGAGACAGATGATTGTACAAAAGGGACAGCGAAGGAGTCGAGCATGCACCTCAGCGGCTACATATGAATATGCTTTACCCCAGATCTCCTCACCCACAATACCGGGAAGCTCATATGGGCTAACCGGGCATGCGGAACAGGCGTAGCGTATGCATAACCCCTCTCGTACCATGGGCATGTCGGTTGCATGGCGCAACCCTACGCATCCTCATCGGGTTTAAGAGGTCCGGGAATGACGTTCACAGGTTTGTTGGTCTAGTGCGAGTGCAGCAATCACACGAGTCGAGCGGTACGGTTCCGCACGCTTGTTCGGGCGATTATGAGTCGAGTTTGAGAAAAGCATCGTAGTCGACAGACGCGTAACGAGGAGAGCTAGTGCTGGGTGAAGGTGCGGGGAACTTCGGGGGTGCCAAGAAATCGCGAGTCTTCGTTCCAAACTCGACGAAGCGCGTGTGGCACCAACCGCGCATACCATTGCTAGACGCGAACTACACCATGTCGCGTATGAGTATGGCGCCGCAGCGCAATTTGTCGCTGACAGAGGAATTGGAGAAACTAGAGCAGTCCATTACCCTGACACTGCAAGGTAAACACAGCTTCGAGCACCCCACTATCGCGACTGACACGAGCAGAAATCGACCAAAACTTCAGCCGCGCTCATCGCATCGTCACAACCGGAATTCTACCGATCGTCGAACAATACGGGAAACATTCGGAGGCTGTTTGGGAGGGTTCCAAGTTCTGGAAACAGTTCTTCGAGGCCAGCGCCAATGTGTCTCTATCGGGCTACGAAGCCCCCGAGCAAGACGAGTCAGCTGTACAAGATGAGACTGAACAGTCACAAACGTACGATGATGAGACGGCCGAGGACGAGGATACCGTGACTGGAACGACGACAACACCACCACGACCCTTGTCCGCACAAGAAGATGCCGAATCGACTCTCGCTTTCGACTCGCCTTCGCTCGGACACAGCACTCCGCGGGCTCCACCTTCCACCACAGGAGGCAAACATCATGAGGATGAGGAAGAGAGCGAATATGAGGAGCAGCCTCAGTTCGCTGGCATGTCTTCGCCATACGAGGCATTGAAATCCGAATTCAGACCCAACATTGGCGGCACGAAGACGCCGAAGCTGGAGCCTGTCACGCCTGGCAAGTCGCAAGCCCTTCCAGATATGAGCGGCTTTGAATCTTCGCCCTTCATGCAGCCTACCGCCACGAAACAATCCTACGTTAACAACGACCCGCTGCTCCATCGCGTTCTCGACAAGACATACCGCGTACAAGCTACACCACTTATCAGCCCGAGAAAGTACAAACCAACGGGTGCTTTCACCCCTCGCACCGGCGGTCAGCGCGGAGCACCTACGCCACGAAGCGCAGCTACCAAGTTACTAGACTTCGACTCTTCACCTCCCTCTTCACCAGCACCACAACTACGTGCCGACATCTTTTCGCCCATGAAGACGCCGCGGACACCGGGTATAAGCGTGCAGACACCTGCAAAGGGCAAACAGCCCATGAGTATCCACCGGACTGGCGGCACAATCTTCGATGACAGCGACGAAGAGGACGACGATGTTGACTTCAGTCCTCCGAAGACGATACAATTCCACATTCCCCAGAGCAAGCTGATGCAGACGCCTGGTAAGATCCCCCCCTTCCTTATATCTTAGGCAAATGCTAACATACGGAACAGCGCGAGAAGCTAGCAAGCGTATTGTGGATGACTTGCTTATGACAGCTGGCGGCGATATCACAGACTCAACGGGCGGTATGGATGAGGACAGTCCGAGTGTGGTAAGACGGCAAGTGGATCTTGACGATAGCTTTTAGATGATGGATCGATGCCGCGAATAGTTGAGTAGCTCTTTGAGCGTGTTACAGATAGACTTCGATACCCCACAACATATAGAACTTTAGTCGATCTAGAATCAGATGCACGGTGTGGGCGTCTTGCATGTGATGATCCACAGCGGAACACTAGCGCCTGAGACCCCTGCAGCAGCTGTGTCCGTGGTCGTCATTTCACCATAATCGCAGGCCTCAACTCACAAACAGCAAACTCCGACCGACCTTGATTCCTTCGCTCTCCCAAACCTGCAATGCCGAAATCAAAACGACCGCCAACTTCGGGTTACGCCCGAATAGCCCAAGCGGAGGAAGAAGAAGACGACTCCGGCAGCGACTTCGAGGGCGACCACCACCAGAATCCCCTGTCTAACGCGCAATATGCACCAATACAACCGCAGAGGAATTCGAACATGCGTATGAATGGCTCAGGCGCGAGTTCACCGAATCACAAAAAGGGACCGTCCGGACGACGGCAACGTGCCAATTCCGGCGTGGACATTAAGGCCATCAATGCGCGGTTCGAGCGATGGGCCGACGAGATTGCGCAGAAATTCAAAATCAAGAAGCAGAAAGACTCGGCAGAAGACGAGACGCTCGAGATCCACCACTCCGTCTTCCAAGCGCCAGACTGGGTGCGACCGGCAACGGCAGAGTCGCTCACATTTGACTACGATGTGCCCTCCGATCGCTTGACGAAGCTCGAATTCGACGATATCGTGGAAAGCGTCAGGACGGCCATCGAGATGGAAGTACATCCCTTGTTGATCACACAGGGCAGTTCCGGCAGCTACTTCGCGCGCACCACACAGGGCAAGGTGGTGGGCGTGTTCAAGCCTAAAGACGAAGAGCCCTACGCGTCGCGCAACCCCAAATGGACGAAGTGGATACATCGCAACCTGTTTCCATTCTTCTTCGGTCGCGCCTGCCTTATTCCCAACCTCTCCTACATCTCCGAAGCCGCCGCATACGTCCTCGATACCCAGCTCCGCACCAACCTCGTACCCTACACCGACGTCGTGGGTCTTTCCTCAAAATCCTTCCATTACGACTTTTGGGATCGGCGCGCATACTACAGGAAAAGGAAGCCATTTCCTGAGAAGCTGGGAAGTTTCCAGGTATTCCTGAAGGGCTTCAAGGACGCGAACATCTTCCTCAAGGAGAACCCATGGCCAGATCAGCATAATGCAGGCTACAATGCCGACAGGGCGGCGCGCAAGAAGAAGCGGAGATGGGCCGAGGACTGCAGACCGACTGGCTCGCAGTCAGACGGCGAGGACGAGGACGAACAATCGGGCAATGGAGACGCGCAGCATCAACGGAGAGGCTTCTGGACGCCTGCAATTCAACAGTCGTTCAGAGAGCAGTTGGAGAAACTGGTGATTCTCGACTACATCATGCGGAACACCGACAGAGGCCTGGACAACTGGATGATCAAGATCGACCAGAAGACGCAGCAGGCCACCATCGTCGCAGAACCGCCCAAGATGGAGCGCGATGATGATGACGACGACGAAGACCATCAACCGAGCTCCTACACGAGGCAATCGATGGAGGAATCTGATCCGTACGGGCGAAGGGAACCCATGACCACGACTAGCCGGTCGAACACCCCCATGCAGAGTGGGCCGACACCCACAGTGACCATTGGTGCCATTGACAACAGCTTGTCATGGCCCTGGAAGCACCCTGATGCTGTGAGTACCTCTTTCAAAACCTCTACGACTATGCTGACATGACTACAGTGGCGCAGCTATCCCTTTGGATGGCTGTTTCTACCCGTCTCCCTCATCGGCCAGCCCTTCTCCGAGGCCACTCGCCGCCACTTCCTTCCCCTCCTCACCTCGAAACAATGGTGGAGCGACACACAATCGGCACTCCGAAAGTGCTTCTCACAAGATGCCGATTTTAAGGAGCGCATGTATGCGAAACAAATCGCGGTCATGAAGGGACAGGCATGGAATGTGGTAGAGACACTCAAGACACCCGACCTTGGGCCTCTCGAGCTCACAAGAAGGGCACGTGTATGCGTGTGGGATGACATTGTCGAGATACCCATTGCTGTGCCGCTGAGGGCTCCGTCCGCGGAGATGCGGAGGAAACAGCCACCAGGCAGACAACCAAGGGTGGAGGAAGAGCATGAAGAGATGGATATCACAGCTGTCTCAACGCCGCCACAGAAGCCCCAGAAAGATCTCCTCATGAACTCGCCACCCCTCGAGTCTGCACACGAGAATCGCTTCAACCTTACGCGCGGCTCTTCTTCTCTCGACGTAAGACGTCCTGATCAAGGTCCAGAATCGCCAGCGACAGTGAGCGACGTGTACTGGGGCTCGCGGAACGTGAACAGTCATTCAAACAGTCGGCCTCCCCATCAGTCGCGAATGAGTTACGATGCGCCTCGCCGGAGCACGCGCGACTCACGACACCACAGACGACTCTCCCTAACGCATAGGAGAGACCTTGATGATTATGGCTTTGACGACGATGGCGATCTAGGATATGCTGCAAATGAAGATATGGAAGGTAACAGGAAAAAGGTCATTGTAGAACGTCTGGAGATGGTCAAGGGCCGGAACCCGGTGTTTACCTGGTGCTGAGCAGATCATCGCCCACTTTGAGGCATTTTTTTACATTGTGAGATTGTGTGTGTGTGAGAGCTGTCTTACATCACGGGCGCAAGGTCACTGTTACCATAGCATAGGCATCTGGTTGGGCAGCATGAGAGGCGTTTTGTCGTACAGAATCTACGGATAGCAACATGTGTGTGTGTGTAGTAGCGGGACAGCTCCGCTATCCTGCTGGTGCACCCACACCTTCGCGTACGCTGCGCAACCCCCACACCCTTTAATAACCTGAGTGATACATGCGCGTCGTCCGCGAGCTGATGAGATTCTTGCTTGCTTCTCTTGTGCAATCTTTATCGGTTCTCCCCGACGATCGCGGGCAGCAACCCTTTGCCGATGTCCCGTGAATTATCGAGAGGGTCATCTGACACTCTTGCTAGCCCTTCTCAGCCACACGCGATGACTTCCCACGATCAACAGGAAAGGCAACAGCGCCATTTCATCCACGCACCATGGTACAAATGAATGACTCTTTGTTTACCTGAACCTACATCCACACGCATTGTTGCCTGGCAAACCTGCCGCCGCTGAACCGCGAAACCATACGTCTACCTTCACTTACCCGACGACCGGGTATACTAAGCGACTACACGCCATCATCTCAACATTCGAGCCTCGGAACTTCGCGTCCTGTATCGACCGCAACCAGATCTCAGGGGACTCACAGCATTTCTGGGGGGCTCTCTGAGCGCATCGAGGCACCCTGAAAACGCGAGATTTGTGGCAAGCAAAAGGATCAAGGCTTGGCATTCGGACTATCAGATGCGCTTCGGCATCAACATCGTTGGAAGGGCTGGAAGAGCTTGGAAGCGCTGAGGGACCTGCCAGAATTACCTGAAGCTCTCTCACCTGTAGAGCGCGCGTGGCTTTCTTTGCAAGCCCATCATGGACAAGTTTAATCCCGCCCTATTACTTGACCCGAGGAGGGTACGTAGAACAGGTATATCTTCACAATCTCTCTTTCTCTTCACCTTCTTCCACCTCTTTACCCAAAATCGCCTACTCGCCTTTGATATTCATTTGCCCTGGTGTTGATGACCTCAACGCATCTTCGTCATTGCTCCTTCCCCTTGACCACCACGCCCATCACAGCCTAGCATGGAGACTACAGGCGGTAGTTCAGCTTCTGACTCCTCTGAGAGATCGGAGCTGGCCGTATACGAGCCTTCTGTATACGAGTCGGCCGGCTATGAGCCTGCTGTTCCTGAAACTGAGCCTGCTGCCTACGACCCCACTGTCACCTCCTCACCCGTTGATTCGCTGCCGGACGCACCTACGTCCACAAGTCACCCAGGCGCCGAAGCAGAAGTAGAACCACCCCCAGAACTAACCACGCTCGTGCCAGGCGACCACACGACCCACCACAACCACGCCCATCACAACAACGGAACGCCTGCAGCACACATTCCTCAGTTTGACCCACGCGCGCTTCTCAACCCAACATCGTCGAATCCGAAGCGCCCTGCGTCATCCGGTAACGACACTGACCGCGGTCGTACTGACCCCACTATTGCTGGACAAGTCTCGCTTGTCGAACGCCTACACAACGTTCAAGAACGTACGTCATCACCTGCCAAGCGCATCAAAACAGAAGATCCGCGGAGGCAGAAGAATAGCAATCGGGCCAAATTTGCGGGTGGGAGTGCACTTGACCTCAGCCAGAACGGGCAATCACCGGCTCCACTGCCGCAGGGACCGGCAATCGACTTGACCATGAGCGACGACGAAGATGAAATCCAAGTCGTTCATGACAACAGCAACGATGACATCTGCATTGGCAAGCTCAAGCAGACCTACATACAGGCTCACATGGTTCCTTTTCCTGACCCCAAAAAGTTCGCTGGCAATCATGGTGGCCAAAGCAGGATTAAGGTATCTTTCCGCAGGGGTGGCGGTCACAAGGGAAACCAAATCATCATGGTAAGATTGCAATGCAAGATAACATGTGTAATATAAACTGACCAGTAATTAGGTGCTTGACGGTATGGGTAAAGAGTTCGGCAGGGTCGACATGAAGACCGCACAAGGTCTCACACCACTGATCGACAGCGCGCAAACCAACGGTCTAAAGTGGCTGGCCTGGACTGAACCACGCCGGAAGCTTCCCAATGAGGGACCACCTGGCAGTCAGATCTCTGCACTTGTCGGTATGACTTTACAGCTGTACTGTCCGCGTAAGTCTGCAGATCACCTTGGAAGGCATCTCAGGAGTAAGAATCTTATCCTTGAGAACCCCGTCTTCGAACTCGCACGCCATGATTACTACAATCCGCAGTCCAAGGAGACTTTCCAGAAGAATCAAGTGGGACAACCCGACTTCCAGATGACCACTCAGTACGCCGTTGGTGGTCCTGCCACAAATACCTACGTCCTTCGGAGTGTCGATGAGATCCGCGCTGATGTCGAAGACGTCTTCGATACGGTTGTCAGTGGCTCAGAAGAAGTTCCGATTCGAGAACCTTCAACGCTCATCAAAACCGAGCTGTACCCGCATCAAAAGCAAGCGCTTTACTTCATGGTCGACCACGAACAAGAACATCCGCCAGATATCTACGATCAACGCAAGGACTCCTTGTGGACTCCGAAGTATCGGGATAATGGACGCAAGTATTACATGCACATCATCACCGGCGAACAGACGGAAGATCAGCCCAGACCTAGTCTTGGTGGTATCCTGGCTGACGAGATGGGACTGGGTAAGACGCTTAGCATCCTATCACTCATATGCGACGATGCCTCGATTGCATCCGCCAAAGACTTCTGCCAGAAGAGGCCACCCCCGAGGCCCTACCCAGCCATGATTCAGCCCACCATCAACAGTCGAGCAACACTTCTCGTTTGCCCTCTCAGCACCATGACGAACTGGAAGGAGCAGATCAAGGAGCACTTTCCACAGGGCAAAAGCACCCTGAAGTGGAAGCGGTACCACGGTTCAGACCGGTTCAGCATGACACCCGAGTTTCTTGCAGATCACGACATAATCTTGACGACGTACCACATCATTGCAAAAGACCTCGCAGACAGAAAGCGAGCGTTGCCATACATTAACTGGTTCCGCATTGTTCTAGACGAAGCACATACCATTCGCAATCCGACCAATCAGTCCAAGGCAGCATGTATGATGATGGGTCAGCGTCGTTGGGCTGTAACCGGTACGCCTGTCCAAAATCGACTTGAAGATCTTGGTGCCCTCTTCAACTTCATCAAGCTGAAGCCTTTCGATACACCCAGTGGCTTCAACCAGTTCATTCTCGGTCCTTTCAAGAACGCTGACCCCAACGTTGTAACGAAGCTTCAGCTGCTTGTCAGCACCGTTACCATTCGTCGTACTAAGGAGATTATCAAGGACGAGGTCCCCAAGAAGCTTGACTACGTTGTCAAATTGCAGTTCTCTAAGGAAGAGCGGCAGCTACACGACTGGTTCGAGAAGGATACTCAACGCAAGGTGGCTGCGGTCACCCAGGGCGATAAGATGGGTGGACGATCATACGCCAGGATTTTGACCGCCATCCTCAATCTTCGATTGATCTGCGCTCACGGCCGTGATCTGCTCAGTGAAGAAGCGCTCAAGACCACTGACGGCATGACTTATGAGAAGCCCATGGAGATAGATGAAGAGGAGAGCGATAGGCCGCAGCTTGTAAGTAATATCCGTGTACGAACTGTTGTGAGATATTTACTGACTACATCGATCTTTAGACACGTCAGCAGGCCTACGAGATGCTCAATCTCCTCGAATCCACGAGTGCAGCTGACTGCCTGTACTGCCCAGACAAGAAGTCTCTGTTAGATGCGGACTCTGACGACGAGGACGAGGATGGCAACATTCAGGACGATATTGGTTATATGACCACATGCTATCACCTGGTCTGCCCACGCCACATCAAGAAGCTGAAGGACCAATGGAAGGAAAACCTCATGGCAGATGGCTCAGTTCGATGCCACGTTTGTGACGACGTCAACCGGCCCACGGTCCTCAAGCTCGAGCGCACGGACTATTACAACTACATTGAGGAGCAGAACCAGATTCGAAAAGACCCAAAGTTGGCGAAAAAGATCGGAAGTTACACCGGCCCGCATACAAAGACTCAAGCTCTGCTCAACGACCTGCAAGAGTTCCGTGTATGGAGCGAGCAAAACCCGGATGAGAGGCCGATCAAAAGGTGAGTTGATGCCTACATTGCCACACGAAGACGTCCTAAACTGACTTGCACAGCATTGTATTCTCCTCATGGACCACACACCTCGACCTCATCGAGATCGCTCTTAAGAACGCCGGTCACTCGCTCGTCCGCCTAGACGGTCGCATGACCCGCGAGAACCGCGACAAGTCCATGCAAGCACTCCGCGAGAACCCGGCGGTCCGTGTCATGCTCGTATCCATCGGTGCCGGAGGTCTCGGTCTCAACTTGACAACCGCCAACAAGGTGTTCATGATGGAGCCACAGTTCAACCCCGCGGCTGAGGCACAGGCCGTCGATCGAGTTCACCGACTAGGCCAGGATAGGGAGGTTACGATCAAACGCTTCATCATGCAGGATAGCTTTGAGGAGAAGATGTTGGTGCTCCAGGGCAAGAAGAAGGCCCTAGCTGATCTTACCATGGCCAAGGAGCGTAAGAGCAAGGAGGAGGCTACCAAGCAGAGGTTGGAGGAGCTCAGGAGTCTATTCAGGTAGAGCGCACGTGACTTGCATGTTTGGTAGGGAAAACGGCTTTCGGTGTGCGGGCTGCTCTAGGAATGGGCGGTGTCTTGCACAGGTCTTTAGCATCATAGTGTAGCTGGACGGATACATCTGCGTGATTGTGGACTTATGAGAGGTTTTTAGCCTTACGTAGTAGCGAGGCTTAGGCCAAATATTCTTGATACTCTACAACTCATCTCATGCCCTGCAGCCTACAACGGCACGAAGTATCAAACTGCGAAACATTTGAGAGCAATGTAAACGCCTAGGTGATTTACTTTACGCCAAACTCACTTGCTCTCCTTCAACTTGATCAAGAGATCCTCCATACTAGACGCATACAAATCGAACTCACCGAAGACATCGGTACACGGATCATGTTCCTCAAAGTCCAAATACGCAGTCTTGAACCCGGCCTTCCTCGCAGCGATCAAATCCCACGCATGCGCTGCAACAAACCACCTCTCGCCCTCCCGCTTCCCTAACCCCCGTTCTGTCAGATGTCTATCCGCCGTCTCATACACCCTAACATCCGGTTTCGCAATTTTGATAGCATCACAGCTAAGCAGATGCTCTGCATCTAGCTCAATCCCCGCATGACGGTAGTAATCCAAACTCGTCTCCGACCCCCCGTTCGTAACGCCATAAACATCCCAGCCCGCCTCTCTCAACCCATCGAAACACTTTTTCAGCCCATCACGCGGCCCCATGGCTTTGAACGCTTTCATCACTTCGTCAACATCCTCGTCGGTGATGGCGTCAAGGGGTAGGTCTACGACGGCACATGCGCGACGGAAAGTCGACTTCAGGACTTGCGCGATGGGCACGTAGGAGCCGCTCATGGATACGTAGGTGAAGTCGCGTTGGGCGGCATAGAACCAGCTGAAGAAGAGGGTCTTGGGGTCTACGGCTGCGGTGGTGAGTTTGGGGCCTAGCCGGGATTGGATGGTGGTGATGGGGGCGGAGAAGGCGAAACAGGTGCCTATTACGTCGAAGGAGGCTGATTTTGTCATTTTGAGTGATTTGGGACCGGAAACGGTTTTGGAGAGGTTGTAGGTGCTGCTGGGGACTGGGAGGGCTGATACTGTGTATCGTGTGGTAAGCCGACCTCGGGAGGATGGAGATGCGCTGACCGAATTGGGTGGAGAGACCCTGTGACGTCAGCCTCCCCAGGGATCAGGCCGAACAGCTGTCCCCAGCGCTACTACTCGCATCTCATAGCAGCGATATGGTCTCGGCGAAACAAGAACTTAGGCTCGGTGGTGAGGTATGCCTGGAGGTCCTTCAGCAGCCCACGTGCTCCGCGCGCGGATCGAGGGACCTCAGGATTTTACTGGAGCTGAACAAGGGCGCCTTACCTGTTACGACCCCTGCAAGCCTTGCTCAGCCGTACCTCTAGGTATCGACGTGAGATATAAGCTCATCCTTTCCTCCATCTCCCGTTCATCTTTCGCTTCGTTTTCTTGGGTTACAGCGTACGCCATGCCTAGTATAGCGAAGACTGTGTACTGGGCGCTTGTTGTAGCGTGGGGCGCGTCGCTCTACCAAATCTACTTGAAAGACCTTTTTGCGATTACTTTTGGTGTTGGGCGCGTGATACAGAGTATCGAAGACTTCCCAGAGTTTAGCTGTCGCCGTTTAGTACATCCAAGCCTGGAGGCGTGCGAGGATATTTGGCTGGACAATGAGGGGAGAACGTTGTATGCTGCTTGTGCAGGTACGGCGGCCAGACTGGCTTGGAATCAAGCGTACGTTATTACACACACCTCCATGTTACTGCGAAACAACGCAGTTTCGCGGCCTTCAGTACTAACTTTTGAAGCATGAACGACCTCAACGTAACTGGACGACGGCCTGGCGGCTCAGAACTCCTCGCCTTGGACATCGACGAGCCTGGTGAAGACGGTCTTTACAATCTTCGCAGTATCAAGCCGATAGGCCATTACAAAGGAGCGACTGGAAACGCGGATCTCGATCTCCTGGGCTTCGATGTTCAGATCTTGGATGATAACACTATTCGCTTCTACTTTGTCAACCAACGACCACCAGTCGATGCGTCCAATAGCATTGTCGATGCTTCTGAAAGCGGCGCAAACTCGACAGTCGAGATCTTCGAGATGAGGAAAGGGCAGGAACAGATGCGACACGTTCGCACCGTCTTTTCCGATGAGATTTGGACGCCAAACCGTGTCGCGGCGCTTGGTGATGGCTCTGGTGGATTTCTGGTTACGAATGATCACTCAGTCAAGGTTGGCATGGTAGGTGATACTCATATCTGACCTGGGAACATAGCGACTAACGTTTATCAGCGCCGAGAACTCGACTACTTCATCGGTGGAGGAAACGTCGCCTATTGCGACGGAGCTGGAAATTGTCACGCAGCCTACGACGGCAGCGAGGAGCGCGAGTTCACTCAATCAGACGCGCCCAGTGAGCCAAAGTACAGGATCTACCTCAACAAGGCGCTCAAATACCTTCCCAAGACGAAGCTTAAATTCCCCAACGGACTAGCGCTCGGCCGAGACGGTCTCTTCTACGTCCCCAGCTCCATCGACGGTCAAATCCGCGTCCTAGCACTCCAGCCCGACAAGACTCTCAGCATCGTCGATACCATTCACGTAGGAATGCCGCTCGACAACATCTCCCCAGACGCGAACGGCGATATGTACGTCGCGGGTTTCCCAAACCTATACCAAGCTGGCAAAGGATTCGACGATCCTTACAACGACATCTCACCCGTTACCATCTGGCGTGTTAGGAAGACAGTGGATGTTGGTAAGACTGGCGTGAGGAGTGTAGATTATAGGGTTGAGAAGGTTATCGAAGATAAAGATGGGAAGGTGTTGAGTGGGAGTACGACGGTCAGGCATGATGTTAAGACCGGGAGGTTGTTTGTCAGTGGTAAGTTGACGGTGATGATGGGCGAGAACGAGTGTGCGCTAACATTAGACAGCTGCGGTGCACCCATTCCTTGTGGTTTGCGAACCTACGAAATGAGAAATGATGCTGAGGCCACAATTGCGCCACGTTCAAGGAAAGACCAAGCACCTACGTAAAATTATTAGCCTGGAAGTCTACATGAGCTCGGGAATCTCTTTTCGTTCATTTTGACGCTGATGTAGACTGCAGCGCACTTGTTTAGTTTTTCCCTTGTATGACGTGATCAACGGATGGAAACGCCATGATAAGGAGTCTATCAAGCTGAATCCATGGGCTGTATCAGAGCGACAGGGTTATCGATATCAAATGATGTGCGTTTCACACAATTCGCCCTTAGCCTTTCCTTTCCAAAGTCTTGTGCGCCAAGTTCCATGTTATCTGGCATTCCGATACATCGTTCACAGAGAGCTCATGAGCGATAATTTTGAAGTAAATGTCAGACTTCTAGTTCATGTCAGCTTCCACTTTTGCTTTCGGGACAGGATCTTCGATAAAGCCGTCACGCTTGTGTTTCAACAGAAAAGACATCGACAACGCGTAAAACGCTTTAGGTGAGTCGTGCAACAGCCCAACTGCTCGAAAGCATGAGTAGTTGACGGAGCACTTTGGGAAATCAGCAGAGGACTGCAGTCATGAGCTTTGTATCCGATGATCTTTGCAGTCGAACATCTGAAGCTCATGGAGAGAGAAAAGGAGAATATAAGCATGTTATATACGTTTCTCAATAGTCCGCAAATCTTGCCATTAGCTCTTCAAAAGACGAAAGCATGTGGTGCCATGGTAAACAGTTTTGAAAAAGCTGCGACACTTTCTGGTGTCGCGTAAAGATTTTGCAAAGACATTTTTCAACTCATCACGCGAACGATGTGCTCGCTACTTCGAAAGCGGGACCCAGGACAGACATACAGGGAAAGCGGGCGAAATATAGTAGAATGGGATCGGGAAACATGGACGATTGACCCATCGCTTTTGGAATTGCACTGATCATGTTCGAGTGCAAAGATGTAGAAAAAGGAGTGGTACAAAAGATGGTTTGTACAGCCTCCCCAAACGCCATAGATCACCGAGCAGCTCGATTTGGATATCTTTCTTATGATTCCACAATACCGCACAGTTTTAGTTTCAAAGAAAGTGTTCGTAGAAGTTTCCGGTAATATTTGCTGATTTTACACGCCTTGCGATTTTTGGCAGCCCTGAACATATGTCCATGGCCGCATACAGCGGCGTTAATAAAATCTTTTGGAGCATCAAAAACATGACTTGTAGCATACATATAGAATTCATCATTCTGCTTGATCAGGTAGTAGCTTTCGAATTTCTTCAGGCCTAGACAAAGATATCATCGCTGAGACTTTCGAAACCAGGTAGGGAAGAAAAGGAACTGAACTCATCGAGTTTTGGTAAACACGTTTTGTTCAAAAACAGAGATGAAGTGTATCAATAGGAGAAGATACCCGCACGCCCGATACTTATACACCACTTCTCCACCACCCTAGCTACCTTTCCGCTCTAGCCTCGTCTTTCACATCAAGCCTGCGCAACAATATCTCTCGCGTCTCTTCGCTACCCCACCAGCGCCACCAGATTTGCGCAAGGAGCGCACTACATCCATGCATGTGTCAAGTTGCAGACGACCTCGTCCAAATTCCTCTTGCTCCCGTCATCGAGCCCAGCACCGAAGTCCTCCCAGTCTTTGGCTGTGATGTTTTCATTGACCTGGACTTCGCCGAAGATACGGTATGCGGCCATGGTGATGTCGTTGTCGACTTCCGCGAGCATTTGTTCGCAGCGATTGGTGGACATCGTTGTACTTGGCTTGAGTAGATTTGGCGATAGTACAAGGTGTTATAGCTGGTATGTAGTTGGTAGGGATAGCTATGTAGTTGTTCGAGGTAAGTAGGATATTGGGTTTGGGGAAGTGATATGGGTGAGGCGGCGGATTATATGGTGGCCGGCTTCCATGACTGCAGTACCCAAAAATTGAATGAGGTCACATCAATTGAGCCTTCACATGTTGACGCCATTGACAAGACCCAATGTGATCTTTGCACATGAATTCATAGATCTCGAAGGTTTGGTGTCTTGAAGGGCGCACTGAACATTTACGTAGTGGTTCCTGCATTTACAACAAACGCACACGCAGCCAGAGCGAAGACAGCACTTGTCGTGAACGCTGTTTTGGTAGGATTGGAAATTGGTTGGTGTGAATGAGGGGGTAGACTTGATTATCAGATGGGTCCTCCAGTCTTGGCATCCCGCCCTAGCGCAATGTCGCGGCTCATGTTGCCTGAAGCTCTAGCTAGGGAAACATCTAAGTCGCCAACATAACTCCGCAACATATCACAGCCGCCTTTATACCCCCGATCTCGAAGTCCCCGTTCGAGACACACTCGAATTACTCACCAACAATACCTACTGCTTCCCTGCACAAACAGCCGCCATGGTACGCCTCATTGAACCCCGCTGGAGCTCTTGTACTAACGTGAGCAGTTTATAGCACGAAGTGAATATGGTAAGCTTCCTAGAGCAATCATACTAGCGATTGTATGCTAACAAAGTCTCTCAGACCGTGGTATCAAGTTCGTCCGCCCTGCGCCTCTCACTCTACGACCGTCCGCTCACAAACCCATAGCACCTTCTCGCCCGAAGGCCGTCTCTTCCAAGTCGAATACTCGCTCGAAGCCATCAAGCTCGGTTCAACAGCAATAGGCGTACGTGTACCTCTCCCACCGCCAATCTTCACAAACTCACGACACCATAGGTAGCAACAGGCGAAGGCGTAATCCTCGGCGTAGAGAAGCGCGTCACTTCCACGCTCCTCGAGACCAGCTCTGTAGAGAAGATTGTCGAAATTGACCGCCACATCGGATGTGCCATGTCGGGTCTGCAAGCCGATGCCCGCAGCATGATCGAGCACGCGCGTGTCGAGAGCCAGAACCATGCTTTCAACTACGCCGAGCCCCTACGCGTGGAGAGCTGCACGCAGGCGATATGTGACCTGGCGCTGAGGTTTGGCGAGGGTGCCGAGGGTGAGGAGAGCATCATGAGTCGGCCGTTCGGTGTTGCGCTCTTGATCGCGGGTTATGATGAGGATGGTCCGAGTCTGTACGTCACTACCCGCACCCCATACCCAGTCCTACAGCGTATATCTAGTTCTGGAAATGGGATAAGAGACTAACAGCACCCAGCTACCACGCCGAACCCTCCGGCACATTCTACCGCTACGACGCCAAAGCCATCGGTTCCGGTTCGGAGGGCGCCCAAGCCGAACTCCAGAACGAATTCCACAAGTCGCTTACGCTCCCCGAGGCCGAGGTGCTCACGCTCAAGACACTCAAGCAGGTCATGGAGGAGAAGTTGGATAGCAAGAACGTGCAGTTGGCTAGTGTGACCAAGGACAAGGGCTTCAGGATCTACACTGATGAGGAGATGGCGGAGGTTGTAGGAAGGCTGCCAACAAACTAACCTCGGAGGTGGACTGAGAGGATAGCCGGAAGCAGTTCGGTCGTAGACGATACATGATAGCATCATGATAGATGTGCGAGTCACGCGAAAATGAAGCAATGACCAACAATCTGGAACTATGAGTGGCAAACTGTTATGCGGATTGAACGAGATTATGGTGAAGTCTGGCGTTTGAGCTGGCCATTAATCGAGACAAAATGGAGCATACCTAGGGCAGGATCTCACCTTGTCCAGACTTCATGTATCACTACATCACAACCTCACAATCATCACTGCTCGGCCACATGCTAACAAAGACAAAAGCGGTCTAATTCCTTGTCTGCAATGCCAATTGTCCCCATATTATACAGTCCATGCTTCATTGTAAACAGAGAGCTCAGAAAGGGTTATCCTCAGGCGGTATCTCGTGGGTGAAGAACTTGTCTAGGATGGGAATCTTCTTCATGATGTCGTCGCGCACCTTGGGGACCTCGGCGAAGAAGAAGAGGGCGAAGAAACCGGCTACACCGCCGAAACCGGCGGCGAGGCCACCGCTGGGATGGGTCAGTTTATGTAGTGGGCGGAAAAGGTCGCGCGACGGAAAGGAAGACGTACTATTTCGCGGCCTGCTTGATGGTGAGGCCGTGGTAGTTCTTGGGGATGGTGTATCTGGGTGGTTTGTTAGCTCTTGAGCTTCGAGACTGTGACAGGCGTGGGTCGTGTGGCCGGTGGGTGCGGGTGCGGGTGCGGACTGTGCTGTTCCTCCTCTTCTCGATATACGCTTCGATCGTATGGGTGACGTCCAATTCCCCAAACGTCTGTCGAAGCGTCGCGACACATCCTCCTCTTCCCACATCTTCTAAACAACCCCAACCCAGTCCCAACCCGTCCACCACTCATTTCACTCCCATATCGATGTCGGAAAATACGTACTGAGGACCGAAAGGACTCCTGTAAGCCTTGTATGGGCTGCGCATGCTCTATTACCAGTTATTAGCTTCTTTCGTCATCGCAACTAAAACCACCTTTCGCCTCCAATTGCACCGAGTGTGACTTACGACAGCAGCGGGCGTCTTGCCGTGGTGACCGAAGGATGAGACAGACATCTTTGGCGAGTTCGTTGGGGTTCAGTCGCGGGTGAAGGGTGGTCCGGAGTGATGTCTGGTGAGGTTGATGGGCAGAGAAAGCGCGGGAATGCTGGGCTTGGCGGCGCAAGAAGGAAGTGGACGAATCAGGTGAGCCGGGATTTTGCGGGTAGCCTTGTCAGCAGAAGTGCTGCAACATCACCAACGTTCCTTCACGGTGGAAATGCCACAGTCTTCTGTTCCTTTCTCGATCTTTGCTGTTGCGCTTAATATTTTTCCAAGTTGCCTTTCTTGTTTTCACTAGGTCCTGAGCTCCTTGGGAATTAGTCTCAATGGCGAATGTAAAGAGCTAGGCATTCTTCTTGAATTTATGGCTGAGGTAATACCATTTCCATGACCTCCGATAACCTCGACTCGAGGCGTACTATAATGTCCATCGTGAATAACTAGGTAAGACTTGGCATCACGTCAACACCCAGCAAACGCATCTGCCTTAGCCGTTAGGGCGATTATTTCCCTACGTGAGCTTTCGCATTCTCTACACTTTCTACAACTCTTCTCTTCGTATCCACATTGTCTTCGCTCTTAATCAACCAACAAGCATCTTCGTCCGTGGACAGACTGCTCTTGCTATTCCGATTTCCCACGAACACATCTTCGCCATCACTATGTCGACCCAAAACGGCGCCGCGATAAATCGGTATGACGAATTAGAGGTGTAGCTAGAACTTCCGAATGGTCGCACACATCCGCTACACGGACCTTCCACATTTTCTCCAGCCTGCCTGCGGAACTTCGCGCCAGGGTATAGGCTATCACGCTACACGACCAGATAGAATGTTGCGGCAGCACCCATGTCGATGTCGACAATCAAGTCTGCATCCATGAGGAGAAAGGCACAGTCACCGCACGCACGTTCCGTGGATACCCCTCGCTTTTCTATGTCAACCGCGAAGCCCGCTACGAAGCTGCAAAGATCGACGGAGGCGCGTGGTGCCCCCTTGACAGCTAGTATAGAGCTTTACGCAAACCTCGACAAGGAAGAAGTTTTCGTCTTCGCTTGTCACCAAAGTCCAGAGCTCGCGGACCGTCGTTTTAATGGAGGAAACATATTTTTCTGCGATGGAGACCCGTGGCATCGCCCTTGAGATAGTAAGAGGATTCGGTTGGTTATTCGGTACGAATAGGTCAGCCCAGTCGTGTCTCGACCATGCGCGGGAGGACTTGTTACACCCAGAGTATGGACGATCATTGATACGATTCGTGCAGCCCATAATCTGTTTGAGCCTGCCATTCGAACGCGCTAACAGTGGTGGTCACGGCGATTTGACTCTGAAAGAGCATGTGAAAATGCTAAAATAGACACGAATTAGGCAGCGAAACAGAATCGAATGCACCTACCGGCTGCACCTGTGCGATGGGGAAGAAATCCTCAAGTCTGGACTGGGCGCGAAAAGCACAATATCACCTGCAATTATGTATTCGCTCTTCGGTGCATTGGCACATGAACTTTAGCAGAAATCAGCGACCTTAAGTAATATCTTATCATTGTCGATTCCTTCCATGCATAAGCACAGATCCAATGACCTTCTGCCTCGTCCTTGGGTATTACATATCGCACGTCCTCATCCCTTAGTTTATTACTCCTTCCCTCTTTATCTTTCCCGAGCACCGTCGAATATACCATGATGGGTGATAGTGATGCCAGTTCACATCTCAAACCTTACAGGTATAGTCGCAGGCGTAGGTGAGGCCTTGGGATTTTCCTGTGGTTGGCCTCCCCATCCCTTGTAACCTTGAATATATGGGGTTTGGCTCATCTCCGCTGGTGACCTTGGCGGCGCTTCGTTCAGATTCGAACCGTAATGACTCCCACTGTGATAGTACTTGTACTGTTCAGTTTGAACAACGGGTAGTTCGTGGACAACATCTCTCTTCTTGTGACGACGGAACAGCAGCCATCCCACCACGAGCCCGAGTATAAGTGCGACGGGTATTCCTACGCCGAGACCGATCTTAGCGCCCAAAGGGAAACTTTCTGATGAGGCTTCTTGGTCGGTGAGACTTGGCGCGCCTGTAGCGTCGCCGGCTGGAAAGCTCGCTGATGGTGCACTTGATTCGTCGCTGGGGGTATTTGAGCCAATCGATGTTGGAGTCGGTATTGTAGTCGTTACTCCTGTTGATGTCTGGTCTGTTGCTGATGCTGACGCGGAAGAGATGGATGAAGACGACGATGGGGCAGCTTCTTCAACACGACTTTCTTCGATATAGAAGTAGTGACTGTTCGAGTCCGAGGGACCTTTGCCCTCTTGGAAGACGCTGAGATAGAAGAGTCTCGATAGCGTGAGGTTTTTCCTCGTTCCAACTAGCCAGTTGTATTTCGTAATGTCTAGCGCGTTCTCTGATTTTGCAAGTCAGTCTTGTCATGGACACTTCTCGTCAAAAAGGGGATGTTCCTTACGCGTGAGGTACTCCATATCTCCAAACCACATCCCGTCCGTTTCGTTCTGTTGGTAGAGACATAACGACACAGCGCCTCCTTTCTCACCGGGAGTCCAGACAACGTTCACCGTGTCACCTATCTCGTACTTTGGGCTGCCACTCATGTCGCCAATCGTCCCGAAAGGCGGTGGGTTGATGAACTCCATCAGACCAGACACACATGCGAACAGTCCGCTGACCACCGCATATGCTGCCAGGCGAGCCATAACGGTAGGGAAGAGGCCTCAAAGATAGAATAAGTATTGCTTCGTAAATGCAGCAGCAGTAGTAGTCGAATGCAAGGTACAACCTTGGAATGCTAGACAGTGGGAGCTAGGGGATAAACACTGGACAGTAAGACGGCCCTGCCGCTGTGCAGAGACGGCGGATATAGGCGCAGGTACTACATTCTCTTCACGCAATCTGCTCGGCCCGCGGCGAGATGCACGTAGGAGGCACAGCAGCGCTTTCCTATGAAGCGCTTACTAGAGCAGGATTTCTTCACGCTCATCTCGCCCTTTTCGGCTGAAGGATCGGGATGAATCCAATGGAGCCCTGGACGTCAAGATCACTTTGAAACAAAAGAGGCTGACAACACAACCTGGCTCAAAGTTTGTGCTACTGCCGCCGGTCTTCAATCCCGACTTCCTGGCTCTGAAATGGGTAGTCATGCTTTTACAGGGACGTGTGGCCCATCTGTATCCTCGCCTCAAGGTCGGCTGCTGTACGGGACGGTCTCGGAAGGATGACGGGACTGACGTGGAAGCGTGTACTACCATGACTGCGTCTATCGCGGCCCCGACCTCCCTTGATTTTATGGGTATGTATGCTCAAACAGATATCAATGGCGTCTATATGGAACAAGTATGTCTTGGCGGGAACACGACAGGCGAAGGCACGCGTTTGGCAGGGCACATGAGCTGGTTCTCGTGTCTTCATGATTGGTCGGGCCGATGGTCAGTGGCTATCACATTTCTTTACCCTGGCCGGGGCCTGGTGGAAGAGCCCCCAAATAACGCAGGTAGCCGCGATCCTTGGGATCCTGTCTACCTGGGGATGGATACTGCCGTGTCAATGTTCTTTCGGACCCACTGATACCTGGCTGTATGCGTGATAACCCGTGCTTTGCATACGCATGAACCCAGGCGCTAACAGTGCGATGCGCGGCAGCGCCTAAACTTGCCTAGCGTTGTGCGTGAAGGATCAATTAGGCGCCGCAATCAGCGAGTAAAGGGGACGGCATATTTACAGCAGGATGACACGAATCAGGCACCGGATATCCGCGCCGCATGGGTATCGGTCTTATATGCATTATCGTTCGGTGAGCCCGCCACCGAGGAGACAGACAAACGCTTCGTGATTTCCACGCTTTCTTTCACCCCTTCCCAGTCCTTCGTTCAATCTCCCACTATGTTATCGCGATCGTTGCCACTATCCAAATTTTTCAACTACCACACATTAATCGCACTATGTTTGGTGGCGTTAGGATACCATTTCTTTTCCATTCAAGAGCGCTTCATCGCCCGTGCGCCGGGAGCGTCCGCCGTCAAGCAACATAGCGGCTTCCCCAAACTTATCTGGTATAAGCTGGGCCCCAACGGTCTGTCCGACGATACACGAAACTGGACCGACAGCTGCATCAAGAACAACCCGGATTATACAGCACAGTTCTTAACGGACGAAAGCAGCGATGCCTACGTTCGCACAACTTTCGCAGAGTCCCGCCCCGACATCGTCGACGCCTACCTCGCGCTACCCGTCCCTATCTACAAAGCCGACTTCCTTCGATACCTATTGCTTTGGGACCAAGGAGGGATATGGTCGGACCTAGATGTCTCTTGCGAAGAAGGTGTACATATCGATGAGTGGGTGCCTGCGGAATACCGCGACGAGGCTGCGCTAGTGGTGGGGTGGGAGTTCGATCAAGGTTGGCCTGGCGAATATGTCCGCCAGTTTGCTAGCTGGACTATAATGGCTAAACCGCGGACGGCGCATATGATGCAGGTCATCGATGACATCCTCCAGACTCTGAAAGACAAGACAGCTGAGCACCACATCTCGGTCGAGAACGCTACATTAGACATCATGGGAGACGTCGTCGACTTCACCGGCCCACGACGCTTAACGCGCAGCGTATACACAAGCTTGGGGAACATGCTCAACAGAACCGTTGATGCGCGCGATATGATGGAGCTGGTACAGCCGAAGCTGATCGAGGACGTCCTGGTCATGCCGGGCCGTTCATTCGCGGCGTCTGCCAACAAATACAAACCGGAGGAAGAGGAACACCTACCACCTCAACTGGTGACCCATCATTACGCTGGTACTTGGAAGAACAAGGACGGAGGTGAACGGTTGATGCCGAAGATATGACGAATGTTGAAGAACAATCATAATCTACCAGCTGCCCGTGACTTCGAGGCCTCGGCAGGAGGTTGGAATATAAAAATAGGCATGATGCCACAAAGCGCCAGGGAGGAAGATTCTTATACTAGCCAGTGGCGCTCGGCTATCTGCCTGACACTTCGCTAGACGTGGCGCGGTAACGTTTCAACGGGTGATGATGGGTCTCTACGACTACAGCGATTTCAAGGGACGGTCCCTTTCTTTGCTTTGCTCAGCCAAACATCTTGCAGCCCCGGAACCCGCTTTCATGCGACTCCTATCCTGATACCCAACGCCCATTGGTTTAGCTTCTATCATCACGGCTGCACTGGGCCATCCCTTGGCATTCGGCTAGGACTGTACGAGGACTACAAAGAAGATTCGTCTCGAGGGGGGTGGGGGGTGCATCGACACGATGCACTACTGCCTCCCATGCGTCTTGCTGTTGTATGGACTCAAGCGAAGCCTCGCAAGTAGTAAATCACATGATCTCATGTCGACCCATTCGCGCAGCGTTCCTCTCGTGTTCTTTCTGGTGTCTGACTCTCATCGCTCGCCGTGTATTGTTTCTCAATTCATTAGACTACCCTACCCCTACTGCATCATCAATACCGCACCGATCTATCGTTGGAGAAGGTCCAGTCTACTATGGTTCGCCTCGCAACATTTGCTTTGTTGACTGGGCTATGCGCACGTGTCTACAGCCTTGGCTTGGAGTTCGTCAACCCACCGCCCTACGATTCGAATGACGGCCTCGAGAACAACCCCGCGTACAAAGAGGGCGCTAACCTGGACGTTGAATGGAATATGGAGGATGATTCACGGCTGATCTACTTGGTCTTGAACCAAGTCAAAATGTGGGGGTTAGACCAGGCCGATAGTGGCGAATTCATCATGCGTATGAACGACATCAGTTCCATGGCTACTTGTGAGGAAGCTAATTTCAAATCCAGCGGGCACTTTAAATGCTACAAGCTACTCTTGGGTTGTCAAGACGAATGCGAGCCTTACCATGTCGAGCCTGTTCTTTCTCAACATCTTCTCCTCTGACGGGGATTCAGCTACTAGTCAATACTTCCATATTGAGGCAAATGGCGTCAGCGAAGGTGCTACATCATCTTCTTTGGCGGTAACGTCGACTTCAACATCAGCCTCAAGAGGCCACAGCACACCCAGTGTCGAATCGGGTACAGCTTCAGCGAGCACACCGACCAGCGGTACCGCGAACATTTCGACAAGTAGCATCGCACATGCACCCGACCGTCCCGATCAACCAGTCCACCAGCACATGCACAACGACTTCCCATTAAGCCACAAAATTGGTCTTGGTATAGGCATACCTGCAACGCTTGCTCTTGGGATATTAGCTGGGTGGCTCCTCTTTCGCCGTCATCAACGCAAGAAGAGAAGGGTATCACACGAACTACCCCCCAGCGAAACCAGACGACATGTATATGATCATCGTACTAGTAGAATCATCCACGAAGCACCATTGAATCACGTAGTGGAGATCGGTCGGTCGCCTGGGCAGGGTTTTGAGCAATTGGGAGGCGAACTGGAAGATAAGCCAGCGATTATACCCGAGGCTTTGCCAATGCGATATGAGATGGAAGCCAATACCGTTCACGAGCTTCACGAACAGCCAGTGAAACCAGATGAACCTGTCATCAAGAAGGAAACTTGATGCAACAATGCCGCGTCATCGAGGAATACAATCAACATGTGACAGATTCACCATTATTATCGCCTGACGTGCCCTCAGCGAATACCAGGAACGGATGAGATGTACTCAGCGCTATCCTTTAGGACACATATCAGGCATGGAGCAACACTGTCGAGTTGAAGCGGGGATACAGATCCTTCCAATTTGTCTCGTTCTCGGTGCAGACTTCACCGAATTGGGGCAGGAAGGTTGCCATGACTGTCTCGCGCTACCAACGACGCTGACCACGACGTAAATCAAGGGTAACCCGAAACATCTCGTAAAACCTCTCATCTGGCGCAAGACTGGTCGTTGGGAAGGGCATCACCTGGGCACACACACACACGGATATGGTAGCGCTAAGCTATATACGTTAGGTGGGGCTGCTCAAAACTTCCACACAGCTGCGTATATGAAGCCGCAGTCACCCCACAGAAGTAGAGATTTACCATTTCCATTAATAAAATTGACCTTTTTGCAAAGTGCTGTCGCTCTACGTCCTCTTTAGGAAATCACGCTGTAAGCTAGCTTGGCAGGGCTAACCCAACGCGATAAAGGCATACGGTAGTCTTCATAACTCATGGGCTGCGAGGATCTTGGCAGATGACCAACACGACTATCTATAGCTACCTAGTGACTGATACATAGCGGGAATCGGTTCACAATATAGACCAGATCGCGACACAGAGATGGTTGTGCGTATATGGAAACTTCGAAAATGAACAGAATAGGGGATCTACCACAACATGATTTCCTCGTCATTTGATGAGCCTCTAGGGCTCTATTTAGAGCGTTTGGACAGGTATAAGAAGGCTCAATCTTGGACCATAAACCCAACAGCTCCAACAGTTTCAACAAACACGCTCCAAAATCAACAGATTCTCTCATCTCAACCAGCTTCTCACTTAGCTCGCTCAACTTCTCATCAATCTCTTCAAAGCCGCCGCCATGGTCCACTACAGTCTCATTCTCGCGGGTCTCCTCTCCGCCACTATTCTCAGCGCCGCAGTGCCAGCTCCCCAGTCTGAGGCCGCCACGGGGCTTTACACGATCCCCGCCGCCGGCCTTGCCAACGGCATGTACGACGTCGACCTCAACGAAGACGGTACTACACGCTTCACCTTGATTGACGCCGCCGACACCACTCCGACCCTCCAGTCGCGTAACCTCCTCTTTAAGATGTGGCTGACAACCAGCTGATATGCGAGATGGGATATCAGGAACAGCATCCAACTCCCTCCTCATTGTGAACGCAATCATAACATCACGAACAGGTTAACGACTACACTGTTCCTCCAAGATTTCGAGTATACATCCCACATATTAGTAGTAGTAGCAAGAGATTTCCATAGAATGGACATGAACTATCATCTGCCTTCACAATGCACCCGCGTTCGATAACCTGCTAACGTGACGTCAGCTACTATGTCATAGCTACATGGAAGCAATAACTTCACAACCATTCCGCGTGGGCGACTATTTCCAGACAATCATGTAGCAACATTGGATGTGATCTTCAATGTTGTAATACTATCATTACTAGAACTTCTCATAATGGCTCACATAACCCGACATACATGAGGAGCTCTTCCCCATGCTAAAACGCCCATAACACCTATTTAACCCATCCATCAAACACCCCATCTACTGCGCACCAATAGCCTGAGGATTCCAGAACACGCTCTTCGGATCAACCTTCTGCTTCAACGCAGCCAACCTATTGTACACAGCATCGCCGTAGTACAGCTTGTGCGCCGTCGCAGCATCATAGCTAGGGTCGACGTAGTTGAGATACGCGCCGAACGACGTCTGCGGCTGCGCATTGATGATAGCGCTGTTGATGCCGTTGATGAACTCCATGGAATCACCTCCGTAACCATAGTTCTGCAGCACCCACAGACTATCGCGGTCGCTATAGGCGGCGAAATCGGTGTCTTTGCTGTTGATAGCGGAGCCGGGACCGCCGTAGAGATTGATGATGATGTAGTATTCTGTACCGTCGGCTGTTTGGAGGTAATCGTACAAAGCGTTCAGAGCGTTGGAAGTGAGACCGGTAGACTCAGGGACAGTGACAGACTTGGCGAAGAAGTCCTCGTGCTCATCGTATCCGGTCAGAGGCTCTTTGATGCTAGTCTTGCCGGACACTTTGACCATGTAGTCGTACCAGGCCATGGACTGGACAGTGGCGGTTGGGTTGGGGAGATTGCGGAGTAGCTCGGGCTTGACTTTGGTGTTGAACTCCGAGACACTGCCGAAGAAGGCGCCGCTCAGGCTGTAGCCGCCGTAGTTGTCGAGGTAGATGCCGAAGGAGACGCGGTTGTCGACGACGGAAGCGTTCTTTGCGACGTCCTGGATGTGCATGAAGGTGTTTGTCCAGACGCTCTTGGAATCGTGGATGCCGGTGAAGCCGAACTCGAAGTATGTGATGCTGGCGGGTGCGGCGTGAGTCTGGAGGTAGAACTTTGTGACGACACCGAAGGACTCGGCTGCGCCCTTGATAGCCCAGAAGATGTCGGGGGACTCCGTTGACGAGGCCTTGATGAGTGATCCATCGGCGAGGACGACGTCAGCTCCAACAACTTGATCCATGGCTAATCCCCAGTGGCGAGAAGTGTGGCCGTAGCCTCCGTGTGTGTAGTGGCCTCCGATACCAACACCAGGGCAAGTACCCTGGGCTACGGCAGCATTGCCTTGAGTGTAGATACCGTCACCCAGGTTGCCCAGACGAACACCACCTCCAACTGTTGCAATACCAGAGTTCTTATCCAGTTGAATGGTCTGGAAAGACTGGAGATTGATCTGCATAGCACCATCCTTACCACCAGAGCTGAAGCTTGCGTAAGAGTGACCTCCGGACTTGGCCTGGACCTTGAGACCAGCTTGAGCGGCGCATACAACTGCATCTTGGACGTGCTGGTTGGTAGTGGGGAGAACAATGACAGCCGGCTTGAAAGGTACGCGCAGGTTGTAGGGTTCCGAAAGTTCAGAGTACTCAGCATCCGAGGTCATCTTGTACGGCACATCCTTTCCGTTCAAGCATTGGAGAGCAGATCCAGATGGTGTTGAGGAAGGTGTAGCTGGAGAAGTCTTGCTGGTGGTAGATCCTGATCCGGCGTTGCTGCCACAGTTTCCGAAACCTGATTGACATCCACTTCCACACTACCAAAATCAGTATAGAATCATCAAGGCGTATTTGTGAGTACTTACGTATGCTGATGTAGAACCACACCAGCCACTCGCGCTGCAGCAGTTGCCTTCAGCGAAACCCAGACATGTGTAACCCTTTGTGCCACCGCATGTCGCGTCTGGTGAGACCTTCTTGGTCGGTGTTGACGCCGGCGGTGGTGCCTGTGTCGTCGAGGGCTTGACCGTTACTGAAGTTGCTTTTGACGTAGTGCTGCCAGTGCATGTGCCGAATGCTGAGTTGCAGCTAGCTCCACAATGATCTGTGGACTTTCCGCACCATCCATACTGTGAGCAGCAGTCACCGTACGAGGAACCCTTGCAAGTGAAGCCCTTTGTTCCTCCGCAGCTTCCGTCGGTTGAGACAGCCCTCTTGTTCAGCGGCGCAGCTGGTGACGCGGAGGCCACACCAATGGACAGCAGACCTGCTGTAAGAGAGACGAGGAACTTCATGGCGGCGTTGAAGACGACAATTCGAGTTCAGTCGTGTGAAGTTGACCAGGAAAGAACGTTGTATACCCAAAACCGCCGGATGAAGAAGGACCAGACGAACGGACCGACAGGTAAGCTTACCCTAATAAACGAGCGGAAAAGCAAAGACCAAGACCTGTAGAGTGAGGCCATACACATGGGCAAATTGACCTCTTAAGACCACGACCAATACGAGACATTTGCCTCCTCGCTGCACATCCTCCCGTACCTGCAGCAGCTGCACGGCCTTTCCACACCTTCCACCGCTCCACTCAACACGAACGAAAACTCATCTTGACCTAAGATCCACCCCAGCGTACCCTGGTGTCGATCTTAGGTTGGTGTGCCCGGTCGGTTCTAATACGAGCTTACTACGCAGAGGCCTAATCGCTGGCGCTCGTGACGAAAAGCAATTTTGCCTCTCAATGTACCCTCGAATCTCGTGCGAGATGTATGGACACCGTAACGTTGCATTGCAAAAACCTGCAACGATGGAAACCTAATGGGATTGTGCAGTAGAGGAAGAGACGGTCTCCTCGGTCGCGTTGGAAGGGGTATCCTGAATGCGAAGCTCCGGTCAGACCGCATCAGGAAATGACGTCTGTGTGCCCTGTCACCCTCGCGCATCTCCAACGCTAGCTCTCTAGACACAAACTAACCATCAACACGACCGTATTTCCGGTGGCACTGCGTGATCAGGCCTTCCAAGGCATGACTTTACGGTTATTAGATGTGGAGTCGAGTAAGCCTTTGTGGGTTGCCGTTGCGGCCCTAACGGCTGGAAGCGATGCTGACCCTGTGGCATGCTATTTTTGGCAATGCGAGATCCGAGCAAGGGAGATGCGAGGAATACGGACCTTGCATAGCTTTGACAACATTGCGATGCGTTGGTCGTCGCTTGGCGCTTTATTTGGTGGACATTTACGGGTTTCTACACAGACGACAGTGATGTTGAGTTTGACTCTGCTGTCAGAGAGCGAACCTTGGGTGATCAGATTACCTATGCTGAAGCAGCTAGCAAGACAATGACAGACCCACTACTCCGAAGTGTCTCGACTTGTCAGATGGGGACGCAATTGCATTCGAACAGCCCCCAATCAACTCTGTACTCTTCATCGAGAACACAGACGGAACGAGATAAGTAATCATCGCAACACCCGTGATACCTCACATACTAGCTGGGAAGTTGCCAGGAACACCCCGCTCACATGGCCCCATCAACCTTCCCATCAACCTTCCGTGGAATCAATTTGCGAAGCCATTCACGCGCGGAAAGAGAGCTGAACAGAAGAAGAGTCAGGAGAGGAGTCTTATTGCCGCGGAAAGCCAGGACTGTCTTGCTCCTTCGAAGGAGAAGTAATCCATACATTCCTAGTGCATACTGCCAGAGCCACCACATATCCAGCTCTACCTCTCCTTCAACGCACTTTCATCCAAGTCGCCAACCTCACCCCCCAGAACGTTCTCTGTATCAGCCTCCTCATCCCACTTCTTCACAAACTCCTCTACCACCCACTTGTACCGCTCCTCCGCCACCTTTGCCCCGGTCTCTGTCGTCATCAACTTGATATACCCGCCGTTTACCAGCCGAAAAATCTCGACACTAACATCAACCCCTTTCTCCCTCTCTACTTCATCAATACCACCAAAATGGAAAGAATGACCCACGCCCGCAGCGCCCAGCCATTGGAGGTGATATGCATCTCGTAGGATGCGGTGGATAGGTTGGCCGTGAGAGGAGTTGTGGACGGTTAACCCTTGACCCATCTAAACAATATTTGAGAGGCGGGCAGCGAGCCAAGACGCCTGCCAACAAATATTGGGCGGGCATCCTGCTACTCTCGTGAACTCGCGTACGATTTGCCATTGATTCCACTTCTCTTCCTCGGAGAGATACCATGCGTCACTCATATCGTGCGTGATGTCGTGCGTCATGCATAATATCCACAGGAGTGTGGGATCGATGTCCCAGGCCCAGTGACGCGTCCTCTCTTCTTTCCCCAGGATTCACGCGGCGTCGGAAACCACACGCAGCGTGTGTTGGTAGTCTTGCGAAACGAAACGCCGGCTGCGGTCGGGATGGTGTGAGACCTAGTTTGTTCCTCTGAGTACGGACCGCGATGTTGAGTGCGGTGAACCATGCGCGGTCTGCAGGTTTGATGCCGAGGAGATACATGTTGAAGAGTGGCTGGATCTGGTTGTATGATGTTGAAGGGATCTTCGGAAGTGCTTTGTTGAGCGGGCTCAAATTACGATAGCGAGTACTCCACTCGTAGGCGTCGGTGTTGAATTTTGCGCCAGGTGTTGTCAGAAGACCATTGGAAGCGCTTGTGAACTTTCGGGTCGTTGTGATACCGGCGAAGCGGCGGGACGCAACATTGCTGAGCGACCTCATGTTGAGACTGGAATTGAAGAAGCTGGTGTAGAGGACGTCGGGTCAAGGACTCAGGCGATTAATGGTTCTGTGTACAATAGCAGGATGGTTCGAGACAGTCGTTATCATCACAACAGGAAAGTCGAAGTCAAGGCCAAGGCGTAATCGAAACAGCGTAGAGGCATTGCGCTAGTCCATTCGCAGTTTTCCAGTCAAAATGCGAGTGTAGACCATATCCGAATGACTCTACGTTCACACATCCCGAGCTCTTCATTTGCTTCCTTCTCCGCCAGTGTCGCCGTCCCCGAGCCCTACAACTTCTACATGTATCTTCGCAATATCTCCAGGACTCGGCGTCCCGTCGCGTGGTACACGCTTGGCGGCTTTCCCTCTCCGTGACAGTATACCTTTTATTGTCGATGCTCTTGGCACAGTGCTGCGCCCTTTGCGATTTGTATCGTAGCCGTGGATTTAGTATATCATCAACCGCCCACCGTGTTACTCTTATCAGCAACCCCAACCTTCTTCTCTGCCTCTTCTCCCTGTCCAACTGCATCTATTGCCTCCCGACCCTCTTCACCACCCTCACCATCCTTCCCCTCCGCCCCAGCCAAAGCTCTATATTTCCTCCTACTTTTCTTCGAACTACTCGCCTTCTTCTTCGCTTTCTCCCTCGCCTTCACCGCCGTCCTAGCCCCCTCCCCCAACTCCATTTCCTCAATTCGGTCCTGCAAGATCCTCCTCGCCATCTTCCTATTTATCTCCCGGCTGCGCGTGTCCTGGTATTTCACTACGATGCCAGTGGGTATATGTTTGAGTTGCACGGCGGAAGAGGTTTTGTTGATTTTCTGGCCGCCGGGCCCGGAGCCTTTGAGGAAGTTCTCAATTAGGTCGGCATCGAGGAGGGGGGTACGTGGGGGGAGCGATTTGCCGTTGTTAAGGGGAATCGTAGTGGAGAGGTGCGCGGTTTGGAGGCGTGGGACATTGATGCGAAGGCGGAGGAGGGAGGGGAGGAGGCGCATTGCTGGGTGTGGATCAGGGGGGAGGATGGTACGGCGGAGGCATCGCGATAGCATTGGTATTGCTGGTACAATGTAGAAATTTCCCGCACTCGTGGTTGTCGATGATGCTGTTCAGCGAATGCGCTAGATTACTCGGGAGCGATGGCAATCAGCTAATCCAACATCCCTGCTCCCAATCAATCCTCGGTCCCTGAACCCTCACTCTCCCCATCGACCACTCCTATCAACATTTGCGCCCAGGCACGTTAAATCTCTAACTCCACCTCCAAACACCCTTTTCGCACGCGCAAACACGAGGATCTATACCGACAAGTCTATGATTGACACGACGACGCTGTCCGCTATCCTCCTAGCCAGCGCATCCACGCTCCTCATCGCCGTAATGCTGTACCCATCCGCCCTCCTCCGCTGGTTCCAGCGCAAGCGATATCAATATGAAGTCACCTTCTCGCTGTACATGTTGACGTCGACTGAGAAGTTCATCTTCAGTATGTCAAATCACCCTGCTCTTCCACCTCAAATCGCATCCTCAACTCGATTCCTTGAAATGAGCCACGGCCCCTATCCAAGGCGCCCTTCTCCCTACACCGGTCCTTCATCCCACTTTAGAACAACTACTAATAAAATATCTTTGCAGACTCCGTGCTCTTCCTTCTCCTCTCCCTCCTCATAATTGCCGCATCGCTGTACCTCCCCGAGCACCTTACCATCATCGCGAACCGCATGTTCTACTACCTCTCTGGAAACCACGATTCACTTTCGAGTAACTCAGTACCCAAAACAGGGGGGCTCGACACTGGGGTCACGCCGAATGGACCGTTAGGCGCTGGTGCTATGAACAACGGTCGGGGGATGATGGAGTTATAGGGATTCACACGCAATGGATTAGAAAGCATATACGGGAGCGATGGGGTCTGGTGCGGGGTGTCAAGACGAGTTTTTGACTGAATACCCTGGCGACATGGCCGCCTGGTGGGGAGTATGAAGACTGCGGCTTTTTGCGCCTCAACGGGGGCTCGGCTTCTACTTCCTACCCCGAGACCACAGTATGGACTCAAAACGCACAACAGTCCCAAACACATATGCATAGGGAAAGGCGCAAGAAGGAGTCACATTCGCCGATTCAGGCATACCTATTTCCCAACGACTATAGACGTATGACAAGCACAGTAATGTTAATACCAAGATACAGCATTGTTCTCTCTACGCCCCGCAGATGTATCCCATAGATCTCGAGTGATCCGTTTGAGAGCATGCACATAGCACGTCACATCTGGCAGACATATCTTGACCCTAGAGTATGCCTCACGTGAACGTCGCGGTATGCGCTGTGATATACTTTGTGTATGCATCATGCATGCCTGCCAGCATATGTCACATTCCAACTGCATGATACATGGGCGGCTATGCTCGACGCCGAGATCGGACGACATGTCTGTAAGCACGCTCTGCGATGTGACGTGGCTCAAGTACCGCAATGGTAGACTTCGACTGTGTGGAATCAAGTATGTCTGCGGTTGATGGTAATTGATGGGAAGCAGTAGATAGATTGATATGTTGTGTATGGGGCATACCAGTAGGTATACTGTTGTTGCACCGGAGACGTCTATGAATCAAGAGAACACAGCTTAGAACGACTTCATGTTACCTGAAATGCATTGCAGATAGAGCCTGTAACGTAAAAGGGAAACGACCGAGAAAAGACAGTGCCATGTGTTGCAAGTATGGAGCTGTGTATCGACCGGTATTGTAGTCATGATGTATTGTGAACTTTAACGTAATGATCAGGGGCGGGTTCCGGCTGTTTTGTATCGACCGGGCTGCCGAGCCATCCGTGGCCATGTATCCGTTTGATGTGCTCAGGTTGGTAACTGACACAGCATGTTGTACAGAGAACGGAGTTTTCAGTTGCCAAATAGGACATGTACTGCACTCACAAGTGCTGCGGTAGTGTAGTCGTTGATAGTGACAAGGGCTGGGAAGTCGTATGCCGCATTGACATAGGCTTGGCCCGTAGCTCCATCGTCGATGAGAATCAGGATCATTGGAAGCCCAGGTATAGCGTCGCTCTTTGCGATCTTCTTCGAAATGCCTCGCCCAAATTTGAGCTGCCGTTCAAAAGCCTGAGCATGATTGCTGATGACATTCGCGGTGGCGCATATAACGATAACGACTGCTCCGCTGGTGGGCAGAAAATCGGCGTGCATCTCTGTCATACCAGCGTCCAGACGGTATGGGACGTGTCGTACTTGTCTTGGTATAGTGCGACCGAGAGGCTCGAAAGGATCCATGTCTTTCGCCAGTGTCGTCGATGGCGGATGAGGTACGAAGGGGGTGAATAAGGTGATAACTTCTGCTTCGTTCAGGCGCCGCAATCGTTGAAGAGTCTGCGTTGGACATTGTACAATCTTAGCGGTTCCGGAAGATGAATTCTGTGTCGCGGTCGACCTGCTAGATGCTGAAGTCATCTTGGATCGATGTGTGTTACTCTTTGAGGACGGTTGGCTCTTTCGTTCACCCATCACTACGCGGCTGCGGATGTTACTATGGTTACTGCAGAAAAGCACCAAAAGGTCCTAGGTGAGCCAGCCGCGAGGAAGATTTGAGATTTGTTTGGGCATCGTTTGCAAAAGCGCAGCTCTTGTATTTCGATCACCCAAACTCAAGTTCCTATAGCAAATCGACTCTGGCTTTTGCAGGGAAGAGACACTGTCGGAACACCGTATCGGTTGACGTTGCAAGCCGAAGCCAGCCGGTAACGGGCGTAAGATATTATGCTGGATGGCAAGGTAGACGGTCCCGGCTATGGAATTCAGGAGTACAAAAAGCAGCTATGCCAGGTTGCCAGTAGCCACCCCAGGAATCGTCAAATGAGGTGCTGATGTCAAGTGCTTGTGGATCGCTGAGTGGACCGTGACCTTGTCAATAGTAGCTGAAGCTCCTCCCGCCCTGTTCAATTAGAATTCAAGTCCTGAAGATGTACGTCAATACGATAGATAGTAATACTTGGGGTGGTACCAGATAAAGAACGAAGAGAGTAGTACACAACCTCGGCCAGGCAATCTCCGGTGCAGATGAAGAAGTGTATCCACTACCGTAGCAGGCGGAGATCTTACCGATTGGATAACGTTTTCCTGCTCGTGGCCATGACTGACACGACAGAAGCGTTACCGTAGCGTGCTCACGCATGTCAGTAAGGAGCACAACGGGCGTGTAAGTGCACGGCGACGGTTGCATCGGGTAGTAGCAGGATCGTGTATCGAGCATGGATGGCGCCACATCCAGTCGCAGATTCAAGGCTCCCTATTGATCACCCTGCCAGTTTTGAGATGCGCGTGTCAGCCTGCTGTGGATGAAGGGCAGTTCTAGAGACCCGTTCGCGTCCTTAGGAGAATGATGATCGAAGGAAAGCCGACCACTAAAGTCGGAGCAAGGACCAACAGCCAGGTTGATGACGAAGGTCGATACGCGATGCGTGCTTGTCATCACCGGCAAGGCGTACAACGCGCGGGCGTCAGTACAATTCGAGTCAACGCTGCAGGAGGCGTGCTTGAGTTGATGGCTGACCCACAAGGCCACCACCCATAACGGGCCAGTAGCAGTTGCGCAAGCCGCAATCATTATATTTCGATGCTTGCTATGTAACACAAAGGGTTGAACTCGATGTGGTGATGGGCGAGAGCTGCGATGCATGCTCCAGTGATGACACGGCCATGCGGGTGATATCTGCACGATTGATTGAATCAAGCACGAGTAGCGTGAACGAGCCGCGGATAGCCAGACCGGCAGCCGCGCTGCTGTGTGCCCACACAGAAATATTGGCGATGATATCGAGGCTGGTGGTGCATCGACTGAACCGTTGTAGCAACGCTGGTACGAGCAAAGTGCATGCGAAGAGTCGTGTTGATCGCGATGTGTTAGCGGGGCTGCTCGCTTGTTCGTAGCCCATCGAAACAGGGAAGGCGCGATCAGGCTGTCAACAACCACCGCGACGCGTCTGCTTCATCAGCGGCTCATACAATAACAGCTAACGACTGCCTTACTATATGCACGTTGCACTGGCAGCGTGATGCCATCGGTCGCCGGTAACCCCACATCGACTTCGCTCCAAGCCAGCTACTGATGGATCCAGCAGAAGAGCGGCCCACGCTGCAGGAGACGCTAAACTTACTGCATCAAGGTAGGTGTCGATATGCGGCAACGAGCCCAGTCAGGATCAGTGCTTACACCGGCCTGCAGCATCTAGAACAACAGCAAAGCAACGGACCGTCAAGGTCTCCAGCATAGTCGATGTCATCTGCCGTTACGCCTCGGAGGATGGCCTTGGCCAGGATGCTCTGCGAGACATAGTACAGCTCGCATCGGTGAAGACCTTGCTAGACCAAACCACCATTACGACCTTGATCAAGAACTTGTATCCTTCTCAAAGGGTTCCAGGCGATGTGGTCATAACTATCGTTGGTGCGCTTGGGCAGGGCAAGGGCAAACCTTCTCCTGGTACACAAGATAGTCTTGTAAAATGGCTCATCACGATCCATGAGGTCGTCGAAGACGCAAACGTCTTGTCCCGTCTGTACGGTGTGCTGTTTGGTATGCTCGATATGATCAGTATCAGGTGTGTCGCTTCTGTCTGCTACTACGAACACTTGGGCTAAGTTTAGCAGGACGTCTTTGTGTCATCTGTTGTCCTTGATCACTCGCAGGAAACATGTCAAGCCATTCCGGATTCAACAATTGTATGTACAGGGCTATCAGCATCAACACGATCAAGATACCGATGACTGATCGGACTACAGACTAGAGCTGTCTCGCGGTCTCGGCAATGAGCCTGCTCTCCAAGGTCTCCTCCGTGTCTACAAGGATTATTACCCCGATATAATTCTCGGCAGTACTTCCACAAGCCGGAAGTCGTTCGCTCCGGTGAGTATCCGTCTCTCGTACTACCACAAATGCAACCTCAGATCCCCCACGCTACTTCCCCGCATCTCGTTGTCACACTGCTGGATGCATGCTAACTTAATAGCGGCCTGATGCCGAATGGCAAGCTAAGATTGTCGCTATCCAAGAGGCTAGTGTGGCGGAAGACGACTCGAATGTAGACGGGCAAAACGGTTTCAAGGTGCTACGAAGAAGACTCAAAGGCAGCAAAGGATCGGCGATTCCGGACGTGCATACCTACCATGCGACCGAGGTGGGCGAACATCTCTGTTCATCATCTCGGAGGTGCTAACAGTGTGTGACAGAGCTCAGCAACCCTTGAGGGTATCGATAGTGTGGACGATTTTGTTGAAAAGCTCGACAGAATTGAGCCACCGGGCCAGCTGATAGCGCTTCTCGTGGACCCGTTGCTACAGAAGTACATCGATCTCAAGCCATCACCAATCACAGCCAGTCGATTAGGAAATTGGCTTGCGACGTGCCTAGAGGAGCAATTCGAGGAGCACCGGCAAGGTACTGGAAACGACCAGTACCTGTCAGAAGTTCTCGATGGACTTTTTCGGTACGCTCAGTACACGAAGGTAAGTACTTCATCTATCTCTCCGCGCAGTATGTTGATACATCGAAGTCACTGCATCCCACAGTACTGGCATTTCTTCGCGAGTACCTGCCGATATGGGACGGACAGCGAGATCTTGCTACGCTATCAGGTCTCGTGTCCTACATTCCGGTCGAAGCGTTTGAGGATGCTTATACTACCTATTTCTTGCCGATCGAACGCGCTCTAGCATTTCATGGCATCACTGCGTATACGCATCTCGTCGACTTCTACACAGCTTTACTGCAGCACCAGATAACCGAGACAGCATCTGGACCTGCCGAACAAAGAGAGATGAGACAAGAAGTCTTAAGCGACCTAATCGAGCATGTGGCCACCTTGTTCACTTCCGCTCTCGTATCGATCCCCCCAGGTTTCAACACCACCCTTACATCATCCATCCTCTCGTTGTACGAACTCCTCAGCACATCATCGAAGCCACACATCATCCCCATCCATCTCCCGCCGATGCATCTCATCTACCTACTCTCTCAGGACGCTTCCCCAACAACACTCTCCCGCATCTGCGGCATTATCGGCTCCTACAAGCTAGCATTCGACGCGCACCCCAAGCCAGTCAAGAATTATTATCCGGCTGAAGTCACGGATGCGTTCAATCACTGTCTTCGCGATATGTACAATCTCGTATGGGTGTCTCGTGGTCTGCTGGTCCAAGACCAGAAGTCGAAGGGGTTGTACTGCGATCCGATACTGAGGGGTACACTTAACGAGTACCTACGTCGTGTGGATCGGGGATATACTATTGGGGCTGCATTTACATTGTCGTATAATGCGTGGTTAGCCTCGCTGTCGGCTGCGGCATGGCGTGTGGTTGAAAAGCAGGAGGTAGACAAAGCGGGTGAGAAGAATATCACACGGTATCACGAAGGACCTGTTACGGATAAGAGTTTGGAGGTGCTCAAGAGTAAAGGTGGTGTAAGCGTGGATTGGGAAGGGGCGGATGGGTACAAGGTCACGGTGCTGCAGTGGCTTACTGAGAGGGGGTTGGGTGGAATCAGAGATTTGATGTTCGCCACTGTGATAAACTTGAAGGGTACGACGTAAAGCAGGTGATATTAATAGAATTCCGGACTACTGTAAGAGTTTATACTGTGATCTAGTATCAGATTTGGTATTCGTGGTGCTTTATGATCTTCCACTCAGAATCAGAGGCTGATAGGTAAGTGGTTCTAGCTGAGTTCTAGCTGAGTTCCAACTGGTCTTTACCCGGTTTTAACCCGGTCTTTACTCAGTCTTACCACAGTCTTTACCGAAACCTTTTGCCCACGGTGCCCAATGGCCAATTCACAAGCCACTGAACCCACGGCGTTGTAGCATATGCCAGAACATCAGCACCGCTTATATACCTTGGGTACGCTTTGATAGCTCCTTAGAAGCTTTCTCATTGCAATCTAATGTTATGGGAGTACCTCGGCGGTCCCTCGTTTCGCATGCTAGCTTCGTGAAGCTCAGCTGTCCTAGATGTAATTTCCAACTTCATGCTCTTTGTATTTCATCTCGTTCTTTCTCCTTTTGTCTCATCCACAACGCGTTGCATTCACGACGCGTCTTTTCCAAATCGCAGTCATCCACATCGCGTCGCGTCTAATCGTCGTCAACGCGCGCTTGCTCAACCGCAATTCAGCACCCGCGATACCGATTTTGGCTCCTTTCAGATCGAGTGCAAACGGACGAATACAACCCTGTTCGCACATCACGCAAACGCAAAGCCCCCAACGCCGATCTTGAGCCGCCTCTCTGGCCCAACATGACCGGCCATTGTGCACCATATCTGAACAACTTACCACATGGTCTCGTAGATGGATGCAATATCTGCTCCAGAATCAGTAGCCGCATTGAATGCAGCGGTTGCACAACAGTTCATTACTGCTGTTCTGAGCACCAAGCCCTACATCGGGCAGCCCACCAGACAATCTGCGATAGAATCCAGAGGCTCAACGACTTCATTGCTGAGTATAAAGACGCCCTACCTTGCGACACAGAAGGTGGCAATACGCCCTTGCCTACCTTCAGAACCACAGGTGGCAATTATACGCTGTACGAAGCCACTGAGATGTTTGCGCACGCGCGCCGGAATCTGGTTCAGGAATTCGTAAAACTCAACACCAAAACCGCGGTCGGGCAAGTCTTGGATGATACATTCACTCTTTTACGGCTGGATCCTGAAGATCACCTAGGAATGCGGTGTATGGCACCTTGGCTCTTCCTCCGCTTGTAACGCGACCAAGAGTGCTACGACTACTGCAAGTGGTGGGTCACCAATGGGACCTATAAAGAGTACGACTGGGAGTCCGAAGATCTACCTCTGACCGGTGAAGACGCATTTGAGCCCGCTGAAGTCTTTGAGCGGATTCGAGATTACGGCGCAGACCCTCCTACGTTCTCTGATTTGTCGTTACTCCTTGCTGTGTTATTACTCAAGATAGGCATGCGTCAGAATCCGGAGTTCCTACAGTGTTACAGAAGTCCTGACTTCTCAGTATACAACATCAGTAGTATCATCTACGGTATCTGGGATGACTGCGAAGGAGAGGAATATCTGCTGCTTCTTAAAAAACTGGAGGACCAGATCAGACGGCTATACCGTGCGGTTGGGAGAGCCAACAAACACTTTTGGCCTGCGTTCATGAAGCCGTGGACTCATCTTGAGGCTAAACCGTTATCTTTTGGGCTGGGCGATGAGGCGGAGATGCAGATCAAGCTGCAATAGTGTTTCAATGCTTGAATGGAGACTCTTGGAGCTGATCAAACGATCCATTGTCTGATGGAGGGTATTGATGCGCATTGGTACTCCATGTCAGGCAATCCCTAATTCAGTGTATATACTTAACTGACTGTAATCTTAATCTTCGGTGCCGTTGTGTGAGAATGGTGAAGTCTTACCACGTTCCCTTCATGTCTTGTGTTGATACGAAATACAGACGACAAAGTCATCGCACGGATGCCCCGAGTAGCGAAAGCTCTCCTCAACAATACGACTTGTAGCAGAGACAAATGTCAACAACGCGAGTAGACTAGGGTCGTCTCTTAGCAACTGCGAGCGGGCGCCGCAAGAATGGCCGAGCACTGGAGAATGGAGGAGGCAGGGCCAGACTTGGGCCTCGGACACTAATGTCGGGACGATACAGTGGCAGTGACATGCGTGGGTCTTCCTAGCGGGAATGACTCGCGGCGACGGACGTTGTTTTGTAGTTGTTGACGAAGAGCAACTCTATGTATTCTTGTGGATAATAAAGAAGCTGTGTAGAGTCGCATGGAATGAATTAGGATGTTGAAATGTATTCCAGTGAATATGACGCTCAAATGCTTCGTGTGAACAGAGCTGGGATGAAAGCGGAGTTGCAGCTATGACGCTCGCGGCACGCGAAACACGTGCGCCCAAAGTTCCTGGGCATTGGCTGCGCGCAGCTCCCCACCAGCTAAACCCAGCTGCATTGCTTCATTCCTGATCCTCCATGCAGAGCTTTCCGGCGCCGGCAATTCTTATATCCTGACTATTGCTACTGCGCGTCGCGAATGCTGGAGCTTACACTCTGCTGCAATCCCATCCACTCGTTCGCTAAGCCATGAAGTTCGGCACGACACTGCGCAAGAGCGTGTATGCGCCATGGAAGGATAAATACATCGACTACGACAAGCTCAAGAAGCTGCTGAAGGATAACGAGGATGACGATTCCTGGACAGCCGATGACGAGAGCGCGTTCGTCGACGAGCTTGCCAACGTGCAATTGGAGAAGGTGCACAACTTCATCACCGACATCTCGCAGAAGCTGCGCGACCGCACCACGGCATGCGAGAAGAAGCTGGAGCCATTGGCCATAGGGATCCAGGCGGATGGCAAGGAAGAGGCCAAGGACGACAAGGAGAAGAAGGAAAGCTCGGGCGAGGGCTTGTTCGGCGACGCGTCCGGCGATGCATCCAAGAAACCCGAGCCCAGCCAGCAGGAGAGGGACAAGATCCTGAAGGAAGTCTTGCGCGAGCTCGACAACATCACCAAGGAGACCAAGGAGCTGGAGAGCTTCAGCCGCATCAACTTCACCGCCGTCATCAAGGCCACCAAGAAGCACGACAAGATCCGCGGTAGCTCCTACCGCCTGCGACCCTTCATCGATGCGCGCATTGCCCGCCACCCTCTCCACACCGAAGACGCGTCACCGCTGCTGTACAGGCTCTCCGCGCTGTACTCATTCGTCCGACAGAGCCTGGAGGGCAAGTCCAAAGAAGCTTTGTCCTTTGGCGAGACCAGCACGGATGGCGAGGGCTTCACCTCTCACAAGTGTAGGCACATTCTATCTTATCGACATGCACAAGCTAACAGAACACAGTCTGGGTCCACATGGACAATCTCTTTGAAGTCAAGACCGTCATCCTCCGCCGTCTCCCCGTCCTCGTCTACAACCCGCAGTCGTCCAAGGTCGCCGAGGGCAACCAACGCGACCCTACCATCACGTCCATTTACTTTGACAACCCCAACTTCTCCCTCTATTCGGACAAAGTCAACGGCAAGCCGGATGCCTCTTCGCTCCGTCTCCGATGGTACGGACAGCTCGGCGAGAAGCCAGAGATCATGTTCGAGAAGAAGGTCATCAAGGACGGTGACGCTGCCGAAGAAGTCCGCTTCCCAATCAAGGCCAAATACGTACAGTCTTTCCTCGAGGATAAGTACCACATGGAGAAGAGCATCGAGAAGATGGAATACCGCCCCAACAAGAACCAGGAGGAGGTGGACAACTTCAAGAAGGCTGTGGGAGACATCCAGAGCTTCGTGAAGGAGCAGAAGCTGCAGCCAATGCTGCGCGCCAACTACACCCGCACCGCGTTCCAGATCCCCGGCGACAACCGCGTCCGCATCTCCCTAGACACCAATCTCGCCCTGATCCGCGAAGACGCCCTCGACGACGACAGACCCTGCCGCGACCCTGAAGACTGGCACAGGCGCGACATTGATAACGGGCAGATGGAGTTCCCCTTCAAGGCCCTCAAGAAGGGCGAGCTCCACAAGTTCCCCTACGCTCTGCTTGAGATCAAGGTCAAGGGCCTGAAGAAGTACGAATGGATTGAAGACCTGATGCACTCGCATCTCGTCAAAGAGTCCCCTCGCTTCTCCAAGTTCGTCCACGGTGTAGCCAAGCTCTTCGAAGACAACGTCAACACGTTCCCCTTCTGGCTCAGCGAGGTCGACAACGACATCCGCAAGGAGCCCGAAGCAGCCTTTGACGAAGAACAAGAAAAGAAGCGCAAAGCAGCCGAAGACGAATTCGCAGTCGGTTCCCTCTTCGGCGCCCGCGCAAGCCCCAGCTACCGCGCCTCTATCGCGTCGCCCGTCGGCTCACCAGCCGCAACCCGGTCCTCCGTCCCCAAGAGCGCCAGCGCAGCTGCCCACTCAATGCCCGTCACCAAACCTCCCTTCCCAACCATCGGCTCCCACCTCTCTCAGCGCTCGCATCGCGACCAAGACACAGCCAACAACGCCAATGCGCGCATAGACGAAGAAGCCGATTCTGACGACGAAAACACACTCCTGCTTGCTGGAAACGGCAAGCAGCCCAAGAGCGGCCTCGCCTCCCTCTTCCCCTCCTTCTCCACCTCGAAATACGCCCGTAAACAACAGCGCGCTATTCAACTCCCGCCCGGCATCCGGGATCCAGGTGTCTGGATTAAGGACCAAGGTCCCGTCCGCGTTGAAGCCAAGGTCTGGCTTGCCAACCAACGTACTTTTATTAAGTGGCAGCACGTTAGCGTCTTGCTCGCCTCTTTGTCCCTGGGCTTGTACAATGCGGCAGGTGAGGGCAATGATATCGCTAGGGCGCTTGCCGTGGTGTATACCTGCGTTGCGGCTTTCACGCTTGCATGGGGCTATACGATGTATATCTACCGTGCGAGGTTGATTCGCGAGAGGAGCGGCAAAGATTTCGATGCTGTTACGGGCCCGCTGGTGGTTTGTGTGGGATTGGCGGTTGCGTTGTGTTTGAACTTTGGTTTCAAGGTATGTTCTTCTTTCCCTTCCCATGGGATGTGTATGGGGAACTGAGATGATATGAAAAAACATGCTGACGTTTGATTTACAGTACAACGCTCTCGTCAAGGAGAGACAACATCATCTCCACCATCACCACGACGCTGGTGTCAATGCTAGTTTCGGAACTGAACAGATGGAACTCAGGGTTTGAGTAGCAAGTCGGTTTTGTGGAATTATCGAAAACAGGGGCGAGGGAAGGGAATAGTCGCAGGTATTCTTGCATAACATCAGGCAATGGAGATGAGCAATGAGCTGAGATGGGACTTGACCACAGACGTGACTTTGTGGCGGATCACCTGTACAGCGACGTACATGTCAGCACTATGATAATCTAGTCTGCATGTGAGGAGACACGACTCAGGGGCAGTGTAGTCGTACGGGATTGAGTGGTAGCACTCGTGGAATTGCGATGTGTAACGTTGTGATGGTCATCACGCATGTTTTAGACGTAATAATATTTATTGGACTGGCTAGTTCTGGTCGAGTGAGATGTCTTCTGCATATCGTTTACTGTTGATGTGTCTTCCATCGAATGAACTCAATGTATTCGGCAACCCTCCTCATACCCTGTCTGCCGTAACACTCAGGAGGACACGAATGCTGCAAATCCTTCATATCCAACTCTTTTCTATACTAACACATTCACGTCGGCTCCCCACCATGCCCTCACTCAGTCTGACTGGAGAGGACGTCTTTATCGAGATGTGATCGTGGTGTTGTGATTGATACGGGTATGAGATGAGTTTGCTTACGAGGATTCTATGTGATAGTAGGCAAGAAGAAGGCATGTGTTGTATACTGTGCTAGGTACTTCAAGAGAATGTATACAGCACCTCAGACCTCATCTGCGTATTTTGAATGTAATAAGAGTGCGTATGTGGCAATGCCACATGCCGCTCGTTCTCTTCTAGAGGCGTTGACACGACCAGACTTCACCGGAGATGAGAAACCCGGCGGAGGATATCACGCAAGTCTGCCTCATCTCATTCCGTTCACATGGTTTCTAAACATAGCGATGGATCAACAGTTCGTTACTTGGTGGAGTTGATGCGAAAAAGGGATGCCTCAAAAGATACCCTCCTCGGTGTACTCCACAGCCCACCTTGCCCCATACCACCAACAGATACTTGCGACGAGTATGTGACATGTGCATCGTGGGACAGAATCTCCGCAGTTTTCTTGTTGTTGTGTGCAACAGATATTGTGCCGTCTATTAATATTTGGAGAGAAGAAGCATCAAAGAAAGGCATGGACGAAATGTGGTGGTGGCTGGTGCGCTGGTGATGGGGCTGGTAGTTGGCAGGTGCACTAGTCTTGTGTTTCGCTGCTCAAGCTTTGTGGCTGGTGCTTCCGTTGGAATGAAACCAGGATACTCAGTGCTTGACACATCGACGTACTTCCACGAGGTTTATTGACAGCAGAGGGCGTCCTTCTACCATTGCCATCGGCAGCCTTGTAGTCGATAGCGTCCTCTGAAAAATTAGCAGAACAGGCGTTCAACGACGACATCGTGCTGTAGTTGACCCAAACTTTTGCGTAGCGGCAACCGATGCTAGTTGCACGGTTAGCCGAAGAGAATGCGACGTCTTGATTCGGCGAAGCACAAGCCCTCGTGCGAGGCTGAAAAGGCAAGTTGCTGAGGCTACCACAAGGAAACGTGAAACGTGCCACACGCGACCTGACCGACATCGCAGGCATGTGGAGGCCCACAGACCGGGCGCCGAACGGTTCCCTTGATTGCAGATCATAGTCGTCGTACGCCGTCTGTCTTTGACAACCGAAATGTGAAACTATGCAATCAAAATCTGCCATTGAATGCTAGAGCCATCGAATCGTATCGGAGAAACACATTTCGAGATGTAATTCTCCCGGACACCGCTTAGAGCGGAGGTGGCGAGGCTGAAAGGGCTCCACAATGTTGATCGTGTCCAAGGGGCGCATGACTTTGGTAATAAATTGGACTTTACCAGCCGGTCCCAATTTACGGCGGATGTACAGCAAGGGCACGTACGGCCTCAATAACCTAGAGGAACCACGTAGCACGACAACGGCGAAGGGCTGAGTTCTCGCGATGGAAAAAGGCTGTGATGGGTGGTCTTGACAGCGCCGGACAGCAGCGCGTCGTGTCGTTAGGCGGACGATGAGGTGGTCTTGCATTGGGGCTTTGGAGGAGTGGAGCGAGTGGCTAGGATGCGCCTTGACGATCTGCAGGCACAGACTGCCAAGACTCCGCTTTCGACCTCAACCAACCCGTCAGTCCCGCTGTCATGACATCGTAACAAACGCCAGAAAACGTCTTCGGGTGGCCTTACTCGCGGCCTTATCTGCCTTTCGAACGGTGAGCATTCACAGATTGCCTGACAATAGGGAAGCATATTGTTCAGATGGCTTGAAGACGAACAGTTCACTGAGAAGACCCTGGGTCAAAAATGTTAATACTTTTTGCCTGCATATAGGCTACTGCCCTAGCTCAACTGCGGCTTTCTGCTGCACTGCTGCACACCATCTAACGATGATTGCCCTATGGATCCCGGGAAAAGCCCCGCGCTTTGATGCCGACTTGCGGGAAAAAAGTGTGAATGTGATTGGTGTCACAGCCTCGAATGCACGTTTGTACCCAGTTTGTGGGTTAGCGCACGTCAAGGCAGACCGGCCTGTCAGTATTTGTACGCGGGCGGATCCATCATGCGTCACTTTCCAGTATATCACCAGCCTCCTAGTGGCGCGTGTGGATTTTCCCTTTCTTAAGAGGAACCGTGTGGGCTGTTACCCGTCTCTTATCATCCCAATTCCCTCGTCTCTGAGGCCAACATTCCCACGAACAACTTATCTTTCGCCCAGAAACGAGCGAAAGAGCGTGCCTGGAGTTATTTGCCCCCGGCCGTTTGCAGTCCACTGCGCTTTCCCGGACTAGAGCCTGCACGTGACCGTTTGCCTTGCGTTCAACGTGCGTACATCACCTCATCGCACGTACAGAGCAAGCGCGTTCGATTTACCACACCTGCTGCCAAACAATACTTCCCAGACTCCTCCTTCCTCTCCGCCCTCACCCACATTCGCCCTCGCTGGTCCAACAATTCCATTCGTTCCAAGTTCATCCCACCCTCTCCACGGTAGATAGCTTCCTCACCCCCTCGCCATGAAGACTTCCGCTCTGCTCGCCGCCATTGGCGCAGCATCACTGGCCGTCGCCTCCCCCGTTCTGCCCTCACGGACCCAGCCCATCAAGGTCGAAGCTCGCCAGGCTGATGGTACCACTCCCCCATGTGCCAAGGTCTCCAACTACGTCTACGGTAATGGAACACAACCCGCTCAGCTCAGTATGCCTGCCCAGTTGGCCTGGGACTGCATCAACACCGTTCCCTTCAACGCCTCATCAGCAAAGCGGCTTATTGGAGCGATGCGTCCCTATATTGAGTGGCAGAGCACCCTCTCTGAGCTCAAGAACCCGCCTGCCGAGTACGCCGAGAAGGTGCAGCCTCCCGTCGACATCTTCGGTGGTCTCGATAAGATCGAGGACGACATTGACGCCGGCAACTTCAAGAACGAGTACGACTTTGGCTGGACTCTCTACAACCTTATCCTTTCTGCCCACGATGGTCACTTCTCGTATATCCCGGACTCCGTCGGTTCTATCTTCACATGGGGCCGCCCTATTCCCCTAGTCTCTGTCTCTGAAGATGGAGAACAGTTGCCAGCTGTCTTCGTCTTCACCGACGTACTCGGTATGCAATACAAGAACATCTCCTACACGCCATCGCCTGTTGTGCAAATTGACGGCAAGGACGTGACCGAGTTCCTCGAGGACCTCAGTCAGTATGGCTCTCTTCAAGATCGAGACGCTCTCTACAACAACGTCTTTTACGAGCTCGCCCAAGTTAGCCTTGGTTCCTCGGGTAGTGGAACCGGTGTCTTCACTGGAGGTGGCCGTGGACGATGGGTTTACCCTGGTGCCACCACAACCCTGACCTTCGCCAACGGCACATCCTACACTATGGAAAACTACGCCCGCCCAACCATTCCTTTCCGCGAGATTGCTACTGGTGAAGACCTGGCTAGGAAGTGGTTCAGCTTTGACTCCGCAGGTGCTTCATTTGCCGATACCCGTGTCCAGTCGGAGGAAGAGGAGGTATCTACCCTCGCTGTTGGTGCCGCTACTCCTGGTTTCCCCGCTCCTGTCGCCGCTGGCCCCCAGGGTCTCATTAACGGCTTCTACATCGACGCCCCTGGTTATGAAGACGTTGCGGTATTGCAGGTGCCCAACTTCGTCGGAAATACCCGCGCAGAGGTGCCCTTCCAGGAGCTCACCCAGAACTTCATCCCCAAGGCTCTCGCCGACGGAAAGACTAAGCTCATCATCGATCTTCAAGCCAACGGTGGTGGTACTATTCTCCAAGGCTACGACATGTTCAAGCAGTTGTTTCCTGATATGGAACCTCTCGGCACCAACCGCTGGAGGGCGCATCAGGCTATGGACCTCGTCGGACAGTCTTTCAGCAAGTTTGGGAGCCAATTTCCCAGGGAGCTCGGCAACAACAATACGATCAGTTTTGCGCAGTCTTCTTACTTCGACTACCACATGGACATGAAGGCTGATGGTACTCCATTCTCCTCCTGGGACGAGAAGATGGGCCCTAAAGAGGTTAATGGAGAGCTATACACCACAGAGGCTCGATGGAATCTGTCTGATGTATACGTCCCCTACGTATCTGGTGGCATCAATGTCACTGGCTACGGACCCTTGTCGGGCGTTACCGGACCACCTAAGTTCGCACCCGAGAACATCGTCATCGTGACCGACGGTTACTGTGCCTCAACCTGCACTATATTCAGTGAGTTGATGAAGCAACAGGGCGGTGTCAAGACCATCGCGATGGGTGGCCGCAGCAACAAGAACCCCATCCAGGCCATTGGCGGTGTCAAGGGTGTCAACAACTTTGCTTTCGGCTTCATCCAGCAGACCGTCCAGTACGCCGTCAGGTTCGATCCTTCGCTCAATTCATCCATCTTGAGGGAAGACTATTACAGCGACGTCGTTTTCGCCCGCAGCGTCGGTGGAGGTGGAGCCGTCAACACCCGCGACGGCCTCCGCGCAAACGACACGTCCGGTGTCGCCCTCCAGTTCCAATACGAGGAGGCCGACTGCCGTCTCTACTACACTCCGGAGATGACTGTTGACATCACTGCCCTATGGAAGTCTGCCGCAGACGCCCAATGGAGCAACAACGGCAAATGCGTCAACGGCGCCCGTTCCGCCGACGAAAAGCGCGCCACCCCCAAGGCCATGAAGATCACGACCAAACTCAGCCCACCCGTAGGACGCGTACGCGTCGCGGATGTAGACAACCGCATGCACGCATTTGAAAAGAGTTTCGAGCTGGAGACGGAGTGCAAGCTCAAGGGTAACGGTTTCATGGAGCCGTAAGCGTGGTTTCCATACCTACGAGGCTTCTGTAGGGTCTGCTTTCATCACGGTTGTTTTCCCAATCCAGCGTGGAGTTCTTGGCGCCGAAAAAGGGACGTCTTAGTAGTCCCATAATGTGTATTGTTTTGGAATGGTATGAGATGGGAACGCTACGGAGAGGTACTTAGCATGTTAGACCGCGTGGTGCAATTGAAATACCCCCTATGATTCGATGATTTGAACGTTGTCTTTGGAGTCTACAACGTGATTTCTTGTCTATTACGCCACGCAATGATTGTCTGTGTAGAATACATTGCGACGCCGTGTCTACTACCCCACTCAATAATCATCCGTGCAGACTACATTGCAACACTAGCTCTACCTCGCCATACATGGAGATACTACGTATTCCTCAAAATGCCCTCCAACAAGCGCTCTTCTTCTCTCTTTGCGCCATGTGGGTGTCGCAGTAATTTTTGAGCGGCGTACTTTGGTCCGCGTGAAGCAGCCAAAACGGAGATTCGGTCATGAGCCTTTTGCGGTATGCTTTATATATGCTCATTCGCTACTTACTCCGTTCATTCTGGTTCTCGCTCAGCGAGCGGATCGTCATGGCCTGAATGTCGTGCATCTCGAGGCGAGACAAACATATGAAGTAGCTACTCATGTCTTCTTTTTTGCTAATGCGCACTTGTCGTCCTCACGATCATGTAAGAGTCGATTCGGTTTTGAAACTCGGCAGGGTTCCGACACCATATCCAGTGCCATAGGTAGTTGGAGTGAGAAGGGAGCGGAGGAGTCGCTCTTACATTGATATGACGTTGGTATGTTTTGGAGAAGAGAAGCAGACCATCGAGCGCTGCCTTCGCAGTTTTGGTACTCCGTGAATGAGGTATAGGATAAGAGAGAGAATGTGCATGGCAAGAGAAGGGTGACTTTATACATCGCTCATGCTAGGCTGAAAAGTCGCCGTGAGGCGTGGGTTGCGAGCTTTTGTGACGGGCAGACGTACTCGACACGGGATGTCTCTGGAACCATCTTGGCTGGTCTTGCACATGTGGTAAAACTTGAAAGATTTTGGAGGAGAAAGGAGGAGAACACGCTCTGTCTCTTTTTTTTTTTGGAGAAGGGGGTGGATATGCGGAGAGAGAAGGCACACGAGAAGGCGGAAATCTCATGTATCATGTACGCAGGGAGTGTTAGAGCACACATTGCCAGTGACTGATCATGTTTTGGTAGGCAAGCTTGACAGTAATGCGCTTCTGTGCTTTCGGTCGCGCCTCGCTCGTCACTGAGTCCATAGTTCTTTTGTGAGCTCTGGGGTGGAGGAGAACCACATGTGATACCACTATCTGGATTTCGGGAATAAGGAGGCAGATATTGGTGACGAGAAGAGAGAGAGCAAACGGGAGAAGGAGAGTTTATATACGCGACGCGCGGCGCGCCCGGTTGATCTGGCCATGATCAGGGCGACGGGTAATTTTGAAATACTAGATTGGCATGATGCAGTGATCTTCGAATTTGTTGTCGCACTTAGAACATAAATTTCGCAATGTGAATTTTGGAGCGGAGGACAGCCATGTGCAATAACTCTTTGAATTTCGGTCTTCGAGTAGAGATTTGAGCATGAAAGAAAGAGACGGAGGGCGAAGAGTTTTTTTTTTATAGAGCTCCCTCTTAACAGATTCGCAGCAGGAAATGTAACTTTCTCAATGGTCTCTACTACATCTAGATCTCCTTTGAAGTTTTTGGAAAAGACATAAGAGGCATGAACACTTTACGGTCGTTTTCCCAGTCCAACAGCGGAAGATCATTCATGGATCGAAGGAGCTTTTTGGTAGAACGAGAATGGAGAAATCGTTAGCGGGAGATAGAAAGAGAGCATGTGAGAAATTAAACGCGCATTCATACGTCCGCCAAAAATGCGTAGCGCCGCTAGGATTGAAGCTTCGGGCCCCAAAAGTCTCCTGGAAACCGACATGTCTGCCGCAGACATGCGCTCATATGGTGTGAGTTTGAGAAGTCACGAACATATCTGCCGTAGACATGACTTTTCGTGCTATGAGTTTGAGAAGTGACAGATGTGGTTGTTGGATACATGTCTTTCGGTCAATAGATACACACCTCCGTTTTCCCATTGTATTCGGTATGTGAAAGATGGATCAGGACATATCAGGAGTTCGCGATATGCTCTTCACGCGTACGATCATTGCGCTACCTCCCACTTTCCCTCAATAATATCTAGCTGTGACGAATACATACGATTCAATAACTCAAAACGAGCGACCATCAAGATCATGTAGGAGTCTAGCTCGCTTTGTGTGGAGCCCATCCCGCTCCTTTGTACGTGGACGATCCGCCAGATCCACAAAGAGCAAAATTATTTTGAGGACTACAAGTAACTTACCGCTTACTGAATTTTCCACACACCTAACCAAGATGGTGACATGCGATTTCGCAAAGACCAGCACGTTGTGCTCGATATCATGTAGCAGTCTAGCGTAGCTATCCTGGCTAGGAAGATAGAGTACATCGTGATGCCAAGCTGTGGTGGATGCGCACTGCTTGCGCTTATAGACTGGTTGAGACTGGGGAATTGTACAAACTCTAAGATGTAATTTGCTGCAGACCCATAGACTTACTTCATGCGACTATCTTTGATATCGGGGTTACCATTGCAGCGGTAGGAAGCGAGGTAGGCGTTGAGAAGACTCCGTGGCAAGGTTTCAGTCACCTTAGTTGACGGGTCAACGTTGAAGGGCTGGTTTGATGCGAGTGGGTTGTATCCTGGACGGGCCATTGCGAGAATAGCATCAAGCTCGGATTCCTGTGTGTACATGCGGATGACCAACTTGGCACCCAGATCCATCTCCGTGGCAAATCGTCGAGTGGCATTAAGCATGTCTTGATACCCTTTCTCGACTGTGTTATTATGGATACTGTATAAGATTTCTTTGATAGCTTGATATGATCACAAGCGACACGTGACTGATAGGCTCTTCCACCAAGGCCCGGGCTATACATGCTATATATATGATACAAACGGATATGTATAGTTGCAGGATACCAAAGACACGCTCATGCTGGTGCGAATCGAGCGTTGTATATGAAGGGAACATAGTTCTCCACCCATCGAGACGCCGTGCCCTTCAAGAAGATCCTCCGTTACATTCGAGTGACAAGGCCGTGGGTCTGGATCAGATGGGTGTCGTACTTTGATGGACTGCTGGGCTTGTGGGTCATGGTGCATCCTTCTACGTAGCAAGAATGGACCGTTGGCTTCTCCCACTCGAGCACAGTTGACTGATCGACTCTGTGCTCTTTCTGCAGATGGACACGGTAGCTTCGATGGATTGCGGCTTCAAATGGCTTTTCATGTGAGTGACAAGGTCTTCGAATGTTGACAACGGTCCTGTCATATTGCAGCCAGATATCAGACACCGAGCGGGTACGTCATCCCACCTCCTTCTAACGCGGTATGACAAGATGCAATGACGCAAGTGTTCTCGCGGTGATAAACTTGAAGTACAGCCGAGTGCAACATTCAATACGGATCTTGGGTTGGCATTCCGTTGACTGGCGAAATGTCTTTGTGATATCCGATATGATCGGATGACTTGAGACGGCTGCCGTCGGAGGTGTACTGGAGACGGTCAGACAGCGACAACCGACATGCGATGTTAGCCAGCGTCACGAGGCGACTGCAACACCAACGTCACGCATCCAGCCATGGCAGCCTTGGAAAGGCATCTCGGCAGCCCTAGAAGCCAGGCGAGGCTTCGCGAACCACGGCTCTTGTGCCAATAGCGGGCAGCGCGATGGAAAATTCGCCGCTGGAGTTTCGGGCCCCACGTTCTTTGAGCGCCCTCGCCGCTAGTTGTTGGCCCGAGCCAGGTTCCGTCCCCGAGATTACCCGACCTAAAAATGGCGGACCCTGACAATGGTGGCTCGCAGAAAGGAGAGGGTGGGAGACTTGGGCTGGAAGAGGCATGTGAACACTTGTACATCCCCACAGTGGATTTTCCATGTTGAATTGACGGCTGCGGGCTGCCTTTAGACGCAGTCTCGTCAAGCCATAGGCATTGTGTGGCTGCTACGGCAACGCTTGTGGGGGTTCCGTTGGGATCAAGAGGCAGAGAATCGTGAATTGGATGCAGAGCACGTCGTCAATATATAGCAATTGAAGTGTGTAGGAAGCCAATTGCAATGCGACGACCATCGTGAGCACTTTGTCTCATTCACCATTGTCCCAACCCGCGTTTCCGAGGTGTTGATGAGGGTGCGCTCGGGATAGCGGGCGAGACCACTAGCACGTGATTGGCTTAGTGCGAATTAGCGCTGCTGGCAGAATTTGTCGCAGCTTCGCTACAAATACACCGTTCTTCCCTCAACGCAGCACCAGCATCTGCAACCTCACCTTTTTCAACCAATCTCCCCTCCATACATCATCCAAGATGTCGGGCGTACAGCAGGGTATGTCTTGCATGTACGAATTGCACGGAACGCACGCTGACGATCCAAACAGACAAGTCCCTTTTCGGGATGCCAGGTTTCGTGGTGGACTTCTTGAGTACGTCAATCTCCATCGACAGCTCCATCAATCTGTGTGCCATTGGCACTTGGAAGTGATGCGAGCGTTGTCGGCGAAGTTTTGCACACGCAGCAGCAACTAACAGCTTATCAGTGGGTGGTGTTTCCGCCGCCGTCTCGAAGACCGCTGCTGCCCCCATCGAGCGTGTTAAGCTCCTCATCCAGAACCAGGTAAGCATTATCAGAGTCTCGACCCCCGCATCTCAACAATTGCTCACACACCCCGCAGGATGAGATGCTTAAGTCCGGTCGTCTCGACCGCAAGTACGACGGCATTGGCGAGTGCTTCAGCCGTACCGCTAAGAACGAGGGTGTCCTCTCCCTCTGGCGTGGTAACACTGCCAACGTCATCCGTTACTTCCCCACCCAGGCGCTCAACTTCGCTTTCCGCGACACCTACAAGTCCATGTTCGCCTACAAGAAGGAGCGTGACGGTTACGCCAAGTGGATGGCCGGTAACTTGGCCTCCGGTGGTGTAAGTACATGTGCTCAATGTCTGGCAAATCACGAATTAACAGCAACAGGCTGCCGGTGCCACTTCCCTCCTCTTCGTCTACTCCCTCGACTACGCCCGTACCCGTCTCGCCAACGACGCCAAGTCGGCCAAGAAGGGTGGTGAGCGCCAGTTCAACGGTCTTGTAGACGTCTACAAGAAGACCCTCGCTTCCGACGGTATCGGCGGTCTCTACCGTGGTTTCATGCCCTCCGTCGCTGGTATCGTTGTCTACCGTGGTCTGTACTTCGGTATGTACGACTCGATCAAGCCCGTCCTCCTCACCGGTTCCCTCGAGGGTAACTTCTTGGCCTCTTTCGCTCTTGGTTGGGCCGTCACCACTGGTGCCGGTATCGCTTCTTACCCCCTTGACACCATCCGTCGCCGCATGATGATGACCTCCGGTGAGGCCGTCAAGTACAAGGGTACCATGGACGCCGCTCGCCAGATCGTTGCCGCCGAGGGTGTCAAGTCTCTCTTCAAGGGTGCTGGTGCCAACATTCTCCGTGGTGTTGCCGGTGCCGGTGTCCTGTCCATCTACGACCAGGCCCAGCTCATCCTCTTCGGCAAGAAGTTCAAGGGTGGATCTGGTTAAGCGCCTTTCTTCCCTCTACGATACCCCCAACCTGCGTTTATGTGGTGGAAGCAGTTATTCGCGACGTGAGAGATGGGGATGGGGTGTACGTGTATGAGAACGGCAACACGCCCTGTGGGCCGACGGTTGTTCTTGGTTACGAAAAGCACGATCCCGGGTGGTAACACACTCTTGTACTTTATACATTCACACGTCATATCCGGCTTGCAATGCTTCATCTGTTTCTGGCTGTACTTCCTCTTTTCATCGCTTGGTGCAATGGGGAAAATAGTGGTCTATAGAAAGTCATGGGTTTCTTTGTATGAACAAACTGCTTCTAACATGAGTGATGCACTGCTCTCCTGACTGCCCATACTCATGCAACGCCTCTATAAGCAAGCACGTGCTCAAAATCCGCCCCCATTCTTACCCTGAACCGCTCTCCACACGCTCTCCTCGCCCTTCTTCAGTGCCTCCCCCGCCTTGTTCAGCATGCTCCACGCCTGCGCACCAACGCCCTCCCCCTCAACGTCTCCCGCTCCGCTCGACCGACCAATGCCTCCTCCAGCAGTATACGGCGCGTTATCCATAGCCTGAACATAACCCGGTGGGTGTTCCAAGCTCGTCCTCGTGGGCTGCGCTTGATCAGCCGATTGGAACGGCGACGCAGCAGGGCCGTAGTTGAGCGTCGTAGGACCAGGTTTGCTAGCCGTCGTAGTCGTCACCGTCGACCTCCCTGCCAACATGGAATCCGTAGGCGGAGGATGACTGAACTGCGGCGGCGGTGGCGCTTGTCGTGTCTCTGTTGTGATGACAGTCGCTGTTGGGACGGCACCTGCTTGTGGTGGTGCTGGTGTATATCTGTCGTTTCCTCCTGCTACTCCGACTGAGCCTGTCGGTGCGGCAGGACGGGCTCCGGGCTGTGGTGCTGGAGGATTCGACGATGCATCTTGCGTTGTTGTAGCGGGGGCGTAGGCAGGCGATGTGCGTGTGGGAGGGGGGTTGGAAGCGTTGTCAGGGTCTGAAGAGGCGGTTGAAGGGGTGATGGCGTCGGCTTTTGCGGCGGTCGTGGGTGCGATGGGGGCGTTCTTGTGAATGGGAATTGGGGGCATGGTGAGTAGGTTGCGAGGATCTGTAGCGGTCTATGAGTTGTGTGTGGTTCGTGAAGGTGGAGAGTATTGTAGAGGGCGTGGCCGCGGTAGAGCGGACAATTACTTTCTAGATTGTTGGGCGGATGGAAGGATTGGGTTGAAAGTGTTCTGGGGGTATGGACACGTTGTAGAGATCGTCTTGTTGCTGCCTTGTGCTATGCTCTGCTGGCCTCTTTGACGCGTTCTTTGGTTCAGATAGAGGTGCTTGCTGCTTTGGGCGATGATGTCATTTACCACGTGAAACTTTCTTTCGACCTTTGTAGCGCGTATGTCCCCTGTTCGACTTCACTTCTCCCTATGCATCATACTCAACATTCCTTACTCAAGCGGGAGGCTGCTATAGTTCCTGCGCTCGTTGTGCAACATCTCCCCGGCGTGAATCTACTTTGGTAATAATGATCTGACCATAGGTTCTACTCACGCTCAACTCTAATTGTTCCATAACTGATCGAACGTGCGCATCACAGCGCTGAAATTACCAATCTCTTTATCCGTCGTTGTTCCTTTTCCCATGCATATCGACATGTAGCGATGCCAAGCACATGAGCGGCTGTTCGGCGCAGTCGAAACCACACTCACAGGTCAAGAGAAGCTTCATGGCTTCGTGTCCGTTTCGTCCCTTCCTCGATCCTTCTCTTTAACCAATTCCCATGTCGTTGTGCCCATCTCAATCTACTATGGCATCAACTGCATGCTACGGTGTGCCTTGATCAGGAGTTGGATCCTACAAAGGACCGATGGGGATACATCAACAGTCCAGACGCTTCGGTAAAGGAAGAGATTTCGAACGTTCTCAAGAAAAGAAATTTTGCCCACGCATATACGCTTCGACGAAGCGCACACATTGGTACCGCCAAGAGGCTTGCGTATCGTCATACCCACCTCTCCCATCAGTCAGCCTTGCACACAAGCCGACAGCGCCCCACACCAGATCGAATCGCGTGGCACAACAGATCCATATTTTCGAGATTGAACATATGCATCAGGACCATCTCCGTACATTCAATACTTTCGATACATGTGGTTTACTGATCAATCACGACTCAAGCCGCCCACTCCACCACTTAATCGGTAGCGATACCAGCAAGCGCCCGCCATGTCTCCATAAGTCCTCTAGCCAAGACGTTCCTGCGGGTGCGCAGTCACGGTGTTCAAGTGTGCCCTTGTTTCGAACGACGTCCTTCGCAATCTCACGTCTCGAAAAGTGGAGTTACCCGCACCCGTTTGGGTTAGTCGTTTCAAACAGGATCCTTCCGCATGGTTGCCAAGAACGTTTGACATGTCGCGACGTTTGTCCGCTGTACAGAACCCAGCAAGGGAAGAGAGCTCACCCGAGATCGTGAGCGATGGCCCTGGTATTCCATCATGGCGGGTCTTTCGGCGGAGTGTATTGGTGCGAAGAGGTTGAAACTATTGTGCCCCGAGCGCCTATGCCATCGGCAAGGGCCTGACCACGGCGGGGACACCATAGACAGCCAGCACCCGATGCAAGTGGATACTGGACGACTGTATATAAGGATGTGCGTTACCGTCCACTGAGATCTTCGGCAGCAAAGCTCTTCCATTCTTTTCTACAGCAACTCCAGTCCTTCGCTTTTCCCCTTTCACATTCATTTTCCAACTTGACCAACACACTTCTTTCGACAATGAGGTTCTCAATCATGTCTCTCGGCCTCATGGCCGTCTCTGCTCTGGCAGCACCTATGCCATCTCAGATCTCACCCAAGCGTTCCGGTCTCACCAAGCGCGCTGCATCTCTGGAAGATGTCGCGACCACCGGTTTCGCTACACAGAACGGAGGTACCTCTGGAGGAAAGGGAGGCAAGACCATCGAGGTCGGCTCTCTCAGCGATTTGCAGGCTGCCGTCAAGGGCGACGACGCCGCCATCGTTCTCATCACCAGCCCCATCAAGGGCAGCGGCGAGAATGTCAAGATCGGCAGCAACAAGTCTGTCATCGGCAAAGACTCCTCCGTCGTCCTGACCGACTTCACCCTCACCGTCAAGGCCGTAAAGAACGTCATCCTCCGCAACTTCGCCATGGAAAAGGTCGTCGGCGGCGACGCCATCGCCATCCAAAAAGCCCAGAACGTCTGGGTCGACCATGTAGACCTCTCCTCTGACCTCGACCACGACAAAGACTACTACGACGGTCTCCTCGACGTAACCCACGCCGCCGACTATGTCACCATCTCCAACAGCTTCATGCACGACCACTGGAAGTGCTCTCTCGTCGGCCACTCGGACAGCAACGGCAGCGAAGACAAGGGCCACCTCACCGTCACCTACAACAACAACTACTGGAAGAACATCAACTCGCGCGGTCCCTCGTTCCGCTTCGGCACCGGCCACCTCTACAACAACTACTACGAGAACGTCAGTGATGGCATCAACACCCGCCAGGGCGCTGAGCTCCTCGTCCAGAACAACGTCTGGTCTGGAGCTAAGAAGGCGCTGTACAGCCAGGACGGTGGCAAGGCTGTTGCTGAGGGTAACGACTTTGGAAACAGCGAGAACACTGCTGACAAGGGTTCGATGAGCAAGATGCCTTATGAGGTGAAGGAGATGCTCGAGGCGGGTGCTGTTAAGGACGCCGTTGTTGGCACTGCTGGTGTCACGCTTAAGTTCTAAGCGTAGGGTCTGCTTACTGTACGACATGATCATTCGGTTTGGAAATGAGTGAAGGACAAAAGCAGGGGATTTTGAAGGCTTTGATTTGTAAATATTTGGTCAACCGACTTTCTTGTATATATGGACGCTGTGCGGACAGTTTTGAGCAATGAAAAGGATGCTTTTTGTTGTATCTTCATTGGTATGTCCTTTTGCTTTTGAGTACCTGTTTTCATTGCTTCCTTACACTACAGCCGTCTCTCCGGGTGATGTGTATCCTTCGGCTTCCCTTGTGGAGATTCTGTGGTTCTGTCTTCCTCTAGATCCTACTCATGCCCCTCTCAATCACCTATTAACATCAAATATCTGCTTAAACACGGTATTAACCAGCATACCCGGACCTATCTTCATCGGCAAAGTCACCTCCTTCAACTTGCTCAACAGCTCCTCTGACCTCTCCTTCAGAGACTCTTTCCCTGACGTCTTCTCCCCCTTACCATCGCCGCTTCCCATCCTATAGTAATACTCCGGCCAAGATTTTCCATCCCCTTCTTCCAGCCCTCTTTTCTCGAGGAGGCTCACTGCCACTTTCGAATGGCCCTCCAAAGACGGTCCAGTCTGGTCGTGCTTCTGGATGGTCAGGATATGCCATCATACTGAGGCAACCGGGACGTGTCGCGATCCTGAGCGATTTGAGATTCGGAGCACTGCGCACAAGCAGTCCAGCGGCCTTGCACTCTCCGCTGCCCATATCTTCTGGCATCAATGTAAGCGATTCGACATTTGCAAGCTGAGGGGCTATCCACGATTCATGAGCCTTATGTGCGTAATTCATATCCCTCGTACCAGCCCGTAAACTGAAAACAACATCGAGACGCTTGATCTTTGTCTGATGCTGCAACAGATAAAATAGCATCCCTGTGAACAGATTGACTTCTCCAACTAGAGCGCAGAGTGCCCCCTCGGAAAGTTCGCTGATGATTGTCATGATTATTGTTTCCGTGGAATAGTCGCATTCGTCATACAGTTTCTCGTGACCTCCGCGAGCGATGTAAAGGCTCCTTACGTGGGGTATGACGCCATTTCCAGGCTCGAGAAGTGTGCTGAGCATCTCCGCGGTGATGTCATCACTTGCTATTGTAAGGTTCGAGAAAGCCATTGGTGCCATCACGTCTCGCCATTCGTGGTTAACGAGACAGACAGCTGCTTTAGTGGCTTTGTTGCGTATAAAGGCAAACACGTTGGCGTTCATCTCCACCAGGAGGCTTGAGAAGCTAGCTGGGCCTGATAGACGATAGTGGTGGAGTGCAACAGGGTACAACTTCAAGAAAAGCGTGGAAGCCCAAGTAATGGTCCGAGTGAAAGCCCTGGAGACGCTGACAACGTTTCTCTCCATTGTTGCCGGCTCGTCCACCTATGTGCGACTCATACGGAAAAGTATTAAAACAGAATACTACTCCTTCAGCACACCCTCCACAACCTTCATAATCTCCACCAGCTCCTCATCCATCATACTCTTCCCCATAACCTGTACATGCGTGGGTAAACCTTCGCACTCATCCGCATCATCTGCAGCACACGTTAGTCGTCAATCTCTATTTGTTCCAAAAAAGACACTTACAAGGCGGTTCATACGCCACGTCCCCCTTCAAGAACTCCGCATCAGCTCCCTTCTCCGCTTTCCCAGCAGCCAGCACGCCACTCGGCCAATTCAACAAATTGACCACGACCGTATAAATCGGCAAGCCATAGGTATCATGCTTCGGCGCCACACCCTGATACCCCGGCATCAGAACGGCGTCTAACCCCTTCTCTCCGTCACCACCGACCATCAACCCATGCCACTTCTTGACGACCCCTGCCTTCTTCACATTCAAATCCCAGAGTTCATCCAGCGTCGGAACCCAATCTTTCAACTCAGAGAATGAGCATTTTGACAGCGAGGGAATAGGCGGCTCCCCTCCATCCTTGATATATTGCATCGGCGTCTTTTTCGGATCCAGCATGAAGAACTTCCACGCCAACAGGGCAGTCTGGTAGAGATCCGGTATCTTCTCATCCAATAGCACGATCTCATGGCCCTGCCCTTTCAACTTCATCGCCGTGGTGTGTAAAGCCCGTGCGATAGGAGGATGAAGCGGCCGCTCCTTACACCCCCTGACCAGGCCGAACCGCAAGGGCTTCGTAGAAGGTTGAACGCGCCGCCACGGCACATTAAGACTATTCTCGTCGTATAGATACGGCTTCGCATCTCCCACGCTCCGCATAAAGAGTTCGTAATCGCGTACAGAACGGCCACAAGGTCCTATGACAACGGGTACGGAACCAGGACTACCCACCCTTCCCACCGCCACACCTCCCGCGAACGGCACCCTCCCCGCCGTCGGCTTCAAAGATGAGCCTCCACAGCAAATTACGGGAATGCGATTCGAACCTGCTACATCCGTTGCCACGCCCAACACACTGCCTTTCATAGCAAGGAGCGCGCCCTCGCCGCCTGTAGAACCGCCGGCCGTGTGAGATAGTTTGAGCGGGTTCAGCGTGCGGCCGAAGATGTTGTTGTGGGAATCGGCTGTCATCATGGTTTGGGGGAGGTTGGTTTTGACGTAGAAGACTGCGCCGAGGGAGTGCAGGAGATTTACCAAGGAGGAGTTTGAAGCAGCAGGTGGGTGCGCGATGAAGGATATGTAGCCTAGGGTTGCTTGAACGCCTTTGACGTTGAAGGAGTCCTGTTTTGAGTGAGGTTAGACAGATGGTGATGAGTATGTGGGTAGTGTGGTGAAGGAGATGGGTTTAGTAATTTCGTGATGAGCGGGAAATGCTGGGTGCGAGGTTAAGACCTGGGCATGGTAAGATAGGACGTACCTTCAAACTAATCGGCAGCCCATGCAGCGGTCCCATAACCTTCCCCTCTCTCTTCAGAAAATCATCACATTCCCTCGCTCTAGCAAGCGCATCCTCGAACATAATCTCCGTCAAACAACTCACACACTGCTGCGCCACAGCCGCTCTCTTGCAAAACGCCGTCACCACCTCTGTGCTCGACAATTGGCCCTCTGCCATCATTTTGACCAAATCCGTGGCATCGTAGTTTTCGGTGATGTCTAGCTCTTTCTCGGTCAAGATGCCGCATGTTCGCGGTACGTCTAGCACGGATATACCGGATGTTTCTGTGCATTGAGATGTTTGGGAGGGAGACAGACGCCATTCTTTTGGTATTTTTGCGTAGACGGATTCGCGTTTTGAGGCGGCCAGGGTGCGCCAGTCGGGTATGGATGGTGGTGCTGCGGTCATGGTGTTGGTGATAGGACGACTGGGGTTAGATGGATAAGATCGAGGTCGCTCAGGTTGAACTTGTTAGGCAACGAAGGATAGGTATGTAAACGAGACTTTGAGGTAAGAAAAGGCAAATCGCAGCGGTGAGGATGCAATAGTGAAGACACCGCTGTGTATCATTCTTACATGCTGACGATGAGGGGTTTTGAGGGCTATGGGGAGCCGGCCGAGGTTGCCGCGTCGGAGGGAGATCCCGAAAGGCGTGCAGCGTGGGGATATGCGGGTATGGACTGGGGTAGTCAGGTGCACGAAAGAACCTCCTTCGGCATATAAGGCAGAGAGTTGCTCGAGGAATCGCTAGAACTTCATTTGGATCAATGTCTGGATGGCCAATGTAAATATTTCGCTAAGGCAACATAAGCTCTTGTGTGAACTGGACGTGGGCGGCACCATGCCGGGAGAAAACTCAAGAACGCCTATTGCCTGATCAATACCGCCTTAAGAATATGCTCCCTACACCTGATATATGCTTCAATCCCTTCTCCTCTCGCTCTTCTCGTGTGGTGACATGCTTCTTGTGTCCTTTCGCCGTCTCCGGTCTCTCGAGAGTGATCTTGATCTTTTCGCATCGACATCGCGTTCTCGCCTGCGTTCTGTATGGTCGTCGCGTCGCTTATGGTCGCGGCTTCGTGATCGGTGTCTGCGCCTATCATCACGACCATCATCCCTCCGCCTGTCGCGCGACCGTGAACGTTCTCGATGTCTGTGACGTCGCTCTCTGTCCCGCGAACGACTCCGAGATCGATGTCGTCTCCTTCGCTCTCCGTCATCGTCTCTGTGTCTCCGCGAGCGCTCCTTCTTCTCCCTCCTCTTCGCCTTGTCGTCATCGTCCTCAACTTTGGCCTTCTCGTCTAGCGTATCCTTGACATCTGCCTCATGCGCCTTCTGGCCGAGTGGCGTCAGGTTCGCATTGTTGCGTACTGGCACCGGCAGACCCATAGCAGCTAGCATGGCGTCTTCCTCAGCCTCCTTCAGTTTGCGCTTCTCTTCCTTGATGCGCGCTGCTTCGGCTTCTTTAGATTCCTCGTCGCCCTTTGCGTACCAGTTCAGGTCGCGTCCTTGTTGCCAGCGGCCGACGGGGGCCATGAGCGAGTGGCCCAAGTAGTTTTCGCGTTGCGCATCGTTCTTGACGTCTTCCCATTTGAAGTCGGCGCGACCGCCGCTGGGTACTGTTAGCTGGTATTCTACATCCAAAAATGAGAAAGCTTACCGGCTACCTTCTTTGCGCACTGTCTGTACGAGATCCATGGTGTTGAGTTGTCGTGGTAGTGTAATGCAGAAGACGGCGCAAGTCAATTGCGGCCAACACGCGGAGGTGAGAGGCCCGTGCTACCTACCAGTAGCTTCTCCATCACCAACCTCCAAGAGCTTCCAGACAGCCCTAAGACTCTTCACTCACAGATCCCATCGCCAACATGCCTCCGACACTCCCACCCCCCGACGAGCAAGAATACGATGCGCCCTCGACCATCGCGACTCTGCCTGGGCAAGACCTGAATGCCGGAAACAACCTCTTCTGGTACTTTACCTCGTCGCCATGGTTCGATGCGGAGGAGTGCATCAACATATCTGTCTTCAGTAACCTCAACCTTCATGACCCGGCCAATGCCCAACAAATCATGAATGACCCGACGCTGTGGAATCAAAGACTGAACAGTGTACCACAAGGAATACAATACGTTATAGCAGGCGAAGGACAGGGCGAAGGTCACCCATGGCTTCTCCAGCGCCAACACAAGGCCGAGGTCACAGATTACGATGGCAACAAGAAGAACGGCATGTTCGTGGAGGGCAACTGGTATACGCACAACACAAAGGTTCTAATGGCGCCGAGTTTGCTAGACGTTGTGCAGAGTAGACTGCTTACCGTCGCGACGCGCATGGAGCAGATGGCTGAGATATCCAAGAACATGACACACTGGACACCTGCGACTGGATACTCGTACTTCCCTTCTTCACACGAAGCTGCGAAAGCGGCGACCACGGCGAGCCGAATCGGTAGTCCGACACTCGCGCCTACAGATCCAGACGCAGCGGGCCCGCAGTCACAAGGAACAGGAGCCACGACACAGGCGGCAGATCCATTGGCATCCACCACCGAGTTCTCGGACGCGCTGTTCATGCACTCGTTGAATCTCACGAATGCATACGGAGACGAATACATGGACGAGAACCCACTGAAGGGTGAGCCAGGCGCGTTCGTCTTCGAGGGCACCAAGACCGCTGTCAATGCAAGGAACAAAGCACAAGAGCAAGCGGCACAAGCATCACAGTCTACACCTGCTGCAGGTCTGAAAATCGAGACACAGCCACCGAGCGTAGCACCATCTGCAGCGGGCACACCAAAGGCGGTAGGTACACCGACTACACTGGAAGCACAGGGTAAAAAGGGCATCATCGCGCCGGCGCCCAAGAAGAAAAAGGATCGGAGGAAGAGTCAAGGCGGACTGACTAGTCCGACGACACCGAGTGTGCCATAGATCCGTCGTTCGGACTCGTTTTGGTGTAGGAGCTAGAAGTCATTTCCTTTCATGATACCCCGACTGTATGCAAGTCAAAATCCAAAGATCACCAAAAGTCTTCTTTGTCCGATTCACCATGCGCTTATACCCGTAAACTGACGTATGAAAACCGATAAGAACACCTGCAGCCAACCGGAATGGAAGGTGAGAGTGCGACACCTAACGCCTCTCGCTTTAGCCCGAACGCCGAAGTAAGCCACATGGAAACAGCCCCCAAACAAGCCGTTGATCAACATCTTTCATGTATAAACAGTCGTTGCCACATCCTATTCAAACCATCATCACATCCCCGTCCTACTCACAACCATGGTTCTCAGAAAAGTCGTTATGCCGTCTTCCACACCCAATCCCTCCTCCACCATCTCACCCCCCTCAAAACAACCCCACGACTACCTCCCCGTCTCCAACCCAATGCCTAGCTACTGGCTCCAGCAACCCCATCCCTACGCCACCCTCCGCACAACACCTTCCCTCCCCACAACATGCGACATCGCCATCATCGGCTCCGGAATGGCTGGCGTACTAACCGTCTACCACATCCTCCAAAGTTGCCACAAACGCGCCCTCGCAACCGGTGAACCCATGCCGCGCGTCGTCCTCCTCGACGCCCGCGACCTCTGCAGCGGCGCTACCGCACGGAATGGTGGCCACGCTAAAGTCAAGACTGCAACGCTCGCTGGTATGAAAGACGGGAGTACGCGAACGGCATTGGCCAACTACGTTCAACGCGTGATTTACGAATTGAAAACGCTAGTCGAAGACGAGGGGTTAGCGCAGGAATGCGAGTTTGAACTCCGCCGCAGTTTTGATGTTTTTCAAGACAGGGAAGAGTTTGAAAGGGTGAAGAGGGTATATGATGATGCGGTGAAGAAGGGGGAAGGATGGACGAAGGGAAGGAATGTGATAGAGGGGAAGTATGTAGAGGGAGTGACTAGTATAAAAGGGGCAGTTGGAGCGTTTACATGTGAAGCAGCAAGTTTCTGGCCATACAAGTTGGTCACGGGGGTGTTGGAGGTGTTGGTGAGGAGATTTGGTGGTGGAGAAAATGGAGGTGAGGATGGGGTGTTGAACGTGCAGATGAACACTCCAGTCACCCATCTATCCTCCTCTCCTACATCCTCACAAACAACAACAACAACAACCCTACACACACCCCGCGGCCCCCTCACAACCTCATCCCTCATCCACGCCACAAACGCCTACACCCCCTCCCTCCTCCCCTGTTTCACCAACACCATAACCCCCTACAAAGGAATGAACAGCCACCACACGCCCTCTTACCGCATCAACCCGCACCTCACGCAGACCTACAACATCGCCTTCGCGCCCTCCTCCCCTGGCCACGCCACCGGTACAGACTATCTAAACCCCCGCCCCGACGGTACCATAGTCGTAGGCGGCGGTTCCTGGTTCTTCGCCCACAACAAAGCCTTGTGGTACAACACCGTCGACGACTCCATTTCCTCGGGTCATTTCCCTGCATCCGTCTACAGCCACTGGACCAACTACATGGCAGACAATTTCCTCGGGTGGGAGGAAAGTAAAGCGCAGCCTGATTGCATCTGGACGGGCATTCAAGCGATGACGCCGGATGGAATGCCGCATGTAGGCCGTGTTCCTGGGGCGGATGGCCAGTGGATGTTGTGTGGGTTTAACGGAGGGGGTATGGCAATTATACCTGTTGTGGCAAAGGCGGTGGCGAAGATGGTGGTGGAGGGGAAGGGGTTTGAGGATGTGAAGGGGGAGTTTGGGCTGTTGGAGGGGTTTAAGACCGGGGAGGAGAGGATGTTGTAATGGTCCTAGTTGCATCTCAGATCGATCAATCCCTCTGCACGTTCAACAGGTGCATGGATGATCCTTGAGTGATGGTAGTTTTCGTCGCGAGAAGCGCGTTCTATGGGTTGGGTCTAATTACAATGTACGTACGGGATTAAATCTATAGGTATGTATATACAATCTGAGAAAGAAGCTTATTTACTTAACGGTAGGGTATCTACCGTAATGGATTGATTTAAGGAGATCGTCACCGGTTGCAGAAGACGTAGTAATGAGTGGGTAAATCCCGGATCCTTTCGCGACCGATCGTCTTTTTGCGAACGGTGCCATGCTAAGGGATCTCCGACGGATACGAGTCTTGACTAACTAATCATCCCTAAGAAGCGAATTGTGAAAGAGGAGAGATGGGCTCCTCTCGATGCCAACAGAAAAACATAAACTCCATCCCAGATGCCGCTTGCTTCCCTTTTCATATTTGAGCATTTGCAGTTTGACGAAAACCTTCATCAGAACAGTTTCTTTCACCCGCCAACAATGCAAGAGTCCCAGAAGCTAGCCACAAACACACCCGTGAAGTAACAAAGGAGAGATACCAAGCGACAAGATAGAAGCTCGAAATGATGAGGTCGTCGGTGAAGTGGAGTGTACAGGTGTAAGGTAGAGAGGAGAGGAGATAGGAAATGGTATCTCTAACGGCTACAATTTGAACGTGGAGGGTTGAGGATTGGGAATCGTAGGACTCTTGCTTCCTGGAAACAACGTATTCCTCAAAATCAAAGCAAAGAAAAAAAGGGATAGGAAAAGTTGTCAAGACTACAAGTGGCAGGTCATAGTGCCTTACCACACCCACTCAAGGTCGCCCAGATCGTCCGTGATCTGGGCGTGATCGGTATGAGAGCGCCAATCTTTGCTCTTGTACCAGTTGTCCACCTTCTGCTCCCAGGAGCTGACAGGGTGGTTGTTGTTTTCATTGTGACTGGAGCCCCAATGGATCGGTCGTCGGCCAGTTCCAGTCCGGCTCCGCTTCCGGGCGGAGTTCGGAGCTTCAGCAGACTTGGGCGACCTCATTGGCTTTGACGGAGTCTGCTGCTGGACTTGCTGCTGGGCCTGAACTGCAGGGCTGCGTCGACGGTCGCCGAGGGCAGCCCACTTGTCGGCAGCAGAGCGCTTGGGGCTGCGAGCAGGTGCTGGGGTGCGATGCTCTTCGAAGACGAATCCAGTCGCCGCGCTGACGTGGTCGACCGCAGAGCGAATGTTCTTAGGCGAGCGATCCCTGCTGTTGTGGACCGTGGCAGGGTTCTTCACCTCAGATAAGCCGCGAGGGGTCGAGACGCCAGATCCGGCTTCGGAGACAACAGCCTTGGGCTTGGGCTTCTCGGCACTGAAGGAGTGGCAGTTGTTCTCAAGCTCAGCGAGGAACTGCGCATCGTCATCTTCCTCATCCCAAAGGTCACTCCAACTCTTCGAGATCATGTCGCGCTTCTTACTGAAGACGGACGACATGCTGTTGAAGTTCTTAGCAGGGAGCGAGCCAGAGATAGCAACGGGCCGAGATCGAGTGAAGTTCATCGACTTTGGTTCGCTGACGTCGACCGACTTGAAAGATAGGCCCAAGCCAGAATCCACAAAAGATACGGCAGAAGCGCTATCTGGCTTGACATCGTAGGGAGGACCCGGGAACATGTCGTCCTCGTAGATCTCGTCGTCAGGAATGGCTGAGAGCTGACGGAACTGCTGAGGTGGCGACATGGCCAAGGCCTTCGCCCATGGGAATGAACCATTGTTCTCGAGTTGCGGCGTTGAGATGGAGGGAGTGCGGAGGGGCTCACGGTTGGCTCCAACAGCGACGACGTCACGCTCCTCAGTGCAGAAGTCGTCAAGGCTCTCGTCATCGGTGGTGAAGCTGATGACGCGGGCCAAAGCATCCTTGACAGCGTTGAGGTCGCGCCTCTCGGGGTCGATGGCCAAGCACTGCCTGATGACCTCAAAGGTATCTTGCGACATGTTGGGGAAAACATCGAAGAGACTCTGACGATCGAGAGCAAAGTCGGCGTACAGAGGATCCGAAGTGCACGGGGCAGCGAAAGGGTTGCGCTGGAAGAGGATGTTGAGGAGGACGATGCCAATGGCCCAGATGTCTGCCTTCTCGGTAGAGTAGCCAGTGTTGCCAGGGTCATACTGCTCAGGAGCCATGTAGCGGTCGCTGCCTACAGCAATCTCGTAAGACCACGTGTCGGTAGTGGCAAGACCAAAGTCGCCAAGCTTCATCGAGCCATCCTGGGTAAGGAAGATGTTCTCGGGCTTGATGTCGCGGTGGTAGATACCCTTGGAGTGGACGAACTCCACAGCGTCGACAAGCTGCATCATGAAGTCGCGCACGTGCTCAGTCTCGAGGGGGCCCTTGCCAACACGAATGGCCTCGTACAGATCGCCATTGGAACAGAACTCAAGGACCAGGTAGATGTGGTTCTGGGTCTCGAAGGACTGGAGGAGGTTGACAACGTTGGAGTGGTCGCCGAGATGAAGGTGAACGCCAAGCTCCTCGGAACGCTCATCGACTGCAAAGGCGGAAGGGCAGTTGATGGCGGCGGTGCTCTTGGTGATGACCTTGATGGCTACGTTGTCGCCAGTCACAAGGTCCTTGGCCTGGAAAACCATGCCAAAGGAGCCATTGTTGAGAGGGGAGATGGTCTCGTATCGTCCTTGTAGCACAACGCCGTCTTGAAGGTGATCGCGCATGCACTCCATTGGAATAGTGTGTAGTGGAACGGGGGTGGCTGTCGTGGTGAAGCCGAACAAACAAAGGAACAGGAAGAGGGGAAGCTCGATATGCAGATAAACAATGGGCAGACAGCCGAAAGCCCAAAAGCGATGCTCTATCAGACTTTTAGGTGACGGAGTCTTGGGAATATGTCAATAAATGGTTGTAATGGCGGCCGATGGTTATGGGATAGGTCGGACCGGATATGTCGTAAGGCAGCAGCGGTAGGCTGGAGAAACAGAAAGCGGTCGTCGGTGATATGCACAGGAGTCCGTCGACGGAAACAGCAAGGAAATGCTCAAGAGAGTGTGGTTCTCATTTGTCGGTATTAGTTGCGTATGGATAGCTCGAGTCAACGAGCTGTCGGGGTGTGTGGAGGAGGGATGGAGTCGTAGACGTCCGGAAAGGAAGAGGTATCGCTGCGTAAAAGAGAAGAGAGTCGTAACACGTGGATGTGGAGGTGTCGTCGGCAGGCAGACAGTAGGGAGGTGTCTGGATGACGCTATTGACGGCGTGAGTCAGGTGGCACGGGCTCACGCGGAAAGGGAGCTAGCAGGCTGTCGAAGAGGGTCGAGACGATGCTAGTTGGCGGTTCGCTATGATGGAGTCGGTCGATAGAGCATCAAACGTCTGCCTGGAGAAGCTATTGCGGCGGCGGTCGGGTCGAAGTGAGGTGAGGTGAGAGATGAGGACGAGCGGGTGCTCGGGCTAGGCTAGCTGTCGGACGGATGTCGGGATGGCCAGCAGCGGACTCTCAATATCACATCAAATCAGACCCGGCGATGGCAGCTATATGATGGAGTAGATGCGAGTATAGCGTGGTTGGCGTGGTGGTGTCGAGAGTCGGCGGAGGGCGGAAGGGATGAGGTTGTTGACGTTGTTGACGTCTGAGCTGCGAGCGGTTGCGGCTGCGGAAGGAGCGAGGGAGGAGAGGCGGTTATTAAGGCAGCAACGGACGGTGAGGATTGTGGTGGTGATGATGATGAGGAAGCAACGCTAGAGCTTGCGAACAACGACGAGAGCAAAGTAGGTGGGTACGTGTTATGGAGGCATCGGGAGATGGTGGTGAGGTGATAGCGGGTAAAGGACGGCCAGCTGGGTATTAGAGGGCAGCGCGCCAGGAGCTGCTGCCCTCGGGGGACCCACCCCAGGCAGGGGTCGTCTTTCGGGACTAGCGGCGCTGGCTAGGAATGTCTACGTGGCTTGCATTGGATCAGGTGCTAAAGCAGCACGACGACCTGGCCAACCGGCGCCGCCACTGGCCTGCCAACTTTCCATGACTTTCTATCGGTTTCCACCATAGTCGTCACTCGTCGCGGCCGGCCATCACTTGCGCCCCCGTCCCCGTCGACCTTGCTTTGGCAGCCGGTGGGTCCTGGCCATGGCATCATCTCTTGCACAGTCACGGCTCCACTTCTGATCTCTGTGCTGGCGGACGAATGCGCAGAAATTGGCTATGACGAGCGCTGAAACATTGTCCCTGCTGCCGGCTTCACAAAGACGGCGGACGCGGACAGGGCGCGCATCCAGACCTCGTCCAGCCTGACCAGCTGTCGTGCGCCAATGCTGGCTTAGCCCCAAGCGCCGCCTCCAGGGCGCTGCTGATCGTATCCCGTTGCAAGGTAGCACGCAACTGCCACCTGGCCTGTAGAAGACCGCGCCCGCCCTCCACGAGCTGCCCCAACGCGACCGTTATCTCTCGTTTCGTGATGCTTGCCACTTTGTCCTGCATGAGCCTTGCGCTCTCTGTACCCGACATTGGACGTACTGCTGTCGTGTGCTCAAAAGGTCCCGCAGTGTATCTGTCGCGGCGTACTGCGTTATCCAGGGGCTGATCTACGCCCCAATATACAGCATGACAAGTGTTTCGTCTGCTAGCTCGCGGCCATTTGGTACACTATTCGGCTGACTACTGACTATCGTCCCTCGACATCGGCCTCAAGGGTCGGGCGGGTCGCGGCAAACATTAGAAATCTGGGGAAAGCTCATGCTGCGATGCGATGCGACTGCGACTGCCATATGACCCTGATAGGCTCCAGTATCGCGCTGCTTCAACAGTCAATGCTACCCCCAACACGCGCTCTACCTGAGACAAAGCCGTGTATGCGCTCACGCCGCAATAGCCTCGCGCGTCCATCCCGCCTCGAATCCTCTGTTTGTTGTCTTGCTGCGCAGGATCCGGAGTAAGCTTCCCACTGCACCCTAAAGGAGGGCTCGCAGTAGCTTGCAGTAACTTGCAGCGTCCTGCATCCACAGCCACCCAGAGAGCGTGTTGGACAGGCACTCGGCGGGCTACTGCAGGTAACATGCACCGGGCCATTTCTTTGTACCCACTCGCTGTACCTGTCCCTGGGCTACCCATGAGCGGTGTAGAGAAACAAAGACAACACACTCTCCCCCAGCCTATAGCATTTTCAACCTTTTTGCGTTGAGCCGGGTCGGATTTGCGTGACAGGCGGACGTACAGTGGGTCGGCTGCGGAAGCTATGTGGAAATCTTGCGACATCGAGCATCGACATGGCCGGGTTAGCCAGGAACACCCGTCCATCTCACCATAGTCGACCGCAAACACGAGTGAAGGTGTGGATATTCTGGGGCTCGCATGACGGTGTGCGCCTCAACGACCAGCCTCATCACGATCATTGCCACGATATTGCACGATCATTGCAAGGAAGTCGTTGGGGAAGAGCCATCGTGACTGTACGCAACCTTCAACCCCCGATGCCCGATGACTCCTATGCTTTTGAAAATTTTCTTCTCAACAGCACGTTCACGGCTGTCAGGCCTCATCCGGCAATCATCAGTAGGAACCTGTTTACACTTGACAATAATACACAACTTGCCGTGGTAACCTCACCGCCATGTTTTGAAGTTCCCGTCCTCAAGCCTCGCACCAGTTAGCTGCCAGTCCAGACACACAACTACAGTTCGCAGTATAGAGGCGCTTTAGCAGAGATTTTCTTCTCACCGCCGTTCACCGCCCTGCACTCAACAACAACAACAAGGAAACAATGTCTCCTGCGTCCCTCGACACCGCACGCTGGAGCGAAGCAGAGGTAGTGTTGCTCGACATTGGTAAGTCGCTTGCCATTCTCGAGTCCCGCATGGCTAGTCGAGAACGACTGCAATCACCCTCCACCAACCTCGCGATGCATGCAGCCGTCTAGTCAGCAACTTTCCGATGGCGATGCCTGCCACCGACAGGACCTTGCGCTGTCTGTGTTGCTGCGCTCTCCCGGGCGCTACCCCAGCTTTTGCCTGCGCCACCCAGCTTCGCCTTCAAATGCGTTGACTGGCCTAAACGTCTCAGGAGGCTGACTGCTGCCAGAGGGCACTATTTCCAGCATCTCATTCGTCAAAGATGTCATGGTAAGCCTTCATGTTTCTATTCTCGCGTCTCACTTCCCAGCGCTTCCACCTTCCCTCGCTGTTCGTCTCGAGGCGCATCTTCCCCGCATTCGGAATCGTGATCACCACCACCAGCCCTCCGTCGAGAATCACGCCGGCCCGCCCTCCCATGCCAGCCTGGTGTCACCCGGCAATGATGAAGCCACTCAAGGCTCTCCCTCGCCTCTTTCGCCTCCCCTGAGTTCTAGATGCTTTTCCGGCCTGCACCTGCCACTCCAACGATGATCTCGCGCTTCCAACTTCCGTCATCTGTCACGCGACGCTCGCTCGCCAGTGGGGTTTCCTCTTCGCGCCGTCTCGCTCACAACAGCCGCAGTACCCGTATGCACTAGACAGTCTCACAAGACTAGCACGCAATTCGTGGTCGGATGCCGACTTCCAAACCCTCATCGCATCGTTCCCAGACGACGCCAAACGCAGCGCCGATGCGCTACTCGCCCACGTACAAGACCTTACGCGGCGCGATGTCAAGGCTGTGTACTTGAAGCAACTACAAGGTGGGTAACAAATTGAGTGTTTCAACCTGGACGACATATCCCAGGCCTCCCATGTTCAGCCAAATGATTGCCAACACCAAGCGCCGACACCGCGCCGCTCTAAAGCGGCTAGCTCGATCGAAACAGAGTAATGATTCGATCGGCCAGTCACCACCGGTAGCATTATCGCGATAGTCGCCGCCTGTCGCAGCGACCCATGGTGGTGCCAAACCCTCTTCTTGTCAGCTCGACGCCGCTCCAAGACCCCATTCCGTCCATCGCACCACAAGCGTGGCGATCAGCCCATTCTAAACGCTGCTTGCGTACTACCATCACCACACATGCACATTGCCTTTATCGTTGTTTATCACCGGCCATACATGCCCATAGTTGCACCGCAAAACTAACCCCTTTACTCGCAGGCCACCTATGGACAACCGGGTTCCGCAACGGTGATCTCAAAACCCCGCTCTTCAGCGATGTAATCCCCCAACTCGAGCAGTGGAAAGCAGCCGGCAAAACTCTGGCCATCTTCTCCTCCGGCAGCGTGCAGGCTCAGCTCCAGTTCTTCTCCTACGTCACAGACGGACCGAATACGCGGGACATTAAACCCCTGTTCGCCGCTCACTACGACACGGTGAATGCGGGTCCCAAATTGGAGAAGACCTCCTACGAGAAGATATGCAGTGAGTTGGGGAAGGACGTCAAGAGCGTCGCTTTCTTGACTGATAATGTAAAAGGTATGTGGTGTTTTCGTGAGGCTGTTACGGCGAATGGTGATTTGAAACAGCACACCACCGCCTTCTCACCGCCCTTACATCTGCACCCCACTATACCATACTCAACCCACTCTTTGTCTCGCATTCCCATTTCATTACTTACCTATCATCCCACCATCACACGTCCTTCGTCACGCCGCATATCCCGTCTCTCGTCTAATCATCCCCCCTCTTGCTTGCGTTGTCTCGTTCCACATAAGTCTTCCCATCACGCGACCCCACCATGTTTCACATCGATACGTTGCACGTGGCTAGCTCCATATGCAGACTTCATGTACAGTGACTAACATGTTTTGTGATTTGAATAGAAGCTGAAGCGGCCATGGAAGCGGGTGTCTATGCTGTCGTTGTTGACAGACCGGGTAACGCGCCGTTGTCGGACGAGTCGAGGGAGAGGTTCGCTGTCATCGAGACGCTGGATACGTTGCCGTGAGCGAATCGACGATGGGATGAGGGATTTTGTCGCGAGGAGCGCTGAGTAGAGAATAGCATTGTGACTTGGAAGAGATCTTCGTAGATTACTATCATCGTCGCGACTCGAGTATCGAGGCTTGATGACAGGTAGGTTCACTAGATACATAGTATCAACACGAGCTTTTGCCTTGATTCAGATACCTCCTCCACATAGCGAAGCTCTTGTCACATCTACTCTACATGCGATCCAATGGTGATGCGATGAGACCCCCGCGTTTGATTGGCGATGTATTGTTCAACCTGACACCGCAAACTATCACCATCATTATGATCTTATCAAGTACTGTCAAAAGTATTCCAGTGATTCAGAATATTTCCATTGTCCGAACAACGCAGCTCAATGAGATTGTGGAAAAAGTTGGAGTGCATGCAGATCGAGTTTTTGACTTTTGACTCTACGCATCAAACTACACAAATAATTCCCCTGCACTGCAAAACCACTGAAAATTCCCGCAACTCGTCATCATCGTATAACTCCCTTAGTTCGTCACAATAGCACATGTCCCTGGAATAGAAAAGGGTTGTTGTGATTTTTTTTTAACTCTCTATACATTCCGACCAGTCTTGATTTTCTATAACCCACTCATCCACCTTTCCACCAATATGCCGAAACCATGGAATAACGTTGGATAAATCACGTAGTCGTTCCAGTACGGTAGAATAAGATCGGGAGAGAAAGTTCGTTGCGAAGAATGTGCGCCCGTTAGGTTACTCGATTTTGCGGGTACGGAAAGATGTCGCGAGTGGATTTTTCGCCGGTTGGCAAGCATTTTCCATGTATGAAGAGTATGGTAGAGGTGGAATTTTGTGTGCGCAATACGTGAAACAGGTTCATCCAGATCGACTGTTGATGTTCGTTGATTTTATGAAGTTTCCAATTACACGATACCTAAAGCTTGGTATCGCGTAGTTTAACAATCCATAAAATCAACGAGATTGGCAGACCCTCGCCGACGTGCGGCCACAAACGGCTTACTCGATAATCTCGGCGAGAGCCTGCCAATTCCATGGATTATTCGTTGATGTTCTCGTCTCGGTCACCGCATCCGCTCCTCGTTCAAAGGCTTGGTGGTTGAGACCGACGTGTACGGGACAGTTGCGAATAGAACCGCGCAGAATGAGCGTGTGCAATCTGCGAAGACCCCACCTCATACAAGAAAGAAACCGAACAGCCCTGCAGACTACATCAAGATGAAAACATGCGAAGTGGGTGACCTAACAACGATGTAGGCTCCAGGGTGTTCAGCTTCTTCATAGGTTGACGTGATCCCACAATCCGACGACTCAGCTCCCAAACCGGACTTTTTTGGAAACCCGATCCCCGCCCGTGATCCACCTCTTCAAAAGTCCTCCCCAGCGACCCTCCTAACCCACTGAACCGTCTCTTGCACACGACTCAGAAAAGGACTATGCCCACACGCCAGCCTAGTCACCTGCACCTCCGCACCTTCCGCCCTCACCACCTCAATCATCTTGTCCTGCGCGATGACCGGCATAGACTTATCCTCCTCACAAACCAAATAACTGCTCGGAATATTCTTCCACGCCGCCCCCGTCGTCTTCGCATAAGCGCTCGCCAGCGAATGCGGTTGGATTTGCGAAAACCAGTACGCCTGTTCGTCGAGAGGAAGGTCGGAGTAGAAAATATACGGGTCCAGGGGGAGGACGTGTGGTCCGGAAATCTTGCACCAGGGAGGAAAAGTGTGGTTCATCGAGTCCATTAGGCTGACACCTTCAGGTAGCATGCTAGCAGCAATATATCCACATCTCACCACTCCACCCTTTTTTCCTAGAGCTTCTCGCTCGGTTTTTCCGAAGCCGACGAGTGCGCTACTGGCAACGATGCCGCCCCAACTGTGGGCTATTACGACGACGTCGTTACCGGAGGCGCCGATAGCGGTGTCTATCATAGAGCGCACGATTGCGATGTCGGCTGAGAGATCGGTAGTAGGATGATCAGTGCTGCCGACGGAGGCAAGTTGGCGCGCACGCGTTGTGTACCCAAGAGCGTTCAATTTCGTGTTCAGAGGGAGGAAGGCGGAGGGTGTGTGCCAGGCGCCGGGGATGAGTATCAGCTGGGGTTTAGTCATTGTAGTGATGGTGGTGTTCGGGAGAGTCGGTTGGACGATTGTTATGGACGGGCACCTCATACAAGGAAAAATCTGAACAGGTGTGCGAGCTACAGCAATATAAAAACATGCAAAGTAGGCGTCCTAGGGAGCTGGTCGATGTAGGCTCCGGGGTGTTCAGCTTTTTCCTAGCTTGCCGTGCTGGCAACAACGACCAGTACTAGCAAGTTTAGCGCGTACCCCGAATATGCCTTCCTTCGTCAAGGGCAGTCCCAGCAACATAGTATTTTCCCGACGTGGAAGTTTATTGCGCAATTATCCCGATGAAGCTATTCCGCACGACGAAGGCTATGGCCCGGGATCCTTGGGCACCGGAACTCCGAAGCTAGTCATTCATATCCCTTCACCTTCCCCTATCTCTTATCGTAATCTTCGAGTCGTACTCGTATCGCGGGTACCTTAGGTGGAACTCGGCCGTCACGGGTGTGGAAGGATATGGGAACGGTGGCCTGCCTCGTCCATATGGTCCCCCTAAATACGGCCATATCTCCACTCTCTTTGCTCGAAGTAGGCATGTATTCCTCTTGACCCGATCTTCCCATTGTATCTTGACAGTCTTTCTACCTATACTTCCTCGAATCCACAGGGTCATTGGCACTAGGTGGCTCCATTGTTTCCTACTGGAGAGAATAGCAGGTAGTTGTTGTGAGACTTAGAATCCGGCCAAAAGTATGAATCCATCCCCGTAGTTCAAAGTCCCCTCTCTTTCATCTTGTGCAATCTCCACTCGTCATGTTTGATCGGTTCGTCATGGTGTTGATATCGGCACGTGCGTCCGAGTTCGGTGCGGTGTTCACATGGTGTGAGTCGTGTTGCCCGATGGCATAATATTGTCCGTATACGTCCTATCCGCTGTCGTCCACTGCGATCAACGTCGAAGTATGCTGCACTGGCAGAAGGAAAAGGTGCAAAACGAAATTGGTAGTGTGGAGTGGGGCAGACATGGTGTGAAGTATTAGCGAGGTATGTAGTGCTCACGATGTGCTTGTAGCCAATCACAGCTTGAAGCTTGGAAGGGTATCCTTGTCTTCTGGACAGCGCAAGCATTCACATCGTATGTAGGACCAGGGTTTTATTCAGAATTGTATACGAAAAGCTGAAGCTTGGGTATTGCTGTGTATCTTTCGCCGTTCCTAGGCAATGTATGCGCCTCTAACGCCGACGGTGCCAAGAAACGCCCTCCTTGGTACATGCTGAAAGTAGCGACTCACTGCATGTGTCTAAAAGAATCTCCACCAGATGAAGACGATGATGATGAAGGCTAGTCCGCCGATAGGTCCATACTGTCTAATGTTAGCATTCCAAGTCAATTACCACAACGCGCTTCTGCCTGTTACTCACCTGCTTCAACAACAGCTCCCAGTTGATGCGCACGGCAGCCTTCTTGTACTTCCTACTATCCTCCCGTAACCGACTCGAGATATCGCCCATCCTCTCCAGACTGTCTCCTCGATACAGCAGATCCTCAATGTTCTTGGTCATGACCTTGGTAACATCCTTCAGCTCATCGTTCAACTTGTCCAGATTCTGTGTCGCCCTCGAATCTTGGTATGTCTTCTTTGTGCGCTGGATGAAGGTATCGAACTCGACGAAGGCGTACGGTCGGCATGTGGGCGAGAGGTATTGCTGCGGTTGGTATGTGGTGGTGAATTCGCGTTGGAGGTCGGAGAGATATGTGAAGGCGAGTTTGCGCGGGTAGGAACGGTCGCATATGCAGAGGAAGCAGAGGTCGCCTTCGATTATGTAGCTGGTGGTTGCGTTAGCATGTGATCGAAGATGCTTTGTCTGCACGTAAAGACAGGGGCAGTGCGCATACTGGTAAGTGTAGCTGCCGCTCTCTATACTTGCTTGTTGTTCGGCGTTACGGTTTAGGCGTCGCTGCACAAGCTTTACTTTTCCCTTAACCTCGTTGAACTCGGCATCGTTCTGGAAATTGTGAGTCTCATGTATAAGCTACGTGATGGCTCTAGAGGCGCCTGTACCTGCTCATCATCGACCGAGGCTGTCAAGAGTAGGCCTGGGCATGTATAAGCACGGTGCAGTCTTCAATATGGCCGAGTTACTGACCATCGAGCCGCGATATCATGGTGTGTTTGATCATGGTGGCGGTTGAGGGTGCGAAGAATTACAGCTGGTGATTGTACAACGTCGCCAAATGTTGTCAAGAGCGTAAAGTCAGGCCCGAGGGTGAGTAGTCGCGTAGTAGGGGCTGCGTGTCGGGGCTGATGATACCAGATCGCAAAGATGACGATGCGGAAAGGTCGCGCGGGAAAGCGCACGGACGCGCCAACGGCCATCACAGAACAACCAAGCATGCCATGGCCCTTCAATGCACTGTCATTCATGACTCTACAGACGCTCTGATTGGGATATCAAGCCCAGAGGAACTGTCTCGATTGATATCGTTATCCTTGTGACGGAACATTTGGTACAACCTCAATCAACGCCCCAGCCACCATGCGGAGCCGAACTTCTATCCTCGCGTACCCTTTCAACACCTTCACTCTATGCATCGAGTGGCGGACGCGCTCTCAGCCCTGATTCAAGGCGTTTGATGCCCTAAGCTTTCTAGTAGAACGCAATCCCAGCCATTGGTAGATCAGCCCGGCGGAAAGCGGTAGCTACTGCCTCAACACAAACGACACTACACCGGTTTTTTTGCCAGCTGCCGTTCATCTCAGCCTACCCAAATAGTTACTTGCACTCACGGGATTTTGCGAGAACATATTCGCTCAGGTGCAACGTCACATTTCTGTGTTCAGCCCGAACGGCATAATGTCGTTGCCCGTAAGGTGTGTTCCTGTTCTTCACTATGTCCCATGCCGCATCTTTACGACTTGTCTGCCAAGCGCGTGACTATTATTGTGCAACTGCTCAATAAAACCTCCACATTCACTTCGCGCACCGACATCCTTTTCTTTTCACACGTCCCCATCGCTTGGTCCAGCCTATTGTTCGCCCTGTATCCACTGTCCGACAATAGAAAGCTCGACGCGGATTGGCAACCCATTTATCGTCTCTCCCAGCTTCGATTAACAACTACAGACATTCGTCCGCCACTCGGCTCACCTCCCCACACGACCATCAACCGACACCTGTTCCACCCGCAACAAAGTCAGAGCAAACCACTGCACCACCTCCAACAACACCAAACAAACGAGCCAAGATGCATCATCCTGACCCTGACTCCCCACCCGTCTCTTCACCGCCCTCATATCTTTCTGAGCAGGTCTCACTCATCCCCTCAAGTCTGCCGAGCCAAGTCCCAGGTTCTGCCATCTCAACAATAGAGAACGACTCGTGCATCATGGCATCAATCGAGTCTCCACCCCTACCTCAGCAGGCGCTGGCGCCTGCCTCTGTCTCTACTGCTGTACCGACATCCAACATGGGTGCTAAACGCGTGTCCAAACAGAGCCCAAAGAGAGCTCGCGAAGAAGTGGATGACGACGACGAAGAAGACGCATTTGGTACACCGCCCCCCAAACGCGCAGCCAGGAGTACAAGCTCAGCAACAAAAGGCACGACTACAACAGAGAAGGCGCCTGCTCCTAAGAAGCCTGCGCCCAAGAAGTCGGCCCCGAAGAAAGCAGCAGCGAAGAAACCCACGCCTGCAGCAACACCGAACTTACGCCCCTCACGGAACCGCAAAGCACCAGAGCGGTTTGAGGAGTATGAGGATAAGCCCACTCCCAAAGCCGCCCCGACAAAGAAGGGACTAAGCAAAGTTTTCGATCCCGTCTACGTCACGACCAACTCCTCCAGCCGCCTAGTCAAAGCAGACATCTACGTAAGTCAGAATCACAATCTACTAACCGCCCACACCTCAATGAACTCACAAATCGCAGCACATGCTCCTCGAAGGACCAGCCTGGACTAGCCTCAGCGCAGAGCAGCAGACTACACTCATCTCCATGCTCCCCGATAATACCATGCACCAAGCTCTACTTGCCAAGATCAGCACTGGCGCAACAGAAGACACAAGGCCTTCAGCCTTTACGCTGGCAAATAACTGCTTCCGCACCGATGTCGCCAAGTTCCAGGAAGATCTCAAGAATGGTCATTTGGGGAAGACGTGGCAGGCGGCTGCTGAGCAGGCTGTAACTGAACGTGCGGCGGGAGAGTACGATGAGTGGAAAGCGGCGGAGGCGGAGTCGTGGTGGGGTCAGAAAAGCAAGTGAGGGCCTCGAAGGCGAATGAAGAGCGCAGCATGCTGGTTCGGAGGTTGCTGCATATGGCGATCGCGGTCTACTACCGCGATTCATGGCAATGCTGATATACACATACCGAGACTCCGTTTCGATGAGCGCGCTTTGCGCGGTGTCATCCGAAGCTTTGGGACGCGACATAAACCGCATCATAGCTGGGAGAACTTGGTGGGCAACCCCGAGGTTCAGTTGCCACATCTAGTACGTGTCTTCCCTCCTAGATATCATTTCTGAAAAACGCATATGTAGAAGCCACCTATTATCTGTATTCCATATTTCCGCCCGAGTCCAGCTATAAATTGCCCGTTTCCCCTTTGTTCCTTTGTTGCGCCCTTGGTCGCAGCAGTGAAAGACCAAAACCTCCTACAACGTGACTTTTCCGTTACATCAGCGCACACTATTGTAATTTAGGGAGTGTAAACAGTAGTCTCCTCTGTTTCCTTGTATTCATTGAGTCGCGAATTTGCTACCCCTCTACTCCGAATATTCTCAGCTCACTGTGACGACACCACGACATGCACGCCAGCATCCACCAGCAACTACTGTAGGATCGAAGACGCCGAATTTGAGATAAATCACACCGCAACCGACGAAGCATACACTTGCGCGACAAACCCTCAACCCCGGTCGCGCTATCAGTGTAAGTTAAAACCCCGGTTCACCCTCCTGCCCAACAATCGCTGACATATGCTCCAGCACTGTGACAAGCAGCGAGTATGTTTCCGTCTGCTTACCCTTTCCATACTGGGCCAGAGACCTCAAGTCTCATGCAAGGCCTCAGTACCAACTACGCGACCGTCACCAGAACCGCGACAGTAACCGCGACAAACACCATCAAGAAGACTTCGTATACAACATCGACGGTGACCGCCTCCGCCTCCGCCAACTACACAGCCGCACAGCTTGATGCTATCGTCTCACCAAGTCTGTTCAAGAATGCGACCGCCACCTACACCGTCATGGACAAGGCCGATACCGCCACCGAACACCGCGCACTCAAATACACATTGTACCTCCTCCTCACTGCAGGAGCTACTGCAGGTGTGGCTAGGATCTGGAATGCTGTAAGGACTCCACCTTTACCGGCGCCACAAGGAGTCGACCGATTCAAATGGAGGGCTATTAAGCATCGTGTTCATAGTTGGCTTCATGCGCAGCTTAGGTCTGATGATAGACTACGGAAAGAGCTCCAAGATGCAAGAGAGATTTTGGAGGAATATGAAATGATGAAAAAGGCAAAGTCTGATCGTGCGAGTCGGATTACAGAGGCCGACGAGGTTCCAGACAGTGCGACACCTGTGCGCGAAGAGCCTACGCAAACACCAGGATTCATCGCCGAGCTACAACAAGCACTCAAGGAGAAGACTGATCACTTGAAGCGCAGCAATGCACGGGTAAAAGAGCTTCAGCAGCCTACAAGCAAGCCCGCACGCTCAAACAGGATGTCCAACTCTTCTATTTCATCAAGTCCTACGAGAGAGGAATTGGAAGAAGTAGCGCAACAAATGCGCGCCGTGCGGCAAGAGGCTGTAAATGCCAAGAAAGAAGCCGCTTCCAAGGATGAGCAGCTACGGCTGATGCGAGAGGAGGTCGACCGAGCCAAAGCCGAAGTCGCTTCATTACTAGCTTCTCGGAGTCAAGAGCCTCAGTTAGTACTGGAAGAGGTTGAGGCGGTTGATCCTCAACTGGCATCACTGGAGTCCGAGCTGGAAGCTGCGCGACAGGAAACCCTCTTAGCAAAGGAGCAGTTGGATGCAGCGAACCAAAACATCAAGATTGCTGGATCTGGCTTGGACCAGGTGAAGGAACTCGTGCGAAAAGTACAAGAAGAGAAGGAAGAGGCCGAGGCAGACGCAGCCTCTCTAACTATGCAATTGGAAGCGTCCCAAGAAGAGGAAGAGAAGGGCAGAGCCTATGCAGCTTCGATGGAGAAAGATTCCCATGAGGTGCGATTACGGCATAGCAAGGAAGTCACCGCGCTCAAAGAGCAGGTCAGGGAGTGGGAAGGCATCGCTGCGGAGGCGAAGCAAGTCAACGATGATGTGCAGACCACGCTTAATGACGAAAATGAGGAGCTCAAGGAGCAGCTTCATAATGAGGTTACTCGTCGCGAGACACTGGAGACTGAGGTGAAGAAGCTGAAATCGGAGATCGAGGAGACGAAAGCCAAGGGAAAGGCTGCACCCGCGGCGAAGTCGCTTGCTCCATCCGAGCCCCAGACCTCCCCGATCACAACCCTACTCAAGAACCCGCCCGCACTACTACCGGCAGATTTCACCAATAGTAACCCCCACCTCGTCTCCGTCGCCGGCCTCACAGTCCCATCAACACACCTCCCCACCGCATTACCAGGCCATCCAACCACTCCCACAACAACCTCAACGCCAAAGTCAGAATACAAACCTGAGCACAAAGCTCTCACCACAGCCTGGAACGCTAGAACGATCGCGCTTCCGGAATACATAGAAGGCATGAAGGCACTAAAGCGAAAGCCTGACGACGTGGGCGAGACACCCGGACCGATCAAAAAGCTTCGGCTTAGCGGCGAGAGTGTAGAGCTTCAAGTCGGGAATTTGCTCACGCCCGGTGGTGGGCCGGCTTTAAAGCTTCCGAGACAAGAGGAAGGTGGTGAGGAAGACGATGATGTCGCATCTGATGGCGAGGACTTCCGGACTTCTTTTGGGGGCGACGCGGACAACTCAGGGACTTTCACATATGGCTTGGGCGGCGCAGATGGTACGGAATTATCCGCTTCTGCCCATCAAGATGCAGCCAAGGGCGAGACAAACCCCGTTGGCGATACCCTCGTCGATGATAGCGATCACAGCAACGCCGACCTCTATGAGATGCCTTCGCCGAGTCCAAACAAGCAGCCGCCTCAGGCTACCAGCAATATCCCCACTCCAGACGCCCCCACTATTGAGCTGACTTCAGCTACGAAGCGGAAGATCAGCATCGATGACGACGCAGAAGGTTCACCTAGGCCATCTCAGGTTCCGAGGACTAGGGAGGACCTTGGCCATGAGCAGACTCTAGCTTTGGATGACATGAATCCGAAGACGGTCGCTGACAAATCTGCTATCATATTGACACCGGCTACAAAGCGGGTATTTACCGAAGATGACGGTGACATGCCGCCTCGGTCTTCACAGATGCCACCTAGGTCATCACGGCTACCGTCTCGGTCATCAAAGATGCCGAGGACTAAGGTTGATCAGGGTGATGAGCAGACTCCGACTTTGCAGGAGAGCATGGCAGAGGATGTTGTTGATGCGTCCCGTAAAGGAAACGAGGTGACTGAAGCCAGCGGTACAGCCGCATCGCCTGCCGAGAACGAAGATCCTGCCCCAGAGGCTGCTTCTGCATCCACTGAGCCTGCAGACCCAAACAACGATTCCATCATGGCCAATACCGATGAAACAAACATAGTCAGTATCGTTGGTGCCACACAACCCGCCCCTGTCCAAGCAGCCAGGAGCACGTCTCGCCTACTGAAGCCTATGACTGCGAGCCCCCGCAAGAGCACACGCAATGTCGGGAAGCCTGTGGGATCACTCAACGAGAATATATTGAGTAAGATGTCGGCGTCGCCAATGAAGGAGGAGAAAGAGACAGATACGAAGACGGCGAATGGAAGGGACAAGTCTCCGGTCAAGTCGATGACAAAGTCGCCAGCGAAGAAGACCTTCAAGTCGCCTGCGAAATCGCGAACCAGCAGGAGCCCGTCAAAGTCAAATGGTAGTAGGTGATGGCTTCAGGCCAAGACAGTGATAATAACGAGAACGAGCACGAGAACGAGCACGAGAACGATATCGACTAGGACGCAGAGCCAGTGTCGACCTCAAAAGATACTGAGCTACCGACCCAGAAGAGAGGTTCACCACGAGCGCAACAAAGACCGATGTCGCAAAGACGATTAGATCTCGAGGCTGTACGCGAGACTCGTGTATATGACACGAGGACGCGAAGCGATGCAGTCCCCAAAAAGAAAAGAATCGCTCACAAGACGAATGGGAGGACGGTGCCGATGGGGTGTTGTATTGAGCAGAAAGAAAGAGCAGCAGACTATGCCAATCAGTGCGACACCACTAATCCGGGTGTCGTCATTGATGGCGAGGTATAGGAGGGGTCCACTGTGATGACACATGATGGTTCTGTTGGATTTCCTAATTGAGTTTGCGATTTCGTGGATGGCGTGGATCGAGCGATTGGTATTTCACAGCACGAGGAGGATTGGGAAGAAGAAGATGGACAGGGCACGATAAGAGAGATATGTATGAGGGAAAAGACCCTGCTACAACCAAGGAAGCCGGGAGACATGTACATTTGGAAGTTGGAGAAACAGTGAGTGCCGCCACCTCCAAAGAAAGATGGGCTCAACAAGGATGGAAAGGAGAGTTCTGCTATCTACAAAGGAAGATGTGAATGAGGAAACGAAAAAGAGAGGAATGCTATCTCCAAAGAGAGATATGCATGTAGAAGTTGGGAAGAAAAGTGCTGCTAGTCCTAAAGAGAGATGCACGTACAAAAGTTAGAAAGGAAATGGGGACTGCTGTCTCCAAAGGGGAATGGGCATGACGAACGAGAGTGTTGCTGTCTCCAAGGAGAGGTAGCACAAGAGATCTGGGGAGAAGAGTTGAATGGGATGCGATGAGAGTGGTCAAGCCGTGGAAAGACGGGCAGAGAGGGGTGGCCACTCGCCAGATTGAGTATCGCGACGGTATGCTTACAGCAGACTGCGGTACACTGTCTGCGCTATTTTTTTTCCCTTGGCTTCGATAGTACATAGATGCATGTACTCCATATTGAATTCATGATTCCTGTTGATGTAGACTAGATCATTAATTCCCAATGACTTATCTTCCGTATTCCCCATCGCAAGACTACATGACTGTCAAGAACCACACTTTTAATATCCGAGTGACCTACACTGTGCGCGAATCACTACCATAACATCCTGCCTACCAGTGGTAATCCACCTTGGGAATAGCCTCTGGCCGAGAAGCACCGCTGGGCGAGTCTGAACGACCGCGACCGCGACTACTTCCTTGTAACTGACTGCTTGCCCGTCCACGAGAAGCTCCCTGTCTAACACTATCGCGGTATCCGCTCGAAGCTTGGTATCCACGACCTCGACCTGTGTCCGTACCGAAATCCGGATCACCGTCATACTGAGTAATAGCCTTCGCCGCAGGCTGTGTTGGCTTTGGTGCGAGAACAGACGCAAGGGGTACAGGTACGCCGCCATCTCCTGTGACTTCATGGTCGCTCCAGCTCTCCGCGTCATCCTTGACCCTCTGTTCGGCATCCTCAAGAGCAGCCTGAAGTTTAGCGCTCTTCTCATTCTCTCGCAGATCGTCCAACTCTGGAGAACCGCGAAGGGTAGCCTCCTTCACGCAGATGGCTAGCATGGCCCACACAGTGTATACAGCATCGTTGCCTGCGTTATGAAGATGCCATGCGGCGACATCGAAGGCGTTCATGATCCGGCCTAAACTAGTGGGCTGCTGCTCCCGACGCCAGACTTTGTACATGGTCGCGGTGTCCATGGCCTCGAGGATGTTCTCTACCTTCATCGGATCGTAACCGAGTTGCTGGAGGTACCGAACGTCACCCAGGGTATCATGACCGAGGAAGATTATGTTACGCTTCTCAGTAGGATCAAAGTGGCTGAGGAAGTCGTCGTCATCTTGGGCTGCGAAAGGTGCTTGGAAACAGGCCGCGACGTGACTTGCAGCTTCTCTGAGTGATATAAATGTCGACTGACCGAAGCGGAAACTGTCTGGATGTCCAGAAACGAACTCAGAATTGACCAGGTGGCGATGTTCCTTGATGCGAAAGTGACGGGCACGAATCTTCTCTCTCCAGGCCGTGCCATCCACGCCAGGCGGAACACTAACCAGGTCACGGGTATCAAGGGTAGCAACACCAACTTCGGTGATCTTGTGATGGGCTCTCTCGTACGACTCTATGTCGACGCATACGAAGACGACAGACTGATCGAAAGGGAATGGAGCTGGCTGGGATGGATCGACTGCCGGAGACAAGGTGGACGAAGATGGATCCTGAATGGAATCGCGGAGACCAAGATACCTTGACGCACGTTTGAATTGGTCGGTCATTGACTTGTTCTTGCCTAGTCGCTCTTGCTGCTTCTTTGCTTTGGTTGCCTTGTTCTTCGCCTTCTGTGTTTCAGCCAGGTTCTCCATCAGTTGCTTGAAATCTTCCAGAGTAGGTACTCCGAGCGGTGGATGTAAAGGCTCGCCTGCCGCGCGGAAATGTTCATTGGGCGCGTTCTCGGCCATGCTATCGACGTCTTCGCGCGAGTGTGAGCGTCCAAGGTATCGAGGCAAGCAGCGAGGATGATCAGGGAATTGCACAAGTAGACCCTGAAGATGACAGTTAGTCTAGAACTTCAGGCAGTACGTATGAGCGGGCAATGTTACCTCCTCACGCTGCTGGTCGCTAATCCTCAAAGAGAGATTGAGGTGCTTGTTGATCTCACCAAGCAAGGCTTGAACTTGACTCTCACAAACGAGTACAAAAGGTTTGGAGGTCTCTTCGATGTCCCAGACGTAATACCTGGTGAGATTAGCAAGTGATTGGTGATAGTCTTCGCAATGCGGTGATATCCTTCTTTAGGGTAATCATATGAGGTGAACTTACAGGTCCCACTCTCGCTGCCAAAATTTTCCTTGATCGAAGAAGGCAGATGCAATGTCTTGCATATGACTCTTATCGCAGTACTTGTAGGGGTACTTTGAAAGTGCCTGGATAGCAGTGAAGTGATGGCGAGGTGAGGCTAGGTCCCCACGTTGCAGATCGGTAACGGGAAGACCAGCGGCATCGGTTCGAGGAGCTGGAGCTGTGGCGGTGGAGAGTCGCATCGAGTCCAGGTTTGGGTTGAATGAGCTATTGGCGTCTTTGACCCAGACGAAGCGGCGCTCGGTGTTCTCGACGTCAGGCGGTGTCTTTATGCGCGTATCAACGTTACTGGCTGGAATCTGTTTGCTAGCAGGCGGGTTTGGAGGGGTGTTTTCGAGCGATACACCACCAGTGGAGTCGTTGTAGCTGGCATGGTCAGGTTTGGGTTCGGGGTTGGGCTCAGATTGAGGAGAGACAGGGCGGTCAGGAATAGCATCAACGTCTGTTTGAACGAACCTCCGGAGACGCTGAAGCCGTCCTGAAGCCATGGTGGGTGTTTGACGAATGGGAGTTGTTTGCGAGAGACAGCGCGAGGGAAGATATATGCGGGGATCGCGCCTGGACAGACGGATGAGGGAGGAGCAAACGGCAGGCGCGGTAAGCGAGAGCCTCACCCAGACTTCTGAGAGACAGAAAACAGAAAAATGAGTCACGCGACATGAGAACTGGAAAGAGAGTTTGGCTTAATCTGACAATGGTCTTTGCAAAGGAGATGTGTGTGAACGGAAGGCGCATGGTGTAACATATCCATGGATGCTCCAATGTGCACTATCACGAGAAGTGCATTTCATACTACCCGTAGAATGTACATACCGACTTAGAGCAGCGAATAATTGTGATGCATCTGGTTTACATGTGCCGAAAGTTGCTTATTTGATGGCACACTGGGTCGTCATGTGGGGAGAGATTCAGGGGTAGGTGGAGATGCAAAGCCTTCCCAGGAGTAAAGTCAGTACGACACATGTTCTGGCTACTCTGAAATAACGCACGAGAAGTGAAAGACAATACAGCTGCTAACGCACAGATGAGGTGTTGCGGGGCGATGCGGGAGCTGCGTGCCGGCACCTGGGCAAACTCGCAAGCGCATGGGCGTTCCTGAGAGATCGACGAGAGGCGCGACCAAAGCGGCTAGCACGAACTCCCTCCGCGAACCTCACTGCGACCAGCTCCCATCAGCCGCCCTATCGCCGTCAGCGCATATCGCAACTCGCGCCCTCACAATCGCGCTGATTCTCCTCAATAATCTAGTTGACGCGTGGCTGGAGAGTCTGACGCGTGCGTCGCAAGCCTCCATCTACTCTGCCTCCCCGCGATGCGCCATGTCTGAAGCCGACGATGCGCCAGAAATGGCCCAACCCGCCCCCAATCCGGACGCCCAGACGACGGTGAATGACTTCCTCGACTATACCGAATTCTTTCCGTCCGACTTGGTGCGCTCGTTGACGCTGATTGCCGACCTCGATTCGACCTACTCGGACGCCGTCCAGCAGGTCCACGAGCTGACGGTCCAGTATGGCAAGCTGCCCGCCCTCCCCGAGCAAGAGCGCCCCGATCCGGTATTACTACGCAAGCAAATCGCCCAGCATCTTCAAAAGGCCATCAATCAGAGAGAGTTTGCATATACGGAAGCGTCGCGGCTATATGAGGTCACGGTGCGCCACTGCCAGCGCTCATCGGTTATCAAGAGGAAACTCCAGGCCCAACCCCAACCGCCCTCACGCGACCCTACGCCCCCGCCAGTCTCTCCGAGCGCCCACCGACCCGTAAACCGCGACTACATACGCCCCGCCCATCTGCGCCTGACCTTCGATGGCGGCCGGCATGGCGCCAACACCTCACGACCCCGAGACAGGCACAGGAAGACTGCCGTTCCTCTGCCACGAGGACGTGGGCGCCGCGGTGCAACATACTCGTCAGACTCAGATGGTGGTTCAGGCATCGATGTGGCATCACATAGGAAGCGCAAGGACAACCGGGACAGGCATTCAAGAGCAACTGGGGGCAGGTCGCGCGCTGCTGGCGTACTCGGTACCAACGTGCACAGCTCTATCGCTGGTATATCTACCAGTAATGCGCTCGCACAATTGGCTCCACCACCAGCCGACGCGAAACCCGGTAGCAAGTGGGCACCCTGGAAGAAGTTGACCGAATACGAAATGGCCGTCCTGCGCAAGCAGATGAAGAAGAACGCTGTATGGACTCCTAGTCAGACTATGATGATCCGTGAGCTTGAGAAGAAGCATCGTACAGAGGCAGATTACGAAAGGGAGAAGGCCCGCTGCGAAGCGACAGGCGAGCACTTCCTGGACGAGGAGCCCGAGACGTTGCAACAGATTATGACAGCTTCTGGCCTGGGGCTTTTGGCACCGCATGGCCCGCAGGCAGCAAATCCACCCCCGCCAATCGAGTCTGTGGAGGAAGATTCCAAAGAAGAATCCGGTCCAGTTAGCATCCGCCTCAAGCCTGTCGCGACAAAAGAAGGCCGGAAGCTCGATCGCATGTCACAGCGCCAAAAAGCTATGCACGACGCACAAGAGCTCATTGGTGCTTCCGAGAAGATTAGAGAAGCAGCCAAGGAGCTCACGGAACTCAACTTCAGCTCCAGTGTTGCGGCAACTGCGAATCAAAAGAAGAGAACCCCGGTCAGACTATCGAATAAGCGGAAGCGCGATGCTTCTCCTCCACCCACCACCGACGGCGCCATCGAGACCACCAGAGAAGCGTCGGTAGCAACTCAAGACAGCGCGTCAAGGCCGCCAGAACCTAAGCGCGCACGTCTGCAGCTCATTGCTCCAGCACCAAGCTCGGTCGCCTCCCCGATACCGACCCCCAACTCGACCGTATCCACCCCTCGTGATCGGACGGCCTCGGTTGTGCCCTCGCCAGCAGCACACTCCCCCATACCAATTCTAGAGCCCGCAAAGCCTTCGACGAATGGGAATACTGTACAAGTGCCGCTTGCGCCAGCAGGTCCGAGCACACCGAAAGTCAACAAGGCCATTTCGAAAGAGGCAAGTCCTGAGCTCACACCCATTACAACATCGCCAGTACCGCCAGAGGAATCGCCTGTTATGCCACAAGCTCAGCAATCACCAGTACCTATTAAAGCCCCAACTCCTCCAGCTTCGGTCCCAGCACCAACAGCAGCTTCGACTAGGCCCAAACGCGAATCCGTTGCTCCGAAAGCTCCCACTCCGCCAGTGACCACCCTCCCGCTTACGAAGTCCTCAAAGACCCCTACACCAGTGCCTGAGCCCCGCCCAGAGACACCTGCAGCACCAACACTACGTCCTCGCTCTGCACGCGGTCATGTCCCTACACCCAAGGCGCAAAGCGAAGAGCCCAAGCCCAACGAAGAAGGTAGGATAACTCGCGAAACCCGTCGTCATAGTGTCTTTAGCCAACCCGCAACCACGCTCACAGTACCTGCACCACCGCCACCGCCTACGCGCACTAGTAGCCGCCGGAAGCCTCCTCCAAAGGGTGAAGTCACGAATGCGGAAGACGGCCAAAAGACAGTCACAAACGTCAAACGTGCGCAAGGTAGCAAAAACAAGAGGAAGAAGAAGGCCGAAGAGGAGGCCGAACAAGCCGACGACATCGATCCCAACGAGCCCCGATACTGTATCTGCGACGACGTTAGTTACGGGCAAATGATATCGTGTGATAATAACGTAAGTCCAAACCCCTTGAACAACAACTAACTTTACTGTCGAACCGAGACTGATAACATCCCACAGTGCGATAAGGAGTGGTTTCATCTCCCATGCATGGACATGACCGAAGACGACATACCATCTCGTCGCGCCAAATGGTACTGTCCAGACTGTCGCACAGCGCTGGGCACAGATGCATATGGCAACCCGTTGGTTCCGCCTCCACTGCCAGGACGCCGCGGTAATCGGTAGGTTCAACCCTTTTCTGTTTACGGGTCCGACTTGCGATATTAATGTTTGTTGAGGGGATGGAGTACTTAGTGGGTTTAATAGGTCGGCTTGAGCGGGCGGGCGAGCGGTCGATATGGGTACGGATTCGGATACCCATCGGATGGGCTTGGGCTCGACAGGCGCTGGCGTTGATGCTGGAGTATGGTATGGTATGATATTCTTTGCCCCACGGAGGGGAAGGTGTAACATCATAGGGTTATGGGTTAGCTGTCATCCTTTGTTTACTGGCATGGTGTCTGGAGTTGGCAGCGTATTTGTCTACGGACAGCTGTCTTGGGTATGAATATACCCGTCTAGTTATCATATCACCATGCACTTCAAAATCGAAAGGGCTCTATGTGTCCGTTACTCTTAATGAGTCGTGTATTGACAGCGGGAGATTGACAGGTTCCCGTGCGCTACGTTTACCCTACAGCTTCATAGAATGGAGTTATGGGATTTACTGGGTACTGCGCACGGATGGTACGCTCGGGGTGATGACGCACAAGTTGATGGGGAAGGTGCACTCATAGTCACTGAACCGCCAAATCAATTCACTTCAAGTCACTCTTCTTACCTTTGCAATGGGCTGCTATAATGCTTTCACATGCAGTTCTTGCTGCTTGCGGAAACACAGTCAATGCTCGCCGGATCTCCTCTACCTCACCTCTTTCTCCTAGTTCTACCTGGACTACTGCGAAAGCTCTCTAACTCTCAACTGTACCTCACCTTCCGATACTCAACTACTGCATCACAGTCACTCGATCGACATTGACCCGTCATCCCGAGATCATGGCATCTGAGAGCGCACTGCTGCAACTCCCAGAAGACATTTTCCACGACATCATCGTCCATTATGTACACGCGGTTTCAGTTCAGGAAGCCTCGGCTGCTCGTGCAGTTTCTAGTAAGATACACTTCGGTATCATGAACCCAGTCTGCATGCGCTAACAACTTGCACAGGGATTCAACCAAGTGATCCGCTACCAGATCGCCAATCACTTGCTTTTCAGCGGCTTCTACTATGACAGAGAGGCTAGAATATCAAGAGACTGCGGCGCTAGACTAAGAGTTTCGTGTCACATGCTCCCCGACATCCTCCGAAGCACTGTACGAAAGGCCTTCAACAATCCGCTTGCCACCTCTATCGAGTCACGCGCTGAGGCGGTCCTCAATATCGAAGGCCATCCCTACGATGAGAAGACCAAAACTCAATACGTTGAGTACATCTTCCAGTATCTGACCCGAGGAGGCAAGCACGCAATTATGCAACGGGTGCTTCGCTCGCGCAGCGACAATTCGCTTTTTACTTCTACAGAACGGCCCGACTTAGTCAGCGTTGCCGCTGTAGGTAGCCTGGCGGCAGTGAAGGACCTTCTCGAGAGGAATGAATCAGATTGGCCCTCGTGGCCATACATCCGACAGCATGCGTTCGACGACAATGTCTACGTAGATCCTATTCAAGCGGCAGCATCTAATGGACACATCAAAGTCGTATAGCATCTACTTAAGACGCTTGAAGATTTCAGAGGTAAAGGCAAGTGGACCACCGATTCTAAACACAGATTTCAGTGCATCCTTGACTTGGCCATCCAGTCCAAGCACCCCCAAACAATTCTTACGTTGGCAGTAGTCGCTAGGAAGCATGAAGTCTGTGATTCAAACTTGACTCATGGCCAGGATTTATCATGTGTCGAACTGTGGATCAAAACAGCTATACAGACCGGCTGCATGGAGACCTTCCAGACTACCATGGCATTGATTGGGAGTATGAAACACATTGTCCCCATATCCGCGAAGAGACTCGTGGCAAAAGCGCTGCTCTTCTCATGCGAACACGGCCAAGTGGAGGTCCTTCGACATACCATTGCCCACAATCCCATTTATTGAAGCGGGAGGGAGCTGGAACGGGTTCGGATATAGCCCGATGGCACACGGATCCAGTACAACAGGTCTTAGGTATATCATGCATGCAAACATGAGCCCAGTACCTCCAACGACGCGTTATCGATGTACTTCTCGAACACGCCGTCTCCATCAACGCAGGCTCTCCAATTATACGAGCCATCCAGTACGATAACATCTCTATCGTCAAGTACATGCTCGACCAGGGCGCAAATCATAACCGGCATATACACAGCAATTGCCTTATGCAGCTGAATTCTGGAGCTCGTAAAAGTTGGAAGGATTTCAAGAAGAGTGAGATGATCCCGGTCATTTTTCTACCTTGTGGCTAAACATAGGGGGAAGCCGCGTTATTCGCTTCGAGGTGGACCAGACCGCCTCGCGAGCTTTGTTGAGGATATTGAGGATAGTGAGTTGACTTCGTCATGAATAAGTAGTGGAAGTGTTTTCGGCGGGGAATAAAGGGGGTGTTAGCGAGATCATATCCAGCATTCACAAGTATCTCGTCACATACGTGATGGTACAGTTTACATCTGTGATGCAAGTACTGTAATAGGTCGATGAGATAAATGACTTGGAGCCGACGTCGAACATAGCAAGCTCTAGACTGCGAAGCTGAAGGTAACGTACGGCCTTCGCCCTGCCTAGACCCCAACTCTTCTCCGACGATCTACTAAAGACAACCTCCTAGGTTTCCAAGTCGAAAAGAGGTATTTCCCAAGAGATAAACAAGGTGCAGCTGAAGTCAAGAATCTCGCAACCCCACATTCCGATTCGTTCTTAGCGCCTGCCTAGCGCAAGCTTCATTGGTGCATCTATCGTCGTCATCCTCCGCGGGATTCGTGCTACTAACACCTCACTCATCAATATTGCTCAGCCACAACGCCCTGATGCTCAACCCGTATCTGCCGTAACGCCGTTGTGCCGACGCATTATGGATTGCGACGATTGGCGGTCGGGCCTTCCGTGCCTGGAGACCGGATGATGACCGGTGGGCGGAAACCGTCAGCTACACCCTGTTCCCACGTTTGCGCATTCGCGCAGTGGGTCTGACTGCTTGTGACAGCCGTCAGGCATCCTTCAAGACCACCACGATGTCTTCGACAACGTTGCTCTCTCCTTCTGCTCACAACCTGCCTTGCTACCTCGATTGCGAACACGAGCATTCATCCCAGACGCATTTAACAACTTTGCGCAATGTTCGCCGCGGCATCGTGTAGCCATACGCAGGCCAGCCTACCAAGATTGAGCACAACCAAGCGAATATGTAGAAGGGATTCGCTGTCTTCTTCCAGGACCCGTGATTCGGGTTACAACAGCGATCCTGATTCTCTCTCACCCTTAGATGCGGGAACGTTGGATCAGGGTATTGCCTACTACAATTTCTAGCGGGAGGTCAGATCGCTAACGGCGCAGCAGACATATTTTTCGGACCTCCTCCCTGCGTGCCGAGCATTCTTGTCAACAACAAGGCTACCTTTCTCAAGAGATGCACCGTCGATAGGCCATGGTTGGTTGGACAGAACAACATTACCAGCAACCCTGCAGAAGTCGTCACCAACCAGACATTCCTCGACACCACGCCTCCGGAAGCTCCAGAAATAGGATTCGTCAAGACTCTTATTGATTGTGCACGTAAAGACAGTCCTCAAGATAGGCCAACATCAGAAGACGAAGATATAGAGAGGTGGATCGACGACAATCTTCCATCCGCTAAGCGTCCCAGAGAAAGAGTGACATCCATCGTCTCCATCTCATCCACCAGCTCTTGCGACATGCACACCAACACGGACGTCAGTGAAGACGAAATGGAGCATGACATTCGGCCGATGCAACCATCTCCAGCACCCATGCAGAAAATTGTTGAGCTCATCCTACGCAAAGTCGAAATCAACCTCCGCAATGCAGCTTACAAGCAATGTACTGGACGTAGCGCCGCGCACAGCCAAGCTAGATCCACGCTGCCTTCGGATCAGACTAGTCGGAAGACGTCTGTGAGCTCAGGATCAAAGCGCAAGTCCCGTTTGGAGGGCAGCCCGCCGCCAGAAGATGATGACGAAGATGGCTCAAGCAAGCGACGTCGTGGATCAACGACGACTACCGATGAGTCTGAGTCCGGCGCGAGGTTCGCATGTCCTTTCTACAAGCACGACCCCGATCGGTATCGCAACAGGAGAACCTGTCCCGGGCCTGGCTGGCCAACCGTTCATCGAATGAAAGAGCATCTCTACCGATCACATTCCCAACCGATATTTTGTCCAATCTGCTACGCGACCTTCAAGTCAGACAAGGAGCAATCGAGTCATGTGCGTCTGCAGCAATGCGAGAGATCATTACCCCAACAGATCGAAGGGATCGATCGCGAAACTGTGTGGACGTTGAGGAAGCGCACCACTGCATTGCGACTAGAGGAAGATAAATGGAGAGATGTATATCAAGTTCTCTTTCCAGACGTATCTACTGCTGAGATACCTAGTCCCTGTAAGTCATCGCGCCATGCTGGATCTTCGACCGCTAACGTACGTCAGTCTATGATTGTGACTCACCTAGTGAAACATCGCGACGCTTCCGCAGAGACCTTCTGCGCCGCGTGCAAGAGGAACTGCTCATTGAGGCCGACCAAGTCCCTACTCCCGTCGAGCAACAGCTTCTACAGCGCGTAGCCCAGATAGTGCGCCGTTGCGAACACGATCTACTGAACCAGGCGCAGCCGCCGTCCACTCCTGCCTTCAATCCAGACCGACGTGCAAGTGCCAGTTCTATAAATAGCTCGTACCAAGCCACGCCTCTACCTGCAGCCACCCCGGCCTTCCAGAGACCATCCCTAGCAGTACCAGCGAATGTGACTGGGAGAGAACACAGATATGATTCCAGCGTCGAACCAGACGCAGTGCCCTATATACCAGAGCCCACAATGGAGTTTGGTGATGTTGTCTGGAATGATCCGCCATATATTTTCGGCACGGGGATCCATTGGGAGGCTGTCTTTCCGCCTGCGCCTGAAACGCAGTATCTGGGGAGTGATGAGGCGGCTACGAATTTCTCGGTCCCAATGTGGACGTAGTCGGTATCTGTGGTATGCGGGCAGAGATGGTATCCATGTCTTGAACAGGATGGATGCTTCCGAGCATTTGGTAAATTTAGATATCTCGTAGATACGGCCGTGGAATATACAATCGACTCTCCACGATAGTGTTGCTCGATAACTCCTAGCAAGGCAGATGGGACTTTAGTCTCTAGGTATGCACGTGTTACGTGTAATTTCGGCATGCCAAGTGATTGTTGTTGCGATGTCATGAATCAGAAAATCGTGGCGCGGCCCGAGTCATTTGTCGCGTCTTTCGTCTCGCACAGGTCTATACAAACTCTCGTCGCGCCATCATGGCACCCAGACTACGCATACCGACTGTCGAATTCCGATCGCTCCTTCTACCGCCTGTACAAATTCCGATACGCGCCCTCCAAACATTGTTCCGCCCGCAATGCGCCCGTCACGTTCCGCGCCGCGCCTGTCCTGCCCAGCGCCTCGAGCAGCGCCGCGCGCTCAACCTATACAAAACGGCCAAGGCCAAGACAGTCCTCGGACAGCACAAAGTTCTGAACTTTACTCAGTGGGAGGTTGAGAAGATAGTGCCACTGGAAAAATTAGAACACCGAGTCAAATTATGGAAGACAGACAAGAAGTCTAAACGGCTGTCCTTGATAGCGGAGAGCATCTCATTCCAGGAGCTCCTAGAGAAGCATGTCGAACCCGGGAAAATGCTCTACTGTCTAAACGAGATCAAGAAAGGAATGGCGAAAAAATACATCGACGAACCAGAGCTGCAAATACCCGGAGAGTTGCACGATTTCGCCCTCCACATCGCCCACACATACAAAGCCCCAAAGACCGCGCAGCAAAAAGGGAAACAAATAGGTGGACTAAAAAACATCATCTTCAACGAGTCAAGCCCGGTGGAATTTTTCAGAATGTGCATAGACCGCGCCTACCAATTCATCGAAGGCGGGCACGCAGTCGAGTTCCGGCTGCGCTTGCAAGGGAAGACGCTCTTGAAAGAAGAACGTATCAAGCCCGCAGGACCCGAGCGCTGGACATGGATGCACATGCACTTCCCGCACCTCCGCCCCGACATCATCATGAAGAGCATGCCAGAGGGCACACGCTACCTGATCAACCCCGTGAGCGACGGTCGCTTAGTCCAATGGGTCGCAGTCGCAGGCCATAAGATGGAACCAGCCGTCAACCTCGACAAGCGGCTCTTCCGCATCAAGTCCTCAGTCACCTCGTCCATTAAATCTGGTAACCAGGCCATGTTACCCAAGATTATGCGTCAGCAGTTACGAGAGTCTGGATCAGAAGACTATAGTATTAATACGGGGCTGCCGAGGGAGCAGGCAAGAGCAAAACATGGGAAGGGAGGCAAGAAGGTGTATAGTGGGGAGGAGAAGAAGTGGCTCCAGAGGGATGCGGAGACGGATGGGTTCCTCGTGCCGGATTCGGATGGAAAGGCGCCGATTAGGAAGTTGGATAGTCGGATTGATACGCGAGGAGGGACTAATCGGTGGCAGCAGAGGGGGTATGTTGGGAATAAAAATGGTCCTAAGGAATTTTAGGGGACATGGGGACGTTATCCAGAGAGCGCAAACTTTTGATTTATTTATCAAAATAAAGCAGCTCTCCGCTCACGTTCGCGTGCCGAAGGCCATGTGATACAAAAACAACATGGCTGTTTCGGCGTCCAACATGTAGTTTGTTTCACCTAACTCCTGTATGACGAAGTTTGTTGTTGGTGTTGGTGACGGCTTGGCAGGCAACGTTGGGCAGTGACCACATCTCTGGGCCGGACATGGATACGGCCGATCATGTTTATCCACCCAAGCCACTCCTTATTCCGCGACCGTCCGTTGCACATGCATGCGTGCTAGTGAACGACCTGCCGCACGAATAATGCCGCGACCCTGATTTCTCCCGCCCACTCCATCAATCCTCCAACTGTCCTAATCCCTCGCCGTACCCTCCCCCGCTGTTCGTCATCGCCGCCGCTGCCACCGACGCCGAGGCCGCGTTCTATATCCCAGTCAATCGCTGCACGCTTACCTCGATCGAACCCGCAACGTCACTACCCTGAGCCTCGATGAACGCAGCGCGGCAGGCGTGTCGCCCCAAGCACCAGGTCCTGGTCCTAAAATGCTACCCCAAGGTGCAGAAGAGCGATGCCGAGGCCAAGGCCAATTCGAGCGAGTTGAGCTACCTGCTCTTCTACGCAAGCACGCGCCGCAGTAAGCTGCAAAAGGTCGTCGACTTCCTGGACAAGAGGGCGACCAAGGATGTGTGGAAAGTCCGGACAGGCAATGTCCAGGTCACGATGCAGATCATCAAGGCGTTGATTGAGAAGTGCCCGCGCGACCTCCCCCTCTATGCCACCGCTGTCCTGCATATCTTGCGCACCATCCTCAATTCCAACGACGTTACTATGGTCGAGGAGTCAGTGCCGACCTTCGAGGCTCTGTGCGCGCATCAGGATCCCGCCGCCCTCGCAGCCGACCAAGACTACATCAAGAAGTACGAAGAGATTGTACAATTATACGCCCAATTCGCGTCCAAGGAGACTGTCAAGACGGGCAAGGCACCAGTCAGCTGGCCGGTCGCGATCAGATACCGGAAGGCTGGGCTGCAGGCGCTCAAGGCCATTGCCTCGTCTGAGTCACTGGGGTCTGAGACCGGGCGTCAACTGGGCGCTGTCATACCAGTCATACTCCTCAACATACACTCGGAGAGCGGCGCATACCTCAAGCGGTTGGAGATACGAGAAGCCGCCAAGGGCGAACATGAGAAAGAGGTGGCACTGCGACGGCGGCAGAGTGTCTCTACCGCGCGGACCGACGACGACGACGGCGACCCGATCGCGGCATCTGGTACAACGGAGGATGCGGATAAGCTTGCGGAAGAAGAGGTGGGAGTACTCGCGCTCCAGGCCTTGAGGAGCATATTCCAGGGTGTGAATCGAGGGCAGCTCCGGCTTGCGACGTCCGCTGTGCTCAAGTTTATCGGATCACATGTCAAGAGCCTGCAAGAAGCTGCACCGAACGAAAGCAGCCATTGGGCGACTACACTCATGGCCATGATCTGCGCATGGGTCCCCGTACAAGACCGATACACAATCCTAGTAGGCGCAGTGGAAGCCCTGGTCCGCAGTCCAATCGTGGAAGACGACCTCGAACGGCAGCTGACTCTGGCGACGATCATCGACTACCTTCTAGCCTCGACGATCAACTTCATCGGACTGAGTGTCATGGATGTCCTGGTCGGGCTTATTTCTCACTCATTGCTACTCCTCCAGCTTGGTGGTCCGGGATCAAACATCGTACCGCATCATCAGCAGACAACATCTGTCGTATCGGAGAAGGAGGGTAGCAATGAATCGTCGACGGCCAATCTGGATAGTGTCGTTATGGAAGTCGTCAAGAAGCCTTCTGATGCGAGGATGCAGCTTCTGGATACAGTGCAGAGATGCATGGCAGATCTCGCGACACATGTATACTACACTGATCAGATTTCCGATATGGTGGAAGCCATACTGAGCCGACTAAAGCCATCGCGGCTTTCGAGCGTTTCCTCCACCACCGAAGCGATACAGAACCCTGAAGGGGCGATAGATGCTGTCGCTGATTCCATCAGTATGCAAGAGAAGACGCATGTGGATCGTTTCTTCTCTTTCGAAACAGCACGCATCACTGCTCTAGACGCCGTCAAAGCCATCATAAAGACGGCCAACACCCGAAGACCAGATGGCTCATCGGCTTCTGTGTCGCGGAGCAAAGTAGGTGTGAGTGTTTGGGAAGGTACACAATGGCTTTTGCGTGATCCGAGTGGTCAAGTCAGGAAAGCATACGTAGATGCGCTGATCACCTGGCTCAATACGGAGAAAGACAAGGAAGACTTAAAGATCGTGGACAACTACAGGCGGAAGGAGAAGGAGGATGATAAGAATGCGCTGGCAAGACGTGCGGTCTCGAATGCTTCGAACAGGAAGAGAGTGTCGAAACGTGGTAGGGACACGTTTCTGCCATTGCTCCATCTGGCGGTGTATGAAAATGCACTTCACTATGTTGACTCCGAGGCGGACTACCTGCTCCTCCATCTACTGCTCACTACTCTGGTGAACAGGCTCGGAGTGAACGCAGCGAGGAGCGGGTTGCCAATGATCATGCGGCTGCAAGAGGACATCGTTACCATCGAAGACCCCGGTGCTAAGCTGCGCCTGGGAAGCTTGGTACACGGATACCTCTGGGCACTCAGCATGACCTTGGACTTTGAGGTTTCCTCCGTCGGTCGCGCTCTCCACAACGAGATCACGCGCAGAAGCAGTAAAGGTCTATGGATGAAGAGCATACGCGTCCCACCAATGCCGATCGAGCTGATAGAGACGCCGCACCCGACTCCTGTCGCTATCCCGCCAGAGATTGTCGAGAACGAAGCGCTCAAGCCCTTTGACAACCGCGAGGCATTGGTCGAGAAGATATCGGAAGGTTATTCGACTTCCCTATACTCGCCGCCTTCATCGCCTCCTGGCTCACCTGGTCGTACAGTGTCTGCATCCATTCCTACCATTCATCAACCGACACAGTCTGTGAGCCAGCAGAGTGCACCGGAACTTTCGTTCAAGGTCCGAGAAGATCTCTTGGCGAACTGGAGTCGCGAAGACTGCTTGTCTTCTCACACGAAGGATTCATCATCTGCTTCAATTTCTGGTTCCAAGACCGGTACTCATTACACTGCTGCTACACAGAAGAATAACTTCCTCGGTGTAAACATCCCAAATGGCAATCTCGATAGCAACGGTAGCTCGCCAGCCCAAAGCCCAAGACGCGCACACAGCAGACCTCCATCTGCGGCATATGGTCTGGTAGGCCGTCTCTCATCACCAAACCGAAGTCGCAGCCCAGGCGACACACCCAACAGCTCGTCATCCCTCCGCTCCACGGTCCGCGTCGACGACCTTCGCCGCGCACTTTCCACATCCGGTGGCGGCGCTCCGAGAACAGGCTACTCTCACCGTGCGCCTTCGCAACGACACCGCAAGTCATCCTCCGACCATGCATCTTCCGCCTCCGACTCGCTCGTCAGCGTACACTCCCTTTCGGATGCTTCTTTCATAACAACCCATCCAGCCACCGATTCTCAACAGCTCCAGAATCCTGACTCCCCTACCACACCCGCTGCGACACTTACTCCCCGCCCGCAAACAGCTACGTCCATGAACTTCAATATCAACAATAACACCGCTCCCACGAACGCGCGTGAAAGCACATACACAATGACGAATCTCCCTCCCGTCCCTCCCATACCAGAAGAACTGCGGACTTCACCAGACGGCCACGGTCGGAGTGACACGCGCGACTTTGCGACAAGACCCAAGACAGCGCCGAATGGGAGTAAAGCGGGACGGTCGCGCAGTGTGAAGAGTGGAGTCAGTAGAGGGAGGAGTGGCGAGCGGAATGCGAGAAGGGGCACTGGAGGTGCGGGAAGTAAACCGGACTTCACTGGGTTTTTGGATAGTATTGGGGTTGAGGATGCGGAGGATGATGACAGTGTTAGTGGTAGTGTGGTGGAGAGTGTGGGTACGGGGGGTGGAGTGGGGAGGGCGCCTTATTAGTTTTGAGACGTGAGGAGAAGGTGGGAGATGAGATTGGTGGTATGGTATGTATTCTTTCCCTTGTCTTTGAGATCCAACACATCTTCTCGTTGTTGCTCACATCGATGCTGTGTATACCTATCTCCTTTGTCTCGACTCTTGTTTCCTGTGTAATAGAGAGAAGGAAAGGAAGAAAAAGGAAGGAGAAGGCGGGAGAAGGAGAGGTGAAGGATAGAAGATGCGGCTTCCGCTTACGATAATACCGTTTGTGTTCACTGTGTTTTAAGATGCTGGGTTTGTTAGGTAACGTGCTGCGCTTGTTGAGAGGAAATTCAAGGGTACTAGAACTGTGGGTAGACTGGTAAGTCATTCGTGACATTACCTGATGTCGTGATGAAGGATTCATACCATTCCCACTAGTGAAGTCGAAATCAAGAATTGATGCATTCCATTATGCAGTCTTCATTCCATACGCGAGGACATATCAAGGTTTCCCAATGTGAAACCCTGAACTTGACGTTGACATGCCCGCGTTGTGCAAACGATGCATGGTTGTCGAGCGTACATAAACACACCCTTGGTCCCTCTTTACTTGTCCATATCAATACAACGACTGCCGCGTCAGGACACGAAGCAAATAAAGATTGCACACCAACAGTCAAGATAACACCGAGCTCGACAACCATCACTGATTCACACGTCAAATCTCCAACCCACCACCTCACGATGTATCTCTTGACCCTCCTCACTCTCCTCAGCGGCCTTATCTTTACCTCCGCCATGCCCTTCACACCCTACAAGCACTTCGGAACAAGCCCGCACCTCGATCCCTCACAAGCCCCCGAATACTGCTCCGCGCTACCCCAAACTCCCAGCGTAAAATGGTGCCTGTGGCCCAACTTTGCCAAGCAATGCTATACGCGCGCCTACGAGCCGCAACCGTGGTGTGAGAACTTTTACCAATATGAGAGCAGACCCCGCTCCATTGGTCCGGATATGGGTGAGTAGTGGCTGTACGAAATGTGTTCCAGGCATTCACTAATTCGGGATTCCTAGGCGGCAACTGCAGGTTCTACAAGGAGTTTGATTGTGGAGAGAATAGGGATGCGGTGGAGATTTGGGAGGGGAGTAAGGAGAGGCCGCTTGAGTGTCCGGGGCTGTCGTTTACGGGGGACCCGAAATGGTTTAAGAGTATGAAGTGTATGAGGGATTAGTGGATTGGGTGCTTTCTCTTGCTTTCTTTGACGGAGGGGATGGGGATGTGGGACGTGTCAAATACAGGTTATTTGTGTTGTCATCGGTTTGGGTTTAAGTTGAAGCTGGTGGATATTAGCTTAGCTATCTGTGCGGTGTATACATTTTTGACGCGTTTGGTGCTGCTTCTTTGAGATTAATCTCGTAATTTGTGCACATGTGAATCAGGGGGATATCGAATCAATGATGCGTTTTTTGTTCACGTAATGTAAGTGGATGACCTAGACGTCGACTAAACACAGCCTGACAAACATACAAAGGGGTTCCAAGCTTCCCATAATAGAACTTACTAACAAGACGGTATACGCCGCCCTATCCACATCTTCTCTGCATGGGTACTGCGTTAACTGAGCACGATGAGCCCTTCCCGATTTTGATCATATTTGGGTACATAAATATGTCATCCACGAAGGTACCTAGGTACTCGCCCTACCTGCAATCTCCTACTCCCGAGCAAACGTCCTACACTTCATGCTAGCAAACCAATCTGGTTTCCCCGCATCACTCATCCCCGGACACTCCAACGTCGTCGTCGGGTCCCCCTTCCAAATCTGCACCGCCTCACCCCCACAATTCTTCTCCTTGAAAAACTCACAGTATCCACCGTCTTGAGGGCGAACGGAACGAACACGCTTTTCCACGTTCTCGTCGAACGTCAGACATACGTCTTTGGTGGAGTCGTAGGCCCACCATTCACAGGGCCCGCCAAAGTTCGGGTTCAGACAGTAGTAGACGCCAGGCATGTTGCCTCAGTCTCCGGGTCTACATTCAGGTAGGCCTTAGTATAGTAAGGAGGGGTTGTAGGGCGGGCTAGATATGCGGGGGCTAACAGCGAAGGGGAGAGCTGTCGCTAGGGTAGTAAGGAGAGGGATAAGGGTTAGTAGATACATTGTGGTGTGAGAGGAACGCGACTTCGTGTTTGTTGTTGTTAATTCTATGGACGCCGTGCTGTGTTGATGCGAGAGTTCTTGTGCGGTTGATATTGCGTGCAAGGACGAAGGAAGGGAAAAGTATGCTGCCAGGTCTATTTATGTCTGTGTTTTACATTGTATGATGCTTTTCAGTATCAAAGTCAACGTTAGGAAACTTGAATTCGCTCGGAGCTTTGATATGGCATTGTGAAGTTCAGGTGTGATCGAATGGGTTGAAAGGGACGCATCATGCTGTTCATGTCGTGGTCATTATTGGAAAGAAGGACGCCAATGTAACATAATATCATCACATTTTTGCGGCCCAGGGAGGATATATATTCGCGTTCTGCATCCGCGTCAGTCTTTTTCCACCTCTTCTACACTATTGTGCCAGCAACCAACAAGAGCCACTGCTACCTCAAGAATAGGCATTCTCCTTGCTGTTCAAATTCGAACTCAACCGTTCGATATGCTGAACATCTGTCCTACATACCTGACCAGTATCTTCTTTGCCATCACCGCTACGTCCCCGGTCAACACGCCCACAAGAGATACCATCGTTGTCAAAATAATCCCAGCCACTGGCGGAGATTTCAGCTCCAATAATGTCGACCTGCACACCTTTAGCGATCCAAACTCCCCTGTCTGCAATTCCAAAGTCGGCCGACCCGGCGGCGTCTACATCTGCCCCGGTCCAAACTTCACGCCTTCTGCAACTCAAAAATGCAGGTGGTGGCCACCTCCTGCTGCTGCTGACGAAACAGTCTGCATTTCTTATAAAAAGGAGCTCAGTCTTGATCTAAGCCGTCCTCAGTCTATCGGACCTGACCCTGATGGCTACTGCCTTCTATACCAGGAGCCGGATTGCAGGAATGGGGCACAAGCTCATATCATAACTAACGGACAAACGTACAAGTAAGTTGATTGAAGTGACGAGGTCATCGGGAGTATGCTAACTCTACTAGTACTATTGGGTGTCCTGGGTTGAACGGTGACTTTGGCATTGTGAGTTTGCAGTGTTGGCCGCTTTCGCGGCGGTGGAAGTGACGGCGGAATGGCGGAAGATTGAACAAATGTTGTGACTGCGACTGTGGCATATTTCATCTATACATTCATGATAGCAGCGCTCTGTAGGCGCGACTAGAAGTGTCTAGTCTTGGGTTGAGATCAGCAGGCGTTTCGAAGTGCGCTGGGAATGAATGGTTTGATGACGTAATCCACGGGCACTAAGGGAAGGAAGGTTTCAGAGCCCCTACCTTCAACGATGCCCCAAACATTCTAGTCTCAACCTCAGTGACAGCGCTCCGGTACTGCATTAGTAGTGCCAGCCTCGCGCCAACTAGCTAGGTACCATGCTTGCCGTCACTACTCCACTTCAGTACCGCGTCGCTACACCACGTTGGCTACAGATCAACACTCAAGCATTAATGTTCGCTGCAAGACAACAAGGTTTCAATCACGTATTCACAAGCATCATTCCTGGTAGTGCCCAAATTGTCATAACGGACCCTTGGTTGCTTGTCCAGTTCTAGAAAGCGAGCGCACCCCTGGCTGAGTCACGCCGCCAATATACCACTTTCTGGCCTACTTCCTTAATTCATCAATATAATATTTTCGATAGGCAGACAAACCTGCCACCGAAATTCGCCGAAAGACAACTCGAGATGTCGCCCTCCGACACCCAGCATTGCGCCCGAAGCTGTCGAAATCAGTCCACCAAAATTCATCACGACTAGACGTATCGCAAGGACCTCTGCGCGCCACATCAGATTGTGTATTGGTTAAGGAACAGACTGGTGATTATGTCAATCTCGACCTTCCACCGCGCACCCAAGACAGCCGTGAGCCTGCATTCACAATGGATGGGGCTACCACCAAGGCTCCGATTATTGAACTTCAAAAAGCTAGTAACTGCGGAAATGGTCTCGACAACCCACGAAAACGGAAGCCTGTATGGCAGCTCTTCGAAGATGTGCGGACAAAGCTTCGGTAATGGCCTGCTGATCAGAGGCGCTCTTACAAGATAGAAGATTGTATATGTGTGGTAAATGGAAGAACATCGTATCTAAAGAAGCTGTGATCGGCATGTGCACAGTCAAACAGTGTTTGACTTGACTTTACGCTGTTCGCCGAATTTATCTGGAGGTAAGTAACACCCCCAATAACACTCAATGTGCAATCATCAATCTTACCTACACTTTAGAACCTATGCGTCACAAATATGAGGCTTTGATCTGCCTGTATGTGAAGCATCAAACACGCTGCGTATCCTCTTCGTATATGTCTCCAGATGGCCGTTGTCTGTGATACCTCGGAGCCCCTTCAAGAACAGCACTCCCTTCCAATCACTGCGTGGAGCATTAGCTGAAGAGCAATGACATCACTTAAGCTCCCAATCGATCATGTTACAATCAAACATACAATGCGAGCAGTACATTGCCACACGCAAGACACCGTGCCACGTGGAGAAGGCGAAGTCGAGTGCCAACAAAGTCTAGGCTCTACAAACTACATGCTTGACCTGCTAGCTATATGTGAATCTCTACGATATCAAGTGCTCAGTATGTTACAAGCGAACTGTCAGTTACGGCTAACCTGCTTGTTCGTTGAGAGTAACAGCATGTACATATATTCCGCCGTGCTCCACGTATCTCTCCCCAGAACAACGACAACTATTACACCTGCATTTCCATTATACTACACTACCGATATCTTAGCAATCTATTGCCGGCCAGTAGCTCACTCGTATATATATATACCCTCGCTCTGATCGAAAACTCAGACATCTGCACACGAAGATATTCCTACAAACACTCTGTTAGCCGATCATCTGCGCTAAAAGCTCGACCACCCCTACCTATCAAAACGTATCACTACTCATATCTCTCGCAGCAAGATGTGTTTAGATACGTGCGTTACGATGGAGAGTCGCTGCCCCAACAACCACTCATATCTAGTAGTAGTATGTCAGGTTTACAACACCACAAGATGCCATCGTGGTATGGGCGAGCCTTTTGCAGTAAAAGAGAACTACTTCGACCTATCAGAAGAGGAATGTGCGCAGTGTAAATCCGAATTTGACCAGGGAGCTGTGTCGAGGCCGACGAAAAGCCTGGTTAGTCTCAAGAGAGCTGAGACAGTGTTAGCCACATCGAGAGCGAATGAGCATAAGATCAGGGATAAGTGGAGCTCGGAAGATGAAAAGAAAAATTTCATCAAAATACATACGTTTCATGGGCTGGCACAATATGAAAAAAGGGTAGCTGTCATAGGAGCTGGTAGGATGCCACAAAGAACCATGGAGGAATACAAAGAAATTCTAGACAATACCATTGACGAAATGTGGGATGGGAATCTCCCTTCAGGTTTCGAGTTTGAAGAGCGGGGAAATCGCAAGACCTGGGCCAAGGGCAAGGGCAAGGGCAAGAAACCAGCATCGGAATCACAACAGACAGAGTTGCCTGGCCTTCGTCGAGAAAGCCAGCCTCCGGCGCTTGCAACTAGCACGGGTCCACCACATGCTACAAACCAATCCTCTATTGGCCACGGGACAGACAGCCAAAGGTACAGTGATGCCGCAGCTCAAAATCCAGCCCGACAAAGCAATTACTCAACAGGCGCGCAGGAAGGCATGCCTCCAAGTCTTCCTCGAGCCTCTCAAGTAAATCGTCCTACGAATCGTCCTAGAAATCCTCCTGCAAATTCCACATTATCCAAGGATGACGCGAAGAAGCTTCAACATGCTAGGCGTCTTGCGAGACGCGAGTGGGAAAAATCTGCGAGGAAGCTTGCTGTGAGCATTAATTGGGGCACACAGGACCAGCGGGAGGAATTGGTTTATCGCTTCGTGCAACAGGCTACGAAATTCTGGGAGGCAGAGAAAAACAAGGGGAAGGCCAGAGTGATCTTCGACAAGTTTCACCAGGAAACTATGATGCGAAAGATTATGGGAGATATTACAGAAGGAAGACAGACCTCGAATTTTATGCCAAGGCCACCTGCCGCAGGTGACAGTTCTTCTTCCGGTGTACAGGGTAACACGGTTCCACCTAGGGGTCTGCAGGCGCTCGCAACTGGTGAAAATCCAGTTCCAGTCACACGATTGCCTAAAGTTCCACGAGGGTATGATTCTCCGAGGAGAGAGGAGGATGATACTGATTACGAAAATTTCCCCATTTCCGATTCTTCCGATATCAAAAAGAAAAGGGAGAATACGGCCCCTCTAGTAGGACGAGGACAGGGTGCTGCCCACGGACAAACACTCACAGTCCCCATACCTCAGCCTACAACAGGTGGAAGAGGCACTACTAGTAGGAGGGTAACGCACCAAAGATTCCGTGAAGATTCCGGCTCCGATCACGCCGAACTTTATGATGGGCCTAACGATGACCCTCCGCGTAGGAGACGGCGGCCAGTACCAGCGACTGCTGGAAGCTCACCAGATCTCATGGGCCAATCTCCTTTGAGTCGCAGCGCAGACAATGGCCTTTGCAGTCGTGCTCCGACCAGAGCCGGTTCCTATGACTACGTGGATCCAGGGGCACCCGCATTTAGCGGTCGAACGGGATTAACTCCATTTAGAGATAATAGTGAAGACGCTATAGGGGAAACTGATTCTGAGTATGAGAACCTTAGAAGCCGGCAGCCATCGCTCGCGGCTGGTGGAGGTTCAAAAAATGTCACAGGCCAACCCCCTCTGAGTCGCGGTCGTGCTACGTCGAACGCCAGTCCAAAAATGTACGAGGACCCAGGGGCACCTCCCGCCAGTGGTATATCGTCGCCGACTTCGAGCGATATGCAACGTTCCCCACGCATTGCAAGCCAATCTCCAGCTGGACGCAGTGTAAACAGCCAAAGCCGTAGTCGTGCTGGGTCGAACGCAAGCAACTCGGCGTCCCCTAGCGGGCCGATGTCGAGACAACTGGCAAAGACAAGCAGTAGAGACCTGTCCACTGCAGGTAGTCCAGGCCGGAGTTTCGTGGGCTCCCCGCTCGGCCAAGAAGGTGATTCACCGCAAGGCGCTCTTCGTCAAAGATCTTCCAGTATCCCCATGCGACCAGGCACCTCTCCATTACCTTCCACTCCCTCGGGAAATACGCCTCATAGTCGTCAGGGAACTCCGAATTTGCAGCAGACAAGACTAGTGACGGGTCGTGGACGAGGCTATGGCCAAGGAGCCGCGCATCCCAATCTTGAGAGCAGAGGTAGGGGCGGAAATTCTAGAGGGAGGGGGCGAGGCACCTAAAAGCAAGATACACGGTACACAGTACGTGGAATCGGAAATAGTATGGAAGAGATGTTGTCTGCATTATTGTGTCTCATCTTGTGCACAATTCTTAGCATGACGTCTATAAAGATAAATGAAAGTGACTAGGATGCGTGGTTGGCGTATAGAATTAGCTTTCCTGTTATGCAATTTGTGATTCTGACTGGACGTGAAGCATTGAACGCATTGTGTAAACTCTTAGTGTGTGCTTGTAGATCGTTGCGAGATCTATAGAAGCCAATTCTCATACGTGCCAAAGGGATTCCTGGTAACTGTACCATGGTTTACGGCATTCTTCACACCATCATTGAATTCTAGTAGTCTTAATAGCAGAGACGACATAGGAAAAAGCGCTATTCAACGAACAGCGTGATTGTGAACTGCCAGAATTTTGATCGCAGAGCATATCACATACAATCGTTCACGTATATCTAGGGTGTTTGTATAACCACGGATAGCGGGATATATATCTACCTCGATCTCCTCCTCAAATACTGTTATAAGAAACCAACAAGAACAACAAGAGCAAGGACGAATAGAATCAGGATAGCAACATTCTGAGTTTACGTATACCAAACACTTTAACGACTCACTGCTGGCTAGTGAACACACTCAACTGTCTATATCCTACGCTTACGCCTACACCCAGCACGAACACTGCCAACAAAGACTTCACAACCAAACCAACACTATCTATCGACTTGTGAACGTCTTGTAACAAACGCTTTTAATTCGAAACTGCCATACCGTCTTAACAATACCTATGGCGTCGCTTCCATCATCTCGTGTGCGGAGTGAGGCGAGCAAGTTTAAGCATGCTGAGTATATGGTAAGAGGCACTTATGAGAAGGGTGCGAGAAAATTTATGGAGAAACTCAATTGGGGTACACACGAAGAGCGGGAGAGATTCATGCCTATCTTTCTGGAACGAGCCATGCAGATATGGCATGCAAAAAAAGCATCTGGTGAAGCCCTAGTAATCTGGCCTCAATATGCCCGGGAAAATCTGATGAAAGCTGTCATGGAAGACATTTCGAAAAGAAGCCAGGCCTCAGATATCGCACCGGGGCCATATGGTGTGGGAAGCAGTTCTTCAACGGGCGTACAGCGCGTTCAAAATACAAACTGGGAGGGTGGTAAAGATAAAACGGGAACGGTAGCCATTGATCTCCAGAGGAACATAATTGAATTCCCAAGGAACACAGTCGACACCCCATTTGGTAGTCCCCGCGCAGCTCCACGATCTCGCTCGGGTAGCTATCACAGTTCACCAATGTCAGAATCAGAGGCGTTTCGTAAGTATATCAACATGCCACCAGACTCACCTTCGCCAGGTCCTTCTGGAACTCAACCTGTGCGAGAAAATACGCATACACATATCACATTGCAGGGTGCTAGTCCAGGACCTGGCGACAAGCGCAGAAACAGTGCGGTTCGTACACCAACGCATCAGCGCTCCATGGAGTTGAGGCCGCGCTCGCCATCAAGCGTTGGAAGTAATCCTGCAGCAGGGCATTCGCCTTCAGGAAAGCCAGTATCGAAGAGGGCGAGAGCAACACCATCGACGAGCAATCTTGGTGCCACACGAGATAGAGCGACGAGTGTCTCATCAAGTCCTCTTGCACCTGCATCATCGAGGAGCATCCCGCATCCAGCATTAACGGATAACGATGAAGAACAAGGCTATATTGGTAAAGGCAAGAAACCGGTGAAACGAAAGTAACGAGGGTGCGCGTTCGGCGTACGTATTTGACTCTGGTGTCATGTTATTGGTCGATGTGTATGTAATAGTCAAGCGTTGTATATTTTTGAAGTCTTTTCGGGTGGTGTTATACGTTCGAGTGGAGATGCAGTGATTTAATTTAGTTCGGATGATAGAGGTGGTTCTGCAATGGATATTGCCGGGCGAAATGGGTAGCTAGAAAAATATGATTATTCCTTAACTTATCAGTTCTATAAGGTTTGATTAGGTCTTGCCCTCTTTAATGTTTGTGTTGCGCACAACAAAGACGCAGCACTGCAGCTATCTTATGTTCCTCTCTTCTAACTTATATCTAAGTGTACAGTATAATACCTTAGTTTATCTACTTTCTCTTATAGTACTATAGTAACGCAAAGTAGATAAGTAACTTATAACTTGTAAGATCTATACATACTTATCTAATTGGATCCTCTTAAAAAGAAAAGCATTGTTAACAGAAGAGCTTGTGTTGCGCATCTGTTTTGGCCCTCGAAACTTGTTGCATACCTGAGAATCGTCGCGCAAGTCGTCTCAATACTTTATATTTATGCACAGATAGCGTAGGTTTGCATATCCACACTGCCTTGAGACTCTTGTTTGCAAATATTTTCAATGTGAAGATCTTCATGTGAGCTGTGGTTTGTACGCCCGAACAGCATGAGGGCCTGACCATTGCTTGTTTGTGCCTAACAAGCGGAAATACTGGTCTCTCAACAGCATAACGTGAATTGTACGGCTTTCGACGGCGAACAATCGCATCACAGACAATAGCCATTGTTCGAGTAGCTCTTTGTGAACTCTCGTATCGTCACACGTTGAGTCAAACGCCGAGAGTCATATACGAGAAGTCAAGAAGAGAAAGTCACGAAGATGGAATCACATACGGAAATTCACGAAAACCGAGGTCGTTTGTCACTACTGTATATATGTACTTGGACGTGCTGTACTTTTCCTTCTGCAGAATACCAACAACGACCACAACCGCTACTTCCATCATTCCAACGTTGTATCAAAGCTTCAGCAATCTACTGCCGGTCAGTACATATCTGCCCTACTCGAACTGCCGTACACTTTAACCATTGCATATGCCAATTTTCTCGGCCACCTTCTTATCAAATCAATGTGTCAAACAGTCGAACTTTCCTGCCCTTTTAAGCACCACACAGAGGTGATTACATATTGCGCACAACGAAGCCCTACCGAAGAATGTGCCAACTCTCAGATCGTCGAGAAGTCGTGGGTCGCGCATCAATGTCCCGAATGCAGGATCCAGTTTGGAAAGCCCCTACGTACAGCGGAAGAGCTGTATCGCGGACAGACAGACACTAACAAGGAGAAAGATGCAATGACTATGTATAGGAGAGTCAAGAAGGCTTATCTATCCAGAGCGCAAGAGTTAGCCCAAGGGCCAGAGATCACGCCCGCGTTGAGCGATAACGATCGGCAACTCTTCATCGACTACTACGTTGTACGAGCCGCAGAGGAGAGGGCTGCCCTTAGATACGCCTGGGAAAAAAACAAAGGAGATCTTCAAACGCCTCCACATGGCAACATCAAGAGGCTGAATGCAGAAGTGGTTGAAGACTTCTCTCGCTTGGGAGCAGCAGCCGTGGCCGGAATAGTAAAAGCATCGATACATATGGCCAAATTTGGCAGCTATGGCTATATAGTAGACGACAAAGGCAAGGCAGTGCCAGTAGAAAGCTCAGGGAACTTGATGAGACCTGCCGCAGTACCGCAATCAGCAGCTCAAAGCAGCTCTTCAGCAGGCGCGCAGAGAAGCATGTCCCCAGGCCTTCCTGCAGCTAGAGCTTCCGCAGCTCAGAATTCAGCCCAGCAAAGCAGCTACTCAGCAGGCGCGCAGAGAAATATACCCTCAAGCTTGCCTTCAGTCTCACAAGCAAATCCTCCTACAGTTCCACTAACTCGAGACCTAACTAAAGCCGAAACTACCAAGGTCAACGACATAAGGTGGCAGGAGAAAAATGTCAGCAAGAAAATCGCTGACCAGGTTGAGAATGTATGGAATTCCAAAGCGGAAAAGGATAGATTCCCCGGAGTCTATTCAGAAGGGATGGTAAAGGTCTATATTCCTAGGCTCATTAAAGCTGGCGGCGGCAGCGCGAAGAGGATGACTGTAGACGAAAAAGATAAGGCCCTGGCGGACATTATTAAAACCTTTGGACCAAAGAAGCTCCCGGTCGATTTCAGGCCTTTTTTGAAAGGTCGTGGATTTGCAAAGGGCAGTCTTGCAGAGAAGGCTTATCTAGATGGTCGGCGATCCAGGACACCTGTTCAATCTTCTCAGGCCCAAGGCGAGGTAGGTAGCCCTTCTTCATGGCGGCATGAACATTGGGCTCAAACCTCGGCTCCCCAGGGTGGACGAGCAGTGGAACATAGCCCAAGACGTGGAGCCCAAGCGCAGCAGCCGCACATTCAAGACGGTCATCCTGAGGATCTGTGGAAGCCCGATTCAGATGACGAATTGTATCACAATCCCGAAGAGCCTCCTGGTACAGGCAGACACGGCCGTACTCCTACTACCGCCTACAGGGATCCAGGTGCACCTGGCCCTACTGATCCAGCGGGATCGACTCCACGTAGTGTGAATTCACTACAAAGTGATGGCACTCGTGCACCCGTCGGAGCACGTGGCACCAGCGGCGGTCCAGACAGGCACGACCACAGTCGTGCTGCGTCAAGGTCCGGTTCCGAAGGGTACTGGAACCCAGGGGCACCCGGCTACACTGGTATATCGTCGCCGACTTCGAGCGATCTGCGACAATCACCACGGATTGCAGGTCAATCTCCAGTCGAATGCGATGCAGACCGCCGCGGCCGTAGTCAAGCCGCGTCGGAAGTAAGATTTCCAGCGTCCTCTCGCGACCGAAGGCATACAAATGAGCCGTCAGCGTCACCGCCAGCTGTTGCACGTCATATTTATTCTAACAAAGGTAACTCCCCATTTGATAGGGCACCCTCGCCGATGCCTCTCACGCCCAATACACAATACATGGAGGATAAGATCGAGAAGGAGGCAGAGAAGAGAGGCGAAGAATATAAAGATTTGGAAAGCTGGGGAAAATCGCTAATGGGTCAATCGGGTAATCCATCAGATCAGGGTCATACTAGTGGAGGCAGAGCACCCTTGGTCCCCCAAAATGTAGCAGCCGGTCGAATACATTCACGGCCTTCTACCAGTGGAAGCAATCAATCGTCTGGCGGAGGAGCTTTCGCGTCGCAGACGAACACCCCGGCCCCTGGCACAACTCAACACCACAGTGGATCGATGCCGAAACCACCGACAAAGAAAAGCACATCAGATATGCGTGCTGCAGGTAGCCCGGGTCAGAGCTTCGGGGGCTCCTCGCTCGGCCAAGAAGTCAACTCACCGCAACCCTCAGTCGGCGCTGTCCATCAAAGATCTTCCAGTATCGCCATACGACCAAGTGCATCTCCAGCGGCATCGACTCCCGCAGTCACTACGCCTCTTGTTCGTCAGGCAACTCCGCCTCTCCAACAGGCAAGACCAACTAACACACCAGGACTCACCGGCGCACCGCACAATACTACACCACATCGTGATCCAGTGCCTCGGACCGTGGCTCCTCCTACGGGTGCTGGAAGGAGTCAGGTCACCGGAGGCGCGCCTCATGGTGCCGGCAATCAGGGTCTGGCTAATAAGCCCGCCAAGGGACCCGCCAAGAAGCCTGCCGTTAAGAAGAAGCCGTAAAGCAGCCAAGGGTATGACACAAGACATATAGTAGATAGAATAGGAGACGGTATAAAGGGATTGCCGGCGCTGGATTTCTTTCTTTTCCCGATCGTTGATTCTTGCATGGTTTGTAGAGATTCGATTGCTTCCCTGTTTACGGAGCGATGGTTTACGGAAGGACACGGTAGTGCGCTCTCTTTTCTTTGCTCATTGCGGTCGGTATATCGGGTAGGCTTTCTGGAAAGGCCTTGTTTATCATTGAGTGTTCATGGCGAAGGCGTTTCGGTATCAGGTCGGTGGTTTGCGATGATCGTGAGAGCGAGTCTTTCTACAGCAGATGTGTTGATAGTATCGGAGGGTCAATGGTGGGACTGGAGAATGCGGACGTGTACATGATTAGACGAAATTACGAAAACACCAAAAAAAACGAAACAACAGTAATCATGCGATAGAAGTGATCTGAGGCAACCGGCGCCGAGTACGTGTGGCGGAGAGAGGAAGAAAGACGGCCTGCGCAGAGATCGAGATTGTCTTTGTAGTATGCGATACCACTATGCCATATGGACAAAGATACCAGCCAGCATGACAATGCTGGAAACGACACGCGCGAGGATGAGTGAAGATGCCACACCATGCCCAGGTGGTGGTCAAAGGCGTGACAAATGATGGCGACGGTGATTACACCTCGAAGGTCAGAGGAGTGACGCGTCGATACCGCGCTAAGAGCTTACGTCATCAGTCTCGTCCCACCACCTGGGCACGGTGCCGGAACTTCATTCCGTGACTTAATTCCACAACCTCATTCCTCAGCCCCATCCCATAACGTAGAACAGAGCGCCTATGGCTCAGACTAGGATCTGGTCTCGGTTTGACCTCATTCCGTAACCATGATGCAGATCATCATTCCCGACACGCGTACCCAACGCGAACACCACCACCACACCCAGCGCCAACCCATACATCCGCATTTTCATGTTTTATAGACATCACCCGTTTTTCGTTTATCTTCTGAGATCAGTGATAACGTCATGTAGGTGATGTCATGTGTGTTTGGTAATGAGGAAGAGAAGACGCGAGCGCGCAGGAACATGGCAGCTTTCGGGTATCACTTTTGGGAAGGAAAATGAGGTACATGAGAAGAAGTTTTGGTCACCAGCAGCTGCGAGATGACGTAAAAGGCAGAGAACATGTGGAAGGTAAGAGCTCTTATGCACGAACACCGCATCCTTCAGTCTTGTTGTAGTTTTCTTCGTTGTCGAGTTTTGGTGCCGCGCAGACGAGACGCGAAGGGCACGGGCTTTTTCATCTTGTGCTTTTGACATCGGGAGTACTGCCCGAGGTCCACAGACGCACACATGTCAAGTTTGATATAGTATTGTTAGAACCGACATGGCTTGTCGTTGATGGGATATTGATGTAAGAGTTGGAAGCCGAGAGATGCGCACACCATGGGTATTCAAGATCTGCTCTTTTGATCCAGATATGAACTTATTGCTTAGATTTTTGAGCACAAGAAGAAAGAAGAATGTACGATAACACTTCTTCCAATCTTGATCGAAGCTATATACCCGCCAGCATCAGCGCTACTCCCACCTTGGGACCGGTGCAGACGGTGCAGCACACATCATCATCTTGTAGAAGCGTTCTGAAAGAGGTGTCGCATCAACGCACGACCAAGTCCACACTACATGGTCTGGCTCGTCTGCTCTCTCAGCCACTCACATATCGAGTGACTCGATGGGTTTTGGATAGAGAAGGAAGGGGAGTTAGCATGCAACATGCCGGGGCGATATTGCACTTTTGGTCAACCACTCCAGCGAACAATGGCTTGTATGCGTTTAGGTTTTGGTTTTTCTGCAAGCCAGGTAAAGAAGAATGTAAGACGAAAGGAACAGTCACGAAGCGGATATAGAGATAGGGCGGAAAGAACCAGGCGAGCACATCTATAGCTGCGTCGACCTTTTCCGTCCTTCCAGAACATCGATACGTGCTCGGGAGTTTTTGGTGTGTTTGATAACATGACTTGTTGTGTTTCGCCTTTCGGTTCGCGGCGTCGAGGAGTTTGAGAGGGGGAGATCCTTACTCCGCACGTTGGTGCGGGCTTCATCTATTTTGGGAAGAAGAAGGAGGTCGAGAGAGGAACATATCATCGACAATGTTGGATTTTGGAGCAGGTAACGTGTGGTGAAATGCGTAGAAAGTAGGTGCGTGGTAGAGAAGAGGAAGTGATGAGAAGGGGGAGCTTATATACGCGTCCACGGGCGGTAGTGTCACGTGCATCGCTTTCCCGAAGGGGATAGCAGGAATGAGTAAGCAAGTTCAGGTTCCAAAAAAAAGAGGCGGAAGATGATGCCCATTACAGCAACGCGCATCGAAGAGATGAAAAGTTGATCGAGCAAAGGTGTGTTTCAAAAAGAGTAGATTGCATGCCTCAACCGCTACACAGTTTGGTGCTAAAACGATGTCCCAGACAACCCGTTTCCGCTCGCAAAACCGAACTTTTGGAAAGGTCAAGGACAAAAGCAATAAATCAAAAATTCAATCGCCCAAATCATGTCCACGCAGCTGCCTCCCCTAGGACCAAAACCCATGGGTATGTCGCAACGCCTTTTGTTGGCCATCAGTTCCGACAAATGACTGCGTATAAGACAGCAAACTGGAACGCAAAACCCATGTCATGATCTATCGCCCGAGTGGCATGGGCGCGTCATGCGGCGTTCAGCGCAGGTATGCTGGGAGCATAGACATCGCTTCACGCCCTTATCCAAGAGCTCGTCAAGCGGATGTTCAGGGCTGGCTCACCGTACGCGCCAATTTCGCCACCCTCCTACTCATCCTCATACTTCACCTAGAGCTTTGTCTTCTTCCTGTAGAACGGACCGCGATAATTCTCAAGGCCGCCCTCACAGTCCAGTCCGAGGAAGGGCGAGCCATAGTCGTTTTTCAGGAACCGCCTGTCCTTGGCATCAACATGAACTCCCTCTTTCATCGCCGTCTCAGATAGCCGGCCATTCACACATGCGATATCCAGCTTCTTCGGGCCCAGCTTCTTCAGTATGCTGACGTAGATCTCTTTGAGGCGAAGCACTTCCTCGCGCTGACGACAGAACTTGAAGCCGTAGTCGCGCTGAACACATGCAGGCGGTACGTCATCGGTGGGGTCTTCAATGAACTGTCGTAGACGCCATACAGTGGAACGCTCGCGTGGTGGTGTGGTGAGGAAGGCCATGAGGTAGGGGAAGAGGTCGCGGAAATGAGCGTACTCGTACTTGTCGAAGAGCTTCACGACGGAGTTCATTTCTAGGGCAATCTGCAATTCGCGGAATGCAATTTCAGGATCTTTGGCCTCCTTCAATAGCGCGATGTAAAGCCCTGCTAGCTGTCTTTCTTGCTCTTCATCCTTGGCGGTGACGAAACCGAACGAATACCATGCGGCAGTCTGCATAGATAGCAGCCTCTCTCGGATTATGGTGCCAATTAGTTGCGCAGTTTCTTGTTTGGTCGCGGGTTGCAGGGAATGGAGAGGGAGATCCCGATCTTGTTGATTTAGGTAAGGCTGCACCGCAGTCATCAGCGGACCGAGGCTAGTGACAGCTGGCTGAGGAGGAGGAGGAGGAGGAGAAGAAGAAAGAGGATGATGAGGAAGAAGAGAGGTAAGGGCAGGGGTTGCAATTGCCATTTCGATCGCTGTTACTTCGTATCGCTGCATTCTCTTCGACTTCTCTTTCTGAATTGGTGAAGAAGGCTTGATCATTTTTGGTGGTGTAGCGCTCGCCATCGGGGTCGCGAATGACACACTCTTTGCTGGCGAGTTAGGCCTCAGATGAAATGTAACGTTCTTAAACGTTTGCGAAGACCTAGTAGCCCGAACCAAAGTGCTGTAGACACGTTCGGGAAACCCTAGGGTACATATAAGGTCGAATAGTTTATTGGCGAAGTGGGTCTTCTCGAGAATGTACTTGAGGCGGTTCCGTAGATCGGGAATTACCCTTATCATCGTTGATGCAAAGTGAACGAGTCTGTTCAATTCCCCCATTGAGCCATCAAAACTATGGACGTTATGAGATAGCTTGATGATCTTGTCGCCAAGTTCGCGATCCAGCATCGAGCCTCTATTGTCGGCGTCATCGATGCCGAACATCCTCGTGACGAGTTCGTCGAATGTAATCTGGTTCTCTTCAAAGCTATTTTGTATACTTCGTATGACTTGTTCGACTCTGTTGTAGTTAAAGATGAGAATGACGTCCCACAGTTCTGAGCATGCGCGATCGAGTGGCGGCCCTAGAAATGTTAGCGTCGAACGCTTGTAGTCAGATGCAGCATACCAGAAGGATGCATCGCAACAGCGGCCAGCCCATCTTCGAGCTCACGCACAAATTTCCGTAGTCCTTCATCGAGCGCAATGTTTGGCCAAGGCGACTGTTTATTTCTCGTCAAGAAGATATCCATGACGTTGACGTTAGGTGGCTCTCGTATGTTCGCTGCGGTGCCTAGCATCTTCGACAGGCGCCTTAGGAAGCGATCCTTGAGGCTAAGCGGTATGCCTAGTCCCTTTGTTGGTACGATGCCGGTCGAGTCATCGATGAGATCTTCCTCGACGAAGATGCCATAGGGATTTTCTTCGCAACATTCGTTCTGATTCATCGCAACTCCTGGTTGCTGCTGTTGCAAAGCCATATTACCGGGGTATTAGATATGCTTCTGTTGGAATGGGACGTAGGCCCGAGATAAGGTGAGTTATCGTTAAGAGTAGAGGTCGTGGGTTGGAGCGGCGACGTCTTCGTAATGACCTGTACCGCCAGTCAGTACACACTACTCTCGAGATGAACTAAGAACGAAAGACTCACCGCTTTCTTGCGCAGCCTCGTTGAGCGCACTACTTTGCTGTAGATGCTGTCTCTCTTGTTCGAGATTACCTCTTCCGCTTGGGTATGATCGGGTTACTAACTGAATAGCGATATCGCAGAGAGGGTTACTCCGTAAGTTATTTCCCAAAAAGTTGAGCAATGGCAGTTGCTTTTCAGTAGGGTCCGAGTGTGGTGCAGGAGAGACAGAGGTCCAGGCTGAGACGTTGATATAGACGACAGCGGTGACTGAGGCGACTGCCTTTACCTCCACCTTGCGTTGTCGATGGGAAGCATGACGTAATGCGCCTGCAATTTATTGGCAGGAGGACCGTGGTAGGATAGCCAGAGGCGAAAGGTAAGAGAGCGGTATGGCGGGGGGCCATTCTGGACCAGTCTAGTGCGTTTGAACCCGGGAAGAGCAGGAGCGAACGGCAAGAACCAAGATTATGGAACGACAAGACGGTGTGAGGAAAGAGCGAATGACGAAGTTGCACATGAATGAGCTCTCATGTTCTTCTTACTTCGAACACAAGGGAAACAGAAAAGACGCTGCAAGCGATGCTAATACAACAACAACCAAGCCCGCGCCAATGCATGCGATGCTGTACAACCATTTCAGCCCGCCTACCCAGGTATTGAGGCCAGTACGGGCTGGAGTAGACACAACAGCAGCAGTACTACAACCTCCACCTCTCCACCTCTCACCCCCATCCCATCTACCCACCAAATCCAAACACCTCCGCAGTACTCAACATACTCATCCTAGTCCCCCACAGCGCAATAACAATCAACACGACATCCACGACCAGCAACACCACTGCGCCAACCATAAACCTGGGGCAAAAGATCCTATAAAGCATGAGATGCCTCCTCAAATGGCCCGCCCACATCGTCGTCGCAAGATTAACCGTAGCATAAAACAAGATATGCGTAGCCACCGCCTTCGTAACCACACTCAACAGGCCCTTCTTCTGGGGCTTCACCTTCCAAAGCACACACGCCGGTACTGCGATAGCGCAGAGGATTTGTGCGCCGAACGTGTTGAGGATGACGATGATGGGTGTCCATGGGTAACGGATCTTAGCGAGGGGGATGAATGCGGACTCCCATTGGATGCTGGAGAGAGTGGCCTGGTGTCCTGTTTTGAAGAAGTGGAAGGAACCGAGAAGGCCGAGGACGACGGGGCCGATAGCGGATTGACGCAGGTTATTCGTGTCAATAATCTCGAAAAGGGAGAAGAGTTGCCAGACGAGTATGCCGATGGCACCTGCTCCCATGGGTTTCTGCAACACGGCGACAGCGAGGTACCAGATGGTGATTAGGAGTGCGTAGCGTGAGCCGTGGACGTTTGCGAAACCGTGGATGATGACTTCTTCCTTGGGAGCGCCGTTTTCGTCGACGCCGCCGTCTTTATTGATGATGACGTTGAGGAGAGGCTTGGACCAGTTGTAGATTGAGTAGCCAAAGGCCATGCTGATGGCGAGAACGATCTGTGCGAGGAAGCGCTTGGTGATTCGGATTATGTTTTCCCAGCCGGGTGCCCATTCGCCGTCGTCGGCGGCGTCGAGGGCCCAGTATGCAGCGGACATCATTAGGCCGAAGCGTAGTGCGAGACCTATCCAAAGGGTCGCGTAGTGCTGGTAGCTCTTGGTGCCGTCATAGTAACTCTTGATGAATGTGGGGATGAGGATGGCGGCGGCTACGGGAATGGCGAGTTGCCATGGTGCGGATGTAGTGGACAAAGCAGATCCGTAGTATGTGGACTTGCAGTATGGCATCTGCTCTTCTCTGCATAGTCTTGAGAAGCTAGCAACCCTAAGCAGAATGGTGAACAGAATGGAGTGGTAAGCACCCAGAGTCCGGTCTGCAATACTTTTTCGACGGAAAGATGAGATAAGCGCAAGAACACCAAAGGTAGTCAAGAAATACAAGAGAATCTCGTCCTCCCAGATGGTGAACGAGTTGGCTGCAAAGCCGCCAGAGAGCGCAAGAGTGAAGATGACACTCGTCCAGCCCCAGATGCTGTTTGGCATCGGAGGCATGAGGCGGTAACTCAGCGAGTAGAAAGTAGAAGCGCAGCCCACGATTCCAGTGAGAGCAGAGGAGAGGACAAGAACGTGCGACTTGGCGTCCTGTGGCATGAAGATGGTAAAGCCAACACCGACAATACCTCCAAGAACCAGACCAATGGCGCCTCGGGTGAAGAAGACGGGAGTGACGTCGGCACGATCTCCATGAAGAATCCTAGCGTAGAGTGCAACTACGATCAGACTGGCGGCCAAGACTGTGACACCGCTAACCATCCTAGGGACGTCAAATCGGGCCCAAAGATCGCGACAGATGCGGAGCGTATCGCGCTGGTAAGCACCGAAAGCCTCGTATGCCTGGCGCATCTCGTCACTGTTGGCCTTAGACTTTCCGAGCGAGTTCCACGCGTCATTTGCGTTCTTCCAGAGGGCAAGCGAAGAAGCCCTTGCGCTATCAGCAATGCCGCGAGCCTTGGCATACTCATGTTGGTAGTTATGGATTTGCGCAGCTGTCAGTCGGTTGACAGTAGCCAGGTTCTTGTAATCAGCGCCGTTCCTGCCAACGAAAGCTTCTTCGATGGGCTTTCCGAGGTTGTTGAAGGGTATGGGCATGCCTAGAAGAAGCGAGAGAGTCGGGACTAAATCGATCTGTCCAACTGGCCGGATCTTTGCGTTTGCTGGAGGTGTGACATAGGCAGGGTTGCTGCGCCCAAATACACCCTTCTTCGAATACATCCACAGCGCAGCCTGGATCTCATCATCCGACTCTCCTCCATGGTCACCCTTTGCGTCCATACCGTGATCTCCCATGACAACTAACAGAGTGTCATCGTCGATGGCCCTAATCATGCGCTGGAAGACCTTGTCCATCTCACTCAACTTCGCGGCCATGGCAGGGTGATCGGGTCCGTAACGGTGTCCAGCATGGTCCACGCCCAGATAATGACCGAATATGACATCCCACTTGTTGGCATTCTCAGCCTGCAAAAGTGGGAAAATGTGCTCACTCACGCCATAGTCAACAGTGTGTAGATCCCAGACGTTGAACGAATCGTACGCGTGTGTGAGGTTGGGCTCGAAGTAGTCCGGGAACAGAGCGTGCCATGTGTCGTCACCGAGGTGAACCATCCTCTTGCCCGCATTCTTCAATTGGCCAACCAAGTTATCCTCAAGAATTTCCTGGCCCGCAAAGTTGCTGCCCACATCGATGAAGGTAGGCAACGTACCCGTTGTGAGCCCCTTCAACCTCTGCATCGTGGCCGTCGGCGGGTCAGCGATGAAGGGCAAAAGAAACGCGTTCTGGGGCTGGTTCCTCGCCGTCTCGTATAGCACCGGGAAAGCATTGTGGAAATGGCGCGGGGCGATTGGAGGGGCTTGGGATGGGTTCTCGGCTTCGACGGCGAGGTCGACAGGTTCGAATTGTTCGGGGAAGGGCACAGTGAAATCATATCGCAGCGCGTCAACGATGATGACGACAGCCTTGTTGAATGTCTTCGGGTGCCAGCACCCCTTTTCAGCGTCGCCCGTTGTGTACCCGTTTGCAGAGTCGACTGGGGGAAGGGCGCATTCTGACTTGTGGTCGAGCACCAATCGCGTGAGAAGGAAGCCGCTCGTGAAGAGGTAGATACCGAGGATGTGGAGAATTCTGGTAGCTGTTAGCGATGCACGTCTCGAAGGGAGGCCGAGAGATGGGCTGCAATGGAGGAGCCTACAGTATGAAGGTAAAGAAAGCGACAATGATGCCATGAGCAGCCTTGAAGTGCACCTGCCCAAGCCTTTTCGCTTTATCGGGGTCGTGTACAGCTGTCCGCTGACCTTGCGACGGCTGCTGCTGTTGTGGCTGTTGCGCAGGCTTCTGAACTTTGGGCGCGCTGCTCCGGCCGGCGGTGATGTCGGACAGAGGCGTGAAGACCTCGCCGTTCTCCATGACGGACAGAAAGGGGTGGCCAATTGGCGCTTAGCAGATGCCAAGTGGTGATTCAATGGTATTCGGATGGCTGAAGGGGCCTCAAGGAGCGACAGAATCCATGGGAAGAAAGTTGATGCGCTGTTTACAAAAGTGAGGATGTGTCGCAAGCATCCACAAGTGGATCACCCATTTCGCCGAGCCTCCGATGTCATGCATCCGCCATCGAGGTACGCGCCTCGCGCCCGTCACTAGCTGTGCTTAGGACTTGCAATACGAGCCTTGACATCATGCGTGTAGGCTTCCCGTCCGTACCCGAATACTCAAAGACCCTGCATGCGCTGGTTCATTCACGTCAATCTCACATTACGATCAAATGCATGCCGTTTGTATGTCTTGACAAAGGATTGTATTGGCTCTCATGCTGCTCTGCATAGTCGCCAGAGAGTGAGTTGTATATCATACATTAGTGAATAAGAGTTATGTAAGAGGTGTAGAAACCTCGTTGAAGAGATGGCCAATCATCAGGGGGTATACAGCAAAATGGCCAGTCAGCTTCGAGAATATACATAAATGGTGTGCCCTGCCGGCTATGCCACAGCTTCGGCAGGAAACGGAGAAGCTGACACTCAGCGCGGTATAGCCGTCATCAAGGGTAAGTCGGTCGTAGCCAAGTGGCTGGGAGGCCCGGGCTGCTAGACTTTCCGTAGCAGCAGTCTAGCCGGGTGTTGAGGTTGGTTTCATGAGATTCATGAGTAGTATTTGTCGTCCTTCTCCTTCAGGCCGCCCATGCGATCCAGGTCGAGCGAGTCGAAGCGGTCTGATGCGTCACGCTGGTAGGCTGGGAGGTCCTCTTGCACAGGCTCCAGTCCGACACTATGGTCTCCAACGCGAACGACGACAACGCGACCCGATTGTTGCTTGCCAGACTCGTCGACCTCGTCGGGGAAGGTGATGCGGATCTCGGGTACAGGGCTGGTAGGGCTGTCCATGAGGCTCTGCTTTTCCGAGTAGGTGATGACGGATTCCCGGCCCTTGTACGGCATCGCAGTGATAGTCAGGCGGTTGACATTTGATTGGCGCTTCTCGTAGACGGGGAGTTCTGGGTCGGTCTCGGCTTGTTTCCTGCCTCTGCGGACGCTACGGAGGAACATGAGGCCTCCTATGCACAGCATGCCGAGGAGAACGAGCATCATGAGGGTAACGAGCAGGGCAAGGTGGGTAGAGCTAAGACTGTCATCCTCGCTGCGCTTGATAAAGTTGATGTTCATCATTATGATATGGGTGGTATTGTGTTTCGTTAGGGCGTGTCGATGGCGTGCAGATAACTCTGGGGTTGGTAGTGTTGATTAAGGAGTGTAGTTGCTGTTTGCAGGTTAGTTCGCATTGTCCACGGTTCGCATTGCTTCTGTTTGGTGTTGTGGTTGTACACTCGCGCGGAGGCTTGGCGGAATGTGACGGACGCCAACGGGAACAAGCGGATACGCACCTTAGAGCACCGTCGGTTCGCAAGCTGGTGAGTTGATAGAGAACGAGAGACACAAGGTCGGAAAGAGCGTAATGCGAGATATCGCTGAAAGAGTGAAGCGATAAGTCGACGAGGGAAGAATGAGTGAAGGTGGGCGAGACCGTGGAAGAGGTGAGCAAGGAGGTCGAGATGGGAACCAACGTTATTTTGAACCGCCTTGCGGTCACCAATGCAAAATGCAGGTACGATGCACTGATAGCGAATCAGCGATCGGCACTAAGGCGCGCACCTTCCTCCTTACCTAGTTTAGGAGAGCAAGCCGCCCACGCTAAGCCGAGTCGGTGACGCACAATAAGATGACGGTAGCACGCTCATCCTCTCGATCTTATTTTTGGCTTTGTTGGCGCCAGCGATCTGCCCTCCGCTGCAGCACGAGACCACAACAATCAGGGTCGTCCTTCTGCGATGGTTCCCAAACCCGAGCCAAAGTAAAAACGCCGCCGCCGCAAACAGTGCAAAACAAACAACGGTTATAGCGCGTGGAGTATTTTCTGATATGCAAGGGGCGGTAATAACGAATGACGGGGGTGGGATTTAGCCAGAGGTCGAGACTCTCCGGTGTGGATCGCCAGTGGATCGTGGCCAGCACGTACTCCTATTGCGCTCGGTTGAGGCGACAGCCCCAGACTATGTACTGTCTACCTCACGACGCCAATCTGGATGTTGCGTTAAGCTTATCGAGTACGAGACACACAGTGTTTTAGACTGATTGTGACAACGGCGTGGAGACGAGTTGACAGCGCTGGCTGAGACGAACGTCTTGCCCGATTGCGGAGCGATACAGGATTATGCTGGTCGATAGCACATGCCACAACAACGCGCGTAATGAACGATGGATTTGTGGACCATTTCCAAGGCGAGCGCAGGGAGCGCCATGTGGTGATGGAACTCGAGCCTCCTCAGGCACGTCTCTCTTGCGTTCGACAAAGTCTTAAAGCAGCCCTTCATCACCGCAAAGTTAGCATAAGGCTTCCGCTCCACCTGCAATGTCGCAGTCGTCAGCAGCGCGCAAGTGACACGAGGGAATTCGTCATGGTCCTACGGATGCAGCCAGGCCGGCACTTGGCTTCTCCACTGCGCCCACTCGGTTCCTGTCCCCGCCGTTAAACATCTCATCGTCAGGCCCTGCGTTTGAGCCTTCGGGACGTTTGATGCCTTCCCGCTTGCCTGACGCCAAGTGACCCCTTGACTCTGGGGCTGTCGCATGTCGCCTTCTAGAAGCGATGAAATGTCTGCAATTGAGGGGAAATGCTGTCACCAGCTCTTCTCAGACAACTACATGGCACTGGGTGGTGTTCCATCGTGACCTCACGGCGATCAATGGTGGCTTGTCTTGTGTAACACCAGTGAGCGCAACAAGAGCGGTGTAGATGTAAAGCTCCATGACGAACACATTCAGAGGAGGAACTCTATCGTGGAGAAAGTACCTGGTAAATGCAGCAGTTTGCTCTGCCTGTTGGCCCGCCAGCGCAGCACAGCTATGAACACAGAGCGGAGATGGGAGGCTCACTGGACGCCTCGCATCCGGCTTGCAGCCTTGCAGCGCAACCCGCAGCTAGGAGGCGTTATATTTGCAGGGAGTGTTGGCAACGAGGACAATCCATGGATGATCTAGGTCACAAGCTTGAGAAAGCTTTTCTTCATCGATTAAACCCACGGCGAGTGCGACCGTGGTTGCCGTGCATCGTCTGCTGTGCCTCCAGGCAATCACATTGATGAGTTCCCCACGTCCTCAGCCTCCATGCAAATCACTCAGGCTGCATCAAGGTCGACAGAGGTGCAGCTGGCTACAAGCAAGCAGACAGAGGTCAATTGGGCGTCGCAAAAAAGACGACGAGGGCAACACATGGTGGGCTTAGGTTGGCTACCGAAGTCTCGTGGCTACCGAAAGTCTTGTCCCGACGGCAAACACTGGCATGCAGGAGGGTGAAGGCGTAGCAGAGGGTGCGCTTGGACGTGGCGGCAGGGTGGTGGTGAAACACGACGGGCCTGTAGATAATGCTGAGGGCCTCCTATCCATGCATGGGGAGTGTCTCAGGCTGCCATAACGACACCTCGCATCACAGAGGATCGTCCGGATTCCGTTGCCGCATCGTCCCTGACTCGCTCTTGGCACACGCGAGCGCATTGCAGCCGGTGGGCGCAAGAGGAAAGAACACGGAGGATATTTGTTCTTATGGGCCTTGGACTCCAATCGTACCTTCGACCATCTCCCCAAGCCTGGCCTGCATCCAAGCACCCGAAGACCTCTAGGCGACGCTTTCGGTACAACCTGAGCCTTAGCGTTTCCCCAGTGCTTTAGTTGCCCTTAGTTGCCGATCCTATCTCCCAGGGCAGTCGCATCTTCATCACCAAAAACACATCTTCCGAACCCACAGCTGGCGCAACCCTCTCCCTCAGGCTGCGCCCCGAAACCTCTGCGCCCGCTACCAAACTTGCGCGCCCGGCCTGCCCACACGCCCACCGCCCGCACGCCCGCCCATTATCTATATCCTCCTCCCGCTGCATTCGTGCCCTGCCATCCCGCCCTTGCACTCCCCGCCGCTGCATTTGGTCATCGCACCCGTATGCGTCCCCCGCCTGGCGCGCAACATCATTGCTTCAAGACTAGCATGTACTGTGGTTAGAAAGGACCCATCACCCACCCGGACCTGCATACATCGCCCGCACTCCCTCCCACTCCCTCCCACTCCCTCGGACGTCCGCGACCACCTCTCCTTGTTCGCCGCCGCATCCGTGTGCACCACGCCTCCGCACAGTATATTCATAGTCCCTCACTATACCGGCTGGAATAAAGCGTCCGTATTCTCTGCCCCCGCACCTGCCCTGTCTGAGCTGACGCCTGAGCCCAGTCCGACCCTCGCACTCGCGCACGCATAAGCCACCCCGCGCATCCTCCACCGGACTGTGCTATATTCTCCGCTGCCTAATAACGTCACTCTCGCCTGTAAATGAACAGCACGCCCGGTGATTCTAGTCGTAACATGGCAGTCATGTCCGCCAATGTGGGTAGCCACTTCCCTACGCATGCAGCATGGCGTACTGACACTTACTCCAGACTCGACCGCGCGACTACTCCAACGGCATCTCGCTCAACGGCACAGACTCTGAGCGCTCGCACGCATCCCCGTGGGGAAAAACTATCTGGAACAACTCCATCGGCTCGTTTGGGCTTGGCTCCGCTGGCAGAGACAACTCGCGTCCCCGAGGTTTGTCACCATTGAGTTCTGACAAGTGCAACGCTGACCCGCGCCCAGAGAACGGTGCCTCCACAGACTTGGTTGAAGGCAAGACCGGCTCAGGTTCCCTCCTCGCCAACTCAGAGACCGAGTGGAGACCTACTGCCCGACCTGCTTGGGGTGAACACCGATCTGGCAGCATACCGCACGCCAGAAGCTCCGGCGCATCACCAGCCCGGAAGCGATCTGTCGCTCAAGCGCCCGTCCAGCAGTATAGCGACAACTCGCCCTCTTCCTTCTTCCCTTCTGCGAGGGGCTCGCTGGCAGGCCAAGGCTCACACGCGAAACCGGTGAAGCCATTCCTTGACCCCACCACCTCCACCTTCACATCGCGCCAGATTGACTCGCTCAACACTGGTTTCACCAACTACGGATTCGGTCAGACAGATGCCACTCCCCAGCGCCCCGATACCGGCGTCACATCGTGGCCAGACACCGGCTCAGTCCACTCCCCAAGCGACGACCGCCGGAGCGTAGCAAATTCAGAGTATTTTGCGTCCTCCAGTGGAGCTGGTTCACAAAATGGAAGTCTACCTCCGTCTCGACATGGTGCTGAACCAGCACCCTTTGGCCAGGCGGCAGATACCTTTTCCAGGCTCTCTCAGCTTCCCCGTCAAGCATCGTCCTTTTCCATGGCCAGCGGCCGTGCTTTCCAAGAACGAAGCGGCTCGATACAAAGCGAGTCGTTTGGCACGCTCGGAAGGCTGAGCCACGAGCAGGAGCAAGACGCACGCATGGGACCGAATAGGTCGTTCAGTATCAACGCGTTCACGCCAGCAGCAACACCGGGGCAGGACATGAATGGTGCGCTCTCCAGAGCAGATGACGGCAACTTCAGCAACGCAGGCACATACACCCCAGATGGTTACCCCAACCTCCAGCTCAATTCTCAGCTACGAGCTTACCAGCCTGACAACAGCCGGAGTGCGCCGAACGGTACTGGCGTTCGTCAAAGTCCGTTCTACTCTCAGATGAGCACACCACCTGTGTACGACCGTCTCAACCCGTACACTAGCGAGCAAATGTTGGCGCATCCCAACAGCGTCACGCAGCTCCAGAACAAACTGGCTGGATTTCAGATGGCGCAACAGGAACGGCGTAACTTCATCTCTCCGAGCCAACTTCACCAGCAACAGTATCAACACCTCTTTCCCGCGGCTCAGATGCAAAACCCATATCAGTACCAGTATGGTCTTCCTAACGGTTTGCCCCTTTCCGCTATACCGCAACATATGAACGTGCCTTCGATGCAACCTATGCTGCCTGCTCAACAACAGCCACCTAGGGGTCCTCGTGAGCAGCAGGTTAGTGATGGTCTCGGCGCGATGAGCATTGAACTGTCCAACTTCAAGAGAGAGCAAAAGCAGAGCAAGCGATGGGAACTTACCGACATCAAAGGTCATGTGGTCGAGTTTGCCGGAGATCAACACGGCTCCCGCTTCATTCAGCAGAAGCTCGAATCAGCCAACAGCGAAGTCAAGGAGAGCGTCTTCAGAGAGCTCGAAGAGAACGCGCTGCAGCTCATGCAGGACGTTTTTGGCAACTACGTTATCCAGAAGTTCTTTGAGCATGGAGACCAGGTCCAAAAGAAGATTCTTGTTGCAAAGATGAAGGGCCACGTACTTGAGCTCGCCAACCAGATGTACGCTTGCCGAGTCGTTCAAAAGGTAGGAGCCTCTCTTCCGCGTTTAAGACATAAATACTAACCACACCAGGCGCTTGAGCACGCACTTACCGAGCAGCAAGCCGAGATGGTTAAGGAACTCGAGAAAGACGTTCTCAAGACAGTGAAGGACCAGAACGGCAATCACGTCATCCAGAAGGTCATCGACCGCGTACCAATGCACTACATTCAGAAGGTGGTCGAGGCTTTCAGAGGCAACGTCGGCGTGCTCTCGGTCAACTCATACGGATGCCGTGTCGTTCAGCGACTACTGGAGAAGGTACCGGAGCCACAACGGAGATTCATCCTGAACGAGCTACACGCAGAGGGACCCAAACTCATCACCGACCAATACGGCAACTACGTCACCCAGCATGTCATCGAGCACGGCTTGCCTGAAGACAGGGCTAAGATCGTGGCCTTGATCAAGGCGCAATTCCTCTTGTTCTCGAAGCACAAGTTCGCCAGCAACGTCGTGGAGCAGTGCCTGAAATGCAGCGACGACGCACAACGTCGTGAGCTCGTATCGGTCATCCTGGCCAAGAACGAGCGAGGCGAGTCAAATGTCATGAACCTTCTCAGGGACGGTTACGGCAACTATGTCATCCAAAAGATGCTGGATACCCTCACTCGCGATGACTACGAGAAGTTTGTCCAAGCGCTCAAGCCTGAGCTTGAAAAGGCCAAGAAGGTCATTCCTGGCAAGCAATGTGTCTCGGTAAGTTGTCGCGTGACCTAGGCTTTCCATCAAGACAGTCGACTAACAGAGATACCCAGGTCGAGAAGAAGATGTTCCGCTACGATCGCATCGACTCTCCGACCATGCCCACACCCGCTCTCAGCAGCACTGCGCAGTCGCCGCAGAGCAGCTCCCACCCAAGCACGAACAACTCCACCGTCGACGAACCCGTACATAGCGCGCTTGTAAATGGCAAGCGCAGCGCCGCCAACGCCATTGGTGGTGTCAGCATTGAGGACACCGTCCTATAGAGCATCCCATCCTCCAGAGACACCGCCTACATAGGCCTCGTAATTCTTGCACGATACCCGAGACTCGCCACACATTCCGTTCTATCCATCCATACTTGATTGCCAGGGTCGACGGCATGCCTGCATTCTACTGTCCATATACCATACTTATTACTTTCCCTTTCATTGTCACATATCACTACGATTACCGTCACGTTCCATTGAACGGTCACGAAAATCAACGTATCGCTTTCATACACTACCCCCAAAAAGAGCTTGGAGTCTTAATTCGGTCACTGTTGTTGTTGTTGTTGCTTCTGTTGCTTATCTTTACCAATTGGGGAATATCTGCTTAGGCAAAGGCATGGCATGGGGTATGGTTATCACTACTGTATTACCTCATGAAATAATGGGTGCTTGACGGGATCTGTTATTCGGAACGGGCGTACATGGAGAGACATCTCTGGTTTCTGGTTGGAATGCCATGGGAAGAGCATACCGATCAAGTAGATGAATGGGTCACTTGGGGAAGATGGGTGTGGTGATGTACTATACACTTCACATTCATAAATTCATCTGACGTCTTATCTAAATTTGCCACAAAGTGAACCATGGCGTTGTTCTTCCCGAATGATTGGTATGAGTGGAGGCTACGGCTGACCCGCATTTTTCTGCGGAAACGTTTAGTTGCCGCAGCTCCCGAGGTCGTGCAGGTGTATTAACTAGTCGCACTAGCTCCATAGTTATATAAAGGTCTCTTGACTTGCTTCTTCGGCTGATCATCAAACTATCATTTCTTCTTCCTCGTTACCAAGAGAAGGCGGGAACAATCATATGGCCTGTTTCAAAACTCAAGACGACGCAAACCATGTTCTCCCGTCGGTCTCCTGGAAAAAACAAAATTACTCGTTTCCCAAGTATGATCTGTTTCGAAATTTAGTGGGTTGCATTCCATGCGAGTGGTTGGAGGATTGTGGCAAATTACAAAAGCAAAACGACTTCTGGCTGTACGTATGAATTCGCTGCTAATTTTCGTCGTAGACCATGTTGCGAAGTTCGGCCGGAACTTCCAAGATGTCGAATGTCGAATCTGGCATCGCCGCACTGGCACTAGCTTTGGGAATCGCTCTTCTGCCTTTTTTACCCTGGCTCTTCGCCATCGGAACAGTTCTGCGGATCTCATACCTCAAATAAGAAGTGTGGGGCAGGCTACTTTCGCAAGGTAATTGTGACCGCTATATACAGCTCATGGGAGGTTTGGCGTCGTCGTAGCAAGCGCACGAACCTTGATACGTACAATCGAGGGGAACACAGACTGAACAACATGTCTTTTGCACGTTCTAGACCGTATCTATGCCCTTAATATACTTGCATGTGTTCTCTGTACGATGTCGACGTTTCGTGATCAAGCGCATTCGATGAAGCATCAGGCAAGCCATCGACGCAACACCAGGCCGTGCTCTGAAAGCCTTATGCTTGCTCCTCTATTTCTCCTTATATGTATTGCGGATCGTGAGGCGCAAGTGATCTACGTGATTGGGGGTCATTGGACTGCGAAGGATGTGTAGAGGAGCCGAGGCTTCCAAGGTTGTACTGCGATGCGACTTTGACTTTCGCCAGTAAAATCTGCAACGATACGCTGCCCACAAGCTATATTGCTGCCAGATTTCGCCGGGACTGTTATACGATGAAGCCTCGATCAATCCGACCTTGCGCTTGGGTGCTCAGTGCAGTCCAAGGTCGCGGGACTGATGTCGTGGTGATGTGGTGATGCGCGATGAGGTTCCTGGCGGTATTGCGCGGAAAGCCCGGTGTATATCGTTCTCGAAAAGTGTAAATCATGGTTCTAAGTACTGCGCGTGCAGTGTGTATGTAAATGTGACTTTGCTTGAGCAGGGAGAACGGCTGTACATGGAAGGTCACTGGAACGCGGAGGCAGACCAGGATGCTAAGTGCCAGATTACATAAGACGGGAAGATCGACATCTCACAACCTCACTTCTCCGACCGAAGGCTCCTCGTGAGCGCTGCTTACAGGTATATCAATTCTTTTGGTGTCCCTCCTTACAGCAAGATAAAGCGAATTCTATCTGATATACTAAGACCCCGAGTAGGCATCACAGGGCACGACCAATCCATGATCTGGACATCTCCAGAGCTTCTAAGCTCATGCTGAATAAGTCTGCAGACGTTCGCGCGTAATCCTTGTACCTAATATGCCCATATTCATGCACCCGGTAGCTGGTATCACCACATGTGCGACGAGAACTAAGAATGGACCCTGGATTTGCTCATGATAGATCGCGTAGTCTATTGCGTTCCCTATTGAGCATATAATGTTCAGGCTAAGATCACGGTGTAGCATCGTCATCTTCCAAGACACTACCTAGGTACCGAGGATGTGCTGCGCAGCCTTCTCAGATAAGTAAGCACTCGAATCGACACATTGTTGCATTGAATGTGAGTAATCGCTCCTGCGATTCTAGGAAGAGTTGGATAGCCCCACCCGCAGTCTGTTCCGCCACAATCTCGACCCCACAGTCCAGAAAATTCTCATTGCAGTCTCTCGCCGGCCACCACCTTCCGACTGCGCTGTCGATTCAGAGGCTTGCTACCTCACTTGCGTTACAAAACGGTAATATATTTGGCTAAAATGTTCGTTCTTCTATCAAAACACCAATCTTCAATAGTATAGTGGTCAGTATTTCCGCTTGTCATTTCGGGCCTCCTGGCTCTTGACAAATACGCGGGAGACCTGGGTTCAATTCCCAGTTGGAGAGCTTTAATCCATCTTTCTTTTTGCCTTTCTTTGCATGTTCTCTTTCACTCTAAGCTCTCGTTCAAGACACACAACTACATGTAGTAGCGATTTCTTTTTGCAGAAGCTCCATTCGATAGACACCTGCCACCTGTTAGACTATGGCTAGGCGGTTCTTACCGCCTTACAGTGCTTTCACTTGGAGCGCACTCCTGTGCGCAGCGTGACTACCTAGTTAGTCAGGCCCTTTCACATCGGCATAGTGAAAACTACAACGCCGCTCTCACGGTGATGTCGCACTACCGGGCCTTGGCTTTGCAATAAGTCGCTCAAGCGCTTCTTACTGCGTTGCCGTCTCTCACAATCGCCTACTTTCGATACATCTCGCGGCCGACCTAGGTTACCGGCGCTCACTGACACCTTGATCAAAGCGAAACGTGAACACCCTGGAGCCGACATCGACGCCAGATTTCCAAATCTGCTTCTTCTACCCTATTGTAGTCTGCAGACAGGTTTAGATTTTCCCTTGTACGACACTCTCGCGGCTCACCCAGGTTGCCGGCGCCCACCGACATGGCGACAGATACTTCAGATCAGCGCAATTACATTGACAAACTGCCCGTGGAGCTCAAGTGCACAGTCGTGCGCTATCTGGCCCTGAAGGACCGCCAATCAGCCTCGCTCCTGAACAGAGATTGGGCTGTTGTTGTCATCCCGATAATGTGGGAGACATTCACTTCTGATCTCCTCATCAAGACTGGTCCACGCAAAGCGCTCGCACTTGGTGACCCTGCCTCCAATATTGTCAAACATGTCCGCAAGATTCATCTCCTCGACCGAGCAAACGCGTCCAACGAAGGAGACCAGCTTCCGCAGCTGCTGGTCACTATCCCTCGCGACCAACTATGTGGTTTCAAGAGCGGAAAGGGCGTAACTATTAGTACTCTGGAGCTTCTGCTGAGGATGCATACCAAGCTCTACGAGTTCGACGTCTCTGGAGCAGAGTTTTCGCTGATACTACAATCGCCCTGGACCAGTGCATCCTTGTCAGATCTCGCTCACACGACCGTCGTCGTCGATGCTCTCACCCCGCAAGACGTCCAAAAGTTGTGGACGCGGTGTCCTAAGCTGAAGCACATCCGCATGGTGCGGAAGCCCATCAGCTCGTTCATTTCAACGGCAGCGACCTTGCTGGAAAGCCACTTCGGAGACGATGCAACAATCGCAGCTTCAGAGGGCGGAGCGGCAGACTTGACGCGCTCGGATACGGCCATCCTTCAGTTGATCAGTCTATACATCGGCGATCTTATCCTCCCTGTGACCTTTAGCACGATGTTCCAGCGGATAGACATTATTGCCCTCACCGAGCTCGTCCTCGTTGGTACCGCACGCGTCGCTGAGCTATTGGAAGCTATGTGCTCTGACTTCCAGAACCGAGAACCTTCTCTAAAGAAGCTACGGCTTTCTAAGATGAGTGAGCTCGAGTCAAATGACACCACATCGCAACTACAGCTGTTCCTGCTCTCCTTCCACGGACTACGTCAACTACACTTCGAGTGCAGCAACTGCATCAAGATCGCTATCGATGGCATCATCAACCACGGAGAGACACTCGCGGATCTACTCGTCGTCAACGGAGGTATCCACCGGCAAAATGCCACCAAATGTATGAGCGCGGAGGATCTGCGAAAGGTCGCTATCGCATGTCCAAATCTAGAGCAACTATGCCTCAACCTATACGAGATCGATCCAGATACTCCAGAAGGTGACTTCCTCAGCCCGAAGAGTGCCATACTTTCAGAATCAACCGAGTTTGAGAACGCTTTGAGCGCTATTGCTAGCATGAAAACTCTACGATTACTACGCTTGACAAACCCGCCCAACTATCGCAAAGCCTACCACCGCCAAGGAGAGTTCATGCGCTTCTTCCGCCGATCACTTGAGAGCGGAGAGCAGCGCTACGCGTTCCAGGCTCGAGCGGACAGCATCATGCGATACATGGGCGATAGGCAATCGAACACGAGGCTTCTCGCGTTCTCTCCCATGGAGTCGCTAACAAAAGCTGCCTCGGCGGATAAGAACGGTCATATCTGGCCTAACTACTTCTACACCTGTGAGCGGATGAAGGGCATTCGAGGTACTGAGATCTCAATTGCAAGGGCGGTGAGAGACTGGAAGACAGAGATTCCGGAGGCTACTATACTAAACGAGGGATGAGTTCGAACACCCTGAAGCCTACATCGGCGTTAGGTCGACTGCTTTGCGTGTTTTCATCTTGATGTAGGCTGCAGGCCTGTTCAGATATTCCCGGGTACGAGGTCGTGCGGCGACGAGCTTGCGCATATACATGCAGTGTACAGTAGTCGATGGAAGCAGGATAATCAATCACGAACATTCTCGCGGTTTCAAATACGCTCGAACATATCGTGATGGCCATGCAATCGAAAACAGTTGTGTGACAGCGTGTAGATCCACCCGTGTTGTTACTTCTTCAGATCTGTGGCTGCAGGCGGTGTTGCCTGCTGCCTGGAGCGGAACCGGTCTAGCGCATATGCATCAGGGTAAGTACAACTGGGCGATCCCCAGATGAACACCCCGTCTTCCTGTCCACCTCCTCTCACCAGCACCACCACTGCCACTCCTATTATGGCAAACCTCCTTGCACTTCCGGCGGAGGTATTGCGCGAGATCCTCATACACGCTGTCAACATCCGAGGTCTGAAGCGAGGATTAAAATTGAGGCTCGTGAACAGTATGCACTGGCAAACAACGCACAGCTGTGATGCAGCTTGTTAACCCTTCAGCAGAGGAGTTCTCTCAGCAAGTGCACAATGCGCTTCAGGAATCGGAGCTACTGGACGATGTCCACGGGTATCGCTTTGGCTTCCCCAACTCGCCGGAGTTCGTTGCATTTTGGCAACCCTTCCTCACCAACAAGATCATAGGGAAGAAATGGGTCCATGTGGAGATATGCGAACGCATATACCGCGCCGCCGAGCGTCTACGCCAGATGAGCCATCCCCAGGAGACCAATGAAAAAACACTGCACACAATCTTGCGACGGTATATCCATACCTTCTGTCGTGATGCTTGGAGCGTACTAGCGAGAGCACGTTCTAAATATCCAATTCAGTGTCGGATGTACGATCAAGCATGCCTTCTGAAGATGGCCATACTCAACGATTGTCCAGAAGGGCTGAACTCTTTACTCAATGACCCCATCTTGGACGAGGTTATTTCGCACTGTCTCAGTCCATGGTCGAATCCGTGCGGGACGCGTGAGAATGGGCGCAATACGAACCACTGTAAAGAAAACCTTGTGTCGCTTGCCGCTGGGAACGGTAACATGGCATTGCTCGAGAAAATCTTTTTGCATTCGAGGTTCCAAGAACGCTCAGTATATCATCGACATGAAGCCTTCGGGGCTGCGTTGCGAGGGGGTCATCTGGACGTTGTAAGGTTCATCATGGAACCTCGTTGGGACTTACCCGACGAGTTATTGTGCAATTACATCATGAACGAGAATTTATTGCTGAACGGAGTCTTGAAAAGCCCATCGGTCGATTTCGTCACCCAGCTCTTTGATCTGATAGCCTCTCGACCCGAGAAAGACCATGGAATCGAAGCCATCCATCCTGGACACGACACGCTTTTGGGCCTTGTCGCAGGTGCCAGCCCGCAAAGGGTCGACGTGGCGAAAAAACTTCTCGAGCAAGGCGCTTTGGTTAAGCAAAAGGCGCGTGTCAAGAGACGACGAGCCGACGCCTCCTTCACTGGACCTGACAATTCGCTTGAACAAGCCATTAAAGGTGGCAATGAGGAAATCGTTCGTCTGCTTCTGAGTCATAATGCGGATGCCAGGGTCGTTGGCCATGATGCTCTGGAAGTAGCTGTAAAACGAGGGCGTCTGGATATAGTGCGCATGTTGATAGAGAATGGTGCACGTGTCACACCAAGGCTTCCATCGACTGGTCGCAAGGAGCACTGGAGATGGACAGAAGACAGGCTAATGGCGCACGCCGTGCTGACTGAGAGTGAGACTCTGTGCCGATATTTGGTTGAACATGGAGCTATCGTCAATGAACATGCCTTGTGGGCGGCAGCCGATGCGTCGCTGGTATCAATGGTCCGGTTCCTGGTCGACGTTGGGGCCGAGATCAATGAACAGATGATCGAGCGCGCGAAGCGCTACAGTCATCCGGAGGTTGCGACCATACTGCAGGCACATCGCAACAGCAGCTGAAGTCATCAGTCTCGTTCCAGAAGCGTGTTCTTCCACTTCCATCCACGTCTCGCGCGCTCGAGCCCTTCGGCAAATCAACCGACCAAGCGAGAAAGAAAACGCACGCCCACCCCAGGAAACTTCCGCGTGCCAAAGGACCTACATCGGGCGCCGAACCCTGCGCAATTCAATAGCCCATCAACAAACGCGTGCGCGCACTGAAGTCCTTGCACAGCTTGTCAACTCAAAAGATTTCTCAACACGTAACTTTGGCGAAAAGCTATCGAATTGTCCGCACAAGGCGGTGAGAGTAGTCAACGCGCGCGCAATGCCTACGCCCATGCTGCAATCGTCAGATCTGACATGTTAGCACTGACCGCGTCCGAGTCAGAGAACCAGGAACGCCGCTGTTGTATGCGTGCTGTCAACGAGATTCGAGAAGACGCGCGGACATGGGGATAACCTTGCCTGCGCAGGAGACTGCATGCTTCTGGTAACAAGTTGAGCACCGTGATCACGAGGCCCGATGTAGTCTTGACAATACGACGTATCCCTCCCTCGCGACTCAACCCTTGACGCGCTTTTCACCTGGCCAACGTGATTGTGACGGTGACGTTTTCTATCGCGCATCACGCGCTAGATGGTGGGATAGGCGTTTACTACCATGGTGGTCTATTACGGCTGCTGTTTCTTCTCTGGCTAACTGACCACAGACACGGTGTCTCCATTTCCTACCTCCCCCTCTCCAGTACCCGTAGCATGTCACTCAATCACATCCACATGACCCTTCTCATCTCTTATTCCACCTCATCCCATGCCTTCATAACAGTAATCCGATCCCCATGTCCTTAGCATTGAGCCCGTTCCCATTTACGCCCACCTCCGAAGCTAAGCTGCGGCTGTTTCATGTTAGACCCATGGTATACCCCTGACCAGCACACACGAGCTACGAGCAAGGCCCATGATGGTCCCTGCGTCTAATTGTCATTGACTGACTCACGTACTAACGACGTTTGTTTCGAAACTAACTAGGGTGGCATGCAGGCTGAAGCGAGGAGAAGTGGGTATCGTGACTTGGGTCCTGGGAGGTGTCGCGATGTGATGAGCAATGGGGGATAAAGTGAAGGTATCCTAGGGGTGATCACGGGAAAATTGCGATGAGGGGGGACGAGAGCGCGCATTCTTGTGCGTGTAATTTAGACTGAGTTATGGGTATTAATGGAGGTGAGAAGGGGGATAGATACTATGCTATCGTGCTCACAATATTCGCGAGATGAACTTTTTTCATGCGACATCACCTCCCCAGTATCCTCAGTCTCCACGTTCCGAATCACAGAGATCATCAACTTCACATCATCACCACACCAATCAATCACCCGAAGTCCCCCCGTCTTGTCCTTGTCCCACCTCGTTAATGCGATTTGCCCGCCAGACGCGGTCGCCGTGGTCTCGTGACAACTCGAACCCGCTCAATTCTCATCAATCTGTTACATAGGGCTGCATATTCCGATCTACTTGAGATCTACGATTTTGCGCTCGTGCAGGCATGTTGATACGGAAACAGCGGAGAGAGATCAACAGCGTGTCCGCGGAGGAGCAAGTTTACTATGACGGAATGATGGTCAGGAGAGGTGAATATCGCAATCACTTTATTTTGAAATGCGCGCGTCATTGCTGGTGTTGGGGGGGTAATTGTGTGGAGAAGGGGGTATGATTGACGTTGCATACATACGTGTAGTCTCACGTGTGCGGTGTGAGGCTGAATCCGCTGGTCTTGGTAAACCGGGGCTAGATTCTCTCGGTTCTTTTCTGCGCGTTCGTTGTCTGAGGTTTGAAGCACACCGACTTCCAGACTAGAAAATACGATGTGTTGTCGTCCAATGGTATTGGGTATTCTGGTTAGCGGAACTAAGGTATTGTCGCGTGTCACCAATCAATGCACACGACCACGTAGTCACGACACCAAAACCATCATAGTTGAAAATCGTTGCAAAACTGAACATTCTTATTGTGGCAGCTAGGGTAAAGTGCGTCACTGTGCGCGAGCGCTACTCCGATCATGGTTGTCCTGCCTCTCTCGCCGATCCACTAGACATTTGTGCGTGCTTAACAGAATTAACACAATTCTCAACAAATCGAAAAAGGTATTTCCTCCACATTCGGACATGCCAAAACAAGAACAAAAAGATCCACCGCCTCAAAAGGAGTCTCGGTTTCAGTGGCGAAGTAGAAAAGGAAAAAAGGAAAGGAAGAATAGTGAGAATGGTCATGAGACATGGTGTGTTTCAAGACGGCCTCAGCCACGTATAGCAAAACAGTTGCTTTGCCGAAAATGCCCATCATCCTTGAACTCATATGAACATGATCTCCGGAATGGACTCAAACTCAAGGTTTGAGAAGATAGTAAAAGGAAACAACATATGAAAATGGCGGTGCGTGCGTGCGTCTGGGGATAACCCTGCGGGTCTGGAATTAGACCGCTGGCGCTTTTTACAAAGACGTATTGAAATCAAACATTGCGAATACGAAGGGGTAATAAGTTGCAGTGTTGAAAGCGAATCTGCAGGCTGAAGAATAAATAGTTGGAAAGCGAGAGTGATGTTGCGCCGTAAAGATGAGAATAAGTTGCGAGTTTGTCGCTGAAATAGTAATAATTATCGAGATCAAAGCCGAGGCCGGGTATCATCATGAGTGAAATAGATCCCAAGCTCTTGCACACAGTCCAATGAATTCTTCCTTCTTCTTCAGTTGCGTTTCTGGTGAGTCCCGTCCGGCTCCGAAGGGTCCGAGACGAGGTTGTTGGCGACCCAGCGGCGGGGTACCGTTGTCTTGTTCGTATTCGTCGCGGCCGCGTCTCCGTGAGCTGCCGCTGCGGTGCAGATCAGGCCGCGATGGATAGGCTGATTGTCCGTTCTTGGGCATTGGTGACGGGGGTGTTGGGGGCTGGTGGCCGCCGTAGTGGACTAGACGGGGCAGGAGATCTTCGCGGCCCCCGGATAGTTGTTGAACAGCCTCCTCTGCGGACTTGTACTCGCGGGGCCTTGAGGTTGGGGGCGGCTGTGTGAATTGTGGGGGCGGAAAGCTCGGTGAGGGCATTGGGGGCTGCACGTTGGAATGCGATGAGTGTCCGGGGCTGCCTTGGTGGTAGGGGTTTCGCGCTGTTCCGAGGGGCTCTGGGAAGACGTCCGAAATGGGCGGTAACCGGTTGTTGGTCTGCTGTGCGGGGACGTGGTGGATGTGTGATGATTGCGACAGGTTGGACGGGCCATTGGCCAGTTGTCGCGAAGGGGGTGCGTTGCCGCGAAGACCCGTGAAGGTTTGGTTTATCGGCGCCGACTGGATTACACGGTCGCTCGAGAATGTCTCATGCGAGGGAGGCGCGATGGAGAGACCCGGTGGTGGGCCCTTCCGGCGGGAGGTGGAAGGAGTCTTGATTGTTCGTCCAAAGGCACCAATCTCGGTGTTCCTGGTGTCTTCCATCTGGGGTGGTCCGCCCTTGCCGCCCTTCTGGCGCGCTTCGATGATTTGCCTTTGACGTTCTCTTACATCCAAGCTCCTTTGCAGTTGCTCGCGCATGCCAGGGTCCTGAGTGTGGAAGCCGGGTGAGAGGCAGGCCATGCCGACATCGTGCAGGTTGGCGCTGCCCTGGCCCGAGGGTCGTGCAGTGAGGGCACCGGAGGAGTGAACGATGTTGTGGTTGGCTAGGTTAAGGCGTTGGGGGCGGTGCCGGGTGGTGGCAGGCATGTCTGGCGACGTAGGCTCCTTCTTGACGACGATCTTGGGTGCTGGGCCGCGGGACCTGCGAGAGGAGGGACGGTTAGACATGAGGGACATGATGTCTCTGTGGGGAGGGGACATGGAGGTGGAGGTGGGAGAGGAGGCCGAAGGAGGACGGCATGACGAGGAAGAAGATCGGGAAGAAAGACTAAACGACGTACGAAAAAGGTGAGGGCTTGGTCTCGGCTCTGTGCTGTGCACCTGGACTGGAGGAGGTAGGTGAAGCATCCTGAGGTGGCAGTTGAGAGCGAGACTTGGGCGTCACTTGGTGGGGAGAGAGAGTCGAGGGCGCGATGGGAGCATATGTCCTCGACGAGCCGACCCCGTCAGTGGGCGCTGGTGCCGCATGCTGGGCAGGGGCCGGGGGATTGGCGACAACGGTGGTCATGGTCGCGTGTGGGCGTCCGTGTGGTGTCGGTGGGAGGGGCAGATAGATTGTAGGAGTGTGAGGTGGCAGGGTCTTGTAGGAAGTCCGCTACACGAAGCGTCGAGGGCTGCGGGCAGCCTGGGCGGGTTAGAGGCTGGTGCAACACTAAGCGGGCGCAGCCGGGGGAGACGGCGGGCCAGCGTTATGCACTGGAGCGGAGAGGCAGGAATAATTCGACGTAGGAACAGCGCAGTCGGCTGGGAGAAGCAACAGCACACGGCGTGTCTTTTGGGGCGCGGGTGTGGAGGGGATAAAAATGGCTCGCACAGACTTGTGTTTGCACAGGGCGGGCAGGGAATCGGCTTGGGTACAGCGGCTGGCATGCAGTAGACGACGTGCCTCCAGACGCCAGCCGGGGGGCGGTTGGCGTGGGCCGCCCTATCGCGAGCCTCGCAGCCAGGCCCTCCATGCGCAGCAGCAGTTGGGGACGCCTAGGGCGAGCAGATGGTCGCGTTGTCTGCGGGAGCTCGCTGCACCAGACACACGCCACCCACCAACCCACTGTTTCGCATCCACGGCCTGCCATCCATGGCGCCCGACTGTTAAAATCTGCGCTGCTAACTGCGACCGTCGTTTCCGCCAAAACAATCCCCTCCATTTACGCCCTCCCTGTTGTCATGCATAGGTTCTCGAGGCTGACAAGCCCACCGCGCAGTCTCCAGCTGCGTGTAACCTCCATCACGACTGGCCAACACCAAATATTGGCAATGGGCCTGTAACGCGCTGCATGCTCTCCCCAGCCAATCACACCCCCGCCAGCGCATGCCTGCCGACCGGCCCTAGACGAGCCTTCGACTTGTTTCACGCCGGCGCATCAGCGGTTTGACCACGCTCAAAGCAGCTGCCATCGACACGGACCGGAAAAGGATTAATTGGCCAGGAACATCGTTCATGGCCTCACGTTTCAGCAAGGCCAACTCTCCAATAGCGCTAGCCGATGTTTGTTTCTCACAATCTCACGCCCTCGCCGTGTCGGGGCTGCCCTTAGTCATTCACCCACAACCAGGGTCTGGCGTCGGCATCTCTCACACGTGGCCGGCAACGTTCGCCCGGTCCTGGGATTGCTCACTCCTTGCCTGTCACATGTCCTCTGCGTCCTGGCCTCTCCTGGCATCCAATGCGCCTTCCTCAATCACGGCCTGCTCGCTCCTTCCTTCTTGACTCATCTCTCACAAAGAGCCGCACTCTTGAAACATACACTCCCCATACACTCTCCGTTGCCACAGCTCCCACCATCCGAGTCCCATCCTACAAAGTATTCTCCGACCGTTGCGCAGAAACTGCCTCAATGCCGTGTCTATCTAGACCCCCGATTCTGCCGCTATCCTCCCAGCCATGCTTCGGCTAGCACTGTCCGTCGCGTTTCCTCGCCGACCACCACATTCCCGCAACATGCCAATCACTTCTTTGTTCTCCGTCACTGCAAGACCTTGATATATCGCCAAGTGCATTACACATGCTCATCTCATTCGTGACACTCTCATTCCTGTCGCTACTGCCCGCTCCGCTCAGCCGTCGGTCTTTCTGAATTCTTCCACATCCCCAGTCGACAGGTCGATCAGGTACCGACTCGACACCCCTCCAGGATAATTTCCAGCAGTCCATCCGCATTCGGTAATCACACCATCGCTTCTCCAATATGGAACCAGTGGGGCTTAACACCTGCTGCATCCAACCGAGCGACCGGGATAGGGCTGTCTGTCGCGCTCCTTCCAATCAAGCAAAGGATCGCCCGAGGCTCTATTTTGGGCAGTGATCGTATTACCTCGAGCCATGGTGCACTCTAGCACGCGTGCCATTACCCTGCCGTTGGGAATGAGCAATTACTGCCATCTGTTGAGGCAAGTCTCACATAAACGCTCTTGGCACGCTGTTCAAAGGTACTTGATTCACGCTCGGGCATGAAGCCGACGCTTTATTCTTGTGGCGTAGAGCAGTGAACGGGTCGAGTGAAGTGACAGTACCTTCGGCAAATGGCATGCTTCACGGCCTACACACAACGTGTACAGCCCGCAGTCTGCATGCGGCACAGAAACCTTGCCCGCGCACTTTCGCCCCTCGCCATTTTCTAATCATACTGCCCGACTACGCTTCCCCAGATGCAGCCCGCACGACAATACCCGTGTGCGACCTTCTTCGCTGGGTAATTGCGTCAACGCAGATCTGCCGTCCCACGTTTCCACTTCACGTTCACCCACCCGCTTCAAGCCGAATGCATCCGTTGCGGCGAGCATCTGTCGTTGTACCAATACTTTGTCGGCTTCCGTAGTCGTACCGAGGTGGGCAGCGCTATGTAGTTCGACGGTTTTGGATCGAATCGCAGGAGCATCGCCGTGTGGGTGGCTTGGTAGATGGGTGTTTGATCTGCGGCGTAGATCATGTTCTGTCGTGCGCCGTGAACAAAAGCAACGTCGACGAGGCTTGCCACTGAGTCACCGACAGTGACTCACTATCACAAGGGCGATCAGGGTCTTTGGCGTTCGCCAGAGTCTATTCTCAACTGGCTGTTTCATCGGAGGCAGATCGCGCGAGAACTTAGACCACCCTTTTGATGCCTACGCGCGCACGAACGACATGACTTCGGAGATTTTGCTTCGAACGGTTACTGTGCGACGGTAACATGTCACTACGGTGTCTGCAGTGCTACTACCCCCCCTCAAGCATTGTAGGTATCCTCCGAATCGATGTGTCGATGATACACAGCAGATCGCCTGCAGGATCGGCCCTCGTCGTAGTGTTCGCTCCACGTACGCATTCCGTTCAAGACATGGACGCTACGGTGGAACGAGCATCGCGGGCGAGAAGACTACACGAACGCAACTCCCAAAGCGGCACCGAGCAGCCGACCCGAAGACTTTGAACTCACTCAACGAACCGTTCAGGAGAAGGCGGGACGCGGCACTCGGGAGATCAGCGCGCAAGCGACCGCTCAACAGGTGTTGTAGCGTTGTTGTCGTCATTGTCCACCTGGGGACTGACTGTACAGCTAGCGTACTGCGTAGTTCACTCTGCTCCGTATCACTGCGTATACCCATCTTGACACCGTGCGACGCACACTAGTACTTCCTATCCCCTCGGGAGTTGCGCGTCTTCCAGATGGCTGTGACAACGCGCTACGACATGCTTCGGAGAGGACACCCGTTGCGCGGGTTAGAGGCCCGCTTATGTCGCGTCCTAACCTTCAACACGATGCTGAGTATACCAAGGTCCTCTCTGTGTGACTTGGAAGTAGACCGGTCCAATAGTATAGATATGATGGGGACCCAAGGACAGACGGATGAAGGTCTTCGCGCGATTACTCGTGGTGAATGAATTTCAGGTAAAGACACATTGGGGTATAAGCTATCACTGTCAATCGTAGACTTCTCGCACCCTGCCAACGTATGATTTCCCCTATTTCCGCTATCGGACGGGAATGAACATCAAATTTCGGATACAACTCCGCTGACTAGTGCGAAAAACTGGCAAGGAGATATACACGAGATCGAGGGCCACTACGATGGAATTCTCTATCAATTTTCACCACCCCGAGCGCACTTCACAGCTTCTTGGAACATACGGAAAATGCAGCAAACGATATAAGAACCACACGAGCTTGTCGGCTGAGGAGATGAAGCGGAAATCTAAGCATATCCACCATTTACCACCAAGAAGAACCCGCTCTTTATGTCGAATTCCCCTACAATTGACTGAATCATTAGAGAATAAGCTCTAAGTCATTAACAGGAGGAACTGGAAGGGGCAAACCTGAAGTTGATGGAGAAGAGAAAGCAGAAACACATTGTTGAGTTCTGCATCCCACGGTTCTGCAACAGGCCAGCCTAGAAGCGGTTTTCAGAGGTATATAATATCACAGATATTGGCAGTTATCGTTCTCTCTATCAATCTGACCTTGTAGGCTTCTTCGACAGCATCCATTCCGTGTCTATATACACGGACACACTACTTATTTCTACTCTGTTCGGCGCCTACGACCACGTAAAGCGGAGGTTGTAAGATAGTAACTATGATGGATTTCGATGTCAGCTTCTATCCATACACTTCTTCATCATGTTCCTTCAACGACATCAAATGTAATATCATTCGGCTCTCAAAATACTAGCATCGAGCGAAAGAATTTTGTTAGCGACATGGAATACGGATAGGATATAGCATGTCGGATCGCATCGGCAGGTCAGTTACGATCATGAAGTCTCCATGTGAAAACTAAATGATGTTGGGCTTGAAATCTATGAAGGGCCTTATGTGAAAATATCAAAGATGATCAAACATGGCGATAAAGTACGGAGACGGTGGGGGGCCTGTTATTTCGTGAATTTGATTCGTGTGTAAGCCATGCAAAGTTCCGGAAATCAAATAGTTACAAAATTCATGGTACGAAGGGTGAGCTTGTCATTCGCTGTAACTCTTTATGTACTGCACAGGCAACGACGAGGGTGACGGTGACTGGGTTAAACTGCTGGTAAGTCCACGTCAATTGACCCTTATCTTACTACTCTGCAACAAGGTATCAGAGGTGGTGTTAACAAACGGGGCTGGTATGCTCGAAGCACTGATGTGCCAAGGCATGGCGGGTATGGTCTCGCAAGCCTCTCACTTTGGCTCTGACGGGACAACCACAAGCAGGATTGTTCGAAATCGGAATCTACTTTTTCTCGTACCTTCACGATACGAGCCGTGTTGAGGTTTCGAAGAACGAGGCTGGTGTTGTGCGCTTTATGCGAAGTAACGAAGGGGTTGGTGCACAGTACCTTTTGCGCATCGCGAGTACGAGGTCATTGAATGTTTCTTTGAATTATCTAAGTCCTAAGAGAGTAACACAACGCGATATCATGTGCGACCCGCATTAGCACAATGCGGGGTGCTAGCATGTTCCTGGCTGTTGATAGGTAGGCATCGCCGACGGGGCTGCGACGGGCGGCTCGAGCAGTGCTCGGCCAAGGCAGGAAATCAAGAGGTTGGGAGTTAGGCGATGAGTTGGCATTCGCGGTGTGCTTTAAAGTTGAAACTAATTGAGTCGTTTTGCAAAATACCGTTACTACGATGTCGAAGCTGATGGGGGAGTGCCTGTCAGGGTGCAGGAAAAGCACGATACGAGTGCGCAGAGACCGCCGCAGCGGTGAGGCTGTAGTATCACAAGTCTTACAAAAGCAAAAGGCATAATAGTTGCCCTGCGTCGAGACATCGTTTCGTGATTGGAGCGCATTCCGTCCTCGTCTGGATGCGGATGGGCAATCTGAACGAGATGACCAGCGTAGGATCGCGCAAAACCCATCTCCAGTGAATGACTGTGGGGACATCAAACACAAGAAGTAGCCCGTCTCAGGGACTGGCAGAACTACTGTTCATCAATCTATTGCCTACCGCAGGCCAGAACGCGCCTGGCAGCCCGCATCTCCACAAGTCAAACGTCACACTTACCTAATCCTCGTACCCCTACCATGCCATCCCGATCAAACACGCACCCCAACCCCCCTTTCCCAACACAGCGTATCTGCGCACGCATCATCCAAAAGCGAAATGACATGCAACGCCAATGCCGTCCAAAACCTGCATTGGCAGTGGATGAAGATGCGCATTAAGTGTTCTCGATCTCGTGGATGCCTGCCTAGCGGGTAAAACTAAGCGGGGATGCAAATGTGCGACGGGCGGGAAAACAAGAACAGGGGTACGGTTCAAGGAAGCGTGCCGCCTGGCGCAGACGTGCATCATACCGTCTCTTTTTGGACGACTTGTCGCGACGGAAAAAGTACCTACGTCATACCGCGAGGGGCCAAGGAGGCTGGGACAAGGCCACCTCGCGCAGGTTTGGGAAATGCGTCTTAAAGTTGGCACTGCCACATCTCTTTGTCCTGCATACTTCTAACCTCTTGCCTACTTTGCATCTAATTCCTGGCACTTACATCTACCACTACTAATTCCTTCGATACCTCGACGTTGAGACGTTGAAAGTTTATTCGCTTGAGGCATCGCGCATCGTCACCCGACGGGAACACGGATAATCGATCGTAACGGTCGCTGATCATCTCACATCACCGAGATAGAACCGCAGAAATCATGTCTGGCGCACAGGAAAAACAGCTCCATGAGTACGTTATCTCGGCGTCCAATGCGCCGCGACGCGCATCGTCGCGTTCGCGATGAGATGGATTGCGCATCTGCTTTACCCTTGCGCAACGACTAACACACCAATCACAGGCTCCTCTCCCGCTCCATGGTCGACATCTACGTCGGCCCAGAGAACACGCACTGGATCCTACACGAGAAGCTCCTCTGCTACCACTCACCCTTCTTCCGCAAGATCTTTTACTCCAAGGCCAACTCTGCGTCGCGCACGCAATCCTTTGGCCTCCCCGATGAGGAAGATGCTCCCTTCAAGACCTTTGTCGGATGGCTCTACAGCTCCTCGCTCCCCGTCCCGCGCGAGGAAGCCGACCTAGGCGTATGCTTCGACCTGTACCTGATGGCCGAGAAATTCGAGATACCAGGCCTCGTCGCCGACGTCCTGCAGGTAGTCCGCGAATGGTACAAGTACAGCGACAGCTACCCCGGTCTGCGTCGCGTGCAGTACGTCTATGCCAACACCGAGGAGGGTAGCCCCATGCGCCACATGCTCGTCCACGCTGTTGCGCGCATGATGGTTATCGAGAAGGGTATCCCTGCGCACTGGGACAAGGCGCTGCGTAAGAACGGACAGCTTGCTGTCGATATCATCAAGGCGATCCAGGACTGGCGTCTTGAAGAGGAGGTTGTGCCTGATGCGCGCGAGGAGCCTGCCGAGGCCGAGGACCTTATCGATGTTGAGCAGGAGACGGCAAAGTTGGATGAGGAGGCCGAGCAGGAGATTGATGATGATGTCAGGGCGGAGCGCGCGGAGGAGGCAGATGACTCCGAGGACACCGTTGTCGAGAGCCCGACTAATGAGAGCAAACGCCCACAACCTAAGAGCCAGAAGAGTGGCAAGGATGTTGGACAGGACTTGAAGAGCAAGGATAATGGCCTTGTCAAGGACTTCAAGAAGTTCAGTCTCAAGGAGATGCCGAATGAGATGACCAACGCCGACTACGGTACTCTTCGCGCATAGGCTGCGTCCACCGCACTCACTTTCGCCACTTACTTCACCTTTGGATTCAATTTGCATGATTTCTGCCTATAGGGGGAATATATATCCGGCGTTGGGATCTGGGGTTTCGGGACATTTCTATCTTCTTCTTCTTGGTACTTTCACTTCGAAAAAGAGAGAATAATGTCTTAGTAGCCTTTATGGATTAGGTTTTTGGTAGTCAAGTTTGCAATTGTAACATCATTCATCGTTATATTTGCGTGCATTCATCCAGTCTCGTTTTGTAATGTGATTGCCTTCCCGACAGTATGCATGTTCATCAAAGTTCCAATCCTCCATCTCAAGACTTTACTCCTTGTGCAGTGGAAACTCGTCTCAGTCGATTATCCTGAAGAGTTAAGTCGAAACTGGTAGACATTGTCAATCTTTCATGCCCGTCACGGACGAACCTTTCAACTGAGATCATCTCACGCGTAGTCCGTTCTCAACAGAATAAAGTCTTATTAAACTAGAGCTACGATGAAGCCTATATACACAAGTCCTTAAAAAAAACGAATAGCAGAGACAATTCATATCTCATCCAAGAACAGTCTCTCCCCTAGCCATCCCCCTAACAAACAACGACCTTGGCGCATTCTTATTCGCACAGGTACTTGTAGCATTAACACAAATACCACCACCGCCCCTGCAGCAAGTCTTCACAACACACAACTGGTTCGCTCCGCAGTCCTCATTCACTGTGCACGCGGGACTGCTGCAGGAAGTAGTTCCAGGCACACAGAGACCGCCCCCGCCAGCAACGGCACCACAGACACATCCAGAACCGCAGTAGACGTAGTTGGTGCAAGACGAAGGCGCACAGCTGGGATTTGTGCAAAGCCCGCGAGCGCAACCACCGCTTGCGCAGACGTTACCACATGCGCCGCAGTTGTTGGGGTCGGTTTGGAAGTCTGGGCCTGCTGTAGTGGTAGCCGTCGCCATGATAGTGGTCGTTGGGGTCATGGTTTCCGTTGCAGCGATCTCCTGTGTTGCTGTGGTGGTCACGGTGACGACGGTTTCAGTGAAGGCGGTAGAGGTTGAGAAGCTAGTTTCGGTAGCGGTGCTGCTGACGACGACAGTGATGGTAGGAGTTGCAAGTGACAGGCATTCGCAGGCTTTGGTGATTTGCGCGCATTCGTATTGCTGGAGGCCCTCTGGGGCGTCTGGGCAAAGGGTTGGGGCGGGGAGGGTGGGTGTGGGTGTGGATAATGGTTCGATGGTGCTGGAAGGTACGATGGAAGAGGACTCTGTGGTGCTGGAGAGTATTGCGGAAGATAGCTCCACGGTGCTGGAAAGTGCTTTAGAAGAAAGCTCGACAGAGCTGAAAGTGATGGTAGAGGGTAGCTCGATAGCGCTTGATGTTGTTGCGTAAGATGACTCTGCAGTGCTTGAGAGAGTGGAGTAAGCTGGCTTCGTTACGCTTGAGTACGCGTACGATGCCTGTGATGCAGTTGAGTAGGCCAGATGCGATGCTTGCACTGTACTCAGGGTTTGCGACGATGGTACCTCTACTGCACTGGAGGGCTTCACGACCGGGTAGCTCACTGTGCTCGAGCATTTTGTGGATGTGGATGGAGGATTCGCAGTAGTCGAAGGCTTCTTGCTCTTAGTGCATGAAGTGCTGGTGGAACTGAGCGTCTGCACATAGTCGCGTTTGACGGGTGCTTCGGCCGTCACCGTTACTATCTTTGCCGTCGCTGGGCAGAGCTGTACTTCGGTAGTCCTAGGGACGTTAGAGTGTGTAGATACAGCATCCACGCGAAGTGACTTACGTGGTGATAGTTACTAAGACCGCATCGGCTGTCAAGGTCGTAGTGCCAGTGACTGTAGTCTCGTCGGTGTTTGTGAACGATTCCGTGAGTGTAACTGTCTCAAGGGTGTCCGTAGTTGAAATAACAGTCGATGTGCTTACTGCGCTCGAAGTGACGGTGACAGTAGGGATGGCCAGGAGTGACGAACAAAATCCTGCAGCTGTCGGTACAGCACGCAGATCATCGACAATAGGTGAAATGAGTTGACACTCCGAATCTTTGACGTCAGTGAGTCCCGGAATATCCTCTTGGGCTGAGCTGGCAACTGCTAAAGAAAGAAGGAGGGAGGTGATGGATGCGCGCATTTTGATGAAGTTTTCCGATTCTGGGCCGACTGTGGATGTTTGTCTCTGCCACTGGAGAGGAAGATGAGTTGAGTGAATACTAAACTAGACGGCCACGATAGCATATATACAACTCTAAGAGGGCTGCCCGTAGAGCCATTCTCGTGGCGCTCGACATGGCTGAGCTGAAGCGGGGCCTGACGAGGTCATTCGGAGGGTCCGAAGGCGTATTTACTTCCATTGCTACCAGTTGCAAATCTTCATCCACCACGGAAGCGAGATGACCTTCGATCTAAATCCACGAGAGTGTAAGCTTCTTGCTAAAATGCCAAGTTGTGGATAGAAACTTGACTCGAATAGGTCTCTTCACAATGAAGAGGCTGTAATGCTAGATCAGATAACCTAAAACAATCTAGCACATCTACAAAAGACACGCAGGGACTTCGTGGCGTATCGAATGGACAATGCGTCACGATGGAATGGGTTGGTGGGAGGCTTAAGGTGTACCTGACTAGTGCAGACCTGGGGAAAGCCTCGTCTAGGCCGCCATGGATCTCATTCCCCTGTCTGTGCTTGACCACGGACAAGGCGATAATTAACGCCGCATCTTACGATAATCGAATCGTGGACTCGTCAATTACTCGGCGCATAGTGGGAGGAAGTCCTCTAAGAAGAAGTAAAGTCATGGATATGAAGAGGACAATAGCAGAGTTTGTTAGACAGTTGAAGAAGGGGTATCTTTGATTGCAGGCGACGAAGGCTGAAAGTATTCGATAAGTGCCTGTACAGGCTATTGAGCAGTACGACGCTCGTCGGGCATATTCCTCCGTTCTTTCGCCGTAACCTTCTTGCGACGGCGTTCGATGACCTTGTCGCGCTGCTTCGATTTCATGTTCTGGAAGCGGTCGACCAATGCAATCTTCTTTTGCTCGGCTGGAACACATTGTCAGTACGTGCATGCTGGTGCGAGAGAGTTGCATGAACCTACACTTCTTCAGGAAGAAGGGCTGCTTGCCCTCCTTAACAAGCTCCTTCTCCTTCTTCTTGTGCTCACGCGTCACCTCCTGTAGCTTCTCCTTGTTCTCTCGGGCCTTCTGTTGCGACTCCATAGAGAGTAGCTTCTTCTTCAGCTGCTCCTGCTCGACCGGATTCTTTGTCTTCTTGATAGTCTGACGTAGTTCGGCAATCTCAGATTTCCGGTAGTCGTTGAGGAAGTCGTAACGTTTCTTAACCACAAACTCATCGGGCTGGGGTCCCGAGGCATTGTCGAAGCGGGGGTCACGGAAGACTGGCTTCTTCACATCGACTACGTTCCGCTTACGTGACACTGCACGCTTGCTTGACTGGACAGCGGGGGCGTGTTTGCTCGAGCGCGCTTTTGGAGCTGCGTCGGAGTCGGAGTCTTCATCACTACCGGCTTCTTGAGCGTCTCGTTTGCTCTCGCTTTTGCTCTTGCTCTTGTCTGTCTTCGCCTTTTTGCTGGGCTGTGCGCCGTTTGCAAGCTTTTCGGCCTTGATCTGCCGTAACCGCTCCCTCAACGCTTCCAGCTTGTCCTCTTGTGATTTGGATGTGTCGTCGCCTCGTTTTCGCTTTCGGTCGGCGGGTTGTTGTTTTGAGATAGCGTCTTGTGCTTTGGCCAATGCTCCAAAAGAGACTTTGCTCATTTGCGCTTTTACTTGGTCATCGTCGGAGGCGTCTGACTTGGGACTGTTAGTGGTATGCGCTGGCGGAGTAGAACTTTTGAAGACTCACCATGTCCTCGTCTCCTGATTCTCCATCTTCCTCGCCGTCTGAACTGATCACGTTACCGCCTTCATCTGCCTCGATCACAGACGCAGAAGAGGACCGGTCGGTGACCTCGTAGTAGCTCTCGGCGTCTGAACTGTCTTCGGCTGCGCGCAGAGTGCGATCCAACTTGTTCGCGAGCACCATCGTAAAAGCCTGGATTTGAGGATGTCGCAGTAAAAGCGGTTGTTGATGGTGTATCAGTGTCGCAGTATCGGTGTTCCTTTCGCGTTCTTCTTCGCCGCGGTCTACCAACATTTTTGTGGACCCCACCTGCCGGGGGTTTGATTCGCCGACAGGGCCGACAGACAGGCAACTGCGCCCAAATTTCGAGTGCGCCTTCCCACCGTCTGGCTTTATGCTGCGTGCTCTTCGTCTTCACCTCACCAGGCTTTTCACCGCTCACCCCTCCCGTCCCGCCGAGCGTCTGTCGCTATCGCACGTGCTCCATGGCCGCAGTCGCATCAGCTCGGTACAGCATCCCCCACTGCGCTCCAGTCGCAACTTCTTCCACTAACACCGACAACTTCAAGACCAAGACAGGTCGAGACAGCACTCCCCACGGGCGCCCGCTCTCTGCCTCCGCAAGCGCCAGCATGAACGAGTCATGGAATCCGAATGCGATGCCCTTCCGCCCGGGCGGCTTTGACCGTCGCGAGCAAAACTTTGGCGCCTTCGAGAACCAGCTTCCTCCACCACCACCCCCTCCTCCATTCCAGGGACCACCACCACCACCAGGGCCATATGGGCCGCCGAATGGCTTCTTCAACCAGAACTTTGCGCCGCCTCCACCGCCGCCCCAGCAGCCTCCGCACATGTTCAGCAACCAACACCATGACTTCGCAATTCACCAGCAAGCCATGGCATACCACCACTGGATGGTGCAGAACGGCCACCCGCATCACCCACCGCCACCGCCTCCTTTCCCACTAGGTCAAGAGGCCTTTGCGGGGCGCCCACCTCTACACATGCCGCCTCATGGCCAGCCGCCGTTTGCTGGGCCGCCATTTGGCCAGCAACCATACGGACATCAGGCGCATCATGGTGGGCCCCCGCCTATGCCTCACCAGCAACACCAAATGTACCCGAATCGCCCGCCCTACCATATGATGCAACAGCAGGCGAACTTCCCGCATGGGGCAAGGAACGAGGACATACAGTATGCTTTCGATGCCTTATTGAAGGGTCTAAAGTCAAAGAGCCGCACCGCTAATACTCAGAACAGGGCACCAACTCCTCCAGGCAAGAAGTCAAAGTCTGGGCTTACTGCCAACGGGCATGCTAAGCAGAAAGAGTATGGTACCCTCCACCGCATTGCTTCGTATGAAGCTGAGTGCTCTCGGATTAACAAGTTTCGCAGTACTCCCAAGGCACCAAAAACACCCAAAGCAGCCGGTGAGAAGAAGGGACGCTATGGTGACGAGAAAATTATGCTCCCTGCGCCGCAGCCTACCAAAGAATATCTGGACCAGGCCGCCGCAGAACCTGTCACCAACGACACACCTGGTCAAATGCTCGTTATCCTGGATCTCAACGGCACGGTGCTCTTCCGCCCTAACAAGAATGCCAAGACTATGATAGAGCGCCCGTACTTGAAGCCTTTCCTGCGCTACCTCTTCGAGAACTTCAAAGTCATGGTGTGGTCTAGCGCGAGGCCAGACAACGTCAAGTCTCTAGTTAGCCAAGCATTAGACAATGATCTCCGGTCAAAGCTCGTCGCTCAATGGGCGCGCGACAGTTTTGGACTCTCGCCGACAAACTATCAGCAGAACGTACAAGTATACAAGAACCTGAAGCTAGTATGGAGTCGAAGTCAGATCCAGTCTTTCCATCCGGATTATGAGGCCGGCAGTCGCTTCGGCCAACACAACACGGTGCTGATTGACGACTCTTCGATCAAGGCGAGTGCGCAACCGCACAACCTCCTGGAGATCCCGGAGTTCTGCGCTACTCCAGAGCAAATGCAAGGTGACGTGCTCCGAGAGGTAGCAGGCTACTTGGAGGCACTGAGGAGGCAAGCGGATGTATCGCAATTCATCAAAAAGGCTCCATTCACTGCCGGCGGAGGCTGGACGTTCGATTGGCCTGATGCCGACGCTGGAGGTGGCGAGATGACCAGCAAGGTGTCTGCGGGTAGTGCTCCTACTACGAGTAAGAAGAAGAACAAGAAGAAGCAGGCCAATGCCGCGGCAGTAGCAGCAAGTAGAACTAACACTCCTTTGTCACAGACAATTGATACCCTCGCAGCTGTATCGCTAGCTGCACCTGCGCAGCAACAAGCGCAGCTGTTGCAACAACAACAGCAAATGCAGCAGCAGCAGGCGTAAAAAGCAATTTCATTTCAACAGACGGGCAGGCAAGGAAGTACTCATGGATAACTTCCTACGTGAAGGCGCTGTTTGCCAACCGGGTGACTTGTGTTTGCATAGGTGGCTTGGAATAAGCGGATGTCTTCACTATGTACCAAAAGTTTGAGACATGACGGCCGATCATAATGTACAGCCTCGAGCTGAGAATTTCGATACCAGTACTACTGAATGTATCTTGCATCAGCGGAGGCTTACTTTCTGGGTTCACGCGCGAGGAGAGTAATCCACCGACTACGTTCTGTGATACCATCTCACTTGATGTACACTTAACAGTGCATGTGCGTTGAATCTTAACAGAGGTCAAATCCGTGCTCGACAAGCTGCTGAATGGCTAGGGTGGGTGCCCCGCCATGCCCCGCACCTCTGACTTCTTCTCACATTGGAAGGAGAGACCCTCAACATGACATTTCACTCGCATGTCACAGTAGGAACGAGTGCCCAGCATTTCCTCGATCGCTCAAAACGATTGCCAATATAAATTTTACAAGAATCAACTTCTCCATCGAACAACAACAGCAGGTCGCTTAGCTCAGTTGGTTAGAGCGTGGTGCTAATAACGCCAAGGTCGCGAGTTCGACCCTCGTAGTGACCACTCAAGCAATTGTTTTTTGCTCTTGGAATGTACTCAAATCTAAAGGTCTATCTTGTAGTCTTAGTTAGCAACACGTAAGTAAGAGCAACTAGAGAAGGCTATGCTACGTCTCTATGTATCTAAGTCTAGCCCTGCTATGTTTTTTGCGAACAAGGTAAGAGAAAAATGCTGCTTTATACTTTGTGTTGCGGAGACAAGTAAGAGAGCAATAATATTCTACACACTCTTGTATGGTGGCAACATGTCTCTATAGTAAGATGGATACGTAGCTTGTTCCACTTGCATTACTACAAAGAAAGTTCCATAGAACGTAAAGCTAAGTCGTTCAACGCATAGCTACCTAGGTAGTCTCACATAACGTGCAGTCCACAAGTAAGACAACATGCAATGCACAGCTACCTGCGGTTGTGCTCAATGATGAGGATACACGCGCGCTACCTCCTTCCTCGCTATAGTAGCTGTATACTTTTAGGTCTGGTTCTAAATAAACTTCGTTCTCATTGTCTGCGCTACAAGATGTCGTAGCCTTGGACGACTAAGCCTCGCAAGAAACCTGTCGCAATACAAGAGAGTTTTCCATGAGCGCTACCTACTAGCTTTCTGACATAGAGTTTCCTTACGAGTAACAATATAACTACGTTAAACGTGTAGTTATTCTTGCCTGCGCGAAGTGGTATTAACACAAGGTATACGCAATTGCAGTAAAGATCCAAACTAGCCTTTCCGCTTCCGCCATATTCAGCAACATCTAGAAGGATTGTCCGGGAAGCGTCACCCATAGACAGCAAGTAGCGGAGTGAAAAGACTTTTTCAGGAACACTTGAGCAAAGGCCGAACTAGTATGTACTATACCTGTCAGGGAGAGCATGACAGACTGATCTTGGATCATGTTTACACTTTCGTATCGACAAATCTTCTTATCGAGATGAACATTCCTTATCGTACCACATGTCAAGAACTTAGCCAAGAAAGATAGTAAAGCGGCTACGTAAGATGCGACACTAAGCAATGACACAAAAGACGTACGATGTGTTACAGCTAAGAATCGGACGCACGCGGATAGGGAAGATAATACATCGAGCACACAAATAGAACAAATATGATATGAATTGAAGCAAACATGACCAAGCGAAGGCAACATGCATGCGAAAGAACATTTAGCAAAGACAGGTAAGATACTAGAGAAGGACAAAAAGGAGAGAAGTGTAAGAGGTAGTTGTAGGCAATAGTACTTGCTTCACACTACAAGAGAATAGTAGAGGACAGCTCTATATTCCTACGTTAATAAAGGTAGTTGTTTGTAGAAGAAAGAGAATAATTCTTATCCTTTCCTTTGCGGGCGGAGCGCAGGTTAAGAGCAAGTTTCTAGGCTAAGACCTAAGCGAGAGAAGCAAGCATATCATGTAACTGTTCTCTTCACTCCGCCTTCGCCATCTTATGTTACAAGAAGACTATACCTAGGAAAGAGAAGGTCTCGAACGCACATCTGGATAAGAATATCTGCCTGTAGGAAAATACATAGCGAGAGAGGGAGAAAGACTAGGAAAAGAACAAGAGAAAAAACATATCTATCAAAGAAAAACGTTTGACTATATATCTAGCAACACGAACATGCGTAGAGAAAGATATCTAGCAAGAGGAACAAAGCTAACCACAAGGACATTAAAGAAGAGCGACATAAGAAAAGAGAATAGAGAAACAGCACATAGAGTAAAGAGAGAAGACTACGACAAGTCTATGGGGAGGACGAAAGTGACAGCACATCTAGCAAAGCGGGAGGAGAAGAGAATATGTGTTATGAAGAAGACGTGTACGGATACATGATTAAGCTAGTCTGCTTCAAGCCTTGCTAGCATATCTTTGAGCTCCCTGAGAATGTCTTCAAACGCTGCGAGGACGTTTCGAAACCTCGCAGCGAAGGGCTTTTGGGGCTGAGGATGCCTCGCAGCGTAGCACTGCGAAGGACCTTTGAGGTTGCAGATCTCGGAGTCTAGAGCTCAGCGCTGTGAGGGATCTTTGGAATTGACGATGCGTGGGAAGAAATGGGACGAATAATTGTAAAGTGCTAGATAAGTCCTGCGAGGAGTGGATTAGGTCAAGTCTGCGTCTGAGAATACGTTGTTGGAACGTGAAGAACTGATTCGTGGAGAGACACGGAAGAATGCTGCGAGGGTCCAAAATTTGTGGAGGATGCGTTGGTGATGCTTAGCCGATTGAGTAGAAAGTATCATCGGAAGTCTCTGGGCCTTGCCGTGATCAGCTCTTCGATCAACCCTCTCCGAGGAGCGCTGCGGTTGGAGATCTGAATCCAAGTCTCCACAATAAGAATTTTGCTAGCTGTGTTATGGATTGCCGAAGTCGTGAGTCGCTCGCTAGCGATAGGTTATCGGGATGTAGCGGAGGTAAATGAAAGCGCGTTTCATTCGAGAAGACTGGGCTGTATGGGTGTGGTATGGTTTTCGAAGTTGTGAGTCGCTTGTCGGAAATGGGTCATAGTATTTCGATGAGATAGAGATAAAAGTACCAGAAAGGTGGCTTGGTTTGTGGGCGCAACACCTGCTGAAGATTAGTACCCGATACATGTGCGAACGCAAAGCTTACTTGCTTTGCAGGCCGAGCGACTGTGAAGGATGCACGTGCGATAGTCGCTAGTACAAAGAAGGGCAGCTCAGACTGTCGCCTGGTGTTGCATTGCGTTTCGATAAGTGGAAGACTGCGACAGCATTTGCGCATCTTGCAGGCTTGCGTGGCTGTTGAAACGAGGGCTTCGCCGTGACGATGTTGAACATCGAGTCGCTGACTTGACGATATTACTGAACCACGGATCAAATTCCATGAGGATACAGGCAGGCGCAGATTTGGCTCAAATGCAGGGTTGCACAAAGGAAGCAAAATTCATTGGTGACTATGATATATAGTTATAGTCTTAGTAGAGTCATAGCAAAGTGTCGCTACTTACTATGTACCTACATTGTACCTCAAAGTTATCACAATCATACCGTATACCAAAGTACAATCTCAATGACGCAGTCCGGCCCAGGACCAGACCGCAGTCTGAGTCAAAGGCGCACTCTATTCTTTCTGAACCTACATTGTAGTAGGCAAATTATTACGTGCTGAAGTTTGGACCGCGTCGCGTGTTTTAGTGTTTGGTGGGTCGGCATATGAACCGGTTCGCCGAGCGCACGGCCACGGTATCACAAGGAGCGCTGCCAAGCGCGACTTTCCCCGCTTTTTTGCAGGGCGTTATCTGCAGGGCAGCCTCTTCTTAGTGCCGACCACTGCCAATACATCCATGATCCTTAAGATAACCCTAGTGAAGCACCATGTTTTCCGATGCAGGCAAGGCTGATAGTTCACGTCCTACGAAATTACTCAGCACTTGTGATAACTGCAGAACCTGGAAAGTGCGTTGTCTAAGTCAGTAGAACCCACATGCTATGCTCCTTCACGTGCCACGAGGCTTACGAGTCACAGAAAACAATCCGCAGGATGAGGCGTGCATGTTATGCAACGTATGCCAATGTCTTTTCCGCCAACCAGACCTAACGATGCATATGGCTGACTTCATCGCTCCAGAAGCGAGGGCTTCGATGCAGTTTCTCGCCCACGAAAGTACGAAAACCTTACACATCAAGGTCTGCGAAGGAAAGAAATGCTGTAAATGCTCGCCGGCGAACATCGACTGTGTCTTCGTCAACTTCCGGGCCCAGTGGAGCGCAAACGAACGACACTGACGACATTACGAACGCTGCTCCTCCAACCCCAACCTACGCAAATGCATGGAACGCTTCCGGGACTGCGCAACCTATGCTGAGAAACCAAGTGGCCTCGGAATCGACAAATGGTAATTGGGACTCAGCACTCTATGTTGACAGGATACTCCATCCTCTGGAACCAACAAGAACTCCTGAAGAGCTGAGACCTCTGTATCCCGAGGGGTCCTACAGTGTGTCGCGACAAACAGTGGAAGAACACGGTCAGTATAGACTGAGAGGGCCCCGAGCGATCCTAGACCTGTTAACACGAATCAGTTCCTAGCTCTAGTCTAGCATTCTTCTCCGATCATGCCGTCGACCATCTCTGTTTAAAACTTGGCCATGACAGGCTCAAAACCCTCGTTAATACGTTAGAAGCACAAATGCAAGCCCGTTGGGAGGCTGGTTCTCAGGCGAACGAACCACCTGACAACGTTGATGATTCTCCTGAGCGCCGGTCTCAGTACATAGGATGTACGAACTTCACCAATGAAAGACACACCTAATTTCTTGGGGCTAATCAGAGCATAGCTTATTTCGAGCAAGTTCATCCCGTGTATCCGTTCCTCGACCGAGCTGCCTTCGAAGCGAGAGCCTCGTCTACCCGACTTGAAGCTTCAGACTCAACTCAGGAGACATGGTTGGCTCTGTATCATACTGTCCTGAGCCTTGGATGTATGTATCATGATGGGGGTTCTTTTGAACCCGCAAAGGGCCTAGCATGGCACTACTTCAGACTCTCCTTTCGACATTTCCAAGACGTGTTGATGTGTAAGGCTTCTTTGCTCAAGGCACAGGTAAGTCCTAGCCTTTGTCAAGAGCTTGATGCTAATCTTAGTAGGCAATGACGGCAATGGTAAGTTTGCGCAGACCTGAGAATGCAACCCTCTCCGATATTAATAGTACTTTAATCCCAGGCAGTATTCGCCCTCAATTATTCGAGTCTGCAGATTGAGACACTGTGTATCTCGGAGGCGGCAAGAACGATTATGACTTTAGGGCTGCACAAAAGAAATCTGGACCATGGCTCATACCAACAAGGTAGGCGGGCATTCTGGGTTGTCTACTGCCTGGAAAAAGAATACGCTTTCAATTCCAGCAACGCCTCTGTATGTCGACATTGAAACTGATGATAGAATAATTTGCTAAATGGTAGAAAACAGTTGATCTCAGATATCGACATCAGCTGTCCTCTTCCTACAGACCTGGCAAGCAGTGCCGAAGACTTCGCCTGGCTTCCTTGTTGGGCACGCTACTCGAGAATTTTATCGAAAGCATACGATTCACTATTTTCGGTAACTGCGACCTTGGATTCGGCACAGGAACTTTTCCAGAAAATGGATCGTATCAACGACGAACTTCAGTCATGGTTGATTTCGATTCCCGAAAACTACCGTCCAGGCTCGTCTCTGCAGCAACATCGATTCAGTCCTCTTTATATGCAAGAAATGGTTCTAAAGATCCACTTTGCATATTACAACCTGAGAATTTGTATATCACGAATGACCCTTCACCTGTGTCCGCATGGAGTGTCGCAGCGACGATCCGAGAACAAGAAGTGCCTCTTAATGACAGCGCGCTCGATCATTGAGTCGACCTACATGATCCCAATGAATCCTTTCACTCCTGTCTGGTAATTCTTCCAGTGGCGAAACCAAATGGAATGTAATAACTAACGGAAAAAAATTCTACAGGATAATCGGAGTCATGCCGATGGTTGCGATGTTCATCATCTTCGACTTTGTAGTTCACAACCCGCTACATCCTGAGACCAAAAAGAATTTATCATACCTCGATATTATTGCGGCGCACTACGCTAGACTCGACCTATTGGCGCATGGCACGATTCACGACGCTAAAGTTGCGGAATTTACCTCTATCGCACGCCTCTACGTCGAGACGTTGACCAGAGACCATGCGAATGGGGCTAGTGACATCGCCAAAGCCGCAGGACCCAGCATCCGCCGAGGGCAACCTGATGACAGCCTTCAAGCTGTGCAGAGATCTGATCTCTTGTCCCGATATGAGTTCGAGCAGCTATCGGCCGCAGGCGCCAATGATCTGGTAAGTTTGCTTCTTTTCTCGTCATCGGGGTCCTCTCCATATAATTCTTGCCATATTTTCCTCGAGACTTACCCTGTTCCATACGCACCATTACAAACTGTTTGACCATTTGCAGATGAACGGCGTGGACGACGACAACATTTCGGACGCGGATGGATTCAGATTTCTCGATTTCCCAGCGCCGAGCTCATCGTTGTACATGTCATTGCCGTCCGGGTATGACATAGCCGATTTCTTCGGTGATCCTTTCGCCTGAGGCTCGTATTGCAATCCAGTGTTGCAAGTCGTGTGCTCAGAAAACCCAAGAGCCATGCAATAGCGAATGCACTAGACGCATGGGAGGTAGCTCGGCTAGTCATACGCGACGCCTAATTGTCAGACGAACTCCTGAGACTAAGACATTTGATCGGGGATGTATGATACGCAATGTTTCCCACTACTGCAGAGATGTTAGAACAATACTCTCGTTTCCCAGTAAGAGCATCAGTAATGCGAGAGATTTTTAAGCATTGACTCGACCTAAGCTATCGCTCTCTACTACCAGAGACATCTGTGTCAAACCGAATATGAGGGCAAAAAGTTTCGTGCTTTTCCCAAGTGCCGCCGAGTCCCCGGCGGATCTTTGGGTCTGTTCGTCCGAATATAGCCGAAAGCCAAGGCCAGGCACGCGGAGAAGCATTGTTCCTACGTAGTGCAGCAAATCATCAACTTCCACACCCGCGTCAGGAATAAGGCAAATCCGCTGCATTTCAGTATGTACATGGTTATCGAATCAGAGTGATACGTAGGTCGATACAAGAACATAGGCGCGTGCCACTTTCGCCTCTTCCAAGCAATCAACTATCAGGCCGCTACATGTCCAGAACCCTTAGAATTTTGTGATGCTGATGATTAGAAAAGACCCTAGGTGTGGGTTTTGCGCCCTATGTGTAACCCAGTCTGCATTTCGTTCGCCTGGTTCAGCAGCTCCCAATCAATCTTCGGTCCCTCGAATCGTTTCGTCCCGAAGGTAAACCAGCCAACAGTTATAAGAAGGAATAGCCCGACGAGGATTGGCGGGGTCCAATTCATAGACGCTACTGTTACCGGGAGTGCCGGAGGCATACAGACCAGGACCACTAGAACGAAAATCCAGAGCGTGGAGAAAATGTTGCAGAAATAACCGAGATATCCGAGTTTCAAGGGCCGCTCAGGGAGCATCTTCTCTCGACCACGCAGAACGAGCATGGTTTGAGGTGCTACCAAAGTGATGTTGAGAAAGAGTACGGCCGACGTGATGACGGAATTGAATGCCGTTGTGCTAGCCATATATATCAAGCCGTAGAAGGAGATGAACACCAGTGCTAGCAATGTAGACCTTGCCGGGAATTGGAGTTTTGGATCGATGTGCGAGAAGAACTCGTGGTATGGAGTGCCTTTGTCTCTTGCAAAAGCCCAGGTGACGCGACCAGCGGTGATGAATTGGGGCGGCATACAAGCTGTTAGACAAAAATTAGCATGGCGAATTATTACCAGTAAAGACCTCGCGTAAAGGATTGGGGACTGTCTTACACATGTACACGATAATCAGCCAAACAGCCATGACTAGGGTCAATGTACGATTCCCGGTCGCCTGATACATGAGCTCAACAGCGGGGAAAACAGAGTTCATGACTGCCTCCGTGTCTGTTATCTTGACCATAGCCGCAGCCATCATAGGCACAGCGGTCAGAACCGCGATCAGCATAGTAGTGTTCCTGCGTCACACACATTAGCCAATGCTCGATAACATTTATTTTGGGTGACCCACATAACGATCGGCAACTTTCGCCCGGGACTGTGCATCTCTTCTGCAATGTGGATGGGTGAATCTGATCCCCCGAAGTTGTACATGGCGTTGGTGATGCCTAATAACCATGCAGCTCCTTGGTTCCAGCCACTGACGCCCGGGTCTGATGCGAGAACAAACGAAGCATCGTTAGTCCGCAATGATGTGGCCAGTAGCACAATGAACCATGCCACGAAACCGCCCAGACTAAGGTACATTGAGCCAGCTGTGATTTTTGGAACCGATTTTGGGAACGCAAATATAGGGATAACTGTTTGCGGTCAGTAAAGATACTTGAAACCCCCAGATTTACGCACCTGAGCAAAAGGCCATTGCGAGAAAGCAGAGGTAGATATGCCAATTCTTGGGTGTATAGCTTGGATCCATGAAGGCGGCCAGTCCAGTAGACGCAACTGCGACCAGGGAAAGGCCAGCAGACGTAGCAAACCACCAAGCTAGAACCGTCATCCACCCTATCACAAAAGCGCTGAAGCGCTTCCATTTCTCGGGCGCCAGGATGTACATGAAATGGTATTGACCCTATATTTGATGTAAGGTTTAGAAAACATGTTCCGTTCGAGGTGGATAGGTTCTTACCCCAGAACTCGGGAATGCAGAGGCGAGCTCTGACAGGCCTAATGTCACTGTCCATTGAACAAATGCAGCTATCAAAGCCGCGAAGATGACCAAAAGTGGTCCACCGTATCGCAAGTTCTGCCCAAACGTGCTCAGAGAACCGACCCATGCATTCATAATGCTAGTGCACTTTGTTAGCTGACTGTGATGGACCACATTAAGCCTAGGAATCGTTACCAAAACATCAGTCCCATTGTGGACACGATTGAGAAGAGACGAGGCATCGCAGCCTTGTGGCCCTGAGCACGTAGGATGGCATCGTCGGCAGAATTGGCATTGGTCTTTGAGTAGGTTTGCCCGAGGCTTTCTACGAGACCTATTCCATGAGACTCCACTGCGCTCAAGGAGCCGTCTGCAGTATCGACGCCCACATCTTTAGACGTCTTCGACTGCATGTCAACGAAGGATGGAGAGAATAAAGATGATAATGATACTGTTCTCTGTGCGGAAAGACCGTACTAAAACTAAAGGCATGTTGCCAAGTGATAACAATGCTCCGTCCGGAAAAACCGTACTAAAACCAAAGGCATATTGCCAAGTGATAAGAATGTTCCGTCCGGAAATACCGGGGCACGGTATTTGTGGAGTTAGAGAGGGCGGGGGCGGGGTGAGCTAGTCCATCGGAACGTGGTCTCGGTATCCTGCTTCCGGGATCAGGTACCCATTTTGAGGCTGGTATGGAGTGTTCGGCCCGACCTGAACGATGATACTCCAAATCACTTATGGTATCGTGCCTTTACATCGAAGTGAATTAGCGAGGATTTGAGCTTCTAGGCGCAGCAGCAGTGAGCGTGGCGTTGAATAAGGAGCGTGACAGAAGCAGTGAAGCGGATGGCGAGTGCGCGAGACATTGAGACGCGCAGATGTCGAATCTGTTCTTTCCTTATGGTCACAAGAAGATAATTTGGATGGGATATGATAATTGTCTCCCCAGGTTGGTTACAATTTACAAATCTCCCACAAAATGCAAGATGCCCTGGGCTTACGCCTGGCAGATAGCCATGGTAGCCGGAAAGGACCGTAGACGACCTTATCTTATTTGATGTATATATTTTTGTTGTGCAGGGAGAATTGAAATGTTAGGTCGCGATTGGGAATCGACATTTACGCCAAAGCCACGGAAGAATGCTCTTGTCTATCCTCAGCCGGGAGCGCCAGAACAGCGCGAGCACAAACTTCGCGAGAACAGACACAATCGCACACATCTTACAGATACTGTTCAAATACTGAATTGATGCTATCAGAGACTTCTGGATATACGCATGGGCAGTGTGCCCCCAAGCCACGACTTCAAAAGCAACCCCGTGCAGCCCACGGTATCTCAGATGATAGATTCGTAACCCTGGTCCGGGTTTCCAAAATACCATGCCTTGTCTTTTCCCTTTGCCTCCATAGTTGTAAAGCCATTCCCGAGGTAGGCGAACCTATTCTGGTTCACTGTGGTCCACTCCCAATCTTCCCACCGCGGATTCATGAGCATATGGAACCAGTGTAATCGGCTGCCGGGATGGACTAAAGCCGGGCCGTCTTCCTTTCCTGGGGAATGTTAGCCAACCTGACAAACAGACTTTGGGAAGGAGTTGTTTCTACTCACCGCCTTTTAGCCAGGATCGACACTTGGCATTCCAAACAGTGCGAGTCAGAAATGTGTCCGCATGCTCGATGAAGTCGTCCAGGGCCTTTTGTTTGGGCACAACCGATTTGTAACCTTCCGTTTGTACTTTGTGCAGGAGTTTGATCACATATCTTGTGAAGTGCTCGATGCTCGGGAGTGCAGATCCATGAGACAAGGGACCGTTGGGGCCCATGTAAACTGTAGTTTCTCGTCAGCTGACCAGCCGAATCTTCAGGTAAGTGCGGATACTGACGGATGTAATTGGGGAAGTTTGGTACAGCGAAAGAAAGGTATGCCGTCGGCCGGGAGCTCCATTGGTCGCGCATATCGATGTTATTACGACCGATGATAGGAAATCGGGGTTTCCAGGAGACGTTGAAACCAGTGGCGCACACGATGGCATCAAGCTCAATAACTTCGCCAGTTGATATCTCGATACCTTGCGGGACTACCTTCGTAATGGAGTCGAACACCACCCGAACGTTCTTCTCCGTCAACACTTCCAGATAGCCAACGCCCGGCGTTGGTCGTCTATTATAGAGTCAGAACAGTGCATCTTTCTGAAATTCGGCCAATTTCTTACCTGCACCCCACACCAAAACTGGGAATAATGCGATCTGCTAAGCCATTGTCTTTCCCTAAGCGGGCTCGCATCATTTGCGTCAGGTTTTCTCTCGCCAAGGCTTGCTCTGGTGAATCGTGGAGTGCCTAAGGAGCGCTGTTAGAGGACATTTTCCTCGACTTTCAGGCCGTCAATAACATACCGATGCAAATCCACTGTTCAAATCAGCCTCGATTGCTTTCCGATATGCAACAAGCTTTTCCGGATGAGCCTCAAACTCCCGTTTCTGTGCGTCCGTATCTTTGAACAAGTCAGTCAAATTACCAGCGCTTGCTTTCCGCTCTCGGGACATACAATCAAAATTGGCTCCATTCGGGCCTGCGAAATCTTGACCTAATGTGGTGGCGATCCAGGTAGGACTTCGGATGAAAGTTGTCAGATGTGCAGCCGCTGTTCGCGTAAGCATGCTGATCCGCGTGGCTCGTTCGATGTAGCATACCTGGCTGTATTGCGGTCACGAGCTGTATGCCTGACGAGCCGTTTCCGATCACAGCAACTCTCTTTCCTTTCAGCTCGACATCATTTTGCCAAGCTGCCGAATGCAGTAAAGACCCTTGGAAAGAGTGCAGTCCTTCGATCTGGGGCCACTGCCAGTTGCTATGAAATGTTAGCAAGCGTACTCGACAATGAATGAATCTCCTACTTCAAGAATCCGCCACCATTGATGAAGAAATGGCACCAGTCTTCTGCTATCGCCCCAGTCGATCGATCAAGTATCCTGATAAGCCATTGGCCTTTGTCTTCATTCCAGCGAGCCTCAACGACCTCGCTGCCAAACCGTATGAACTTCTCAAGATCGAACTTTCTTGCTGTGTCGCGGAAATATTGCAAAATTTCCGGTTGTGAGGCGTAACTGCGATCGAGAATCAATATAACGCACTCTTATCCTTCACAACGTTACTCACAATTGGGACCAGTCTGGGTTTGGAGCCCATTCGTACTCGTAGATATGCGCGGGAATATCGCATGCGCACCCCGGATAACTTTCTCGTCGCATCAGTCACAAGTCTCGCTGTCAAGGATTTTAATGCTTACGTATTCTCGAACCAAGTGCCCCCAAGCTCTGGGTTCTTTTCATAAATCTGGAGCTCGAATGACGTGAGATGACGTTTCATCTTGTAGGCAAGATCGATTCCAGTCGCGCCAGCCCCGATACAGATGACACGGAGTGGACGCGAATGCCCCAGAATCGTGTCCTCGACCGTGTACGCCTGCCCGCCAGAGGCAGAAATGTGATCGATACTTCCCATTCCTGCAGTATCGTAGAACTACGCTGCCATATTTTAGCAGAGCAATGCAGAAGACAGTGATGGCCAAAACTTACACGAACCTGTTCGTTGAAATGTGAAAAAGAAGTCTTTTTGACAAAAGATGCGATGAATGCTTTTTTTTGCCAATTATTCTCTTGATGTATTCTGAAATTGTGCAGCCTCCGAAGCCAGACCGGCCAATTGTTTTTAAGGTTGATTTACCGGTCATCAACGTCCGGTCGCAAAGTTCTGGTCGGGACTTTAGCGGAAGTGTCCGCTGATTCGCTGCTGTGAAACCGAGATCTGCGCCGAGAAGTCGGAATTTCCGGACAGTGGGGCACCTGGGCTCCACTTTAGCAGCACGGTAATGAGGTCGGACCACCACGGGTCTGACAAGCGGAATCATGGGACATCTTCGGCTATCATAGTATCATCAGGATGACGTGTTGCTATGGCGAAAGTGGCAGCTACTGATGCATGAATGGAATAGCTAAGGCAGTGAACGTCTGAATGTTCATCTTGCCATGGAAGATATGGAGCGACACTGAAACTTTGCATACTTGGTGGCGTGTGGCCTATTCGGGAATTTCCATATATCTCCGATCATTCGTGGTCGGATTACCTGCCGCCATAGCACTTTGATGAATTGAATACGCTCTTTTGAACCGATAGTCCATGTCCGGAGTCCATGCGGAAGTCTAAAGTACCACATGCTACGGTCGTTGTCATGGCGTAGCATTGCATTACTTGATCGCGTAGGTTAGTTTGACAACATAGCAAGGTTCACTGTTCGTAGCATGATGATTGTTGAAAAATCAAAGGCTTTCTACCCAACAAATGTGAAATAGGGGTTGATAGTTGATCGATATTCTCGTTTTGTGATTTTCCAAGAAACCTGCCGGTCCTGCCTTCATACCTTTGCCTGTATAGCTCTCCGTGGACTGCTGAATTTGAATGAGCCAGGCTGTAAGCGCTGGAAAACCCGGTTAGGATCGTACACGTTGGCGACCTCAGTCAAATACTTGATGTTGCCTTCGCCATAGCTATCCATCACAGGTTGCCACTGCGCCGAATAGTTCGCAAACAGGAAAGGGTGATACAGGTTTCTCTTCCTGGCTTCCTTCTCAACAAGTCCAATGATCTTCTGCAGTGTCTCCGTCACCTCGTTATCATACCGCGCTTCTGAAGTAACGAAGATTAACAGAAAGGAGACCAGAGGCCCATCAACACCTTCCAATCCGAACCTGTTTTCAGCAGGACTAGGTGTTTGGGGAATGGCGTGAAACTCCATTGTTGAATTGATGTATTGTGACTTAGGCCCAGCCTCCGTCACGAAAACATCATAAGCAAAATTGAGGAGGTCTTTGTCGAGTTTGAGAGTGAGGGTGGCAACAGCGGCACGAAAGCCAACACCATCTTGTAAACCGGCAATATTGTTTGCCAGCGCCGTATAATCTGTGAGTCCCAGCTCAGATTCGATTGTTGGAACTTTCCGAAGCTCTTCGAATATGGGCAGGTCAGCCTGGGGTTCCGTGTAGACCATGTATTGGATGAGCCGAAGCGGTCCCTCATCGTAGGTCGCGATGAAAATTGTGTGGCCTTTCGGGTTGGCGTTCTGCTTGCTCACAAATCCCTCGTAAGCAGCGATAGCTTGTCTGGCATGTACACTGTCAATCAGCGTGCGACCTCCCCACATGCCATTATAAGGATAAGCTTCCAGCTCGAAAGCTGTTATAATTCCAAAGTTGGAGCCGCCACCTCGTAGTGCACGGTAGAGATTGGGCTCGCTCTCCGCACTCGTGGTGACGACGCGGCCAGTAGCGAGCACGATCTCGAAAGAGCGTACATTGTCGATGCCCCAGCCGAGTCGTGCTGCGTAAAACGATATGCCGCCTGTGAACAGTTAATAACGAATAAAGCCAAGAAAAGGATCCTGGCAGTTGCATACCCCCAACTAAGTACCCGCCGACCCCAACGTTCGCAGATCTGCCGCCTACGACGATCAAGCCTTCCTTCTGTAACTTCTCATACACAGAACCCCAGGTGTTACCAGGACCGACCAGGACTGTGCCTTCACCCCTCTTGATCTCAAGCGTCTTGAGCTTCACCAAGTCAAATTGAATGCCTCCTTCAATGCTGGACTGCCCTGCGAAGTGGCCGTGACCGCCGCTCTTCACTCCGAAAGGAACTTGTCCTCTTGCGCAGAGAGTCACTGCTCGACCGAGCTGTTCCGCGGAATGTGGTTGAAAGAAACAACGGGGTTTCAAAGTCTTTTGGTACCCAGACCAGTAACTGTCTTGAAGAGCTTTGTACCGCGGGTGGTGCTCCTCAAACACTTGTTCTGGGAATTGCTCAAAGAGCCCAGAAACCTATTAGGACTTTAGTATGCCGCCGAGTGAAAGCTGAGTCTCTCCCGAGATGACCCACAATGTGATCTATGGCAACTGACAAAGGAGCATTGTCCATCGTCGGCGTCGATTGGGGGAGCATGTTAATTGTGTCCAACTTGGGGGGGCACTGCGCAAGAGTGTTGACTATTGTTGAATGCAAAAGCAGGACCGATTCGCTACTAAGTACTCGGGACAACTAAGTATAGATGAATAGAGACGGCGTGGCAACTCGGGAATAGCAGGAAGTGCGGGTCTTCGCAAGCCATTGAGTTCGGAATTTCAGCGCTGGATCCCTTCCGGCCATATGGCCGTTGGTGGCTACTAGATCGTCTTGACGGCTGCCTCTGCCTAATGAGCCATACGACAGCTGCTGACAACAAAACGGCGATAGCAATTAAGGAACAACCACTCAATATACTCATTGCAGGTTTCGGGTGCGTGAGACCGAAGCTGTCACTCCGCAGAGTCTGGAAGTCGCGTTCGGCGGGTCTTCGGCCAGAGAGCTACCGACAATGGTTAGATTGCCGCCCGCCCCTTGCAACCTGCATCCATGTTTCCCCGCAATGGAGTCAATTGATCGATCTGACTGGTCCATTATCTGGACTCCGTACGCTTCAGCATCGAAATTCCGAAATTGGTTCCGGAATCTCGAAAGTTGTGCTGCCAAGGACTAGACTGCCTGGAAGTGTCCGGACGATGTTTTTGCCCCCATCCGTGCCTCCGGCTTTAGTGTCCCGCTGTTGCAGTTCTGGGTTGATTGACTCGGGGTGCATGCTCGGACACGGAAGGATAGATTCTGCTACTGGATGGGACAAGTTTCAGCAACTGACTATATTCCGGTCATGTTTAATGCCGTAACCTACTTATCTAGTCAACAATAAGCGGGGCTCAACACCGGAGCGGCAGTCTAAGCTCCAACACAAGGAGACGAGACATACCCTCTTCATCCATTGCGTCCCAGCACAGAGCATTCGCACCAAAACGAACTTGTACGAGAATCTTGTCACTCTGAGTCCGTCAAACATGGGTTTCGACTACTGCACCGAGAACGAACAATACCTCACTCCACTTGTTGAAGGTCTGGTAGAAAACACTCATTACTATGGTACAGTCGACGCTTTTTCCACATCGAAACGTGCAATCACAGCTTACTTCGCTGACAGGTCGTGTTCTTGGTACAAGTCCGGCGGAGCAAGACAAGGATGTCCAACTCTTTGCTGGCTTTCTGCGCGTCATCCCAGGCAAGGTTGACTATTACGGGCCCACGGACCACGAGGAGTCTGGCATTGTCGTGAAAGGTAAGCATAGATAGGCCCAGAAACCTACCTGTACTCTACTGACACTACCAGGCGAGCTCGACTTGGAAGACGAGAATGGGAAAAAGGTTACTCTGCATCAAGGAGAGGCATTCTTTATCCGGAGACAAAGTCAGATCATTTTCTCTACCAAGAGATTCGCCCTTGTGTTCAAATGTAGCTCGTATGCTGCTGGGCTTGGGAAGTCGAAAGAGATGATCGAGAAGTAGTAGAACCCAAAGCGTATTGATCGCAAGGAATTGAAACTCACGTCACACCACTCATAAATGCGTCAGCTGTGTTTGTAGCTTCTGTATATTCCTAGCGTAGCATCGTCTATATATCGCGACAGCGCGTACGTTGGAGAGCTTTAAGATTACCCTGGGGTAGAAGTTGTTGAAATGACTTTGCGCTTCAACAGTGGTGGTGTGGTACTGTGAGTCGAAAATGCTGGAGCTTCATTGTATCTTATGGAGAACTGAATGTTAGCAAAAGAAGCGCGTGTGGCGCATAAACAACTGTCGACAGTATCATATCTAGTCAGATCTAAACTAACATGTATCCGACGCGAGATGATCTTGACTGGCCGTTGAACAAGGAGGTCAGCCAGGCTACAACGTCCACTTGCTGCAGTAGCTGAGATTGAGCAGTTGACATCAGTTTCTGGCCATACCACGATAAGTACATTTCAATAGACTTGTGAAGTTTTAAGAACTAACATTCTCAACGGTCGACAGCCCCGCCACTGGTAAAAGGATCTATTTTACTCCTAGCTACGCCCTGGTCACACACTTCCTTCCCATTATTCACCGCTTGAACTGAATATACTGCCTCCAATTGGCAGCCTACCCGGGTAGCTCATGCGTATCTTCTCCAAACATACAGCACTAAGACTTGGAGATCAATTGAGACTTGTGCATCCGTACAAACTCTTGTACGGCGTTGGCGTAGTTGTCTATGTGCGCTTCCTTGGCGCAGAGGGTGAGTGGTGTGTAGCCTCGTACAGCAATATGGATGTTTTTGGTGAGCATGTGATGGTAGTATAGCGCTTGCCACTTGGCAGCATCGGGTCCCGAGAAACGCACATTGAGCATGCTCCCTCGCGCAGTGATGAACATAGGTGGGAGGTGTTCCAGCTGAGATTTTGAATCCTCGTCGACCTGTACAGTGACATCGCCTTGCAAGCTGTCGATCTCGATAAGGTTTGATGAAGCTCTTTTGATCGTGTCGGGATATAAGCCCTCATCGATCAAGATTTGTTGGACTTTGGTCTTCAGATCCTCGCCAAGCTTATTCAAGCGATCGACCTCGCCGGCATTGTAGATATCCAGGCCAACAAGTCCCGCGTGCATCGTGAGAACGTTGTTGTTGTAGGTACCAGGATGAAACAACATATTTTTGGAGGGGTCGAAAAGCTCCATGATGTCTCTGCGGCCTCCGAAAGCTCCGAAGGTCATGCCACCGCCAATGTATTTGCCGAGCGTCACGATATCCCCGCGCACGCCCTGAGAGGCACTATATCCGGAATAATCCAGTCGCGAAGACATGACCTCGTCGAAGACTAGGATAGCACCCGTATTGTCGGCCACGCCACGAAGGTAGTGTAAAAATTCCTTGGTTGCGGCTCTGCAGCCACCAGATCCTTGGATGGGTTCCACCAGAATCGCCGCGAGGGAGGCCTTTGGGAGGCCTTCCAAAATAGCCTTTGTCTCCGGGATGTTGTTATAGGGAGCGTGCACAAACTCGTGTGGTAAGTTCATGCAAGGCGCGGTTGATCCCTTCATCAGAGCCATCGGGAATACAAGTGTGCTGCCATGGTATCCGCCACTGAAGACTAGAATCTTTCGTCTTTTGGTAATGGCCAACGCTGCCCCCAAAGCCGTAGTGTTTGCTTCGGTGCCAGAGTTGGTGAACCGAACGAGCTCGATACCTGCTGGACCGAATCGTTCGCAAACCTTTTGAGCAAACTCTTTCTCGGTTTGGGAGTTCCCGCCATAGTTCCACCCTTTTGACAGCGCAACCTGTACAGCTTCTGCGATTCTTGGCTCGGAGTGACCGAAGATTCCTGCACTGAACTCGCCCAGAAGGTCGATATATGTGTCGCCGTCGATAGATGTGAGGGTACCAGACGTTGCCGAGGCCCATGTCATTGGGAACGGGTCCACATGAAGAACTGTCCTGGTATTACCGCCTGGCAAGTGGGAGTGGGCATCTTGATGCGCCTTTAAAGAGCGTGGATTACGTGTCGAATACTCTCTACGTGCGCCTTCGAGAGCATGGTCAAGGTAGCCTGATGTTGCCATCTTGTCGTATGCTTTTACGCAGGATTCGTTCTTGATGGCCTTGCTGGTGTAAATCCGGGTCTCGTGTAGTGATAAGGTCGGCAAGGCTGTGCAGTCAACGAACATATATGAGTAGTCCGTTTGTGGACGACACTTGTGTCCGCTGTTAACTACCGAGACAATACTGCCTCTTTGGAGCCCCGATTCTAATCGCATATCTTGCCGGCCATGGGCTTTCACTAAACAGCATCGGGTTAGTTTTCCGGAATTTCCGAGAGAACCCTGATTTCTCGGGGTGGGGAAACCCCGCAAAGTCTCCGTAACGTATCGTAGTATCGTAGTCCTGCCGCACTGGTGTCGTTTGGAGGGTCGGCGCTGAGGGCACTTGGTCAGCGTGGCGCTCCTGAGGGCCCTGCGTGACGTTGGATGGCTGGGAAACCCAGAGTCTACCCGCATACATCTGTACGTGAAGGCACCACCCACAGTCACTGCAATCAGAGAAGAGTGTGAAGGAGTAGGTAATAATGCAATGCGATTAATTTGTCCTATCGAGATGTGCTAGGAAGAGTGGTGTTGCGGCGCCGCGATGTGATCCTTAGCGGAGGTGATTGTTCGGCTTCTGGGATTGCAACCCATGAGGCGAGAGTTGTATACAGTGTTAGTGCGCTAGAGATAGGCTAGGAGGCTACGTTGCCTTGGGATATTGTATTGTTTTGGGTTTTAGACTTATGTAGGCTGCACGCCTGTTTGGTATGTTGCTTCTATCAAGTAAAGTGACAGATGTCAAGCGACTCCAACATGCAAACATAAGGGTGAATATAGAACGCATCTTGGAAAATCCTGTCATAGTGGCTACAGTACGATCTTTTATAGCTCATAGTCTTCTACAGATATCCATTCGTCGTGTATACCGTACAGTCATCCCATCGTGATATGAAGCCTCCCTCCCAGGACGTTCCTACACCTTCGGCACAGCATCTCCTACACTGCCCATGTCCATACTCAACGCGTCTCTACACGCGCCACCCTCACACACCATAACACCTTCACTCGCTTTGTCCATACTCTTGACAAGCGCATTCCGCTTACTCAACCACTCACCCATGCCCTTCCCTACTCTACTAACAGTACCAAGACCAGCCGGTCGCTCCCGATACCTCTGCAGCCACTCGTCAACTCTCTGCCCCTCACCCGTGATAACGCTATGTCTAATGCCAAGTTTACCAACAACGACTGCGTCCATCATGCTCGGGAAGAGGAAGGGGTGTTGCATAATCTCCGCTTCGAAAGCGGACGCCGTGTCCCGTGCTTTCTTGGTGTACTCCTCGTCTTCTAGCAGCGCACCCAGACGGTCTAGGTTCTGGGCTGAGACGCCGTTTGTGCCTGGTTCGGCGTTGTCCATGCCGTCTTTCAGCCGCATGATGAGGTCTTGTTGGTCTTCGGGCGTCGAGAAGAATCCGAGGTGTTGTTTGTCCCAGAACATTTTTATTTGCGTTTGTTGGAGGTCGTCCGCCCATGAAAGGTAGTTGTCGTTGAAGGTGGCTTCGTAGAGGGAGATTAGGCCAGATATCAGGTAGGCGTAGTCGTCGGCGAAACCGGGGGCGTCGCCGCGGCCTTCGCGGTAGACGCGGATGAGGGTTTTGGTGTCGGGGCTGTAGAGCTCTTTTTGCAGAAAAGCAGCTGCTTTCTCGGCCGCCGCGAGGTATTCTTTTGACCGCGTGGGGTCTTGCAATGAGAGCGCTGCGGATGTTCGTGCGAGGGCACCAATGGCGAGACCATTCCAAGATACTACAATCTTGTCGTCTAGCCCAGGCCGCGGGCGCTCCTTGTTGCGGTGCTCAAGCAGTTTTTGCCGGCCCTCGGTTAGTATCTTGCTGACCTCGTCCTCTGACAGACCAAACTGTTTTGATAAGTCTGCTGGTGTTGCGGTGATGGCTAGTACGTTCTGGTTAATGAGCTCATCATGCGCATCATGTTCGGGCTCAACATTGCCCTCATCCTTAACATTGTAGTATCTTGCAAGAATCTCTGCGTCTCGGTCGCCTAGTATGTCTTGGAACTCCTTCAACGTCCATACGTAGAAGGCACCCTCTCGCTTCTCCTTGTCATTCGGCCGGTATAACGAATCAGCATCCTCGGAAGAGAAGAAGCCTCCACTTTCAGCGTGCATCGGCGGGCTGGTAAGATACGTCGCGATGTCGTGGACCGCGGATAGATGTTCGGGGCTTTTCGTCATGAGATACGCGTCCAGGTATACAGGTAGGAGTTGCGTCTGATCGTACAGCATCTTCTCAAAATGCGGTAGGCTCCAATCCTTCGTGACAGAGTATCGCGCAAAGCCGTTGCCGATCTGGTCGTGTATGCCACCCTTGTTCATTGCGTCCAGTGTTGCCATCACCATATCTTTGGCGTGTGTGCAGTCCTTTGCTCCGAGCACTTCCCTGACCGCATTCGGATACTCTGATAGTTTGAGGAGGAATTGGAGGTTCGAGGGTGTTGGGAACTTGGGTGCGCTTCCAAAGCCTGCGTGCTTCGCGTCGTATCGTTTCTTGAAGTGCTGTCACCAATTAGTCACCGGCTTCATACCAAGCGCTGCTAACTCACCTCATATGCCTCATCCAGAAGGTCCAGATCCAGACCTTCATGAGCCGCGCCGTCTTTCCTGCTGATGTTTCCGTCCTCCGCAAAGTCTCGCAGCTGCGCTGTGATTTCCTTCGCCGACTCCAGGCACCTCTGCCGCTGATCCCTCCACACATCGCGAATCTTCTTGATTATGCCAACAAAGCCAATGTGCTCCCCCATGGCCATCGTGGACCCTGGACCGGGCCAATACGTCCCACCGAAGATCGGTTCTAGATCTGGCGTGATGAAGACGTTCAGCGGCCATCCTCCCGAGCCCGTTGTTGCCTGAACATAGTTCATGTATATCCGATCGACATCTGGCCGCTCTTCGCGATCGATCTTTATGGGTATGAAGTTCTCGTTCAGCAGCTTTGCGACCTCTTCATTCTCGAACGACTCGCGCTCCATGACGTGACACCAATGACATGCAGCGTAGCCTATGCTGATGAATATCAGCCTATTCGACTTCTTCGCCAGCTCAATTGCCTCTGGTCCCCACATCTGCCATGCGACCGGGTTGTTCATGTGGCCTCGGACGTAGGGGCTGCGGCTCTCGTTCAGGCGGTTCTTGAGCTTCAAGTCATCGCCTGCGGTGGCGGAACCAGCGGAAGAACTATGCGCATCCATTCTCAGGATAGATGTACGGAAGTCGCGCTGTTGCGCTCGCGATGTGGATGATGGGGTTGCAGTAGCTGGAGCTTGTATACGGCGGCGTGGCGCGGTCGCGATGGGGGTGCGGGCAGATCGACAGGAGCCTCGAAAATTGAATCTCACGGCAGGCATACAGCAAAAAAAGAGTTATGGTGAAATCTGGTGGCGCGCGGCTCCGAGGCTACTGGACGTTATCAATCATGCGAAGTAGCTCCGCGCCCCTGCCGGATTGCCCCGCATCCCGCCAACGACGTAATCTCTAGAACCCTGAGTGGCTGGAGATCGGCGCGGAGATTTGGATTTCTGCAATCTGCATCCCTTCTGACCTGCATCAACTTAAAGAGTGGTACACGGGTACATCACGCCAACGTAAGCCTCAGTGTCATGACGTGCGTTGTACGCCATTTCTAGAAGCTTCCATTCGCACTGCTCTGGTAGAGAAGCTCTTGCGGAAAGCTTATCAACGAAGCTCGATAGACACATATCATCTGTCCTAGACAGAGTCTGATGATTGCAGTCCCTCGCATTTGAGGATTGTGTCGTAGACAACTGCATAGCTTATAATGGCCACATCTGGAGAGGTGTCACGGTGACAGCAGCGTGGACTCACGCATGTTATGTCCGTTCTGGGATTCGATGTCACACACCATCGTGACTTGATTGCAAATAACAAAGTGACAAAGGGTCAAGATGATGTCTTTGGGGTTCGCACATGGTACAAGTGCTGAACCTGGGCCTGAAGCAAGTACGCTTTTCTGTTCAAGAAGATGATGTCACAACCGAGGTGGTCCATCCTTCCTGCGTAACGAGCTCGAGAGTGGTTTGCAGTGTCCAGCTATAAAATCACCTAGTGAGAAGTAATTGCGACCCGTAATGCGGTCTAAGATGCCGCATCTGCCTTGGAGCTGGTTGCAAACCTGAGTAGTCCGTGTAATAAAGAGGTAGTCGAGTACGAAAGGTATATCGGGATTAACTGGAGCATCCATCGATAGGCCAACTTGAGTTGAGATGAGCGAAGGTGTAATGGACGCAAGCGTCTCGACTGCGTTGCTGCAACTGCTTACTGAGACGCTATCGACAGTTATGCCATCCGAAAGCAGAAGTGACTCTTAGTACTGCCAAGGAATGACCTTCACCACTTTCATGCGCAGTCACCCACTTGTAACCACCTGAGCAATGGCCAGCAGGATCCGACTGCCACCAATGGCATCGCCTCTGTTACAAATACCCTCGTCTTCTCGCGATAAGAGTGATAGTGGCTTCCCAGGTGCGCTCGGGTTGTCTATTACTTTGTGGTAATCGCTCCTGCCTCACCGTAGCTACTCTCGGCTAATCCGATATTGATAAACAATCAACAGCTCCCTCCCTCCGTCCCTCCGTCCCTCTCCCACACTATGACTTGACTTTACCACCCCACACTCCTTCATCTGTCGTTCCCTTCATTTCCTCCTTCCACAGCTTGTCTGACAGGATACACTCCCTTTACCCGTCGTGCAACTACACTCACTTCTTTATCCCAGTCGTGCCAGTCGTACTTCAGCACCTCACAGCTCCCAGGAAACTCGCAACTAGGTAAGCCAAGTCCTCTTCACTCTGACCATCTCTAACATGACAAGCAGTCTTTCTATCTTCTCCTTACGGTGATACGGTTTCGCCACTGCTAAATACTACTACGAACTTGAGCTCTTCCATCCACCACAAGATGCGTCACTTCATCCTTGTCGCTTCAGCTCTGGCCGCTAGTGTCTTCGCTCGTCCGCACATCCATGCAAGGCAGCTGGGAGTTGTCTATGAGACTAAAATGATCATACAGACAGTCGTCGTCACGGTTACTCGAGGCTACACTCTACCTACATCCACCTCTTCGGCGCTATCCGCTACCGATAGCCCCAAGGACACTCCAACCCCGGAGCCGAAGCCCCAGCCTGTGCCTAAGCCTGAGCCCTTGACTTCCAAGGTTCCTGATACTCCCTTTATGTCACAAGCGCCTATGCCCAGCTACAGTCCTACGCCCAAGCCTGCCGATCCAGTTCAAAAACATCCATCGGGCAAAGACCAGGCCTACCTCTCTTCTGGACCCGAATATCAAGCTGCTATACTGTTCCATCACAACGCCGCTCGTGCGAATCACGATGCAGCTCCACTGATCTGGGACTTCGCCTGCGAGGAAAATGCGCGTATTGCTGCTAGCAGGTGCGACTTCGAGCACTTCACCCCGCAGGGCGCCGGCCAAGGTCAAAACTTGTTTGTTGTTTCTGGTGACGCGTTCAACGTTACGGCGGGCATATCGGAGACCTGGTACCATGGCGAGCTTCCTCATATGACACCTTGGTTTGGCAAGAGTGACCTACCTCATGAGGTCTTCGAGAAGGTCGGTCATCTTACACAAATGGTGTGGAAGGACACTACCAAGGTCGGATGCGTCTCTCTTGACTGTGGTGGGGCCATGACTGTCAACGGCATAGGTTCGGCCATGAACAAGTACACCGTCTGCAATTACGCTCCGTCGGGTAACTATAAAGGCCAGTACGGAGCGAAAGTCGCGCCTCCCGTCCCCTCCGCTAATATCGTCGGCTGGGCGGACTAGTCGTCACTCAAGTGGGAACGTCCTTTTTCTTTTCGATAATTCCGATGATGTGGGCTACTGTACAATACCATGAACAACCAGCATCTAAGTAGTTCCAAATGCAGTTTACGTCGATTCAATATTCATGTCGTTGCCTCAAAGTTCTCATGATGCGTGGAGCTGAAACTCGTTTGTGACCGACCCATTGGTGTTCTTCCGTGTCGCTTCAACATTACACAACGTTGGTGCAAAGATCTCGCAGACGTGATAGATGTGGCAACGGCAAAGTTACGAGAGAGTGGACCCTTTCGACAGGCGCTGACAACGTTGTGGGCGAACCTCGGCCGCTAGCGACGCGTCGCGCTTGCCAACCTCTTTCATTGACTGTGGCATGCTTGCTATGCTACAATATGCGGTCTTAAGAAGCTTCCCTGATGCCCTTATTTTCGAAGCGCTACAAACTACAAACAACGAACATGAGTTCTCCACAAGAAGATGACTTCCCAAACATCAAGTGAGGCATCCGTAAAGAATCCCAGGCGTAACGCATACTCAAATCATCCCTACAACTGTAATGCCTCAAGCACTATCTGCCAATCCAATCCACTCTTTGTATTCTCCGGCATTAGCAGCCCCAACGAATGTCTGCCCGCATAGTTAGTATAGTTCATACGTCGTAGGGACATAAGCTTACAGTTTGCAAACAGCTTATGCGAATCTGCGTTGTTCAGCGCCTTCCTGGATGACAGCTCAACGGAAGGCCAGTACTCATAAGCCCAATCTAACGTAGAAGGGTTATAAACCTCTGAAGCATGCGTCATCTCGTGCAGAAGTATGTTACCCTGATCCTTAGCTAGACAGTTCCCTTCCACTACTGGCGGCTTGTTCCAGTAACTATCACAGAACGTAATGCCGAAGCCCCTTGCGCCGTAGTATGCAAGTAGGCTGCCTTTACAGTGATTGAGACGGTCTTGACAATAGATATTCAAGCTTGGCTTAGCGCATTCCCGTGCTACTGCGCTGAATCGGGCAGAAAGCTCATTTCTCGTAGCTGATGATGACGAGTGGAAGAAGGTTTCGAGCCGGGGGTGTCCATCTCGAGCTGCAGCTGCAGCTCCCGATGCCAGCTCTTGGCAGTTCGATTGTGCCTTGGCAAGATCTCTAAGCATAGAAGCTGTGAAGCCTACGTCAGCGTTTGTGCGAGTCTGTAGTGGAGAGGAGTACGCACTTTCGCAATCGTGGGGATTATCTGCACGTTCGGCTACTGACTTGTGATTAGCGGCTTCAGTACCGTTAACGGTAATGATGAGCTTATTGGAGTTGTATTCTAGGTGACCAACAAGCTCGGTCGAGTTAGTGTTGGCGTAGTGCAGTATGCCGTTTGCAAACACATCAAAGCTTCCGCCATTGCTGAGATCGTGTAGAGAAGCAGCTTCAATTGTAAACTCTTTCTTGTCTCCAGCTCCCAGAACAAGGAAGTCATGCGTGGATAGGTTATCGGCATCGAGGTGGACTTTTCTGATGCCCTCGAAAGGAACCTTGGTAGCTAAGTGTAGGTCAGCAATTGCTTGTCTTCAGTCGTGTTAGATGTAAAAGGTTTAATCGCAACTCACAACTGTTGTTGGCGAACATCGAGATGCGCTCGACGGGTAGCTTGTCATCGAAGAGGGTGCCTGTGCTGAGAAGATTCAAAGCCATATCGCCGTTGTTCGCCACTACAACCTTGACGGCGGAGTTACCCGCAGCAGTGAGTTGAACGCTAAGAGGTTCATCTCTTTTTAATAAGTCGACTGGAGCGGCGTAAGCGTACAATGCCCAGGCAGCCAGGTATAGACTGCTGCAGAGCTTCATTTTCGAAGAGAAAGCCGGTGGATAAGTTGAGACAATACTTTGAGTGAACTGATCGCATTTTTACGCTCGAGAGCGGGCTGTCTTATAGCATTCATGAGTCTGCAATCATGCACTAGTATTAGCGAGGGACGGATTAGTACCTTGGTTGTGATTTCTGGAAATCCTCTGAAACCAAACTTGAAGCTTACCTGCTCTCATGACAATCATTGTTTGCGAGTACCGACTAGGTTCTTCAGTACAATATGGGTTTTAGAGAATGTGAGTGGTTCGTTGTCTCGTGGTTATTGCAGTGCCGTGGAACGGAACCGAGGTCGAGAAACGATCGAATCGCAGGCATAAGATTAACACGCGACACACTGGTAGGGTGCTTTACAGTTGCTCTTGCGGTACTAGCCACTTTCGCAGCCCGAAAATTGAGCCTTAACGCTGGGGCATCTCACCCTCCGCGTTGGGTACGGTCGGCTGACTATCCGGGTGCGTGCCACTAGGGGTAGCTGGAATTCGTGGCACATCATGCTGTATACACACTACTAAACCTTGACACGTCAACAATCTCTGGTACAATGTATACTTCCACGTCGAAGGATGCTTTTCTTGAACGCAACTCGAAACGCAGCTAGCCCTGGTAGTGCCACGTTTAGTTGGAGGTAGAATGTTCATTTGGTAGGTCTGGAGGCTGGAGGCTACGAAGGCGCTCAAAGAAAGGACGAAGAGGCTAGTGTGTGATGGGACTGCTAGTATGAGCCGAGAACGTCATCTTTAGGTGGCGCGCTACCAGATAACTGGTCAAGGAGTGAAAATGTTTCGATACACTGTCAAAGCACTGTTCATGCTAGCAGAAGGCGTAGTCTACAGAAGCGATAAGAGACTGAAATGAATTCGATCGCTAAGCTGTATTGACTGCATACATAAAGAAAGAAGCTACTCGAGCCACTATAACATCAAACCAGCTCCATAGACTCAAAATCCTCCACGAGTATACATTGTCTCTCCTGCTCCTCAAATTTGTCTAAATTCTCGTCTGTAGTCGCCACGCTGTCATCTGCCAAATCCAGAACTTCCTGCTCCTCCGCTTTCATTCCCTTTTCACGCAACAACCTCCTTGTCTCCTTCTCGATCTGCCTGATCTCCCTCTCTGCCGCATCCATCACCCTCCTCGCCTTCATCTTCTCCTTCCTCTCCCTCCTCCTCTGGTCAATAGCCTGCCTGGCCTGAACTCTCAGGTCACGACTCAACTCACGCCGCGGTACAACGCGCACATCCTTGAACGCAGCGGGAAACCAACCACGCACGAAGTCCTCTCTCACGCTCTCGGTCGCGAGCATACTGTCCAGTCTCACCGCCGGAAAACTGACGGCGCGGTCGAGTAACTCCGGCAGGTGTTCAGCTAAAGCAAGCTTCTTGAACCGCTGCGAGCAGCGACGAACACGCTGCTGAGATTCTATCCTGGGGAGAGCAGGGAACCAGTGAAACTCCACTTCCACCTTCTTCTCAGCTAGTTGTTTGTTGAGATGGGGTATGTCGTCGACAAGCCATCTGTCACGGATTAGACCGAATGAGTGGCCCATCTTCATACTCTTGAGAACGCTTTGCGCATTTGAGAAGATGAGTACGCGATCGATTTGCTCAGTTATCGTGGGAGATGCGGCGACGCGGAGCGCTTCGCCGATGGATGATAGGGTGGCTTCTTTTGCGTTGGTGTAGTGTGCGATGGTGGCTTGGCCGGTCCAGACGGAAGTTGTACGTGAGTTGTAGCCGACTACTATGGCGCAGGGTTGGTTGCGCAGGTCAGCTCTGATGGTGCTGTTGATCCAGATCGCAAGTGTGCGGTCTGGCGGTTGGGAATACATCGTTCGTGCGAAGGCTGTGGCTTGTGCTTTGGGCTCATTTTGAATTGATGTTGCGTAGGTATGTTTGTCATCGCATCGAGATTTTGAGGTGAATTGAAAGAGGAAGGTGGTGCCGGGGTTGGCTGCAGGAGCTGGGGATGTCATGTCGGCGTCCATGGCTCTGACCTTTCCCAATGTGTTGCTTTAATGAGGTACCAACGGCGGTGTTTGACGACAGGATCTTTGCAGAAGTTGCGAAGATGGTATGTCGGAAGCTCTACGAAGGCGGTTACTACTCAAGTAGCTAGTGATAGAAGCGGAAGGTGCCACTTACACTCGCATGACTGGACCCTGGCTTACGATCTTAGTTGCTGTGGGCCTACAGTACTTTAAATAGAACTTCTACATCACCGACAGCCAGCACCAGAGCATTCACTCTCTATTTGAGTTGTACTAATCGTGGGTGGCTAGATAGCTAGTTATTTGTGGATCGTCGCAGAACCAATGGTTGACGAGCAGAGTACCTGGGTAATACCCTCCAGTGCACTGCAAACATGCGAATCAAGAGCAAGTTTAGTATACGTTGTGCCGAAAGTTCGCCTTGCGCATATTCGATGCAACTGCTAAGCTCGATCGGTATACAGTGAACTTCCATTAGGCAATTCGAGTTCAAAGCAGATGTGGGTAATCTCCAACAACACTGCATCTTCCATACCGCTAACCAATACTTGGACTCACAATCAACATAGAAGCGTGCACAGATCCATGTAAATCACATTTACCATTCTATCGTGAACATTTGACGTTTGTAGTAGCCTACATCTCATCATGCTGCACAATCACTGCCGCCCTCGCTCTTCGTGCCACAGGAACATCACAGCGAGCATAAAATCACACAATCCTTTATTTATCCTCTGCTATCTTCCTCAATCGCGTTCCTGTCACAACTATGGACTTGAATCAGCCCACAAGTGAAGAACAGTCAAGAAGTCCTCATATGCATATATACCTGCCATATTCGTCCCCCAGACTTTGCCTGCATGAACACTACATGATAGGAGCCTTTGATAGATATGTTCATACTACATTTACCACTTTCAAGTTAAACACATCATCAGCGCCACCCAACAAGCCTCTTCGATACTTCATAGCAGACCTCAACAGGGCTGAAACCCAACATAACCACATCCACATCCACAACCAAGTCTCTCCACCTCACGCTCCAAACATGTGCCAAATGGTCCTAGACATCTGCCCCACGTGCAAGTTGTGCGGCTCAAAACACGGGCCCTACTTAAAATCAAAGCGATGGCACGAGCCATGCGGAAACGCAGCAACGGCGGGACCCTGCACATTTGCCCCTAACATGGACAGGCAGGGTAACAGGGTATGCAGACACTGCATCTTCTTGGGTACTCAGAAGAAGAAGAACGAAGATCGGAAGAAGAAAGACGACGACAAGAAGAAGGACAAGGATAAGAAGGCGCAGGCTAAGGTGGACAAGGCGGCAAGGATGAAGAATTTCAAGTCGAACAATAAGGCGGAGGGAGATGCTATCAAGAGTTTCAATGGATACTGAGGAGGAAGGGAGTGGAGGGAGGCAGGAGGGAGGAAATTTGGACAGGTCTTTGCGGGTTCAAAGCGCTGTTACGGAGAGCGTGTGAGGAGTGTGTATCGGCGTATTTTTGGACAACGTGCATGTATGCGATCAGCAGGGGACAAGTATTGTATAACTGAAGAGCAGTAATAACTGGTTGTTATTCGTGGTATGGATTGTTTTATCAATGTCACAGACTGAGTAGATAGCGGATGGGTGGCAGAACTGTTGTGTATGATAGATGAGTAATAAGAAAAGCATGTTGAGCAATCGTAATTCCTATCGATTGGGTAAAGCAAGCACATATCAGCAGTCATTCTTACTATCCTCTCATCGTCACACTGCACCAGAGTAAGAACAGCAGGCCAGAAGTTCAATGTCAACAACATCGTAGATCAAGGAAAAGTGAACTGAGTCTTCGTAATCTTCATTGCATGTCATAGCACGTATGCCTTCAGGCCCTTTCTTTAGACCACACCCCAGGTATACCCAGCTTTTGACTCCCGCTTCACATCGCCACGATGGAGATCTACAAATACAAAGCGGAGCAAGTTCAGATAAGATGCCGCCCCAGAAAACGCAAAAGAGTCGTGCCCATAGGGCTTGGGGAGGGATTGAAAGACACAAAAGACGCTTGCCGTGCTGAAAGCTATGCACAAGGCTGCAGAGATGGACGGAAAGGAAATGCTAATAGAGCGCGACGCCACCAAGGCTGAGGTATGAGTTTGGGTTGGCAGGTCCTCCCGCCCACTAGGCGGCAGGCTGGGCACCAAACTCAGCGCCACCGCGACCTCTGGGTGCACCACGGCCGCGGTAGCCGAAGCCCCGACCACGTCCGCGACCACGGCCACGTCCTCGACCACCCCGGTAGCCATCGACGCTACCCTGGCCAAAGGTCTCCATGTTCTTCTGGCGCTCCTGGCTCCTGAACTCTTGACCACGGGTGGCCGCCTCTTCTCTGTCCTTCAGCTCGCTCGAGATGTTGTCGAAGAAGGAGCTCTTGTCGTACATAGATCCACCAGGGATGACGACCTCTTCCTTCTCCGTTGAAGCCTCGCCAGCGGGGACTGCCGGGGCATCGCCCATCGGCGATCCAGACGCGATGGCTTCCTTGACCAAGTCTTGCTTGTTGAACTTTGCGTTGGACGACTCAAAGTCAAAGTCTGTTGTGGGCACTTCCATTTTGGGGTGTTGAGGATGAGCACCACCTCGTCCTCCCCTTCCGCCTCGACCACGGAACTCTCCTGTTCCTCGTTGACGAGGCTGGTGTTGACGGCTTTGCTGTTCGCGCATGCCTTGTACCTGCTGTGCCAAGTTGTTCATGGGGTCTGAGACAGGGGGTTGGCCCTGCGGTTGACCTGATGCCTGGCCCTTGTTCTGGAGGTTGAGCTTAGCCATGGCCTCAGCGACAGCGGCGGTTGCTAATTGAGTAGCATTTTGTTGCTGGGCAGCGGTGGGCATTTGCGCAGGAGCAGCAGAGGGGCCGGCACCTTGTTGTGCTTGAGGCGCCGCCTTCGTCGCCCTTGGGCTTGGGATCGGCACAGCGGGGATGATTCGACCACCCTTGGGTCCGCTAGGTGCACCCTTCGCCGGTGGTTGACCGTTCTGGGGATGGGGTGGTGCCAACGCAGCCGATACGTCAGGCTTCGAGTCGACTGGTGGGGGAGGAGCCTGCTTGCCTGCTGCAGCTGGTGATGCCTTTGCGCCGTTCTTAGGTTGTGGCTTGGATGATGCACCGTCTGCCTCTGCTACCTTCGGTTGCTGGACCTGACCTGGCTTCTCATCCTTGCCTGCTTGGGGACCCTGAGGGCCCCGTGGGCCTTGTGGAGGCTGGTTCTGGTTCAAGCCGGGAGGGCCAATGGGCATATTAGGCGAGAAAGGACCAGGTGGCTGCTGGAAGCCGTGACCAGGAGGGAACCAGCCAGGAGGCGCTCCAAACGGAGGCGGTGGCATGCCGAATGCGCCCGGTGGGCCTCCCGGGCCTGGGAAAGGACCTGGACCACCAGGGAAACCACCTGGAGGACCGAATCGGTTTCCATATGCACCACCAGGGCCGCCAGGGCCACCGAACGGAGGGTATCCACCAGGCGGGAATTGACCTGGTGGAGGAAAGTTCGGCGGTGGTTGCTGACGACCGGCGAGATCTTGTGGGCTGCCCTCTTGCCGCGACTGGGGTTGTTGTACCTGTGGCGCATGCGTCGCGTCAGCTTGGCTTCTAAAAGTATCGAGGAGAAGCAGGTTGGGTATAAGGATCTCAGAAGGAAGGCAACGGAAAATATCCACACGGTTTTGCGCTCTCGGTGGTTTAAATGATTTACATCCGAAAATTTTACATCATCGAAAAAGAAAAGAAAAGGTAGTTGTGTAAACTTACTCCGATAATGGCTGGGTCCTGCGGCATGGCAGGCTGAGCCTTCTCCTTGACAGGCTCTTCAATGCGCAGATCCTTCACGTCGCTGCCCCGGAAGACAATTTGCTCGTATACGACGTCTGACGGTGGATATTCGTCTTTGCCGCCCTTGCGGCCCTCTGTACCGAAGGAGCGCACATTGTCTAATGAGACTGTGGAGGCTTCTGAGTTGATCTCGACGAGGGTACCGACATAGCTAGGAGGTGTCAGTCGCGTCGCGCAATGCGTCTGCGCGGTGAAGAACTTACCGGATGTCACTCTTGGAGATGAGAGAAATGCGAGATCTACGCGTCCGACGTCAGCTGGAGCTCCAGCTCGAATTGGAGAGCTGCGACTAACCCGATGAACTCGGACATGGCTGTGTAACGTGGGTATCAAAACGGGAATCGAAGGAACTGAAGCTCAATGAACAAGAAAAGAAGGCGGGAAAGTGGTTGGGAAGGGGTGAAGTGGTTGGTTGAGGAGTGAGGGGTGAGAGAAGGTTGGAGAGCTCCGTGGTCGTGGGCTGAAGCTGCAGAAACTTGGCGCACGTTTAGCGAGGCGTAGTCTGGAAGCTTGGAGCCTCGTTCATCCACCTGGCACCTCGGGCTACCTTTACCCCACATGTACTACATTTGACTCTTCGTCGGGTTGCGACGCTGCACCCATGCTTTGTCACAGCCGATGAATCTGTGCGTCGTCAGGCCCTTGTGGTCGTGAATTACATCACCTTCTCTAATTTACTTGGGCTTCTCTGATAGCCCTACTCCTCGCGATGAGCGTTACCGACGATGGGCTAAACGACATCTACGAGGCCCTGGATCGCTACAACTGGGACGATGACATCGAGTTCCAGGCCGGTCTGCAGGCCATCATTGGCAGCAATAGCACACCGGAACAGACGACCGAGCTAGCGTTACGGGCGCGTTGTTTCTACTATGCGAGGTACGATCGATACTCGAGACAGGCTTATGCTTCAAGGGGGTCAATTACTAATACTCCGCAGGAAGTACAACAAGAACATCGACTTCAACGCCTACAAAGCCTACCGTAGCGCACGCAACCGCCCGCCTCCAACCCCACCCACACCCCACAACGTCCTCGCCTCATCCGTCGTAGACGAGATGCTTCCAGCCGGCACTACACCAAACGCATCTACAACAAGTCTACCCATGACGAGCGACCTCCCTCCAAGCAGCGAGCCAGGAGGTATCATGCCCCCGCCAACAACCACAGCTGAACCACCCGCGCCGTACCCCACATCATTCGCCCACATCGTCGAGCTGATCACAAGCGGAAAGCCCGTACCAGGCATCAAGGAGATCCCGCCTACAGTACTAGAAGGCCAAGGCACAGAAGCTAGTAAACCGAAGAGGAAGAAGCCGTGGGAGAAGGACGAGGCGTGATGTCCCCCCATCCTATAAAATATAGATTCCAATATCGACTGACAAGTAGACGGGCGTGGCTCCGTAGTTGCATAACGGAAATTGAAACGTTCCATCTATGCTCAAAATGCTTGCTTGGTCATGGTGCTAACTCTTCTGCTTGGTTCTCTCAGTCGCTTCCTTAGCTTTCGCAGCCTTGGCAGCGGAAGAAGCGACTGAGAGAATGCCCAAGCAGAAGTCTTACCATGACCAAACAAGCGGTTCGTATCTTCGAATCGCCAATCCAACATAGGTACATGCAGAAGAGGCACACATGGAATGTCGTCAAGGGTGTGTTTGAGCTGTAGATACCAATGATGGTAATGAGATACCCACGCAGACGGGATTCGTAGGTGCGCGGAAGGGGAATGTATGAATATGTGATCGAGATACAACGATACTATGCATTTAGTCCAAAAACAACCTACACGCTATGCTACCTACATCCAAGATTTTCCCTTCGCTTTATCCATCCCTCTTACATCATCCTCATCCTCATCCCATCCTAACCCACACCCCAAATCCCAAGAGTAAGAATACCAAACAGCAAACTGGGGTATATAGCAGATCCAACCTCCCAACCTTACCCAACCTTCCCATATACGCCCAATATACACAAACATCAAAAGAGACATCAACCCACCTTATATTTTACCGGCATGAATGAAACGAACTGTCCTCCTCCTACAACACAGCCTCAAGAATCCTATCTTTGAGACTCTTAACCTCTTCTTCTCTCTCCCATAACCGTCGCTGCATGTCTAGAAACTTGCTTTTCCATGCTGCAGGCGTCATCTGACTTGGCCCAGCATCATCCCTATCTAATGCCGCTTCGCCGTCTCTTCTGCGGTCTCCACTCGCGTCTTCGGTATTTTCGTTGCGTATTTCAAGACCCTTGGCAACCCACTCTCCGGTCAACCCGCCGAAGTTTACGGCGAAGTAGACGTCAAAGGTTTCTTTTATGCGATTGCCTGAGTTGCCAGGACGAGAATGTAGATTATCTACGGTAGTAGCATCACCGTCGTCTTCATCGTCGTCGATGGGGGACTCGTAGCCGTCGCCGCCAATACGAAATCGTATGCATTCTACGCGACGAACGCCACCTGTAGGTCCGCCAATACCGATGCCGACTGCGCTGGTGAGGCCGAGACAACTACTGATTGCTATGCCGAGGGTTTGATCGGACATAACTTTAGCTGGGGAGGAAGGTAGTCCCGATGTTGGTTTTGAGTAGAGTGGTTGGAGAATAGCAGTAGCCAGGGTTTTCGCTTCGTTGCCTCTTAAACGCTTCCGCCGACCGGTCAACGGGGCGCGGATTAGCTCGGCGGCTAGGGCGCGGTTGAGTGTTTCGAGAGGGATTGAAGGGAGAGACGGGGAGGTGGTAGAGAGGTCTGGGGAGGTTTGCGAGCGGATTGGCGGTGGTGGTCGTTGTTGGGCGGGTGTTTCCGAGGGGGTGAGCGCGCCGTGGTAGGTCTGATGTGTTGGCCTGTTGTCTTGTTTTTGGTACATGCTCTGCTGTTCATAGGCATGTGCGGGTGAAACTTGTGTTGAGGCGGCGCTTATTGGAGAAGGCCCTAGACCAGTGCCGGGAGAGTCGTTTTGCTCTCCGTTTACCAGTACCGTTGGTGTGACTAATCGCACTACTGGGTTGCCGACATTTGGAGGGACCTGGAGACTCAGTCGCTGTTTCTGCGGCGCGCCACCCATGAGCTGGCCCTCCATTTTGGAAGGCGATATGGCAGACGCCGGTGTTGGCGGGAAGCGGAACGAGTTCTCGGGTGCTGGAGGGTCAGAATGTGCGCGCTCAACTATCGGTGTTAGATTGCCTGGAGTACGGTCGATGGGTGGTCCTTCTTTCGTCTTCGGATTGGCCGGAAACGTGTTGTACGGTCCATCTCGAAATGATCGATTGCTCGGCGGCCGGCCACGAAGCTTGCCGGTAGACGAGGTATTGTTGGTCGACCATGCCGACGATACAGCGGGACCGTGGCGTCGACGAGAGCGTGACCTTGCACTGGACGGGGTGACGGCAGACTGAGGCTCATCGAAGAAGGGGTATGCGGATTGTGGTGTTACCGCGGAAAGTGGATGAGGGGTTTGAGGTGTGTCGTGAGTATTCAGTCGCCATCGTATGTGTTGTCCAGACATTGGCGAATCGGTATATGGTGTCAGGCTCTGGCCTAAACGACTTGGTGCTGACGCTGCTGTCAAAGCGGAAGAAGGAGTGACGGTTGAGACTGTAGTCCATGGCTCTTGAGGGGTGAGGAAGCCTCCATGCATGTTGTTAGGATGGGCGCTAGTGGGGTATGCTGATTGGGGCTGCAGCACGTTGCCAAACGGTATTGACGTATCCAACTGCGGGCGCTTACGAGCCGGCGCGCCTTCGTCAAAGTCGATGTCGTCCTCTCCGTCATCAGCTTTCCGCCGTCCGCGCTTCGGCTTGAACTTGGGATCGAGAGCCCGGATAGCCAGATCTTCCTCCAAAGGTACACCATCCCGTCCATCAGTCGGAAAGGGGTTGTGAGGATGAGGTATTTGCAGGAAGTAGGGGTGTTGCTTGCCCAGCAGATACTCGAAGAAGGCGTCGATGTGCATGGCGCGCATCCATCGCTGTGATGATTAGCAAATGTCGGAATGGTGTATGAAACGCGCAGGTGATTGGGGGGCCATGTCGGACTGCGCTGCCCCTCTGACATGCAGAGGCCACATCTTGGACCAAGTCGTGAGGAACAGTTCATGTCAAATATCTCCCAGAGTTAAAGGCTCGTTTCGCGCACTGCGCCGGATACCAAGTAGGTGGTTCGGATCACAGTGAGGCGTTTGAGGCTGAAGTCGACTGCGCCGCACGACCCGGATGACATGCATAAGACGTTGTCGGAGCCCACTGGGCCAGAACTCGGAAAAACTGGTAGGAAATGTCTCGGCGATCGCCGGACAATAGAGACGTGAAAGAATTTGAGGCTCTTACCTTTAGTCTGACTGAGTACTGCTGCACCTTCTGCGTGCTCTGTCCCTCGTCCGTGTTGGGCGGCTTGACTCCCAGGTCCAGCGCCAGTTGTGTCCATGTTTTGATTTCTTTGGCGTCCAGCTTGCGTATCAGCTCGAAGAGAGTCCATGTGTTGAATGCGTTGCCGTCGCTCTTTGGCGGTGTCCGGAACAGCTTGACTAGTTCGCTCGTGTCGATGGTGGTGGGGAAGTTGGGGTTGCAGTAGAGGATGAAGGTCGCGTAGGCGTGGTCGATGGTGTCGTCGGATACATCGCGCGATGGCGTGTCGCGGTCGGCGGGCTCGTAGTGGGAGGCAGCCTGGCGCGGCTGGCTGGTGGGCGATATGGCGGAGAAGCGCGGCGAGGCTTTCGCAGACGCTGGGGGAGTCTGGGAGCTGCGCATATCGCCATAGAAGCCGTGGGCGAGGTTATGGGCATTGTCTGGCTGAAGTAGGTGACTGGACTGGGCCTGATGGGGGACCGCCGACATGGGCGTGTGCACATTGCGGCTGGCACCTGTGCTCTGCTCCAGTCCCGGATCAATTGCTGGTACACCACCACCGCCTGGATGTCGAAAGGGCGAGTAGGCCGGCCCGCTGCCAGGCCCCGCGTGTTCGTAGTGCTGGTGGGCGTTGGCTGTCAGGTGCAGGCTGTGCTCCGTCTCTCCCTCGTCGCCAAAGTCGACTTGCATGGTTCTCCACAGTGTAACGCGCTCTGCTGCTTCCTCGGCCCGTCAGCATGCCATGAGGGCGTCGAGATGATTCGCGGCCGCGCTACTGCCAATAGCAGGCCATGGATATAGAGGTGCGTCCCGAGGTTTACTTCTTCTGGCCCCAAGGGGAGTCCTCACTCAGCGCCTGCTGTCGCAGCGGAGCCGGCGAGTCCAGCGCGAAGAGGTCCAACGATAGGATGCGATGCGCCCAGCGCCGTCGCTCTGTCAGGACAGTCGCGAGAGAGGGATTACGTCGTTTGCAGTGGCAGCGCGCTATGGAGTCGCGTCGTCGAGGGTCCAGCGGGTGGTAATTTGCGGTCGTTCAGGTGCTATGGCGGGTCGTGCCTGCCTGCTTCGGGGCATTTTGGTCAGTTATGCCAGCTGAGCGGTACCCCAGCATCGTAGCGTCTATTTTAAGATCAGCCGAACGCACCACTGCTCACCACACCCATGTCGCTGCACCATCCTCACCCCTACCACCTCTGCTCTGCACGCTGACTGGCTGCCTATTTACGCTCTACACTGAATATGCGACAATGCCTATCGAGTGGCAATCATCCCAAGCCCTTTTGGTCGTACGTGCCACTGTAACTGGCGTACGCCGGCCGAACCTCGCTCTTGGGAATATTGCCACTGCACCGACTACGACTCTTTCTGGGGCGAATCTTCGTGTCGACGCCGTATGGAGTCTAACATGGTATCATGATGCGAACAAGAGGCAGGGGAGTGTGGATGCAGCGTTGCCATTGTCGTAAAGTGCTACGCATACCTCTTGGGTCGAGTCATGCTCTCGGGGATACTTCGACCTAGTGTATCGAAGGCAGCAACTAGGTCTGTGGAACTATGACTATGGTTGTATTAGTAGTGACTCATGCACACTGCGCAAGGGCACCGCTTCCTATACTTATCAGTGTTCTTCAAGTCCTAGTATCAAATTCCATCCCCTCGAGATAGTCTCGACTCAACCCCACACAGCTTCTGCTAAGATGAGCTTCTCTGCCCTCCCGTTCGAGCTGGTGAGCGATATCTTTGATCACGTAAGCAGGGCCTCAAGGCATTTGCAGTGCACTAGAGAAATGCTGTTGCTGAAACTCGGCAGATTCGAGCAAAAGAGGATATGCAGGCCGTTTCTCTCGTCTGTCACAAGTACCACGCTGCCATTGCGCCGCTGATGTGGTACACATTAAATACTAATCTGCTACCAAACGAGGCTCAGTCCTTCGAAGCACTCATTAATCCGCAAAGCATGGTACTTCCCCATATTCGACGGATTCTCATAGCAACACCTCGACACAGCACAGACGAAGTCGAACACAGATTGCGTCTACTTTTAACTTCCTTACCGCACGATAAACTCACACACTTTGTAGTTGCCACATTGAGGCCGCACCGTCATACTATCCAGATGCTCCTCAAATCTCAACGGAAGCTCAAAGAGCTGAACTTTCGCATTAGCCTCGACGATGCCTCAGTCGGCAACGGTCCGCTTCCTATCTCCAAGAGTAGTCCTTCCATAGGACCCATACTAAAAGACCTTACTGGACTAGCTGTATATGTTCATTGCCATCCGAATAAAGCGAGGAACTCTTATGAGTACTACCGCAAACTTCTCAAATACGTTCCCGAGCTGCAGACACTGTCCATAGTCGGCATGGGCAATGTTCATCACCTACGCGACCGGCTGGACACGGGCCTCATCTTACAACGTAATCTAAAAGAGCCCATTTTGACAAGTCTTACAACCCTCTGTCTAAAGCTTATCGACCTTGGGACGAGCCACAAGACGATTTTCACTAACATGAATCTTGCCAATCTTAACACGTTATCATTGATCGGGTGCAATGAAATGGCAGGTTTCCTGGATGGCCTCCTAGTACATTGCGCCGACAGTGACGGCGGCTATCTTTCCCATCTTTCCGATCTGGAAATCCTGTTCCCTTGGCATTTATCCAATCCCGATACAGATGTCCAGGCTATCCAATGTTTCCTCGAGACTGGTCCGAAGCTGGCCAAGCTCACTTTGGACGTATCGCACCACGCCTTGATAGACAAAGACGCTATAATCGCCCAGTCTACCAAGCTCAAGTCACTGGAGCTGGGGACGCGTGACGACAGACCTGCACGCTCGTATGCAGTGGAAGACGTCGAAGCGATATTGGACGCCTGCTCAGCGCTCACACATATCACCATAAATCTACCTGGAGTGAAGCTAGGACCCCTCATAGATCTAGCTCATGATTTCAAGTTGGGAAGACCCCAAAATTGTCTCACACATGTAGAGACTGAGTTCGAAGCTATGCTCGTAAGTCCCAGAATCGCTCGCTCATGACCCGTGTCCATACGCCCAGCTCACTTCCAACCCTAACAGACCGTACTCGCCCAACATGCCCCACTTCACACCCTCCGTATGCTGAACCTCCCAAATTTTGGACCCGTCGAAATTGCACACACACCCGGCTCGCTTAGCGCTACCGAACACTGCTTATCCCGCGTCCTGTACCAAAATTTCGTAACGGAGATTATGCGCTTCATGGCGAAATGCGGTACCGCACCCATTGTTTTCGATACCCGGCCTAGTACCACGCATCAGATCTTCGACAAGTGTCGCTGGCCTGCGTATCTGTTCAACAAGGGGTATGTTTGTGATGCGAGAGGGAAAAGGGAGCTGATGGCGGTGCATTTGGACAGGTACCCGCAGGCCATTAATGAGTCACTCGTGATGCGTATGACGGGTTCGAGTATTTGATAGATTACTATGGTAAATGGCGGATACGGGGCAGGTTGAAGAAGCCTTTGGTGTGGGTGAGCTATGCATTACAGAAGAATCGAATGCGAACGGAGAACATTCACTCGAGTCGCTGATTACAGCTTTGCCACGCGACAGACTCCGAAGTTTTGAGGCATTTGAAGACATGCAGGGTGAGATTTTCTTGCAACCGTTGCGGTCACAGAGAAAATAAGAGAGAACAATTGTAACGACTCAATTTACCTTCCTTGGCTGGGCGACCGACACACATATTGCCTCCCGAGAATACCGCGCGTGAGTTGCCTCGCTGGTGCGCTAATAGAGAGTTCTAAGAGAATGTATGTATTCTAACAAGTCATCAGACGTGTAACGCTAATAGTAGTGCTAGGTTCTAATAGGCTGTCTGCTAGCTAGACACGTTGGGAAAGTGTCGCAACTAAGCCATATTACGGAAAGCAATAACAGCACTACCACCAACGTTGGACAAGACACACGACTGGATCTTGTGTGCTATTGCTGCAGAAGACGCCTAGTACGCCGTCTACATGTTGCTATGGCTGATGTTCTCAGAGCGACCGCTGACGGTAGACGAAGTTGCAGGAGTGATCGCTGTCGAACCTGATTAGCTGGAGATAGCAAAGAGACACAGCCAAGCACTGGAAAAGGATGCATTGAATAGCATGAGTATTCAAGAGCTAGGACATATTATGCTAAGGATCACACACTCCGGGTCACGTCAGTTCCTGATAGGAAAGGCTCGTATGAGGAATTAGCGGTGCATCAAAAAATACAACGAGATTGATTGCAGAAAACGACAGGTTTGATTTGCGACGCGTGTGAGCTCAGATATATGGAGAAATGAGAGACTGTGTACCAAGATGAAAAGGGAACGCCATCCACACGGCTATGGTACAAAAACACCTTTCGCATTCTCGTCCTTGAAACGAATGGAGATGACCAGCTCGCTATCGTTTGGATCGTCATGGGACTTTTGCCACTTACTTCCTTTGATCTCTGCCTTCGTGATAATTGGATTCTAGATCATGTAAGCGTCGTTGCCGCCGGCCAATTGATCGACCGAGCACGGACGCGTCAATGACTGTGCTAGGCATCAGCGCGGCTGACATGCCTCTAGACTGCCACACTAACTTCCCGCAATGACTTGATGTCTCTACAACATGTTGAAATTTGGTCAACGAGCATGTACTCACTTCAAATTTCCCTCTAACATATCCCGAATTTTGCGCTTCCAGAGTACGAAGATAAATGCCAGCGAGCTCTTCGAGGAGGAGCGCCTTCCGTGGTATAGCCATGATCAGTTTTATCCAGTACGAACTGGTGAGGTTCTCGATTCTAGCTTTAAGGTTATTGGAAAACTTGGTTACGGCGCGTACTCTACGGTCTGGCTGTGTCGGGATATCCGGTATGTTTGGCCTTCTTCACCCTCACCCTGCAAGGTCTGATCGTTTATGCATAGAGAACGAAACGCTGGCTTTGTCGCTGGCTACGTCGCTGTCAAAATTTGTACCCGAGATGCTGACAAGCCCGCACAACTCAATCGAGAGCTGGAATTCTACGAACACGTCAGTTCTTTGGAATCACAGCATCGCGGTCAAGTATACATCCGTGGACTGTATGGCGAATTCGAGCTCGACGGTCCGACTGGCAAACATTTGTGCTTGGTTCATCCACCCATGCACATGACTATTCAACAGCTCCAGCATCAGAACTCAGCACACAAGCTTAATGTCCCGCTTCTGAAGTGGACGCTAGCCAATGTGCTAAAGGCGCTGTCGTTCTTACACGACGAAGCTAAGGTCGTGCACACAGGTACGGCAAGATGATGCAAGATGATCGAATGAACTAATAAGTTAGACATCAATCCTGCCAATATCATGCTGACTGTGGCGGATGAGACTATTCTGGAAGACTTCGAAAAAGCTGAAGCAGAGAACCCATCACCAGCCAAAGTGATCGACGATACACGTACCATTTACCGTTCCCGCAAGCTTCGCCTTCCCACGGGTGATCTTTGGGGCCAACCAGTTCTCTGTGACTTTGGAGAAGCGCGGATAGGAGATTCCCACTCCGGCTTGATTCAGCCTGAGCTATACCGTGCACCAGAGATACTTTTCGAGATGGAGTGGGGCTCTAAGGTGGACATTTGGAGTGTCGCCACGCTGGTAAGTATTCAATCCTATCGCAAGGAAGCCTCGATGACTTACTCTTGATTAGGTGTGGGATTTGTTTGAAAATCAGCATCTATTCGACGCCCGTGACAACGAGGGCAAATCATCAGGGACACATCATGTTTCCGAAATGGTTGCATACCTTGGAATGCCTCCGCTTCAGTACACGCGAAGCAACGATATAACAAAGAAGGTCTTCGACGAGCAAGGTTAGTCACTGAGATCGTCCCGGCATAGACTCTGCTAAGTTCAATAGGACACTGGACGGGTGGTTCCAAGGCTGTAACTATTCCTAAGATCTCACTCAAGGAAAGAATCTCAGTGCTTGAAGGGGAGGAAAAGGAATTGTTTCTCGATTTCATACGCTCGATGCTCAGATGGCGTCCGGAAGACAGGAAGTCGGCGGCCGAACTTCTGAAGCACCCATGGATGGCCGATGCGATGTAGTTACGATGGCCATCAAGCAACCTTTGTGGTGCGAAGTCATTCTCGAGGATCTTTTGTTTCAATTGTATGTTTGAGATTGACTTAGAAAAAACATATGCATCTTCATTACACTTCCGGGCATCTTATGTTATTATCGCCGGCCTAGCAGTTGTTCTAGCTAACCTTGGCATCCACACATGATATCGACGGTTTGAACGTCACTTATTTTGCTCCCAACTGTCGGCCAATTTTATCTGCGCAGGAACTCCTTTTGTCTCTAAGTAGTACGTGTCTGGAGGTTAGATATCGCCGTCCTTGAGCAAAAGCATCATTGGGGCAGTGACATTGACATGAACACTTCCGCTATGGAACAAAGTGAAATGTTTGCTTGGTATCCATAAAGGCCCGAACTGTTGCAGGTATGTTAACATCTCTATAATAAGAATAGGAATGCCTAGCATTGTTCGAAGATCGCGCCAGTTTCATACACTACGTCCGTCAGAGCGAAACCGAGATCTAGCTCGAAAGCCAGAGACCCGACTAACGTGTGCAGTCGAAGAGCGGCACTAGGTCCTCCTTCTTCTCCATGATGCCCCTTCGCCCTTTCGAAATCCGAGATATCGCCTTCTTTTCAAGTTCGGTGCATCTCCAGGTCAGGAACATTGCTTTGCGTGGGTCAAAATTTGTCTCTCTGTAGAGCCGATGCTGTATCGCGATGACAGACTCTGGTCGCCGAGGAAGTACAGGCGCCTGAGCTTTGCGAACAGAACCTCCAGTGACCTTTGAGAATTCAGACACCCCCTGCGCCAGTATCAAGGCCGCCAGTTTGTCTGGGTGCGAGACGCCTTCGTATGAGATCGAGGCGCAAAGATACTCATTTGGTCGGCATAGTTGACGACCCCAGTCTCGGATGGGATCGCCGCGCGACCAGACAAACCAGGGTAAAAGCCTTCGGTGTCTCCGCCCCATGCGCGCTCTGGATCATGCGACCTGAGTTTGTTGAGCCAATCGATGTGCTTCGGATTGGTAGGCTTGGGGAACTTGAGTTCTTCGGCGCCCACATTTAGACAGCCAAACGAAAAATCATCTCATGCTATGAAGCTCTTCATCCTCTTCGTGTTCAATGCGCACAACGGGGACCCTTCCTCGTGGCGCGCAATGCATTCATCGCAGAGACGGAAGCTTAGCCCTCCATCGACCCTCTCGTCGGCTCGAGCGAGCTCGTCTGGGTACTTGTCTTGCATGCGTGCTTGGAATGTATTCGATGAGACAAGATAGAAGGGATGTAGCGATTCCTTGCCAGGTGTAAACTCTACCCTCGGGCTCAGCTCGCGACCTCGAGCAACATGTGGTTCAGAGAAGGGTTTCGCTCTTTCCCTGCGTTCTCGAAGGCGATGGGCCTCTCTCGCCTTACCTCGTGAATTGGTGCTGGTGTCATATTAGCGGAGGTGTTTCGTTGGCCTAGGCATGCAGAGGGTCAGCATCCCGTGCTCAAGGCAATAAATAATATTTGAAGTTCTGGTTAAGATGGCTCTCTTCGCCGTCCAAGTTGAGCAGCCGGTGTAATCCCGCCTGGCGCGTGTTTGTATACGCGTCAAATTGCTTCAACCACTCTACGCTGTAGACCCAGCGCGTTGTTGGTCTAGCTGTTCTCAGAAATAGGATTCGTAGGCGTCGGCTAGTGCCAACGTTTGAAGGCCCTATTTAACCGTCAGTGTAGATTATCCACCCTGCCCACGCCCCAAAATGTTGAATTAGTATCCCTTTCCACTTTCTCCTACCACATTATTCGAAAAAACACTAAGCATTCTGGAGCCTACGTTGACGTCAGATCATCTGCTTTGCATGATCTCATCTTTATGTAGGCTGCAAACCTGTTCAGTGTTTTACTTGTAAGAGGTGCCACCATGCCTTTTGATCAAGTCGAGTTTATCACACTTTTGACCGACTACTACGAGTTTTGCAATCGAGTATTCTGGGATAACTCGGTCGTTGCCGAAGCTCCCAACAATGGCTGGTCATCCATTACAAAATCCACCATGGCCAACCTGAACAAGACTGATGCAGTCATCGATTTGCTTCGCCACCTACCTTTTGTGGACTTTGTTGAGCCCGACAAAGCCTACGGCAAACATGTCATCATGGTGAACACAAGGATCCAGGATTACCGCAGCGATGCGATGCAGAAACGGATCCGCGACGGGGATCTCGAATACCACGTTGAACCTATAGGCGATCCCTTACCGCCGTCATGTATCTCCTTCGGTAACAGCAACGGGCGTAATGGCTACAATCTCGTGATCAATACGGCCGATGGCTACGTCTACTGGGGGGATCCTAACGGTCAGCACGACGAGCCAGCGCCAGAGCTTAATGCCGTGGTGCAAGAGCGTTATGCCGGAAACGAAACGGAGCGTTGGCGGGAGGGCTTCAACGTTTATCGCCCACGCGAATTTTTTGCGCTCTGCAAGCAACGATTCCGCGAGCTTCGCTGGATCGGTCTCCAGACGGATATCGTTGAGGTGGTACCGATGTACTGGGACTTTGATGACATGGACGACGAGTTCAATGCGCTCGTGCGCAAGATGAGAAGCGCCGGGTGGCCGGGAGATGGGCAAGGACGGGACTGGGACCGAGAGGCATTTCGAGCGGCGCTCGATGTGTATAGCGATGAAGAGGACGAAGATGCTGTAGAGGCGGCGACAGAAGCGCTAGACGGCACTCACGTTCACTAGATGCTTGCCGTTAACATGGAGGAGTGAAAGGATTGTGCAAGACAAGATGCTGACTTTTTTCTTCCAAGATTTACAAGTGTATTAGGTATACGAGGCAAGTAACATGTTCCCTCAAAGCGTAATATACTTGTACGCAGATTTCCACTCAGCAGATACGACAAAGACGGTGCAAGCGCCTGGTGCCACCCGCGCAGCCGGTCGCGTGTCATGGGTGCATTACACACTTCACAACTCAGCCACAGATTGCAGATGTCGTGGTACGGGCTGGATAAGTCGAGTCGTGCTACAATCTCATCCTCGAGCCCGAATTCTCGTAGTAGTGGGCGAGCCTCCTCCAAAGCACACCATCGCGAAGCGTCCATGTCGCTGATCGCAAGACCCACTGGCCTCATGACCATAGACGCTCGTTGCTTCTTCCGCTCTGAGCTGCATTGCGGTGTCGCCGGGGCGAGGATATGGTCCAGTGGCGCTAGGTATTCGACGTACCCGTTCCAAACATGCACTTGCACCGTCTTCGTCGTATCCGCCGACTGGAAATATGCGTAGAGATATATTGCGCTTTGAGGGAACGGAGGTTCGTCGGGCGCATACCCGTTTGGAAGCTTGTTTACAGCTGCGGCAAAGACAGGCGAAGCCAGATTGAGCGCTGGCAAGAGCCTTATGTATTTCGTCTTTTGCATATGCTCGATCGCTTCTTCTCTTTCGTAGATTGAGCGACTGGTGTTGAGACAACACTACTGTGCCTGCCCGCTGCTGCTCGGATGCATCTTGCTGTGATGAATCGCCATAGCCGCACCGTGACTCGTTGAAATCTTTGCGCTGCACGCGAAGCATGTGAAGCTGGTTGTGGGATTGACATCCCGCGCGTACTTGCACAGGCGGCCAAATACCACATAGGCTCCAGGTGCACCCCAAGAGCAGAGGAGTTCCCTTACCACGGAATATTATACTCCGCTAGGAGTAGCGTCCTTGGCCCGATTCTGAATGTGCCGCTGGCATTTGAACTTGGCGCACGCCGGAATCTCGTCTCCCATGTCTGGCATAGATCCCTGGATCAATGCCTCGACATCAGGCAGGACTGCGCCGTCGCCCCCTTCCAGCACCCGCATCTCGTATGCGCCTCTAGGTGCCTCAATCAAGCAAGCAAACATCCTTACACGAAAGTCGGTGTCAGTGCTACATCTGCACTCGTAGATGAGATTCGTTGTTGTGTCCAGGAAATCCTCAGACTCTGAGTTGGACGGGATGTCCTCGAAGTATTTCCCTCCGGCCTCACTGTCTTCTTCTGTGGCAGATTCATTTTCTTCCTCTTTCTCGGTCTCGGTCTCTTCATATTTCTCGGCCTCGCTATTCTTAATAATCTCTGCCGTAGTCAAGCATTCACTGCTTTATGGAACTTGCGACTCTCTCTTTTCGTAGAGCTCGAAACTGTCTTCTAGCTTGCTGTCGCTAACTAGTGTGTAGGCACTGCTATCTTCTTCGTCGTCGTATGGGGGAGGTCCAAATCGCAGGAGCTTGAAGAACTCTGATGGAGGAAGCTGCTTCGCACGCTTTCGATTCAGCGTTATACTACGTCATTTGTGGGTTCTAGAGCGCAGCATATACCTCAGGCTGCAGTATACAAACAGAACAGTATATTGCCGAGTAATGATACGCTTCTTTTCTGTGCCCATCTCCAGTGACGGACCCTGATCGCGTCCACAAGTCTTGGCGGTGCATGAGCAAACACCGCACGAGCCACGCGCCCTCACCTCGATTCCAATGTTGCTCTCACTCCACCCTTTGATCACGACTGCGCAATCGATCGACTGGATACGTCGCTTCGTGAGTGAGTACGAGGTTTCAGTCCTCACCCTCCAAGTACTCCTCCGGTCTCAACACAAGATCGAATCGTTGCATGTTCTTAGTACTTTCACTACCCCTGGACTCTCGAAGCCATCTCAGCTCGATTACGAAGAACAACATGCATGGACGGGGTCATCACTGCCCGAAGTTTCAGAACTCCTGTTGGATATTCAGCCACACAAATCGTCAAATGAGCGCATCATCCAAGACCTGCAGAGTATATCTCGTTACTGTCCGAAGATAAAATGCCTGACCCTTGAAATGCCTTCAAGCATGAGCTCCAAAGACACGACCTTGTCCGAAGTTCTGCATCTAGATGAAAAGGTTTGTCTGTTTCCGAAAGAATCAGTCTGCGTTGCCAATTGGCAACCGTAACATCAGTAGGTTTGCAATGCAATGCTATTCGATGCAATACTATGCGACGCTATGCTAAACTCATAACAAAAGGGTATAATGCTTTTCTCCAACCAAAGACCGTTACTCACAACCTCTTCCTTTCCCTTCCCAACAACCAAATCATGCCTTCTCGTCCTCCAATTCCTTAGCCTCACGCCTCCTCCGCCATACGGGACCCATCTTGATCTCCAGCAACATAAGCGGCATCAGCAAACAACATATGCCACCCCAAAACGTATACGTCCAGCCATCGCCCCACGCACTCGTCATGCGATCAATGATAGAAACAAGAATAGCAGCCAGCGAGCAGCGCACCAAATTCGTACACGCAGTTGCGCCTGAACTGCGCGACTGCAGAATATCGATGTTGAGTGTCATCGTGGTGTTGAGAATACCAATCGACGTCCAACCCAGCATAACGCCAAGAATGAGGGGAACAGCAATATGAGCCTTGGCCTGTATCGTCCAACCCCAAGCAATGACGCAGACGATGAAGAGGGAGAGGTAAAATGGCATAATACGTAACCTCGCGTGTTCGATGGTGAAGTTATCCCCACACCGCTCTTTGATGCGCCTGTACTCCCAATCCAGCATCTTGCCCGTCATCGTAGACCCCAGAATCATACCCGCACCGACAGGTAGATAGCAAAGTCCCAGCACCGTCTCCGACAATTCCGGGTAAATCTTCGCGAAAGCCGAGGAAATGGTGGCGGTGATTGTGTAATTGACAGCGTAGACGAGGCCGGTAAAAGTCAAGAGGACAATGACATCAGGGTACGTAAAGAGGACAAACGGATTGACAGAGTGCTTGGCCTTAGCGCGAGAATCCGGGTCGAAGGCTTCTTTCGTTGCTTTTTGGCCCACGATAGGGAGGATAGCGCGTTGCAAGCGGGGCACAGGAATACTGCCATTGCCCGCAATGGAACGCAGGGTTTCGGGTAGGAAAAGCGCGATGCACAGCAGGCAAACAGCCACCATGATGACGATGGACCAAAAGATAGATCGCCAGCCCAAGCCCTGTGAGAGCGCGCCTCCAATCGCAGGTGCAATGCAAGGCGCGAGCATAGGACCGAGGTTGAACATGCCAAAGTAGCCACCTCTTTCGCGGCTGGTCGATATGTCTCCGATTACGCCTGCGCCAAGGGCGATGGTGCTGGCGCTACCTCCGGACTGGAAGCAGCGCAGGAAGAGGAGGAGCCAGAAGTGGTTTGTTGGACAGAGGGCTAGGCCGATGGAGGAGGCAACGAGGATGCCTAGACACACCAGGTAGACGAGGCGGCGGCCGTAGCGGTCACTGATGGGGCCCCATAGCATAGGGCTGATTCCTTGGAAGACCAGGTACACGGTAACGGTTTGATTGATGTCGTCTATTGATTTGCCGAAGGCGCGGGCGAGGGTTGGGATTGCTGGGAAGTAGATGTTTGCGGGGAGCGGGCTGGCATGATGTTAGTTGTTGTTCTGTGTATCTTGAGATGAGATGAAAGGAAAGAGAGTGTACCTATAGAACCCCGCCAACGCAACCATAGCTACGATGAGCCATTTCTCTTTGCTGGTGTATATGCTATATGGGACTTCGACTTCACCCTCGACCGGCAGCTCAGGTGCAATAGCAGCCTCGTCTACCGGTATAGGTTCACGCTTGTTCTCCTCGTCGGCAGCCATAACCAGATTTCAAATGAAGGCGCAGAAGGAGTTGAGCGAAGAGGGACAGCCTCATGCAAGGCCATGCCGCAGCGCTCAACGCCCATGATAACTAACATCACTCTCCCCGAGCACGCTACACGCCCTCGTCGGAGTATCAAGCACCGCACGCAGTGTGGTTGGACGAGTCCCGCCCATCTCGGTCAAGACCGTGGGGAAGGTCCGGCAGACCGGCGAGAAGTCGGCAAGCGCGTCTATAATCAGGCCATTGCGCAGCGAGCAAGCATGCAGCCGAGAACCCTCATGCACACCACGGAATACGCATCGCACATCCACCTCCGTCATGGTCGGAGTAGGATCCTGGAGCTACGGCTGCAGACAGTCAAGTCGCGGTTATTAGACGGCTATCATGCGTTTGTCGGCTTAGCAGTGCGCGAGGTGGGCCAGATCGTCATGGACCCTTTCTTGTGGGATGCGTGCATTCGTGCATTGAACGATTTTGCAGCGCTCGGTGCCGACGGGTGCGCGTCTAGCCTGTGCCGGGCGCAGGATGGGCGAACCAGAAATGTCGTGTTAAAAAAAATCTCTTTCACGATAGTCCAGCCCGCCACTATGGGGTAAGCAAAGAGTCATAACGACGTTGTCGTGGGTGGAGCAAATGATTCAGGTATATAGTCCGGTTGAAGGAAGACACGCCGCTCCGGGCCTTATCGCATCACACGACTGAGCAGTTTCACACTATTACTTCGCATTGCAAGCCGTAGACGGACATAGCGAGTGGGTCGTCAACGGCGTCTGTACCATCATCTCGGGTCTCTTACGCAGGACTGACAAACTTTACACGCGCAATATCTCGGGGTGGAGCGGCGAAAACGGTGCTGCGAGCCAAGAGACGACGGGTCCGGAAAAAGAGATGGCAGACGCACCCAATGGAGGTGTAGGAAGTAGCAGGGTGGGGAGTAGGGCTCCTTCGCGGGGACAGGAAGACATTAAGCGGCCGAATCTCTCGGTTGGGGAAGTCGCGGGAGTGGAGCGTCAAGATGGCGATGTCACGGTTGGAAAGCACGAAAGAGTTGGAGGGTGGAGAGGGGTGCTAAGCTTTTTGGAAAAGAAAGGTGATGTTGAGCTCAGAGGGTGTACGCCTGTGCCGTATGAGGATAGGACAGAGACGCAGTATTCAAAAATCTTCACGCTCTGGTTTTGCATGAGTTGTAATCCCTTGCCGTAAGTGGTCAATTGGGGAGTGGTGGCCTTGCATGATGGCTAACGGGTATGCAGTGTGACTTTTGGCATGGTGGGCACAATGTCTTTTGCTCTTAGTCTGAGGGATGCGGCACTGGTTATTCTTTTCTTTACCCTCGTGTCGACGGTGCCGGTGGCGTACATGTGTACGTGGGGGCCGAAGACGGGTATGCGACAGCTTGTCCAGGCGAGGTTTTCCTTCGGGAAGTACTTTGTTTCCCTGTTGATACTGCTCAACCTTGCAACGCTGACGGGTTTCTGCGTTGTTGACAGCGTCATTGGTGGTATGGCACTGTCGGCGGTGCAGGACGGAGCGACCATCAACGCCACGGTGGGTATCGTCATCATCGCCATATTGTCGTTGGTCATCTCCTTCTGCGGTTTCGGAGTATTGCATCACTATGAGCGCTGGGCATGGATCCCAGCATTGGCCGCACTCATCATTGCGGCAGGATGCGGGGGCCAGAGCCTCAGCCAGCAGGTCCCAGCGCCCGCTGCTACAGCGTCACAGGTCCTCTCATTTGGTGGTCTCGTGGCGAGCTTCATGCTTCCATGGGCCGCACTTGCGAGCGACTTCTCGACGTACATGCATCCCAAGGCTCCTCCCTTCCGGATTGCGCTCTACACCTACACCGGCCTTGCTCTCCCTACGATTCTGTTGATGACCCTCGGTGCAGCGATGGGAGGTGCGACGCCAAACATTGCCTCATGGCAGGCTGGGTACGACGTCAATGCAGCGAGTGGTGTCCTTGCAGCCATGCTACACCCAGCTGGCGGGTTCGGTCGCTTCGTCACAATCGTGCTTGCCTTCAGCATGCTGGGCAACCTGTCGGCAACAATGTACAGCGTAACACTAAACCTGCAGATGCTTCTTCCCTGGCTCTTCCGCATCCCGCGCATCTTCTTCAGCATCGTCATCACTGGAATCGTAATTGGTGTTGCTGTCGAAGCATCCAAGAGCTTCTTCCTCAACCTCGAGAACTTCATCGGAGTCATCGGGTACTGGAGTGCGGCCTTCATTGGCATTGCTCTTACCGAACATGTGCTGTTCCGACGCAGCAGCTTCATGGCTTATACCAAGGATGAAGAGGCGTGGGACGAGCCGAGCAAGCTGCCACCCGGTCTCGCGGCAATTGGCGCGTTTCTGCTCTCCTTTGGCCTCATCATCCCGTGTATGGGACAGATTTGGTGGACAGGACCCATCGCGGAGACTACGGGCGACATCGGGTTGGAGGTAGCAGTTGTGCTGGCAGCGGTGCTCTATGTACCGTTTCGGGTAGCAGAGAGGAGGATATGCGGGAGGTAGTTACAGAATAATCCAGTAGCAACGACCAATCAAGACTGATGACTACAAGTTTGTTGTGCAGTGCATGAGGCGAGGAGATTGCACATGTTGGTGGTTTGGAGAGGATTACCGCATGCGACTAGATCGGGGGAAGTTGTTGCCTCGGTTGTACGTCTTACCCCGGAAATGCTTGGTGACGTTCACAAGCCAGCCGGAGCCGCAGCTCAAATGCGGAGACGAAGACCATCCGAGAGACTCTGAAGCTGCTTCCCTTTTGATACCCTTTCCTTCACTGTTTATCCTAACCCTCCCAATCTCATCGGCTTGCCGGCTGCTCCTTCCTCCCGTCGCGACAACCGCCCGCTTCCCCTCTTCAACCCACGCGCGACCAGACTCTGCACTCGACCATGTCTCAAACACAGGAAAAGGCCCAGGAGAAGCTCATCGAGTCGACTTCCTCAGTGCCCCAGAGTACGGCGGCACAGCAGAGCGACAATGTTGCGCATGCGCTTGCCGGCGCTGGTGGAGGACTGCTGTCCATGGCCCTGACGTATGCGCCATCGCGACAATGCGATGCGGGCTGCTAACAACCCCCAGCTACCCGCTCATCACCCTCTCTACCCGCGCCCAGGTCGAATCTAAGCGCGCTCAGTCGTCAACGCTCAATGCCGCTCGACGCATCATCAAGCGCGAGGGTGTCGCAGGCCTCTACGCCGGTCTCGACTCCGCCCTCTTCGGCATCAGCGTCACAAACTTCGTATACTACTACTGTACGACAATATACTTCTAAGCGACACGTCAAAGTACTAACGACGTTAAGGGTACGAATGGACCCGCTCCTTCTTCGAGAAGGCTGCGCTCAAAGCCGGTCGCGCCTCCTCCAAGCTCACCACGGTCGAGTCCATGATGGCCGGCGCCCTCGCCGGCAGCGCAACCGTCCTCATGACCAACCCCATCTGGGTCGTCAACACGCGCATGACGACGCGCAAATCCGAAGCCTCCGACGAGTCGCTCCCGGGCGCACCCACACCCGCACAGAAAGCGCCATCGACCCTTGGCACGCTCTTCGCCCTTGTCCGTGATGAGGGCCCCGCGCGCCTGTTCGCTGGTGTCATGCCGGCGTTGGTCTTGGTCATCAACCCCATCCTCCAATACACCGTGTTCGAGCAGCTGAAGCAGATGCTGGAGAAGCGGAGAAGAGTCACACCCAAGGATGCTTTTTACCTTGGTGCTTTGGGCAAACTGTTGGCCACTAGCATCACCTACCCGTACATCACTGTCAAGAGCAGGATGCATGTTGCGGGCAGGGATGGGCCGAGGGAGGATATGTTGACCACCTTCAGGCGCATCATCAGGGAGGAGGGATACACTGGGCTGTACGGAGGTATATCAAATATCGTTCGGAGGGAAAGAGAACATGTGCTAACTACTGATAGGTATCGGACCCAAGGTTACCCAGAGTGTCATTACCGCCGCCTTCCTCTTCGCTTTCAAGGATGCGCTATACGCCTACACGATCCAGGCCCGCAAGAAGCTTGCCATGCGCAAGGTCTAGGGCGTACCGTGAAAAGGCACATATGAAAAGCGGCTGCGGTGGCAATAGCAGTCGCAGCCGTATATCGAATTATGTCGCGACCCGTATAAGAAGGTCGACACTGTGTAGGATGGCGGAGGGTCACATTGAGCCATGAGCACGTATCGGAGTATGTTTTTTCACGGTCCGTGGAGGGGACACGAACCTTCAAAATGTATATACCCAGAATTCTACGCATCGTTTATATCGGATTAGGACGCATCTTATCAATCTTCTGACGTAGCAACGACATCGAAGGACAAGGCGGATAGTATCCCGTCTCTCCGCTTATCGCGTCATCAGGCCTCTGCCATGCACGACTCGTTTATCCACCCGCTGCGGGGTACTCAATCGAGAGGTTGTCAACGCCCTGTTATTGCATGTTACACATGTACCTGCAGCATGTATGTGCCCTAGGGCGCACAAGACTTAAGCATCGGGCTGTGTTCATAGCGATGGAAGTAGAAATACAACTGGAGTGCCCACTGGTTCAAGTTCATTCTTTCTATCTCGATATCGCCATAATACAGTTTCGTCAAGATGAGTTCCGAGCCGTTTACGCTGAGGTGGGGTATCTTGGGTATGCATTGCCAAGTTAGTTTCCAGAAGATGAGAGAGACTAATTAATTATAGCAACGGGAGGTATAGCAACAAGTAACCCTTCCTTTGTCCCCCCTTCTATGCCCAACCTAACACCCCCCAGCGTTCACAAAAGACCTCCTCATCGACCCTCAAACCCGCTCCGTAACCGACGTCCGCCATGTCGTCGCCGCAGCCGCCTCCTCCACATCTTCATCACGCGCCGCCGACTTTCTCAAATCCGTCGGCGCGCCCGCCACAGCAAAAGCCTATGGCTCGTACACTGAACTCGTTTCCGATCCTAACGTCGACATAATCTACATCGCCACCCCGCACTCGCACCACTACCACCACGCTCGCCTCTGTCTCAACGCAGGGAAACATCTACTAATTGAGAAACCCATCACCGTCAACGCGGCTCAATGTCAGGAGTTGAGGAAATTGGCGAAAGAGAAGAAGAGATTCATGATGGAAGCAGTATGGACGCGTTTCTTCCCCCTCTCGCGCGAAGTCTGTGACATTGTGAAAGAGGGGAAACTGGGACAAATCAAACGCGTCTTCGCCGACTTCAGCTTCTGGAATGACGCTGAAAAGGAATTCGGCAAAGAGCATAGGATGGTCAATCCGAATCTCGCTGGTGGCGCGTTGTTGGATTTGGGGATTTACAGTCTGACGTGGCTGTCTATGGCGCTGTATCACTGTCAACCTGAGGGTAAAAGGGAGGAACCAGTTGTTAGTTCGGCAGTGAGTAAGTATAAGACGGGGGTTGATGAGACGACGACTGTGCTCTTGCACTTTCCCGATTCTGGCGCTCACGGCGTAGCAGGCACGAGTATTATCGTTGCTACGACGCCTAATGCGGAGCACCCCAACCCGGGTGGCGACGCGGTGAGGATTCAGGGTACCCTCGGCGACCTCACTGTCAATTATGCGCCGAGGCCACGCACATATACATTGACCCCCGCTGCCAACGAGAAACGAGGGAAACTCGCAGACTTTGAGTACCAGGTCGTTGATAAGTTCAAAGAAATCCCTGGGGGTGGACACGGTATGTTCTGGGAGGCAGACGAGTGTGCGCGGTGTATTCGAGATGGCAAGCTAGAAAGCGAGATATGTGGACTAGAGGAGACGGAGGTGGTCATGAGGGTTATGGATCAAGTAAGGAAGCAGGGAAGTGTGATGTATCCAGCGGTGATTGAGAGCACGGAGTCGCCACTCGATAGATTCTCAGTGTAATGGACCGAGTAGGAGTACATGGATGTGGGGGAGTTTAGAAGAGGGCAAGAGAATGAAGAGGACAAGCTGTCGTTTTTGTATCTTGTGCTAGAGGTGAGTAGCTAGATTGGCAAAGACCTCACTCCACCATTTTCAACTTCTGTCCTCATACCGCCATACCACTACTTTTGATCAAATCATCGAGATCCTCATATCTGTACCCCTTCATACCATCCCTCTCTAAACTCCCCAGCCTAGGAATCTCACCATGTCATTCCTATTTCACCCTCGAAGCCTGAGGTTCCTTTGAAACACCAGAATCTCCAGAAGTCACACGACCGAACAGGTTCTTGTAGTAGTGACCGGAACGACTAGCTGGTCCACAAATACCCTCTGGGCAACCGTAATTCACTGCCGTTACCACAGGAGGAGTGGAAGCAGAAGTCTAATCAGGTGCTTGGCGTGGGTTAATGACGATGGTGTTGGTGACCGTGATGACTTTGACTGGGTCGGACGGTTCGGCCTCTTGATTTGGGTTGATATGCTTAATATGAGTGACTGTGATGACTATGAATAGATTGGACGAACCACCCTCTTGATGGGCGTTGATATCGTTGGTAGCCGTAACCACCGGGGTGCTTGGGTCAGGAATCGTAATAGGGCAGTCCGGACCAAACACACCGGCTTAGACTTATCCGGTCCGCATTGGATGTGCGTAGAAATGGGAGTCGCAGTAGTTGGCAGGGGCGGTGGTGCGCGGTGATGGTGTGGGTGGGCTCTGTGGAGTCGGTAGTCGCCTTGGAGGTGTAAGTATTGGAGCGGGGTGTTGGAGGGCGTACTACAGTGGTGCAGTGTTTGGGGTTGCTGCATGGCCTTGTTGTTAGGGTTGCCTCGCTGCCGGTAGCTTGGCTGACGGCGAGGCCGATGAAGCCCGGGGCGGTGATGCAAAAAGTGGTGAACCTCATTTTGATTGTTTTGAAGTTAGTATCGAGGTAGTGAGATGTGTAGGGACTTTTTGGGCTACCTGAAGTTGATGGTATTGGAGAAAGGAAGAGAAATGGGTGGAGAGTGGAGGGTGGAAGGAGAGCAGCAGTAAGAGAGTTTTGTTTACACCTGTATTGCAATGCAGACACGATGATCTGATAGGGATCACGCAGTCGGTACTCACCTCTGTTTGTGAGATTTTTTTTGAGGTGATATTGCGGTAAGAGACATGATGTGAGTGGTCTACGCAGATGCGATGGGGCGGACACTTCGGTGTTCGGGGTGAACCGTTTACTGAGGGATTCGTGAGTAATCGAGGACGAAGCACTTGCGGTCTAATGTTATGCGCAAGTTACGGTTAGTGTAGTCACTTCACCGCATATGAGAAGACTTTGTGAGCCTTGCTAGGAATGAGGACACGGTGAACGGATGGAAGGGCAAGAGGATGTCCGACCGTGTTCGAGATAGTAGTAAAGCAGTGCTATTCAGACTCCGTAATGCGTCACTCTACCTGTATATCCGTGTAATAAACATGCCCCGTCTATATTAAAAGACCCTGCGTAAAGTTTTCCAACGCAGCTCGATACTGCTGACTATACTCGATGATGATCTGCTGCTGGTACCAACTATGTCGCGCATTATGATCCGCCACAAGATTATGCGCAAGCTCGTGACAATACGTGCAGAACCAACTATCCAGAGCTGTGAGTTTCCCTTCCTTAGTCTGACATCCATCGCTATGCAGGGCGATGAACCAAGCGAGGTTGAAGAACAAACTACCGTTCATGTTGAACGCCACCGTGTTAGACTTCTTGTCAAGGAAGATGTTTACTGCGGCAGGGTTGACGTTGAAAATTGATGTAAGACCGAAGATGAGGGGTAGGAACTTTTGAAGGTGTGATTGCAAGTCGGTGAGCGGCGCAGTCTCGTCGCGGCCGTAGTAGATGTCAACGTGACGGCCAGAGAAGGGTACCGAAAATGCTTTGTGTAGGTTCTCCCATTGTTCGCCGGTACAGTAACCTCCACGGTCGAGTTCCGTCGGGTCCTGGTGATGCTTGGTGTTGATGTTTTCCATACCGGTGGGCCGGCATTCCTTGATAGCATTCTGGATGTTCGATTTCGTAGCTTGGATGTCGCGACTGATCTGGGGGCCGTCTGTACCCTTGGAGGAAGACGAAGGTGCGCTAGGCGCGTTCTTGAAACCGAGCTTCTTCGCCCAGTTGTTGATGAGACCTTGCTCCTCTGGTTGACGGCCGTGATTGGCGATTTCCATGCCACCCTCTGGACTACCAAATGCACCAGGCATATGTTTGCCTTTCTCGGGGGTCTCAGGGGGAATGTTCTCTCTATCTTCAGACTTGACGTGACCAGACTTGGCTTGTTCGGCAACTCGCTGCTGCTCCTCTTCTTCGCGCTCTTGCTCGGCTTGCTTGGCGATACGCGCTTCATGCTCTTTCTTTCGTAGGATACGCTCGACATTGATACCCTTCTGCTGGAGTCGGCGTAGAGGCTCAGTCAAGATGCGCTCTAGCGCGATCGCGTCGTTGCGCTTCGGCCGCGATACAAGTAACCTTACTAGTTCGCTTGACACCTCGTAGAGATCGTATTTCGGCGTGATGCTAAGCACGTACCCCGTACCACGCACTTTGATGATAACAGCCGATTTACGTGAAGATGTTGCGACGTTGCGTTCCGCCAGTGAGTAACGGATAGAAATATCCGACACACATTGCACCGTCAAATTAGAACCCAGCCACTTGGCGTCATGTCTGATAGCCTTCGACGAAGCATCGCGTTCATACTCGTGAAGGAAGAGACGCACACGCTCCAGGATGTCTCGTCGAAGATCCTGGGCAGGTGTCTGGTCGCGTGCTACTGTGCCGATGCGTTGGTCAGTCTTGACCAGCTCCGAGACCTTCTGAACACCGAATCGAGCGTAAAACTCCTCAAGAAGCTCTTCCTGTGGCGCCGCGATGATGAAGTCGCGGAACCGGGTCATATAGTTGACATTATCGATAATCACGATCTCGCCAGCTTTGTTGAGCGACCACTCGCGATGGACGTTGTCCTCATCAAGATCATCAATGTCGTCTTCGCCTGCATCGGCGACTTGCTTACTATCCTCTTTGATATCGCGGTATCCAAGAAGCAACCTCGATGCTATAAGTGATTTGACCAAATCTTTATCCTTCCACAGATTCGGAGCATGTTCGGCCAGCTTCCTCAGCAAATCGAGATATTTCTCTTGCCCAATGGTGTTGAGGAACCGAGCAGGATTCTTTGCGAGGAGGTACGCCAGGTCATGAGTAGTGGGCTCATGCTTCGCGCCAACCTTGAGAAGGAAGACGGTAGCTTCCGCGCCATAATGAACGTAATCAAGGATGCCACGGTACTCTTGATCACGACCCACGAAAACATGCTCGGGTGGATCGTAGTGATGGACGCGCATTTCCGTCTTACCAGTTTGATTCTTAGATCTATCCTCGAATCCGCTGCAAGTGGGGTCAAGGTAATACTTCCGGAAAATTGGTACAATGTTGGAAGTCGCGAGGTTCTGTATGAGCCCTTTGTATTGATCTAGTTCGGATCCGCGCGAAGCAAGATAAGCAAACTGCATTTCTGCATCAAGCTTAGTCTTGGGGGGTGTCTTCATGAGGTATTGAACACATGGGCCTATGCTTGGATCACGCTGAACCCCTAGCTTCTCGGCATGACTCCGAAGATCGCTTCTTAGAATGGGAAATCCTAGGCATGCTGCGTGCTCATTGGTGTAGCACTGGAACGGACCAACCAACGCCGGGAAAGGAGCCTGTTCTGTCGGCAAAATCGGAAGAGTGAGGGCAGCGAACTTCTGATGCTCCACAGCGTAGTTATTCTTGTAGTAGTTCGTTAACAGGTAATCCATTGCACGCATGTACAGCTGAAGATCCTTGGCTTGACCGGCGCGATGGAGTATGTTTGCGACGGTGATGGAATCTGGGCATTGTCGTAGTCCAAGACGCAGCAGCAATACACCTTCTCGTGTAGTGGGCTTGAATTCGAAAGGCAGCTTGATCTGAGTCAGGCCTAGAGCTACAATAGCCGGGTCGGGGGCATAAAGGTCTGAAGCTTTGAACTGCTCGCCAGGCTTTACAAGAGTACCTTCTCCTGGCAGAAACGCTGTCTGCTGTAGACGACTAAGGTCTTTCGCAGGTATTTCGTTTATGACCGACGCGAAGTAGCGGATAAGGTCAACGTGATTCCAAGTCGGCTTTTCGGATTTCTCTGACTGCTGCGCGTCGCGACTGCGCATTCGATCAAACACCATAGGAAGATCAATGGTCTTCCGAACACCGAGCGCCAATAGGAACTTCTCCTTCGAGCCTGCAAACGGTGTCACAGTTGGCAAATCGTCAAACAGCTTGACAGTAGGGAAGTACGACTCTGCAGGTCGCCGCATACCCATCTTCGTCGGCAAGATCGTGTGTGGGGTCAAGATCTTGACGACCGTCTCCTTAGAATTTCCATCGAGTTGTTCCCAGCACTTAGATGTCAGTGTCAACACAGAGAGGGCAAGATTCTCATCCTTGGTAAACTCGTCTAGCTGCGGGCGTGTTGTCATGTGTCGAAGCCAGCGAACCATTGACAATTCCACCCAGCCGAATAGTTGCAGTTGCTTGATCGACATGCCTCTGGTGAAGGAGAAGGGAATAGTATCCGGCGGAAGCGGTAGATGTGCACCGATGCGCGCTGGATTAACAAACGTGCTGATGTCCCCCAAAGCGAGTATCCTGCCAGAGTTCTTTTCTGGCTCAATGTCGATATTAGCGACCGTGTTTTCGAACAAACTACGAGAGCCGGGCACGTCAATCTCGCCGCTTTCCAGCTTAGATCCACACCACTTAAGAAACTCGGAAAGTTCATCTTCGCTGAGTGCTCGTGACTCTAATCCTTGGCGGATGTCCTGCATTGTGAGCTCAGTGATGAAACCGCGATTGTGTAGATTGAGCATGAAGTCGACTGCTGCATTCGCAAGTTCTTGTGGGACCATGGGTACTTCTCCAAGGAAACTTAGAGTTTCTGCAGGCATACGCACACGCTTACTGGACATGACACCCTTCGTAGAAAGGATGTCGATGGATCGTTCTTTTGAACAATTCCAGAACGCCTCGTCAATCTTATCTCCAAGGGATGTAGAAGGGTGCGATGATTTGGCCGTGTATTGTTTGAACACGTAAGCAGTCTTCGTTATCAAGGTCTCTATGGGTTCCTTGCCGAATTGGGTCTGCAAGGCTGCCAATTCCGCTGCGTAGGTGATGCGACAGGCCAGCCCTGCAACGCGCAGAAGCTCAATATTCCAGGTGGAAATGTAGCGAGCGTTCATGTCGACATTCTCACGCTCAACCGTTGGGATAAGAGATGGTGCAGAGAT